GAGACCTATCGGTACAATAATCATAGACCATATGGTTCACTCGAACCCATCTATAACCTCGAGCCTCTACCGGACTCAATTGATGGTACGCACTGCCTTCCCACCAGTTCCTTGGATTAGCGGGACAACCTGTTGGTCCTGGAACCGGACATCCTTCTATATCAAAATCTTTGTAGTAAGCATAAAACGGCGCTCCTGACCAATTGATTTTCTCCATTCCTCCACGTGTCGCCCAATCATCAGCTTCCCACAACGTGGAATATACACCCATTGGTTGGAATCTCGGGTATGGAACTTTCCTCGCCTCATTGTTCTTATAAACCCTAATGGGAACATTGTCTACGTAGAACCTACACATCACACATATTAGACGATTACAAAATGAATACAACAAAGAGAATCACATCTTTCATAAATTTGTTTTCCCGTATAAATTATGGCTAATGGGTTTTAAAATTTGTGGGACCTTTATATGGTCAAATCAGTGAATACCTCCAAAACTACATATATGCTGTCTCTTTCATTCTCTTATTACATGGCCCATAGGCCGACAAAATATTAAACCAATCATGTCTCTCGTGACAATAGGAAAAGACAAGGATAGTTAACCGAATCTTATAGTACCAAATTATTGGTTAAATTGATACTGCTAAAGTATGAAGCGACAGCAATTGGTTGTATACGTAATGATGTATGACTTACACAATACGGAGATGGTTCCATGAAATGGCGTATTCATGGAAGTCACGAGAAGGGTCAAACCAAAGGTTAACTCTTTGCTCTCTATCGCCTTTGCCATGAGCAAACACGTTGGTTTGCACAGTGTACGGTTGTCCACTTCGGTTTCCCAGGAACTCGAAATCTAGCTCGTCTCTTATGGAATCCGTATCTGAATTCATCTGCGTCATTTATCATATAATTTATAACCAAAACTTACATAAATGCAGTATATAATGGAAACAGAAATATCGAGATTTATGTTTAGTTACATAGAAGGCAGCAACAGTTCCCGCTGAATCACCGGGGATGAGTTTGATTTTCATGCTCACGCGGCCAAACAAGTACCGGTTTTTCGAAGCGAAGCCACATCCTAAGCCAATGTTATAATAAAACATTTAATATACGAAACTGAAGATACATAGTGTGTTTGCATAAAATTTATGATAATGCATGTAAGAACCTGAGCTAGGGTCTAATTTGAGCTGAATGGCTCTTCCTCCATCGATTTGAGTGATGTGAGTATCGGACCATGTGATCCTAAAGTCATCCTGAAACTTGGCCGGTCTACTCAAAACCGGTCGGTACAATGCTGCAAATAAGCATAAGCTTATGAAGAAAGCATTTCTCGCAGAGAAGAGTGATGACACCACCATCGTTGCTTTGTAGTAAGTTAGTGAAGATCTTGTGATGATGGGTCTGATTGAAATTAGAGTATCGAAGCCGTATTTATAGTGAGATCGATGCATGCTGGTAAAAATGTATGTAGAATTATTGTTTGATTGGGGAAGGTATCTCATTTAGAGCTTAGCTTTTCAGTACAGCTAATCAGTGATCGATCGTCTCAAAAAATTTGGACCTACCACTTTTCTATTATTGTTGTTATTATTATGTTTTAATATTCATTGAATATGTCTTGTTTTGTTACCCAAGTCTTACTGTTCTTTCACTCTTTTTTGCTATTCAAATATAATTTATTTCTTGCTCTTTTTTGGTAAAAGGCGTAAAGCTAGGCTAGTCACATTATTACTATCTGTCGTCATTGCTCTTATGTGATGTGAAACAAGTAAATTATTATTCAAAATCAAGTTTGTGATAAAAGTTATTATTTCTTGGCTCTCAATGATTGAAGCAGATGAATTTCCCAACGGACTGAACTGATACGCGCGGTGCGATCTCATTCGGACACGTGTCACCTTATATTATACTCCTATTTGGTTGAAATATTGTATATATATTTCCCCATCATAAAGTTATTTTTCGTATTTTTGTATCAATACAAAAAAGGAATTTAATTTGATGTGGTGGTTAAGAAAGAACAACCGTTTACAAAAAAAATCTTGAGGTGGTGGTTAAGATTGGTTCGACGACAATAAGAGATGACAAAAAAAAATTTTGTTCTCAACCATTTGGTGGCAAGTTAAGCGTCTTAAAATTTAATTATTTGTCTTAATATTTAATTATTTATTTGGACAATATCCATGTTTATTTTGCACGAAATTTTTTATTCATTCTAGTTACTTTGGTGAGAGTAGCTGTGAATTATTTATGATCGTAAACATTCCAATTTATCAAGAAAATTTGAGAATATGAAATTTGTTTAATTTATGGACACCACACAAGTCGTGCTCGTCGAATAGTTCAAATCCCCATCTCAATTTATATCGTTCTCACTCAATATTACTCTGAGCTATGAAACATCGTTAAAAATGAAAATTCTATCAGGCAATTTGGCACTCTAGTTTCGATATTTCATACAATATTCGTTTCTTATAAAGTAAAAATTTGACTGGCTAGTTAGTAGTCGTTTTAATAAAAGTTCTTTGTAAATTATGTGTCAAACGTATATTTAGTCTGTTGGTTTTTGTACAAAATAGAGACTCTAATTTATGTATATACACATTTAGATTTTTTTTTAATCTGTAAACTTTTCAGTCGGAAGTAAATGACAGGATTGGGCTCTAGAGCATAATATATTCGTATATATATCGAGTTTATCATACTAAAATCATATACTTAAGTTTTGATACGCAAATAAAAATTGATTAGAGTTTATGAGTTCGATCCGATGCAATATATGTCTACGTTAAGCTATCATGTCTAATAAAACATTACACCCTGGAATTTTTGCATGAAAACGATAGTCATCAACAATGAAGTCTCACTAATTTAGAAGGACACACCACACATTGGACAAACCCACATGCAATTAAGAACTATGGATAAGAAATTGACGGACTTCGTGAGTTTCATAAAACAAATCTCTATTTAACCCAAAATTAATGTCATGTCTTTAAATTTTAATATGCTACCCACCCTTTTCATCCCTTTTCCCACTTTTATTTTGTCGTACTTGTGAAAAAATAACATATACACAGCCGACAAAAAAAAAATGATTTGAACTATATCAGAAACAACTAGTACTATTTTTTAGCTAACAAATAATCAGTATTCTTTCTATTTCTTTTTTACTTGTCGTCTACTCTTATTTTTTGTTTACAGAATACTGATTATTCGTTTTATGTTTTTATTGTAATTTTTATTTCGTGTTTTCTTTTGTCACCTAAGCTGTTTTGAGTGTTTAAACTGATAATACACCCTAATTATACAACCTGACCATATCCAGCGCTCTAACCCGATATTATAACCCTACGCTCGTTTAACACATTTTATGTTAACTGTACCATTTGAATAGATTTGATGATTATGTATTATGGGTCTACTTAATCTATTGGATCTTTTAAATTTGAGATTCGGCCTCATAACAGTCTTTCTTGCATTTGGGCTTTATTTGGCATTGGGTCATCTTTAATTTTAATTAAAAAATTAGCCCATTTCTTTGACCCATAATATATTTGCCTTGAATAAAATGATTAGCGATAGTTCTAGACTTCTAGTGGTTAATCCTCTCTAATAATCACTACGCTCAACCTGGATTCGAACTCACACTTGTAAGAGTTTTAAAAAGGTGTAAGTAAAGAAATTACTCAATTAGTAAGATATGATTAATCATTATGCCAACGAACCAACTAGAATTATATTTTTTGTTGCAGCCCACGACAAATGTGCTTGGTGTCGTTAATGATTTAGTCAATACAAAATAGCTACAGTTATAATATTTTTTTTCAAAACACAACTTTTCCAAGAATTTTGTGATAACATGATTTTCAAATTGAAGTCTTTAGTTTTTTTGTATTTGGACTACTCGGGTGTTAGAATTTTAAAATTGCATGTTTTCATAACTTTGCTTAAAATTTACTTAAATGGAAGGAAAATGTTTAACAGCGGTTAACTGCACATAGCAATTGAGAATATAATTCTTTTAATCATTGGAAAAGGAAATTGGGAAGAGTGAGCCAAACGTGTTGACACAGTTATATATGAATATTATTTGAATAATAATATATACTTATGTGTATATAAGCAACTTTTTTGGTTAGAAGAATACGAAAAGGCAAGGAGGCACGGTATTGGTCGGTCAGGTGAGGTGGGGTCCTTTCTACTGCTCCAGTCAGTCTATTACCACAAGAAACCGCAGAAACCAGAACTCAAAAAGCAACTCAATTTTTTTTAAACAATTACTATCATAAAATAAAATAAAACATGTTGAAAGAAAATTCTCTAATAGAAAAAGTATTTTAGCAGAAAAATTAAACTGAAACAGCTGTGATGGAAAACGTCAGTTCCGGGTAAAAACCTTGAATCTTTTTTTTTATACAAAAAAATCATAAAAAATTCTCTACTCTGTTTACAAAGAAAATCATAAAACCTGTACGTACTTGTTTATTTAACATCATATATCCTATTGTTTTCTTGATTTTTTTTAATCCATTTTTTCGTCTTCAAAACTTTAATTATTATGGTTTTCTCTTCTAGTATATCTAACGTTTGCTTTTGTTTCGTTAAGTTTTAAAAAATTTAACTGTTCTTTTCTGCTAAAATTAAATATTCATCCTGCTCTTTTGTACCTACGTAATTTCTTTTTCACCTGATTCTTGTTTTATTGGACACTTGTAGACACATACGTATCATACTATACATACACACATTTAATAGAATCTGACTCCCGTTAAATTATACATCATGATTTTATTTAAACACTTATATAAAAAAAAAGGAGGTCACGGCATATTTTGTATTTTTGTTCTTCAAATACTGCCTCTCTAATACATATCTTTGATGATGTGATGATACAAAAAGTATATAATAATATTTATGTGAAAACATTATTATATATCATGTCAAGTCATATATAACGCTTACGTGCATATATATCTGTGCGTGTAGTATAGTTTAGGAAATTTTATTTGCCCTTCAAAGGGTAGTCACTTTCCTTTTTCTTCCCTACTTACAAAAATCTATACACATCAATACGCAGAGAGATAGAGAGATAAGAGTGTAGAGAGAGAAAGTCTAATTGTTTCTCCTGTAAACTGCAAGCCGATCTTGTCTGAAAATGGCGGTGTGCAGCAAAATGTCAAGTTTTCTACTGATTTTGCTGATTCTTAGTTCGACCCATTTCAGTCTAATGGCTAATGGTAAATGGGTCAATGTCACATTTCCATATGTTCAAAGAAAATTTCCAAAATCTTAATTCTTCTTTTAATTCTTATGACATTTTCAGGTAGACAAGAGCCAAGCTCGCATGTATCCACCACTGAGGTAAATTTCTCAAATCCTCTGTTTTTTACTTTTTCTTTCAGTTTAGTTGATTTTTGAAATGTTGCTGATTTTGAACAGACAGGAGATCAAGATCAGAAGATGATGATGAGAGGTTTAATAGGATCACGACCACCAAGATGTGAGAGAGTGAGATGTCGTTCTTGTGGTCACTGTGAAGCAATTCAAGTTCCTACAAATCCTCAAACAAAGCTTCATTCTCCTTCTTCTTCTTCTTCCTCTGAGATTATTAATCTTGATTACACCAGAGGAGACGACAGTACTAATTATAAACCCATGAGCTGGAAATGCAAATGTGGTAACTCAATCTATAACCCTTGAAAGACTTTGTTTCTCTTTTGTCGACAATTTTTCACTTTTTTTTGGGGGTTCCAATTCTAAAATCTCTGTGTACATATATATGTTTAGTTGTAATCTTCAGAGTTTCTGATAATTCTGTGTTGTTGATTCAGATTATGTTGTTTACTATAGTGTAGTTAACAAAAGCAGAGATGAATAAAAAAAATTGTGTTATCCAAAATGGTTTGTTTTTAATTTTAGGTAACTATTATGAATTTTTTGTTTCGCACAAAAAAAAAACATTATGGATTTTGATTTTACAAATAGTGAGAGTAAAAAATATTCATAAAACAAGAAGTGATATATTATTAGAAGAACACGCATCGTAAACAGAACGCACGGAAACCTATTTTCAAGACGAGTCTGACAAATACCAATTTTGTGGATGAAAGTTACATCACACACGTACGTATGCACCTACATACATACATACATGTATGCATAGTGCATATGAGATTTTTGTATGGAAATATTGTTGGATTAATAAACAGACAAAGATACACATACATATATCCCCATAGATGATGTCAAACAAAAAAAGAAATCCATAGTTGATCGTCAAATAATCAGCCGTTTTGCTGACATTCGCTAAACGTCGCCGTTTGAACGATTATGTCATTCACATTGGATTTTGGGTCGTACTTTTTTATTTTTATTAAAACGATTAATTTATTTGGTGACGACTGGTGATTTTCTGTGTCCTAGTACTTGCTTGAGTAGAGTTCTCGTTGGGATTTATTACTAGTAACAACTCTGAATTAATATATAGTGCCTTTTTAAATAAATAACAAACAAAGCCCCCAAATTCTCGTCAGTTTTAATGCAATATCAACGAGAGTAGAAATTTGAAACTAAAAACTAAATAAAACATCTGAAGACGCAAAAAAATCATATATGATACATGTGCAGTGATTTGATATATACAATAGTTTATAGATTGACACCTATACAATTTAAAATCAGCATCTATATGACCAAATGATGATGGTTATTATATCTACTTAAGTCAATGAACAATTTCTACTTATAGCATTTTCTTCGTTTTTGGTCAGATTTAGCATTTGGAATATCAAATTGTAGAAATTAAAACGAGACTGGACAAAGCCTATTCATCAAGAAATTTGATGAGTGTGAGATGATGGGATTGATCATATGGAAAGAGGAAAGGAAGTGACAAAACAAAAGAGAGAAGATGTGTGTTTGTGTCTGTGGGGTTCCCCTAATTTCACAAATCAAGCAAAGCAAACAGTCTTGATTCTCTACACTGTTTTTCTTTTGAATGACTTTACTTCCTCCATTTTTTTTGTTTTCATTTCATTTATTACTTAATAGTGCAACTCAATAGTCGAGTAATAACAAAAATATATATAAATATATTTGAAATTCGGTGGAGACCCAAGTGTCAATCAAAGTCAGTAAACTGCCACCATGCTACGTACTGATTTAACTAATCTTCTCAGCGACGACGCCGCTCCGAATATTTTATACAGTATCTTTCGTAATAATTCATTATATATTTACGAAGATAATAGTGTGTTATATATTGGGCATATCGTCCAAAACTCGATGGATAATGCTTTTTTATAAGATAACATATTATAATTTCTTCCTTCAACATTTGAATCGCCGCACTATCCAGCTATATTACATTGATGAATAAATTATTTTTGGAAATTTGATCAAGTAAATTGTACTACAGAGAAATTCAACTATAATGATTTGTACTCTTAGCTAGTCTGCAATCTGCTAGCGTCGCAAAATCGTGGATAAATGAACTGTTTCTCGTAAATCTAATAATGATTTTTTTGCTATTTCGTTTGTAGAGCTTCTTCAATCACTAGTAGAGGATACCGTTTAAATGATAAAATCTGCCGTCACTAGAATATTTTGAGCTCGACAGATCTCAAAACGCTACGTACATTGTTTTAAACTATTTATATATTTGAGTAAAAAAAACATTTTGTTTATAGACGATTTGATCTATGAAACCATTAAAAGCAAAGTGACAAAATGAAAAGACTCAAAAAGAAAGAGACAGATATCATAAAGAGGAAAAATGAGAGTTCCAAAGCATAAAATACTTTGGCCATTCCGATCTCTTTTTGTTTCTGTTTCGTCTTACCGTTTAGTTAACTGTTTCCGATCTCTTCTCTGTTGCATCACTTCATTGGAACTATGGATATGCAATAAAAAAAATATGTATCGACAAAAGAAAAGAAAAAAGGCTTAGAGATTAGTTAGCCATTGGAGAGTTGACAAATGACAATGTACAGTCACGTGGAAGCATTTTGGACATATCCATAATCACTTTCTCTGTTTCAATGATCTATTTTGACGTCCACTGCTCCATACCTCATTCATTGTTCTTGTACGACACATGCCTTTGTTCATCATGAAATATGAGATGGTTAATGCCTCCACGTGAGATTGTGATATATGAGGTACGAGATGGTGGATATATTTCTTATTTCATTACCTACAAAAATATGATTATTCGTCAACCATATTGCATCATTACATAAAAGTTAGACACATTTTTTTGAGTCTAGTGGGTTTTATACGATCACCGTCTTACTATATCCGGATTTAAATACAGTCTTTTACCGTATATATAGTTCAAATATTGGTATTTGTACTTTCTTAACAAAATATTGATATTTGTATATAATTATAATGTCAATATTTATATATTCATATGTGTAATCGACAAACAAAAAATCAATAATGCAAAGAATAATTATTTTCAAAGACTTAGAAGACAAAACTTACTGGGGAAAAAAGTGGAGGAGATTCCAATGGTCCAATAAAGATTTTGGTCTTTAATTTGGATATGAATATATATGTACACGCAATGCCAATAGCAAAGACGTCTCAAAAGCTTATTTGTATATTGTTTTTTTTAAATGTATATTAATCAAAATAAATTATATCGTTTTTTGTCAATATTAATTAGTATACATATACACTTACAAGTTATATTATGTATATATATAGTTATGGATGGTATATGCAGATATTATAACAAAACTTCGAATTTATGGTATATAACCACCCATTTGTACCACTATATACCATACATCATAGCATAGTTCACCTCACGAAAACTGTCCAAAAGTATGATCATTCGAAATTGATCTATCTACTATTATATGTATGAAAAGTACGAGGTACTCGAAGATGTACATTGTTTAAAGCTTACATGGTTTGGGAATTTGAAAGAAGCTATGATGGTTGGGTTCTTAAATTCGTTGAGAGCTTATAATAGATGGGGCAAAAAAAATTTGCATTCCTCGAGTACTATCTTTAAGATGAAACTCATTAAGACAGTAAAATATGAGTAGAGTACACATGGTTTAAATTTATTAGGTTTCCATATTACTGTTATGCATATGGATCCAATGAAAAAATCCGCATTTCTTTAGAACGATTCACCAATGTTTTTAGTATAATATATTGTTTCCGATTCATCTTAGATTTGTTAATCGAATATAATAGTGAATTTTGAACTAAATGAAACTACGAAAAGTATTACTGTGCAATTGCGTGGGTGGAGGAATTATGTTAGGGCATTTTCATGGGGACCATTTCGACTTGACGAAGGCTCATTGCACAGAAGTGAAGCTTGCAGTGCAATCCGGTATGGTCCTATATTATACGGGTTAGGTTTATATAATTAGTTCGACGAGCGGGTTTCGTTGATAAGGTATTTTTAGCGATTAATTAATTGTGAGCATTAAAGTCTTAATTTTTAAAATGCGAAAACAAATGGAAATGTAACATCTCTAAAATTAAATAGTCATGTATTATTTTTTTAGTCTAGAAATCTAGAAAGCGATATACAATGTAGTGAAACTTAACCATCTATTAAACTGGTCTTTAAACCAACTCAAATATATAAGTTTTCTCCAGTTTGTTTAAGTTTTGTTAATTTCAAAACAGAACTTAAAATATCATCGAATCTGATCGACCCTAACCGAACTGGTCCAGTTTTACCGGTTGCAGATAAGAACATTATTAAGTGCGAAAAATAAAGTGAACTAGCACAGCACATCTAACAGTCAAAAGACTCATACTTGCTCGTTCTCTTTTCACAATTCTACGTAGCACTCAAATATGCTTAGATTTCTCTCGTATGACAATCTAAAATTAGAACCAAAACGGTTGTAATTATTTTCGGCTCGGTTTTGGATAAACCTCCTACAAAATGTATCTAATATATATGTCTATAGTACGATACATTGGGCCTATGGCTCAGCTTGGATTCAGTTGGGAGATATCGCTTTTACACCTACAAAATGTATCACACATGATCATTATTTTTAAAACAGGCTATTATTTCTAAGACAAGGCCTAGAACTAACATTAATGACTACAAATCATGTGAATCAATCAATAATTCCTCTTTGTTTCTTGTAATTTAACTCACAAGTGACAAGACCGCATAAAATTTCAGAGGTAATGAGGAAATAAAGTAACATTTTCAGACCGAGAAAAAACCCCAAGAAGTAACAGTTTCTCTTTGTTTTGTGGTTTTCAGCTTCAGAATTGCATACTAAAGAAGACTACAAAAACCACACGACATTTCAAGAGAAAATTAGTAAATAAAATTAAACGTTCAAAACGCAAAAACTCGAATACAAAAACTAATTTCGAAAACGTTCGAGTGATAACCTAGAAATTATACGGATACGATGAAATAATTCCGGGAAGCTTTTATGACAACATCAAAAAATCCGATAAGAAACGAACCACAGCGACGGTTACAATGAAATCTACATTTTTTTTTATCCTTTCTTGCAACTACTATATATGAAGTCTACATGTAACAAGGAAGCGTAAAAGTTTACTATGACAACATCAAAAAAATCTGATGAACCACAACAACGGTTACGATGAAGTGAAGTCTACATGTAATACAAGGAAACGTAAAAGTCCTAATTTGCAGATGAAACACAAAAGAACTGTTGGGTAGAAGAAAGCGTACCCGTGGAAATAACAGAGACTGTTTTACCAAAAAAAAAAAAAAACAGAGACTGTAGAAACTTGAAAAGCAAGGAACAAACTCTAATTTCTAGATTTTAAATGCTAGGATAGAACTAAAAATTTGACTGAAGGAAGAAACAAGCGTAAATTTGAGAAGAGATGGTGGTCTGTATTTATAATGAGAGCAACACGAAGTATACAACGGCTATATCTCCTTTCTATGTTTTTAATTTTCTTTTTGAATTTCCCGTTTTTTATTTTTTTTTCTAACCGTTGTGGATAACGGCTATATCATGAAAGTGTTACGGAGTTTGATTTTCTTACAACTATCGAATGATGTAGTGACAAGTGGAATATTATGCCCTTTGGAGACTTGGAGGCTTTAAAGTAACCGGATTCGGATCCGTTAATATGTACTTGCGGATACTCTGATACAAAAATTACAAATTCGGATCGGCCCAAAATAACTAAATCTAAAAAATTGGTAAATTCAACTAAAATATATAACAAAACATTTACTTTTTGACAATATGCTAAAATGTTTAGTATATAAATATACATATATTAAGAAAATTATAATTGAAATCAAGATCCTAATTAATTTAAATATCAGGGATATTTAAATTTTATTATGTGCATATGGATCCAGAAGATTCGAATATCCTACTTTATAGATCAGATTTCGAATCTCGAATAGTTTGCGCATCCCTAATGACACCATTGTCTTTTTTTTTTCTCTATTTCAACTGCATTTCAATTTTCGTGAGTGATTTTTCTAATATTAGCATCAGTGATATTGAAACTTTCTTAATTATTTTTCAGAAACAGATAAAGAATATATTAGAAAAAAACAAACAAATTAGTCACTAGTAAAGTATAACTATAACAGAAAAAACTCTGAAACATCAGTAATATCTTAATTTTTGTTTTCACTAACACAAAACAAATAAGTACTTATCTAGTCTCGAAATGATATCATTCGACTCATTTTCTTACTGTAAAATTCATTTTCTGGACTCATTTTCTCGAAATGATATCATTCGACTCATCTACTCTACTAAGAAAATGGATATTACGCTACGCGTTGTGAGATAATGGATCGTATGATTTGTCAACAAAATAAAGATAAGAAGTCAAAGCAATCGTGCATGTACTCGAGCAAGAAGAGCACACCGCACACGTGGCAAAATTTATTTCACAACGCGTGTAAGGCTGAGCTCCAAATCTGCAATTATCGTGAAGTCATTAATATGGATTGCACTTGCACATGCACGTGATGAATCGATCTAGCAAGTAAGTCAATGGACAAACAGAAGAAGAAGAAAAGCTCAACGAGACGACGTCGTATTAAAGTCAGCGAAGAGAAGAACGACGTCGTTATGAAGTCAGCGGAAAGAAAAGAAACTTAAGGACCGACGTCGTCGTTTTGACGTTAGCTGCTGCGTTAAATAGTGCCTAGTCTTAACTGTTACCGACCTTTGGGTCTCTGCAATTTGTTTGTAATCGAAGGAAAGTACACGACTTTTTGTAACATTTTTACGGGAACTCCACACTTTCTCAGATCCAAGAACATAATTCACACACCCTTTTTTTGATCTTCTTCACCGAGCTTGTTCGTTCCCAGACGGAATCACAAGTTTGTATTTTGGTGATCAAATACTTTTTTTTTTTTTCCAGGTAATTTTTTTTTATGTTTCTTTCCTCGATTTTTCCGTCGTTTTTGTTCATACCATTACTTGCACACTTTTGATTGAATCGGCTAAAATGGTTTTTTTTTTCATTTAGTATATTAACTTTCCCGATGTATCCCATTCTCGAGCTAATGGGTTTTTCGATTTCATCATCGTGATCTTTGTTCTTCTGATGGGGATTTCGGATTTCGAGCTTCTGATACCGAATTTGATAAAACGATTGCTAAATTGAATGATCCAGAGTTTCAGATTCTCAGTAAATGGTTGCTCTAGATTTCTTCTGATGATCTCTGAGATATTTGTTTTTGTTTTGTTTTTTGTTAAATTTGAATTAGGTTGATTTGGAAGCAAAGAAACAAAAATGGTGAGATCATCGCCACGAAGAGGGCAGAGATCAAAGGGACTGAAGGTGAAACACTGCGTACAGTTGACGCTGTTGCTTGGTTTGGGGATATGGCTGATTTATCAAATGAAGCATTCACATGAGAAGAAAGCTGTGTTCGAAGAGAGTGCAAAGATTGTTGCCGGTGATAAAGTGGTGACTCTCGGAAGGAAAGATCTTCTTGACCCGCGTGTTGAGGAGACTACGAACGTGAAGGATGATGAAGGGAGCAAGAGCCATGAGAGTTTTAATGAGAGTGTAGAGAGAGAGGAGGAAAGAGGCGAGGAGAAAGCTAACGACGAGAAGGAAACCGACGAAGGTACCGGGAGTGAAGAAAGCGATAAGGTGGTTGATGAGAGTGAAGGTGGAAACGAGACGAGTAGTGAAGAAGCTAGAGAGAAGAATTACAAGGGGGATGATGCGTCCAGCGAGGTTGTCCAGGAGAAGAAGGTGGGAGTTGAGGAAGATAGTAAGTCTAACGCTACAGAGTCTGAGAATTCTGTCAGTTTCCATGAAGACGAGTCTGGTCCAAAGACGGAAGAGCTAAAGGATTCTGTTGTTAAGAATATTTCATCAAACGCAACCGAGGACAGTGGGGAGATTAGTAGCGATGATGGTGAGCAACAGGAGAGAAATGAAACAAAAACTGAGAGCGAGAGTGTGGTGTTGGAGAAAGGGTTCTCTGATTCTAATGGCGAGTTGCCTGAGAGTCACCAGACAAGTTCCAATGCAACTGAAAAAACCAGCGATGGAGATGAGAGCGGGAAATCCACTGGTTATCAAGAAACTAAAAACGAAGAAGACGAGCAGGAAAAGGTACAATCTTCTGAACTCTCATCTCAAGATGAAAGTAAAAACAAAGAATCCGAGGACAAGGATAAAGAACAGTCTTCATCCGAAGAGGTAAGTAAAGAGCAAGAAGAGCCTTCGTCCCAAAAGGAAAGTAAAGAGGAAGAATCTGAGAAAGAGGTGAAAGAGGAGTCTTCGTCTCAAGAGGAGAATGAAAACAAAGAAGCTGAGCAAAAGGAGAACGAAGAGTCTTCAGATTCTAAGCTAAAGGAAAACACCAACAATGAGAAGAAAATTGAACAGGTGGAATCTACTAATTTTTCGAAGACTGATGAAAGCAAGAGCGAATCTGTTTCTGTGATAAACGAAACAAAGCCTGACACTTCAAAAACAGAGTCGGAGAAAGAGGAAAACAACAAAAGTGGTGAAACAGAGGAGACGCAGACCGATCAAGACCATTCCAAGTCCACTTCGGATAAGAGTGTTCCTCAAGACGTTAAGGATGCTGGAACTGATCTAAAAACTCTTCCTGAGGCCAGCAATGGATTGACCAACGACAAAGTCGCTGCTGAGTGAAGTTCTTAACAAAAGTTGTAATGTATTATTGTATCCATTTTCTATGTACTTTTCACATCACGGGAATTAATTCCCAATTAGTAGTACTGAGTTTTGAAACTAATCAATATATATACACTTACCTCTAGTTCTGTTTCAATGTCTTATTATGAAGAACAACCTTTTTATTGAGCTTATATGATAATAGATATGAGAAAACACAAGACTTTGATAATAACAAAACAGAGTATTATTCTTATTTCCCAACGAATGAAAGGAGATTGGCGTAGCAAATAGTTGACAAAGTTAAAACAAAGACAATAAGCATTTAGCCTTTCAAGTGAACCAAGAAGAAATTATTGTAAAGACGCAAGCTTTCAGTGCCCTTCGTTGTGCTTCACCTCAAACAGACCGTCTGGACCTGTGAACGGCAAAATAGAACGAGTCAACAATTCAGAAATCGGGTTTGAAAGAACTAAAGGTATACAGGTAATCTTTGATGATGTCTAGGAGAAGCCAAGATAAAAGATCAGATCTAAGCAGTACTAGCAAAGTTGCATATCATGCAATGCAAAACAGTAAGACGAAAGATTGAAAACGGGAAAGGCACACATACCCCATGGAAACTCCTTGTTGCGGATGTGCATATACGGGTAAGCCTGCAACAAGGACACAACAAAGGGAAAACAAAAGTTAAGTAAAGCTAGAGGAAATGTAGGTACTAAAACTACAGAACAAAATGAATGAGATAAAGACAATTCAGAAAAGGCCAGCTTTAGTAACAACTTTATCATCTGTATACATACTCATTTCCAGTTGCACTGGCGATATTATCATTGTCTCTCACAAGGTAAAGAGAAAAATTTAAGATTCCGAAATCCAAAGCTAAAAGATTAACCCAATACAAGTGTTGTCAGAGAAGCTTACAGGAGGGTCTTCACCGTGATGATGGCCCTTGGATAAAACATAGGCGGCAAGAGCAGTGCAACTAGCAATACCCAGATATGTTATCTTCTCCCACTTGGCTGCTTCGTCTGTACGAAATTCATAACACTTCGATAATGAGACACTAAAGGCTAAAGTGTACCAAGAATAAAAAGTTGACCATTTCAACATGGAATCAAGGAATGAAATGTTGGAGATTTGACCCGAGAAAACGCTTCAGATCATCGGAAATATAAAAACTTTTTTTTTTGGCTTTTAAAGGGAAGAATATCAGATTGAACTTTGACATATCGATCTACCGAATTCAATTCACAATTAACAGAGTATCTCAATTGATTCCTGAACAGGAGATTTTGGTTCAAAAATTCTGAAATCCGTGGGAAATCATATTGAATCTTAATATAAACTCAGAACTCAGAAATCTAGCAAGAATCGGCACAGAATAGGAATTGGGACGAATCTAGAAGACAATCAAAGAACACCACGAAACAGAAAAACCTAGATCGAATTGAAATGGCAAATAAAAAAAGGAGAGAGATGAGATAAATTACAAGCATCGTCATGGCCAGCGGAAGCGGAAAAGCTACGCTTAGGAGCGACGGATGTCCTCGGAGCTGCGCTGATCGCTGCTCGGGAAAGTGCTGAACGTACAATCGCCGTCGCCATTCTCCGGAATAGTTTTCTTTGGGTCTCTCTTCTCTCTCTTTCTCCGGAAGTGTTTCGGACTCTACACAACAACAGATGTAAAAGGGTTATGTGACTCACTAAGCAGACGTTGCTGAAAATATAAACCCATTATCATGTTAATATAAGCCTAATGGGCCTTATTGAATAAGCTAACTGAGCCCATCGTTACTTTTACTGAATAATTTTCGCCCAAACACTAAAAATGAATTCGGAATTTAGTTCTTAATTAATTTTAACAAATACAAATAGTCACTCACATCACATGTAAACAGATCAGCAGCATAAAGCTATCTTATAAGAATAAACAAAGAAGCACAAAGAGAGAACAACAATCATCTCGTCATCAGCTTCCGAAATCTTGATTGCTTCCGCCGCCGGAGGCCGCAAAGAAAAGAGCTCCGGCACCAGATCCACCGTGAGAATGCTCGATGACGACATGATCAGATAACTCATCACCAAGCATTTCCCAAACACTGCTATGAAGATAGTTTCGAAAGAGCCTGTAATGATCATACAATCCTCCTTCAACTATCACAATGCTCATCTTCTTCTCTAACCTTCCCAGCTTCTTTATCATCCCAACTATTCCTGCTCCCGCCACACGTGCCGCTCGTTCGGCGACTACATCGCACACTTCAACCACTGTTTCTCTCGCCACAAGTGTTGAATCCATGATCTGCATACATGTGATGTGAGCGAGTTCACACAAGATTCAAGTTTTAACTTAGCATGCAAGCAAGTCTTACTATGAAACATACCCCGAAAACTTCCTTGAGCTTTTTGTTTATGATCTCACGATCATCGGATATGTCTTGATGCATCGCCGCCATATCGGGCGACCTGAAACCACAGTATTGTCTTTGGGATCTATAGTTTCACGTACCATAGTCTACAAAGAAATTGATCAAACGGTACCATAAAATGTAAGGGATTGTGAGTTTTGAAGGCAACGTATCTCCAAAGAGAGCAGATTCTTCAGACATTTTTAGTAACACTCTTCTCACTATCTCCCCTAAGTATCCTCCAGACACCATCTTCTCAAACACCTTGAAACAGAGCAAAACCAAAAATTTCAAAAAACACAAAACATTATTTAACCCCAAACGATATTATTATGTGTTCTTACTCGGCTTCCAGGATTCAAGCTTTCCGCATCAAGAGCAGCATCAAATTCAGTTACAGGAAGATGACAAGATCTGAAATCTCCCCACTCTGTGCTAATAGCCTATAATCTTATCAAGAATATAATCACTTGATCATAACTTTATGAAAGCTCTATGTTAGTATTGGATCAATGTGTTGAGATTCTCTTAACATACAATCTCTTGTGGCTCGGGTATGGCGGATTTCCATCTCGAAATCTCTTGAGATTGTTCGATGTAAGCAGCGTTTGTTCCCATACCTAAAGTGACTGCAGCCACAGTGTCCTTGTGATAGTACCTTCCTCCAGCGAGCTCTCCTATTGCGTTATCCACCTGATCTTAAGAAACAAGATTCAGATCATGAAAAAATGTTGAGATTAATCTCCATCGCGGATCATCTTCAGACCAGCTTACCAGCGCTGTGTTCATACGAATGTTCAGACCGTGTCTCTCTAATGATTCATTCATATCATTCACAAACGCTTTCATAACCGTATCATCATCATCATCTGCTAAACACTTCCTCTGTAACGCCGAGATTGAACTTGACCCAGTTTGCTGGATAGAGCGAGTCAACGTAAACCCAAGCTTCTTCACTTCCTCGGTTTCTTCTCCGGGATTCATCCCAAGAAATTTAACTAGCTCCAAAGATATGAAATCGCACAGCTCCTAAACCCACAGAAACTTTCAGCTCCAAGTGACCTAACTTGTGATCCAAGTAATCGTATGTCTATCTATATATAATATATATACCTTGAAAGAAGCGTTTAAAACATCTTCAGGGATCGAAATCTCCTGCTTCTGTACATCGGAGATAGGCTCTTCGTTACCTCCCAACGTCCCACGTAACAGCAGAAGTTCCTTCCCTCGCAAGTTAACTCCATAGTGTACTCCCTTCTCATCCCTACAACACCGTTCATTAACTGTCATGTAATATACTCTGCCTGAAACAGAGGATTTGGATTCTGTTTTTTTTTTACCCGGAAGGTAGTGAACCGACGAATGAAACGAGCATGTTGAAAGAACCGGAATTCTCGGCGGCGAGAGAGGCGGTCATCTCGGCGACGAAAGCGTCCGCCACGGCCCACAGCTTCGATACGGGCGTGGCGCATTCTCTAGCGAATTTCCTCAAAATCCTCTGTGTCAGTTTCCGACGCCGATCCTTCGTCCGCATCCACCGACCAATTATTACAGCCGCTGCAGCTGTCGTAAGCATTGCAGCAGTGACGGCCACCACCACCTCTTTCCTGGTCATATTCTTTATGGAGTTTCTTTTTCTGTTCTCCGATCTCACGAAGATAAGATGCGTTCTCTTGTTTGCATGTTTTGCGTATCAAGTTTGAATCATTTAATTTCACCTTTTTTTTTTCCTATGAACCGTAAAATTCGGTTTACTAGTTTTTGTTTCCGGTTATCAATATGGAATTGTTTTTTTTTTCTTTGGTTGGATTTGATGTGGAGAAAATTTGGTCTTGCTCTGTTTTAACTTTTAAGCAAACTCTAAACTTTATAAAATCTGTCACAAAGACTGCATTATATTTAAATTAACTAATTACAGTATCTATGTACGAGAAAAAGTTGGTTCCATTTTCCGATTCGAGTTGGCCTACTGTGATTTTAATTCGGTTATATTGCCCGGCCTCTCACAATATTTCCCGAGAAATTGGTTTGATCAGGTCAAAATGTAAAAACAGCAACTAAAAAAACTTATTATAATTTAATAAAACCAGTGGTAAAATTGTTATATATCAACCCTAACACGCAGATTGAACTTAAATCACTTAATCAAGCACCAAATTACAAAACTCGAAAAGTATACATTTTTGATGATATTTAAAACCAAAAAAGATTTGGACATCTAAAACCAAATAGCATCTCAATGTCGTCGAGTAATCAATGACCAGATAGGTTATAGGGTTAGTTATGCGCACATGACATCACGTGTTGTAGCACACATGGTGCGATTCCTTTGATTGGTCGTACTCGTCTCTTGGAGCTGGAGGTTAATGGGTCAGTTCCATTTTTCACGGAACGACACTCGGTAATTAAAAAGACAATAAGATGATGAAGATCTATATTAGCTTCTTTTTTTATAATATACGCGAATATAAATGGTATTTTTACAGGAAAATGGTAACATTTATATTAAAATATGAGGAAAAAATTTCGAAACAGAAATACAAAACAATGGCAAAATTACTATTCATTGAGACGGAGAGAAAGAAAAAAAAAATATAGAGGTTTATTGAAATATGAGTATGATGTCATGTCATAAAAACAAAATATAATGTCCATTTTTTTTCTGAGTGGTATTATTTTGACCGTGCACGTTAATCTATATGTTCCACATTTATATATGTTATTACTTATATATATATATATATATATAAACTGACACATAGAGCAAAGTGACCCGGTTTCATCATATTGATACCGAGTCCAATAATTTTGGAAAATTCCCACGTTTTCATTTCATTTTTCTTTATTCCGAAAATAGTACTTCCCCATTTTCAACGTATTATGTAGTTTTGTTATTATTTCAATAATAGAATGTGATTGGCTACTTCAGTACACTATCGAGCGAGTCGTCATGCCATGTGGATGTCGACTTTTAGACTATATATATAATCAGATGATAATGTAATTATATAGTGTTTTGTGATTGATGATTAGGTCGTTACTAAAAAAATGTTCTGCATTTGAAAGCAACTAGTATCCCTTGAAACACGTGATTCTTTCTTACAGCTTAACATCACAACGGTTTTACTCCTTTTGTACTGTTTAATTATTATGGATTAATAACTACCAAATTTTTTAATTTTGCGGCACGAACACGAATAAACGATGATGAACTGAAATACTTTGAGTATCGCCAATTTGTTATAAACCCATGATAAACAGCTACACTATAAGTTCATTGCCGAAGGAAAGAAGAAAAAGCATTGAGATCTACGAGAATGCTCCTAATGGATCAAACAGTCAAAAAAATTAGTTCAATTATATAAATAAACTTTGTTGATGTTCTCTATTAATGCAACCAACATATTCTATAATAGAAGCAACTCTTTACAACATTGATGGGACGTAATTTCTTTCTAATAACTTGCCCGTTTCAAGTTTGGTTGAAAGGTTTTAGTCTCAGATCAAGAATAATAAACACTAGACCATAATATGTATACTATAGGATAAATGATGTAATGGTTACGATTTGGTATTGCGATCCTGACAGGATATGCCGTCCAAAAACATCATGTAACAATCACGACAAATCTTCGCGGTGCGTCATCACCTAGTTTAATTAGATTTTATTATCATATAATTAATTATAAATTTATTTCTTAAATGAGTATTGGTAAGAGTACTTCGTCATTGAGTTGAACCACTCTTTTCCACTGCCGGATTATATTACTGCTGATGAAAAAAAGATTTGCAACTCAAAATATGACCGTTGGATTACTTAGTCTACAACGTAAACAAAACTGCCTACATGACTGTTAATTTGCCCCCCAAAAAACTGCCTACATGACTAAATATATTTTTATATATGACCGTTGGATTATTTGGACCCAACAAAGTCAAATCTGATCCTCAGAGTTATAATTGGTTTCACATCAACTTGACTTCATTGACACCGTAACCAAGATTATACTAAAATAGCAATATCCCACGTTTTTAATTCAATTTAGTATGTATTTTGGTAACCCGGTTTGCAAGGAATTTGCCCCTTATTTTTTATTTGGCTTTTTCACTTTCTTCAGAATTAAATTAATATTCATGGGAAGTGGAAAAAAAAACTTGAATCAAAATGGTGGTTTTAATATCAAAAAGGCAGAGAGAGAGAGAGAGAGTTATCCACAAATGACGAGAGAAAAAATATTGGTGAGTTGTCACGTGAATGATGGACACGTTTGGGTTTTGACAGCGACCCAGATTCCGTGATACACGTGAAGGATACAGTCAAAATTTATATATGTTGAATCGAACAAACTATGTGAAGAGTTATGTATAAGTCTTCGAAATGATTTGTAGGGAGAATTTCTTATATTTTCAGAACTCTTTATGAATAACGCTTTTATGATATATATTATGTATAATATATATATTCTTTTAAAGATGTGGTATGTTTGAACACAATAATACATCTGATATTTTAAGACCAAATTTTCCACAAATATGCACGTCGAGTTCAGATACAGTATTAAGAATCACAATCTCGACTTGGATCTTCCTAAAGCAGTAGTACTGTGTACTGATTTTTAGTAATAAAAAAAATTAATAGCTAAAGTTAAGTAATAATTTTGAACATCTTTCTCAATAGATTTGACAGTAGATTTAATGTCTACTATAACAACATCCTTTTAACTATAAAGTGTTATATATTCGCGGAAAAAAAAGTGTTATATAATCGCTATACATTTATCAGTTTAGCTAGATTCACCTAAATCTACACTGAATCATAATATTTGATATATTAATACACAATCTCTTGTCAAAGACGATATATGGATTAAACGTGCATATATTTGTGTGTGTACATATAAATTTTCATTTTTAAATAGAATAACCATTATTATATATTTTGTTTTTTGCAACAAATGTATTATATATATATATAATATATATATAACTATTCGGTACGTTTTGAACCTGGATATACTGTTTGTCTATATGTGTGTGCAAGTATTATATTTTTTGTGAACTGCGAAACCATTGTTACTTCAGTTTTGGGAGTAACATATTTTAAAATATTTTATTATGATAATTGAAAGAAAGAGAAGTATAATTCACTTACACAATTCACGATTTGTCATAGCTTGTTAGTATCCTATGATGATTATCATCTTCCGGTGTCATAACACGGAAGGTAATGACTGACTTTTATAATCTGCTTTGATCTTTATGTAAGGTTTTTAACATTAACAATAACTCATATGTTCGTTGCTAATAATCACCACTAACATATACGCGTTAACGTTTAGATCAAACAAAATGAATAAAAGTTTTGGTTTAAATTTTCGAGAGTTTGATGGAATTTTCGAAAATATTGTATTGGTTCTCCTAAGGTAAAGATTATTTTTATATTATCATGTTTTTAAAACAATGGATATATTTGTAATGTGCCTAATCAGCCTGGTGATATTAAATCTTGATCGGAGACCAACAAATGCATCTTGATGATGATACTTAATTTATTTTCAGTTCATACGTCATATTTTTCATTTTTCATTTTTAGTATTATAAAAATATAGAATTCCGCAAAATTAGCTACTTTATCCATATATCCAACAAATGCCTCGTTATACTTTGTTTTCCCCTCTAAAACAACTTCCTAGGTTTTTTCCCCTATGAAATGTAGATTTTGAGATTGATGAATCATCCGAAACACACTAACACAAACTTGAGTAAGTTGGTATACAATTGAAAAAACATACAGTAATACAAAAGAAGAAACACATATACAAATTATAAAAGATAAAGTAAAATCAACATTGACTAAGAATTACACCCATGAAAAGTGCTTTACATCATTAGAATTTCTTATAGCAACATAAGCAGGGGGACAAATTCCACCTCAAAACCATGAACTTGTCCTAATATCGGTTCGCATGAGTGGAGTGATTCTTCAACTCATTCAATCTTGAGCATATATAACAAATTAAGAAAGTTTCCAATCAAACTTAATTATATTAATAAAGAAAAGCATCGTCATGGTAAGAACCACTCATGATTCTTTGATATGTTCCAACTAGATCTCCCTGAGAAATGGACGATAATCATGAGATTTTAAAACAATCACATGAATTTCGATAAGGCAGACCTCAGGTTCTTTACAACATCCATTAGTGTCATGTCGAAATCACACTCCTTCTGCAAAAAAAAAAGAAAAAAAAAACATTAAGCGATGTACGTTACTCTAAGATTAAGAACAGGTTTATGTGTGTGTCCCGGGTCGGATGTGTATATACCTTAGCTACAATGGTGATATCAAGAGTTGGTCCAAAGGGCAAAACACTTGAGTTAGTTATTGAGAAACGAAATTTCTCAATCTCGGCCATAATCTTAGCAATATGACCCTTTTGCTTCTCGCAAAGAATCTTGATTAGAACATCTTTATCCGAGAATCGTACTTCAATCTCGGGAAGGTCCAATCCCGAGGAGCCATCTTCACAACAAGAAGAAGACGACGATTGACTATTATCGTCTAAAATCAGCTTAGACTTCTTCACAAGAATCATTGATTCCAATCTTCTTTCTTTCTTCTGTTCCTCAAACTGTCCCACCCTTTCTTGGAGATACTTTATATGCTTTAATGCATCTCCCAACACAGAAGCCTTGTCCATCTATACACACAAGTTAAAAAAGACTAATCAACAAAACATGTTCATTGAGTAAGGTGATTTGTTTTGGTATATATGTACCTTTTTCAAGCCGGGAACTAGAGCGGAAAGAGCTACAAATCTTTGAGTAAGTTTCTCTCTACGTTTTCTTTCGGCAATGATGTGATCTTGAGCATGGGATTGGCTTCTATACAAAGGTTGAGCCCTCTTGGTCCCTTTACGATTAATCGGCTCATTCATCCGCTGTGGTGGCACTTCAGCTTCTATTTTGGAGCTAAATATCGAGTTTAGATAGGTGGGAGAGTACTCGTGATCCATAACATTTGGACCGCCATTATCGAAAGAGAGAATTCTTGAGGAAGGCTGATGATGAAGATGAGGCTTTGAGCTAGGAGGAAGGGGAGAAGAATAAGGTGGTGGTGACAACTTTGGTAATACGTAAGTTGTTTTGAGGATCTTTGATGGTTTTATTTCGATCAAATCATCAAAAGAAATATCATTTTTGGTGGTATCAAGAGATGAGAAAGACTGTGAAAGAGTGTATTGATCTTCATGGGCCTCTCCCACCATTGAGTTCATGTGATATTGTTGGATGATGCTATTTTCTTCTATCTCCTATATATCATCGCCAACAAAAAGTGAAAACGAATAGTATTAAAGAAACATATTAATTTATGACACTGAGATTGAAGCATATACGTAGATGTTTGTGTGTGTGTGTGTATACATACCTCAGAAAACCATCTTGTGGATAACGTATTCATCGTTGTTGCTTCTTATCCAGATATTAAGATTTGCAAATGGTAAAAGTAATCAAGCAATAAGAATATAGCGTATCATTTATAAACAAGAAAATGTATTTTAAAAAAAAAATTAATACATGATATGACATTCATAAATCTAAGAGAAAGAAACATTAATAGGTGGGTGTGGTTTTATGTTTCTTGAATTCAAGAAAAATGAGAAACTAATTGGTGTAGCCCTAGAAAATTGGAGAAGAAGCCGAACAATGAAAAGGAGAATGTTGAAACTGAAACTCACCTTCGTCTTAGAAGTGGAGAGAGAGAGAAATAGAGAGATTGGGGTTTGTGTGAGAACAGTAGAATGCATATATGTACACAAGAGTATGAGTAATTTGCACGTGTTAAAGTCAATAACGCTGTTATATATTCCCACGCTAATAATATTCCATTTTCTCCCATTTTTTTTGGGTGTCAATACTAATCATAGATGTACATATATGACCTACATCACCCACAGTAACAACGGTATTAATAGTTCAGGTTTTCAACTGTTACAACTATATATTTAGAACATGTACGATAGCTAAAATAAAATAAATATGTAAAATCCACAAATTGAATTAACTGATGTAGTATATGTGTAGACAAAAGATAAGAAATTATACAACGAAGATAAGTAGACAACGAAGGCAACCTCTAAATAAAAATTTATTATTTAGAAATATAAATATATAACGAAGCTACCAAAAAAAACGAAACAAAACGCATTTAAAGCCTTCGTGATTAATTTTCGAATTTCTTATAATTAAGAGAAAATACTCAAATAGTCAGAAGAGACCGAGAAACAACTCCACATTAATCGAAAGGCAATGGTGGGTGGGGTCCAAATGAATATAGTCTAAATTTACAAGCCAGCTTTTATTAATTTCTCCAATTGTTGTGTAAAAATGTGGCACCAACCAAAGATCTCCCTACGATTTTATGGCATATTTCTATGGTGTTGGTTAGGCTATTGTTACGATATTTAAATAATTCCATTTTATTTTGCAATTAAAAAGTAAAAGGAATTTTGTTGACAATAAAAAGTAAGATAGTGGGATGAAAAAGTAAGATTAGTTTTCAAAGTATACAATTATTATGACTAAATTGACAAACGTAACTTTAGTTTTGATGAAAATTAATGTTTCTAAAAACGCGACCTACACAACTTTATAACTCCATTGACAAAAAAAAAATTGTGTTTCCTCTCGGCTCTTATATATTACATATCATATGCATGACTGATTTAGAAAGAGTTAGGCTTATTTCGATATGTAGATTATTATAATTTAACGTTAAATATAATGTAATGCTCTAATATATTTCATGTGCATGACTGATTTAGAAAGAGTTAGGCTTATTTCGATATGTAGATTATTATAATTCAACGATAATCCAATGTTTAGGTCACTGTTTGAAATACTAGTTGTTATCAAGAGAGACGCATGTGGACATTTTCCTGGCCCTCTCGTGCTTTGTGCAAACGTGCTAATCTGAATATTAGTAAAATGGGTTAGATATATAATCACTTAGGTAACAAAAATTAAGAGAACTAAAAAAATAACGAAGTACAGTGAACGGCATAGAAATGCTAAGCTATGGAAACAAAACGCACGTGGGCTATTGTAAACTAATAATAGAATTAAATGCCAGTTCACTTACAGCTAATCTCTCTCATTTCCTCCATTACTAAGCCCCATGATAGAAGCATCTTGCCTCAGAAAAATTAAATTTTTTAGTATTACTTTTTTACAGAAAGATTCAATATTTTTTCCGTTTCAAAATAATTGATGTTTTAGCTTTTTTTTTCCAAATCAAGTGATGTTTTATGATTCTATATAAAAAGTAACACGAAATTGTTTATGTTTTTATTATTATTTTTAATAATGTTACAATAAATATTAATTGTTTATATTAATTTGTGTTTGAAAACCTTAAACATTATCTATTTTAAAATAGAGAAAGTATAGTAATTTGTATTATTCCATTTCGAAAGCTCCAACTACAAATGCTGATATACATGATTAGGGTATAATTTAAAAGTCTTATCTCATTTCTCAAGATCTAAATACTAAATTAGTTTGAGTATTTAAATAGTTTCGTGGATCCATATCATTGGTTAACGTGAAGGCATAATTATTTTTGAAGTCAATCCCTAAAATGGAAACGAAAAAGAACAAACAGAAACAGACAAGTTGTAAATATAGAATCAAACAGAGAAACCTTATTATAAGCTTTTGCCATATGTCATGTAACAAACCCTTTAGTGAGACTTGATTTTATTTATTAGTTATGTCTGCCATTTAGTTGGTTGATGAATTTAGAGCAAATTGCCCCTATACTTTAATGGATTTGCTGTAGATTTGCTCTGGATCTGATAGCACTGTTTCATCATAACTCTCAATGTTTTGACCTAACAAACTTGAAAATTAACCAAAAGCAGTCTTCAAAACACAGTTTCAGACTAAAATAAACCCTAATAAGCTGATAATGGATTACATAAAGTTTGATCCTTATAACAAAGAAAGATAAAAGTGGCATAGCATTCAAGAGCTGTGACATACAGGAACGAGAAACCAACTTTAGTTAAGAAAATACAATAAACTGACATTGTGTCTCCTCTTTATTCTATTTTGTTGTATTTGGTCTCTTCACTTTACCTGATTTCATAACAAAGACCCAACACTTGCAACAAGATTTGGCAATTACTTAAAAAGTGCAACACAGATCTCACCAAGAACCCTGCAAGATCCTAAGATTGAACTTCCACATGACACTAGATGAGCTCGCATGGCTTTGTTTCAGTCATAGCACACAAATCAACCAGACAAGAATATTCTATCCCCTTTAGAGCATGTCCTGTAAAGTTAGCACATCACATTTTAAATCTATATACATCAAAAGTTATCAACCATAACAAGCACTAGCCCCCATGTTATCCAGAACCCAATGGGCCAATAGTAATTAATTACCAAATAATGAATTCAACTCCATCTCGCACCAGTCTAACAATCTAACATGTGTTATAGTTTCAGGAGAGGTTTGCTTGATAACTCGGTCCTCGAATTCTAAAATAGCCTCAGACTCCTTCATGAGAAGTATAACCACTTTGACTCCATCCATGTTTGTAGCAACAATCAAAATGAAAGAACCAAAGCACTGATAAAGAAACTTGTTGGAAATTCGAGTCTAAGCTTTGAGCAAGGAACAAGAAGAAGAAGATGAAGTATCTTATGGAATACAAGAATGTTTAAGCCCGGTTGAGTGAAGGTTAATTGTAATTAATTAACAAATGTTCGGTTTAATTGATAACCGGGGAAAATCCTATACCAAAGTGATTTGGTTGAAAATCCGCCTACTTACAAGCAAGCAAATGTCATTTGCCTCCTAATAAGGAAACAAAAATCAAAAGCATAGCGATACATCTTCAGATTCTACCCATAAAGAATCAAACTTTTTTCCCCGAGAGAATTTTTTAAAGGGAAGAGCCACTGAGAAAACAAAATATAACAGACATCTGTTTTTATACAATAAACGATTAATGGCTGAGCTTCGTTTTCTTCTCCTTTCTCACTCTTTCTCGCCTATTCTCTTCTTCTATCAACCGTAGTTGTTCCGCGTCTTCTTTCTTGGCAAGTTTCTCACTGTATCAAACAAACAAACAAACAAACATAAACTTTGGTTTCCCGGGAAAATTCAAAAGACATGTTATACAAAGTATAGAGTAGTGTTATACCTTCGTTTCTCTTCCTTCATGATATCTTGAAAGTTAGCTTCCATGCTTCTATCATCATAATCTTTGAAATCACTCCCGGAAAAACGATCAGTGTTGCACATCTTTCTAATCATTCGCAACGCCAACTCATCATCTTCCGACATTTTTGCACTCTTCCTCTTCTTCTTCAGTTGATGATCATGTTGCTTCACCACTGGTTTGCTAATCACCCGAGAAGCCAATGATTGTTTCCTTGGAACCGTTTGAGAACTTGCGAGTTCTTTAGGAACCTTCCTCTGTTCTACCCTCTGTTTCTTAAGGTCAGACGTCAATGGCTTTGGCTTTTTCCTATGATCCATTTGTTTTGAATCTGGTTTTCTCGAAGGAACTGGTCTCTGAGAACCTAATCTGGAACTTGGTTGTGAAACCGGTCTTGAATGATCCATTTGGGTTTCCCAAAAACTTGGTCTAGAAATAGGAACAGGGGAGATACGAGGAGGTGGTTCCTTGATGGAAACAGGAAGCTCAGCATCGTCAGAGGAAAGGAATGAGTAGTCTCTTGAGTCCTTAAGCATCTCAGCTTTTCTTTTCGCATTCTTGGTCGCTGAAGCACTCGTTGGACCACAGCTTTGCTTCTGCACACATGACACAAGGCAATTTTTCATCAGCATGATCAAAACAGTTTCGCAATATTGTCAATGTTAGAAAAGAAGAAGAAGGATCATCTGAGAACATACAGTTTGGATTGAGTTCAACATTTTAGTAGCCGCAAGCTCGTTTTCTAACAGAGATTTGCTTTCTAGTATCACTCGTCGAGCAATGACAGGCTGAGAAGGACCGAAGAAGGAACCGAAGCTGCACACAAGAAACATTTTTACAAAAACAGAGTTAGAGATTTCAATATGCTAATTCTACTCTTCAATGGTGAAACAAAGACACAACTGCTTACTCGTTATACGGAAGTTTTCCTTTTCTCTGCTCTGAGGTTGGAGAAACAGAGTCTCCGTTTTGCGTTTCCTCCCTGATCGATTCCTTAATCCGTTGACGAAATTCAAGAAACTCTGATTCTTGATGTCGCATATTGGAGATAAAGAAAGTAGCAACTTGACTAAAGATTGAATTGATTTGAGAGACGAATCGACACCAACGATGTGAAAGCTAGTTTATGTCTCAGAAAATCAAGAAATTACAAAAATAAAAACGATACGGTGAAGCTTTTATAGGGTCTCCACTTTCCATTTTTTTCAACGATACTTTCCTTTTCTTAATTTTTTTTATCCTTGAAAAGATTAATTTTAAAATATAATGACCGCGTAATTTAAAAAATTCTAGTTGAGGGAAAAAAGGAAAGAAGTCTCACTCGTAAGAGCCTAATGAAAACGCTTACAAAGATGACATCTTTTCTTTATTTTCTTTGACAAATGAATTCGAGCTTGGAAAAATGGATTTACTGGGCTGCTCATCACTATTGGGCCAAGTTTGACAGCATTGATTAAAATTAGGCAAAGCGTTTAAAAATAAAAGTAAACCGGCGATTTTAGTATTTCTACGGTCTAGCCGGTTAAAATTTGGGTTACCGAATAATGTAAACCGATTACCACATAATCCCCACGAACTATATGTATCTTCTATCTGCAATATTATTAATTCTAACAGAAAAATAAAAGAACCGTTGGAAGATCTTTGAATCCACATTCAGGTGAAAAACCTCTGATCCATGTCGAGAGAGAGGGCCAAACGAGAATTATCTCTCGTTCAAGAGGTACTTTTACTCCGATCTGTTTTCATTCTTTCCCAGTTTTCGATTTCACCTCCCAGTTTTTCTATCATCTTCCGATTCTTATCATCAGCATCTGATGAGGGAGATAAAGATAGATCCTTTTCAATTGATGGGGTTTCGATCTCACCTGCGACAATCTTCTCTCAATTTTATTTTCCTTCCAAATTTGGCTAATTTTACTGGAATTGTCCGTTTCTTTATTACTTTGCGTTTCTTATCATCGGAGATTGATGGGGTTTTTTCCTCAAATTCTTATAGCATATTTAAAAATCGAGGAAAGTGGTAGAGGAAGGCAATTATATGGAGCGTTGCAGATGTACAACTACAAATCAATCAGAGTGCAAGGTTTGTATCTCCTCTTTGGCTCGATTCTTTAATAACCCAATTGTCTTTTACGCGATTCTGCATTTTTTTTACCTTTTTGGATTCTGAGAATTGGTTGAAAATTGGATTCTTGATGGTTATGAACTGGTAGCGTATTTTGTTCGTCTTGTTTAGATTTATAACACATGAAGGCTTATTGCTCGCAGATGATGAAAGTCTTGGTTAGTGCATACTGTATAGAATTGCTACGACCCATCGCTATACTTCTTTATGGTTAGACTGAAATACTTCTGTCAGATCGTATCAGGTTCCCGTACAGCCTCATTTGGGAGACGTGAGCGGCGATGAAGATGTCCAAAATCTCCAAGAATCTCTTAGAGAAGCCACATATCACGGGTAGAAAACTTAACTTGGTTCTTGAGAGCTGCTATAAAGTAAGCTAAAGCAAGTGTACTGTTTCTCTTATTTCAGCTAGTATTGTCCATTTTTTGGGGTTGCTTGGTGTGAAAATGTATCATAGATAACAGAGGTAGTAATTTCAAACTAGTGTTTTTGCAGAGTTTGGAGGGCCAAGTACTGGATATCCTGAGTTGCATGCTATGCTGGCCGATTCTCTCCACCGAGTGTCCTGAGCATGTAATCCTCTTGTGGCCGTTTGGTTATAACGTTATATATTTCATTATCTGACTTTTTTTTATGTATGGCAGGACATGGTGAGAATATCACGGCATTTTGTTAGAGCAGAAGTTTGCATCTATGTTGATCTATTTTAATTCTCTTATCAATGATCTTGTCATGGACTTACTTGAGCACTACATTTCTAGCTGCAAGTGCCATGTTTCATTTGGTCTGCAACTTGCAAGTCATTCACTTTGAAGACTATGCGAAACTTTTAGACGGGGAGTCAGAAATCTCCCTTTTCATCTACGAGCACATACGTTTGCGCTATTACCTCTCCAAAATAAGCCATAGGTTCCGAATCTTACTGCTTCTACAGTTCCCGGTTGTTACAGTAAGCCAGTTTACTACGCTTTTCCAGACCACTGCGTACAGTGGGCGTATCACATACATAAATGGTGGTGATTTCGCGGTAAAATTCAACCTCTGCTTCTTCTTCTTGTTTTTCTTTACTGGTTATGTTCTTGTTTAGTGAGGTTGAAGCTTGGAACCATATGTTTACAGGTTTCGGCGGTAGTTCAAGTTGTTGGGATAATATTATGTCTGCACGCAGCAACGAAAATATATCACAGAGCTCAAGCGATAACATCAGTGGCAAGTAAATGGTGAGTCTCTTCGTTTCAACATTTCCTGAATTCTCTATTCGTTTGACGTTTTAGCGTTGAGAAACTTTTTTGCACTTAGAAGAAATCCAAGACTTGTTGAAGTTTTAGCGTTTGCAGGCTACTTTGCAGGGTTATCCTGTTGAAGATGACCATGCGATTGCACAAGCAGCTCTCATGTAAGTTTATGCTTTATAATTGGATCAAAATATACCATATTGTGAAGGGAATGGTATTGATTTTTCTTTATGTTTCTTCTTTTGCATTTTAGGTACTTATCTATGGGTAACATGAAAGATGCAAGTTTATGATGGATGAGATTAAGAGACAAAAAAAAAATCCCGAGCTTTCAGAGTCACACCTTATCCAATTTATCTCATATCTTCTGGAAACGTTAGTTGCCGTCTTAGATCTTTTTTTTTTTTTTTTAAGTCTTTTCTTGTCTTTAGTTGTTACCTAGAGAAAACTTTGATATCCGATACAGGATGCATTGCTTCTTTTCAATATGTTAAGAGTAAAATTTAAGTCCTGCATAGGTAGAGAACCATTGCTTAGCGAGGTAAATATGTTTTTTTTTGACGCTACTGCATATCTTCTTTTTTTTTTGTATTAATCTTATGTATTTCTAAATATGATTTCTTATTGCTCAATTGTGATTTTTTTGCAGCGCCTTGTGAATATTGGAGGAAATCGAGATAGAACATATCTAGAACACCACATCACATAAATCGGAAATAAAGATATGTATTCTATTCTTTATTTTTTTTATTTTTTTTATTTATATTAAATTTTAGATTAGTTTGAAATCGATTAGATTTATTTTAGTTGTGAAACTAACCGGACATAATATCCAGCTATTTGAATTCATTTGGTCGTTAGAGATTACTTATGTTCAATTTGTTTTCACAACTAATATAAATCAATCGGTTTTTTATTAGATAAAATAAATAATAATAATAGCATTACTAAATGAAACTTTGAATATAATCTAAACAAAAAATTTGGTGTTGTCTTTTTTTGTATTGTTTTAGGTTAAATTTTTTCTTACAAAATGAAACTCAAGAAGTCAAAGATGCCTACAGAAAAAAAAAAAACTTAAAAAGAAATATATGTTTTCTACTCTATTTTTTTAATTTTTTTACATTATAATTTGGATTAGTTTAAAATTGATTAGATTTGCTTTAGCTGTGAAACTAACCGGATATAGTATCCAGCTATTTGAATTCATTTGGTCGTTAGAGATTATTTATGTTCAATTTATTTTCACAACTAATATAGATCAATCGTTTTTTTATTAGGAAAAAAACATTAAATAAAATTTGAATACCTAATCATGGAAACTGATGCTGTTTTTTGTATTATTTCAGGTTAAAATTTTCTTCATAAAATGTGAAACTGGAGAGAGAAGATATGCCGAGAGAATTTTTTTTAAAAAAAGATATGTTTTTTATTATCTTTTTAATATTTATTTATATTAAAATTTAGATTAATTTAAATTTGATTAACTTTACATTAGTTGTGAAACTAATCGGGCATGATATCCAGCCATTTGAATTCATTTGGTCGTTAAAAATTGCCTATGTTTAATTTGTTTTTACAACTGATGTAAACCAATCGATTTTTTATTAAAAAAAAATTATAATAATAATAATAAGAAATTTGAATCTAAATGTTATTTTTTCTAATTGTTTCAGGTTAAAGATTTCTCAACAATCACGCCAAACATAGAAACAAAATTTACATCATTCTTTAGAATTTTGTAATTATATTTATTTATTTTAAAAGATATTATTTTATTATTTTTTTGTATTTATTCATATTAAATTTTGAATTAATTTAAAATCGATTAAATTTAGACATTGTAGTTGCATGTGTATCAAATTACTGCTAAATACTTAATATCTGATGTATGTTTATATCATATAGTCGATTAGAATTTACAGTGTGGTACAGACCGTACGTACAGTAAAATTAATTGTATAAATCATTGTAGAATAGTTTTCAGAATAATGCATGTACTGGCCAGTCGTACAAATGCCAAGACATTATATTATAAAAATCTTTCATTATATTATAAAAATCTTTCGACTTGTCTTTCGGATGATATAAAGAGAATGGAGCGATGTTTACTGAGTACTGACGATAAGAATCGAAGTAATAATGTATATATATATACATATCAATCTCATCGTCCTCTTCGTGACTCTCATCTTGTCAAATCAAAGCCCATTCCATGATCATCCTAAAATCACCATCATCATCCAACATGTGATGAGAATGAGCATGTTATTACAAAGTAACCTCAATACCGATTCTCTCTCGAATATGTTTGTTCTGTTTCTATTATTGCACGTCGTAAGTCGTGTAACCATGTTTGGTAAAAAAAAATTGGTTAATTGAGTAATACGAAAAAGTGATTAACATTAACTGCCGTTTCAAAATGTTTTCGATTGAAACCTTGATGTAGGGTAAGATCCTAGCACCGTCAATCATCTTATACTAAACCTGTCTTTAAATTATTAAAACAACCTTTTCAACAACAACGTTCTCAAGAAATCTAATATCTAATTTTATATGTTTAACAAAAACATTTACTCACATTATCCAAAATGTAACTAGTCTGATACCATTTAGACACTATCTCACCACAAAAGCACAACAAAGATTTAATGACATACGTAACGCAACAAATCTCATTTATTCTTATTAATTAGTATCTTCGTTTCCGACAACATGATAGTTTTTTTCTTTCATTCTAAAAGATAGGACCAGCAGCGAGAATCTCTTCCGTAAGTTTACCATCAACACCAATCTTATGATTAGCAAAAGTCTCGAAGTTCTTCTTGAACAAACCTCCCAGTTTCAACAGAGTTTCCTTGTGTGCTTTCTTATCAGACCACTGCATTTTCATAAAAATCAGCAAAAAAAGGGTTCATCATCATCATCATCACTCAACATTCTAGAAAGAGAGAGATTTTTGAAGAAACTAACCGAGTTAACCGGATCCAAGATCTCTGAAGGTATCCCTTCGATTTCAGTTGGGATTTCAAACCCAAAGATTTCGGTTTTCTTGAAGTTCGCCTTCAACAGGCTTCCCGAATGGATTGCATCAATGATCTTTCTAGTATATGCCAGCTTAATTCTGTTTCCAACACCATAGCTGCAAAACAAAAAGGATAAAAACGTTACATGACATGTTTATAACCTACAAACATCTAGAGGCTTCTATAACCGGACGTACCTGCCACCGGACCAACCGGTGTTCACGAGCCAGCCAGTAGCACCTTGCGTCTTCATCTTCTCAGCTAACATAGCTGCATACTTTGTAGGATGCAACATTATGAAAGCTGCACCAAAGCAAGCTGAGAATGTTGCTGTTGGCTCCTTGATGCCGTCCTCTGTGCCAGCAACCTATATATATATATATATGTTCACATCATTGGTTAAGGTTCTTGAAGGTCATGGAGACTGTTCCCAATAACAAAAAAATAAAAGACTTTTCTTGGGGACATACGAGAGCAGTGTAACCACTAATGAAGTGGTACATGGTTTGAGCCAGATTCAGCTTGCTCACAGGTGGGAGAACACCAAAGGCATCACAAGCCAGAAGTATCACGTTCTTCGGGTGTGGACCAACACAAGGTATCTTCGCGTTCGGAATGAACTCAATCGGGTATGCAGCACGTGTGTTCTCTGCAAAACAAGGAGAACCAACGATGATCAATCTGTGTTCATTGCAAGGAAGGAAGAGAAACGAAAGGTAAGAGTAAGAAGAAACAGCACTCGTTTTTACCTGTAACGGATTTATCAGAATAATCCACTTCTCTGGTGTGCTCATCAAACACAACATTTTCCAAAACTGCAACGAGATCAGAACCATATTGTTACAACACACATTTGATTTTTTTCCTTCTTCTAAAAAACAAATTTTGCATTATAGTATCTTTACCTGTTCCAAACTTGATGGCGTTCCAGATATCAGGCTCCTTCTCCCTTGAAAGATCAACGCACTTAGCATAGCATCCACCCTCAATGTTGGAAACACCAGTCTCGGTCCAACAATGCTCATCATCTCCAATCAGATACCTGTTGTGATCAGTAGAAAGCGTTGTCTTCCCGGTACCTGAGAAGAAATCGACATGCACAGGAAAAACAAACAAAAATCAATCTCAATTCATACGCTCATTACAACAAAGACGAAAGCAGTTTTTCAAGTTTGTCAATTCAAGTGTAATTATGTTGTTATCATTCTGACTTATCTTTCTCCCTTCATCATCACCAAAAACATCATGGTGTTTGGTGATGACGCTATACCTGAGAGTCCAAAGAAGAGAGCAACGTCTCCATCTTTTCCCATATTGCATCCAGAATGGAGCGAGAGGATGCGACGCTTAGGCATAAGGTAATGCATCACACTGAAGAGACCCTTCTTCATTTCCCCGGCATACTGAGTTCCGAGTATAACCATTTCCCTCCTAGCAAGGTTTAAGTCTACGCTAGTGGACGATGTCATGTAATGAGTGTAACGGTTACACGGAAACTGCCCGGCATTGTATATAGTGAAGTCCGGTGTACCGAAGCTCTCAAGCTCCTCCGGTGTTGGCCGGATACACCTGCCACCCTCACCAATTATCCATTTTGTGTTTTTCGTTGTTGCTAATTTTTCTTGTTTTTTACACCCAAACCCAAACACATACAAGGAGACTTATCTGGGAAGTGGTAGAGAGAAGCAATGATGGTTTTTACTTACATGTTGTGCATAAACAGTGAATGATAAGCTCTAGCTGAAACAATCCTGACTTTGATTCTGTTCTCCGGATCCCAGTTTAAGTACTGATCATTCACAAAGACCTAATACCCCCAAACAAAATCAGCAAAGTACTTAGATCCAAATTCTTAAAAGTTGAACACAATAAGAACACTGCTTCAAGTTTATACCTTTTCCAAGGAGTTCAAGTAATCAACCGCTCTTTCTCTGTTCACCATGAAGGTATGTTCATCCATTTCGATATTCGGCGAACCCCTAATTCAAAATCAAAACTTTAACATCAACAAACGAAAACAGAGAATGGATAAACCCGAAATTCAATCGACGATACGAGGCAAAACGAGATCGGATACTCACTTTCCCCACCAGAGCTCGTCCTCCGTCGTCGCATCTCTAACGACACGCTTATCTCTCGGAGCTCGACCAGTTTTAGCACCCGAAAGCGTCGCCAACGCTCCGTTGGAAGTGATAAACGAGCCTTTCTCATACTTGATAGCCTGCTCGTAGAGCTCTACAGCAAGAAATCGGAAATTAACTATCAATTCGCCGGAAAACCTCCGGTGAAGAGAAACATTAAATGAAATCGGATCTCACCTGCAGGAGAAAGGTTGTAGAGGACGTGGGTAAACTTCAAGGAGCTATCACTGACGGCGCCTAAGCCCGGAGAAAAGATAGAATGATGCTGGCCGTGTGAGTACGCCGGAGTAGTTGAACCGTCGGCCTTCTTCTCCGCCGGATCTCCTCTCACCACCTTCGGTCCGGATTCTCTCGTCAACGACGCCAATGATGCACTGTTTCCATCAAAATAAAATCAAATTTAATTCCACGTGTCGTTTTATGCCAGGTGTCATCTACATTAATATTTTTCCGGGTAATAGTAGTCCACTATGGCGCATTTAATTCTCTTTGAATTACTAATCTCAAATTTTCAAGTATGAGCTTCACGTTAGAAATTTTTAATTAATGAAAAAAAAAATGTAGCTAAAAGACAATTCTAAAAAAAAAAAAAAACTCCTGATATTGTTTTCTTTATTATGAGAACGATCGACACGAAAACGCAATATCATCCTTTAATACTTTTTTTGTGAAAAAACAGAACACATTTCAAGATTTTTGTTACGTCTAAATAATCTATAGTATGTGAATAAATACAAGTTGTAACGGACCTGATGGACTGAAGCTGAATCTTTTGGCGCTCCTCCTCGGAGACGGCGGCGAAAGCGGCGGCAGCGCTTTGGTTAATAGGTGTGGTCGGAGCAGAACGCTTCTTCTGCAACGAGTGAAGCTCATCGATCGTCGTCGCCTTCACCGTCGGACCACTGTCGTCGTGGCATATTCCGTTACCCCTCTTAGCTCCCGTCGTTATCTTCGGCATCGCTGGTCCTTTCGGGAAGCTAAATCCTCCGTCACCGTTAGCATTTCCGTTACCGCCCGACATCTTTTCCCGTTTCCTGCAACCACACAAATCAACTCCAAAATTATACTCATGATCGATTAATGAACTTACAGTGAAATTAAAATTAAAATCACCGTCGACGTTAGTTTTTACCGGAAGGAGAGAGATCACGAGCAAGAAGACTTTAGAAAGATGAAGAGGTTAATGATCGGAGGAGAAGCTCATTTAAAGTTTTATGGGAAAGGGAGCGAGAAAAATGATGCGAAGTGAGGAGAAGCGAAGGTGGGCTTTTTAAAGGTTAGATTTTTTAAACCATAGTTAGAATGTAACCGTGAGTGATGGTTAAGTGAGTTAACTATAGTTAAGATCTATCCTAGGAGGAGCCCATTATTTTTATTTTATGTTCTCTTCTTAACATCATAACCGATGGTCTGATAAAGATGACTATATCATTTATTATGGGTCCCACGAGATAATATTGAGAATTGTTTTTTGCTAAATCTGTAGATTTTTTTTGTAAAGAGTATTTATGTGATTTTTGTTTTAAAAAACGCGATAGCTCTGCTGCCCCCTACGGTTGATATTCACGTAGTTGGTAGTATGAATTATGAAATTCAACTTTATTTTGGAAACCCAACGATGAGATTTGACTTTATTTTTTACTAGATTGAATAAAATTCTTAAATATATATCTAAAAATAGTTCAGATGGAAAATAAATCATTAAGAAAAACAAATTAACGTGTAATAAGCAAGCAACTTGGGTTTTTTTTCAACTTGCATGCTTTATTTCTACAATAATCGGCCAGTTGCATATTGGTAAACGAATTTTACGATTTCTTAGTTTGCCTATATTTATACAGTTTTTGCTAGTGTCATTTATCAAGGTGTTTTACGATTTTAAAAGTTTAACAACACTATATGAAATAAATTTTATCATTATACGGTATTGTCGTTGTGTTTCTTTTCTTTTAGTTGTTATGTAATTTCATTTTCTATATAGTCTTTTTTTACCATTAGATCATTCGTTTATTCATCTTACCGTAACTTTTTTTGATTTTCTAATCAATATAAAAATTGAAACTAAAACTTTTTATTAACTTATATTGAATCCCAATTTTATATGTTAACGGTAAAATGATTATATAGTCAAATCATTTCGTGTGTTTAGGAAGATTTTCAATATTAATAGACATCACCTAAATTGAAAGAGGAGAACTAACCATTTTTTCCAAACAGTAAATCTATAGTTTCTGGTTTCATGCTCACTGTTGATATATATTATTATATAGATACTGTTGTAATTCGCTTGATCGTTTCGGGGAATATCGAAAACGATAGACACAGCCCACTCGATTGTATTTTAGGTAGGAGATGGGCACGCATCTCAAAGCAAGTAGATTCGTAAGAGGACACGCAAGGTTGAAAACACGTATATATATGAATTTATGTACGAATACTGTTGAACAAAAAAAAAATACGAATACTTAAATAGTATATGAACCCGGAAAATACTACAAGGAACGTTATAACGGGTTCGAGTATGATGATTGTCATTCACAATTACACTACCTTCGTCACGTGTCGTCTTGGAATTGTATCGTTTATGTTAACCACTTGATTATATAATCAATAATTTATCAGACATTATATAGTCCATATTTCTGAGCCCAAAAGGTGAAAGAGAATAATTTGTTTCAGGCACTGCAATTTGCATGCAAGCATGGGCGCAGGATAATGAGGACAAAATAATAAACAAACTGTAACATTATCAAAAAGCTGGGAGCAAGAACCTACGGTTTCGGACTTTTGTTTTATACTGTAATAATTGTGAAATGAAAAATGTGTATGTAATTGTGTAATATCAAGGATGCACTACGTATACGCAGTTACGCACTATGGCAATGTCACACGGGATTTGGGATTTTAATGACACGGATTTTTTTTATAACAATTCGTTACCTTTACCAAATTAAATCCCTCAGCTCCAGTTCAATCCTAATGTTAGGGTCTAAATTCGAGAAACAAAGAATTTTCTATTTACACACATACATGTTGTGATATACTGATTCAGGTGAAATTTGTGATCTTGATTTTCTAGGATTTATACTAGTTCAGTCTTGAAATTATGTATTTTTTTTGTTAAAAGTTAAAATTATGTTAATTGAATACCCTTTGTCAAAAAAAAGTTGAAATTATGTATAGATTAACGTAACTTGCGATTAATCGTATAAAGAAAAAAAATAATAGGTTTGAAAAAATGAAATTGATCATACCACCAATAATAGGCCGTATGGAAACTTGACCGAAAACTGATCCGAATTATTATTTTTTTAATACCTAAGAAATTAGTCCGATCCAACTTTAGTAGTTTGGACCCAACCAGTTGATGGAGCTTAATGACCACAGTCTCTCTATAGGTTTCCGAGTTTTGAAAAATCAAAAGGATTTAGAAAAAAGATAACAAAATTAAAGTCTTTCGTTGAAATTTAGCTTTCTATGAATAAGAGTTTTCGTGAAGAGTCTTTCTGGTGAAGAAAGAAAAGTCTTTCGCAGATGCATATATTATCGCGATGGAGAGAGATCACACAATTCATATCTCACGCAAGAGTCCCATGAAAATTTCATGACATTTTTTTGGGTTGTCGGTCTTGGCCGTGACCGATAAATAGATGTTCACATCAATGACATAAATTAAAATTATTTTTTTAAAAACAGTTTGAATCTTAGTTCCATGTTAACATGTTGAGAAAGCTATGTATTATTCTATCAACTTTTGAAAGAGTATAATTTTGGTCGTAAGTAAGTTTAGTAACTACGAGGGTACACAATAGTAATTCACATCAGTCTACTTCTAAATAATAATACCACATCAACGCTTTTAATATTTAGACCACACAATTAGTATGGACAAATCATAGTGGCTAGTAATATTTAAAAAGAGTTCAATAGTTGTTTTCGATCTTGTTCATTGAACATGTTCTTGAATCTTGAAATATACGTTTTTAATGGAACCCAACGCTGTAGGGAGTACTCATATGTATCTACTCTCAATTTCACTTTTGATTTTGGGTTCATTGGTTCTTTCTCATACTATTAATTGTGTAAACATTTCCATTACAGATTCCAATTTTTGTCTCGTTGTGGGGGAGGCTTGTTCACCCTTCCCTTTTTACCTTTTCTTGGATATCTCAATTTCACAGTTCAGAAAAAGAGTTTTCTACTGATGTCATAATTAAACACATTATTCGTTCTCATTTTTTATGAGTTGCTCGTATTTTTCAACTTAAAAATTAAGGAAAATTCATATGAAATTGATAATTACATAAGAATTTCTTTCTTTTTATAATTTTGTGACTTTAAACTCAAAATAATATAAAAACACCAACACTGTTCTAAAACAAAAACAAAAAAACAATATTATTATCTCAGCTGAGTCCCAATTCCCCAACATTGGGTTTCTCTCTTCGCTTTGAAAATAGCTAATGGGCCATTTAGTTCAAGAGACCCGTTTAGTTGGAATCGCATGATGTCATTTCAATCCAACGGCTGAGATTCATTCTATACCAACAAGGATAATCTGAAGGAGTGATGAGAATTAACGAAAGCAAAGAAATCTGGATTTTTACTCTTCTGCATCCGTCGAGAAAGCTAAACTGGGTTTTAGTTTGATCCACCAACTTGATCGATCCTTCTGATTTCGCTAAGGTAATCCAGAATCGTGCTACTTGAATACTCAATTCGGAGAAATCTGTCATCAATATCGGTAGTAATTAGCTTTTAGCGGGATAGGGTTTGCGCTTGAGTTTACAGCATCTTTGAATTTCTGTTTACTGATCGATCTGCTCGTCTTAATTATCGAATTAGGATAGATAATCGGCGTTTGGTGAGCTGATCGATCCGATCTAGGAGAAAAATGGGAGGAGCCGAGCATGGAGGAGAAGGTGGCGATTTCAGAGCCAAAGTTTGGAGTATGTCTGGTGGGCCTTACTGTAGGCCCAAGCATTGGCGTCGGAACACCGCCATTGCCATGTTTGGAGTTTTCCTTGTCTGCATTCCCATCGCCATGAAGTCTGCTGAGCTCGAGGTATTCTTCATCTCTTTGGTCCTTCGCGAAAAAAATATGTGTTGTTTGCGAGAAAATTTTGATTGGAAAAGAAGAACGAGAACAAGAGAATCACTTACTGAATTTTTTTCTCAATGGATAAAAGAGAATTGGTTGGAATTTGCTTTGCATTGTGTTCTTGCCTCTTTCGTATGTGTTACTCATTAGTAATAGATTTGATTTCTGCAGAAGTGCTGCAGATTTTGATGTTTCTGATCATATATATAGTCTGTGTGAATCCATTGCTTAGCAGTCAGCATATAAGAAACATTTAAATGTGTTTTCATGAATAGCTTCTCCATTGCCTATAACTCATTGGTCACCACAGTATTTTTGGGACTATATACATTGTTGAACATTCACCAAACTATTCGTGATGTTTGTCTCTGACCTGGTTTAGATCTGCAACCTTTGAATTTATCGAGGTCTAAAGTGTAGTTTAAAAGGCAAATGAGTGATGAGTTGCTTTGCTTCTATTCTTAAATGACTAATGTTTGATATTCCCTTGTTATATTGTGTGTATCTCTATGCTACTCTATGGTTTCCGCTTTCTTCTTTGATGATCACAATCTAATCAAAAGCCTTTGTCTTGATTTCATTTCAGCAAAGGCCACACATGCCGGTGCGCCCAATTCCTTCACAGATATGGTGCAAGAACTTTGGAACCAAGGACGATTACGAAAAGGAGCATTAAGTTTATTAAGCTTTTCAATTTTCACAGAACTGACCATGATAATAATATGTTTTTGCCTTGCCATGTTCAACACATGGAATATTCCTCTTTTAATTTTATTGTTTTAACGATATTCTTACTTCTAAAAAACGTTTTGCACGCTTTGTTTATCATGTCGTTCTCAAAATTTTGGGACTTAACATTTCAGAAAAAGACAAAACTAATTGAAAAATAAAGAACAAGGAAAATAACTTTATTACCATGGCAAACAATATCGGTGACCAACATTTGGGCCTCCTCTTTCCTTTTTAGTTAAAAAAAAAAGACCCAAATATTGAAGAGTCCCTAATCGTCTATCATCTGCTCCACACTAAAACAAAACACTCGACTCATCCAACGGCTGATGTTCGTTCTTCACCAATAACATTGCACCCGATCGTTTCTTGTAGGTCGTAAAGATAAAATAATCTGAGGGAGTGATGAGAAAAATAAGAACAACATCCGAAAAAAAACAATTAACCAAAATAAAGAAAATCACGAAATCTGGTTTTCCTCTTTTGCTCCTCCTCGTCGATAAGCGAAGGCGGTTCTTACTTTGATCCACGAACTTCTTCTTCCACCTCTCGATTTCAGGGTACGATTCCGCTTTTGTAAGTTGTGTTTTTAGTCTTTGATTCACCGATGATTTCTTTTCCGTTGTCGCGATGTTACTCGAATAGAGATTCCTGTTTCGAGAATCGTTAGTTAGAAATTGACGAAGATTTTTGATTTTTTCTGGAATCCTTTGTCTGATCTGTTTTTTTCCCGGAATCATTTGTATTCGATTTAAGAAATCTGCAAACTCGGTACTCTGTTTCAAAGCAATGGATTGATCGATCCTTTAGTATCGTGTTGGAATCAGGTTTTAGATTGGACTCGAATCATCTAGATACTTGCAGATCCGATTTTTGCAGTCTTAATGTTTTTCTCAATTTGCTGCTTACAAGAACTGCTTTATTTTGGTTGAGATTGATGATATTTTGTGTGGCTGAGATTAAGAACTTGACCTGGACGATTCCACTTTCTCAGGTACAATTTTCACTGACTGGTTATCTGAGAATGGAGCTAAAGAGCATTAAAGATGCGTTTGATCGTGTTGCAAACAAGCAGAAACTCTCGTATAGCAAAACACATGAGATTGTTCAGATGCTGACTCAAGAGATCGAGAAGGCGTTGAGCGTAATACAGGAGGAGGCACCTCCGTATCTTGACCACAGATCCATCGTCGCTGACGTGAAGAAAATGTTCATGGAGGTTGCTCCAGTCAATCAACTTGAAGCCGCTGAGAAAGAACTAAACGTGGCTCTGACCAAGTACCCGAAAGTCCTGGAGAAACAGCTGAATCCGGACATATCAAAGGCTTACAGAAACAATGTCGAGTTCGATACGCACGTGGTGAACCAGATAATCGCAAACTTCTTCTACCGTCAAGGGATGTTCGAGATCGGTGACTGTTTCGTTGCCGAAACTGGTGAATCTGAATGTTCCACAAGACAACCTTTCATGGAAATGTATCGGATACTAGAAGCCATGAAGGAGCGAAATCTCGAGCCGGCTCTTAGCTGGGCAGCCGCAAACTCAGAGAAACTGAAGCAAGCAAGGTCTGATCTCGAGTTGAGGCTTCGCAGCTTACACTTCCTGGAAATAGCTCAGGGCAAAAACTCCGAAGAAGCCATCATTTACGCGAGAAAACACATCTCCGTGTTTGCAGATAGCCTTCAAGAAACGCAGAAGCTCGTGTGTTCTCTCTTGTGGAGCGGAAAACTCGACACATCACCTTACTCCGAGTTTCTCTCCCCGGCTCTATGGGACAATGCAGTCAAAGAGCTAACCCGACAATACTGCAACCTACTCGGTGAATCATCTGAGAGCCCGTTGAGTATAACGATGACGGCCGGTACACAGACTTTGCCGGTACTGTTGAAATACATGAACGTGATGGCGAATAAGAAGCTTGATTGGCAGAGTATGGATCAACTTCCTGTCGCCGTGGAGCTATCCGAGGAGTTTCAGTTCCATTCGGTGTTCGTCTGTCCCGTCTCTAAGGAACAGTCGAGTGATGATAACCCTCCGATGATGATGTCATGTGGACACGTGCTTTGCAAGCAGACCATCAACAAAATGTCGAAGAATGGCTCCAAGTCGTCTTTCAAGTGTCCTTATTGCCCCACCGATGTAGACATCTCAAGGTGTAGGCAGTTGCACTTTTGAAAACGGAGCATCGTACTACTGGAATATTGGAACTAAGTTCTGGCCGGTGAATCTGTTTCAGAATGTAAACTGTGTTTTGTTTTGATGAAGGTTTTAAAAATGGGGTTTTTTTTTATTGTTTGTACAAAAGAATTATCAGGGAAGTTTTAGATAATCGGATATCCCGTAAGAACGTGTTTGTGTTGCCACTACTTGTTTGTTCATCTTTCTGAATATAGAAATTCTTTACATTTCCAAGGCTACTTTACATCCCGTAATAATAATTTCTTTTGTTGTTGTTTAAGCTATAAAACTATATTTGGATATGACATTTTTCGAATTGTATACGACATGTTTTTCACAATGGAAATTTATAAAGTTCAATGTATGCAAATGCAATTCACAATTTGATTTGAGTGGAGCACAACTATCTATCCAAATAAATGTACCAAAAACGACGAATCACTATGCAAAAAATTTCCTCTTCACTTTGACCGATTGACTAGAGTGCTATTGGTAGTTAATGGGGAACATAATTGTGAAATTATATAATGGGGAACACAATAGAGGCACAAAAAGTTGAATAAAAGTGAAAAGTTGAGACTATTATCTTTAACATTTATTCAATGTACCAAGTACATGAGACAAAAGCAACAACCTAACAAAAGAAATAATGTGTTACCACAAATTAATAAATATGTTATACTATATCCAAAACTAATCTGGATTATTTCCAGAATTTTTTAAATTTCCATTATGAATAACAGAATGTTGTATAATTCGAAACACGTCATATTCAAATATAGTTTTATAAATTGAACAACAACAAAATTGATCTTCATATTTTCTTTCATATACCCTTCCATTTTTTGTATATAAAAAAAAAGAAATAGAAACAGCAAACCAACAAAACAAAAAAGAAACTAGAATCTAGCATTTTCGAAGCCATGGAGATCACTCACTCTATTCATATGCTTCCTCATGATCGCAACTTTGGCCAACCTTTCAGCCGCTCTCCATGCTGAAGTTGGAGTAAGCGGCTCAGTCTTCTGAGCCACTGGCTCTAGGCTCTTCACCACCACATGTCTACCTCTCACACGGTTAAAATTTGCCAGCTCAGTGTCCAAAACACGTAAGCACGCATCACTGGAATTTAAGCCGTATTGCACCAACAAGACTCGAGCTGATGTCAGCATTCGCTCCGCTCCCGAGTAATCATTAGCATCCGTTAGCCGCCGAGATTCTGCCACGGCTCGTGTGCTGACGTGGAGGTTTCTGAGCCTCTCGATGCTCGTGTTAGATGATCTAACAGCAGTAAGACGTGGTATCAAAAGCGCTCGATCTTCTGAATTTCTTATTTCCTGAGTTGAAGGGTCCACGTGGCGAGATCGGACGGTCATAGTTCTCTGGGATCTACCAGACGAAGAAGATGCAAGTGATTTGAGTTCCACCAACACTTCTCTTTCTTCATCGCCGTACATGTCACCCAACCGAATCAATCCGGATCCAAGCCAAAGCGGTCGACCCGATAGTGAGTAAACCGACGTAATCTCTCCTTGACCCGACCCGGAAACCAATCCGAGTTGTAAAGTAAGATCCTGAACTGATAAACTCATCAAACCTTTAATGCTTTTCGCAAACGCTTCCTCCGGGTGAAGGTGATTACACGCGCCGAGATAAAAGGTGTGCGTTGGGATTTCTGAGTGACAGACGCGCGTGGACGAAATAAATTGGGCTTGATGGGCCGAGTTTCTATCACGGTCCGTTAAGACGAAGATGGTGGTGAACAGATTTTTCTGCCGGCGATCTTCGATCACTTTAGCCGCCTTCTTAACCGCATCGTTCACGCTCATTCCGTCGCCATCACCGGAGATATTGTCGACGATCCGACGAGCTATTCTTCTTCCTGTCGCCGTCATCCTCCGTAACGGCGTCAATCGCTTCGAACTCGATGAATACGAGACCATCGACAAACGATCCGTCTCTCGTAGAGACGAAATCACCAGTCTCATCGCTCGTCTAACGATTTCAGTCTTGCTTCCGCTAACGTCTAGGACAGTTACTATATCTACCGGAGACCTACGCGCCGTTGGCAACGGCGGCGATTTGATTTTCATCACCACTGAGTACGTCTCGAAACCTCTTCCAACCGCCACAATTGGCGCCTCCGAAGACAGCTTGACGTCCACGTGTCCCAAAACGGAATCCGTCAACAATTTCTTCGCCGTTAATGGTGACGGCGTGTTAACGAAAAAACCTTTGAAGTCGCCGTTATCATCTTCCTCCTCGTCGTAGTCGTTTTCATCTGATTCCAGTATGGTGTTGAAACCGGCAGGCGAGATTGGAGAGGAGATCAAAGGCTCGTCGTCGTCGTAGAGTCTTAAGGATTTGCTGTTCTTGGGTTCTCGGATCCTGGAATCGGATTCGGATCCGGATTTTGGGGATTTTTGAGTATCCGGCTCGTGGAGAGAAGAAGAAAGCGACAGAGGGAGAAGCGAGGTCTCTCTCCATGAGGCACCGCAAACAGGGCAGGCGGCGAGTAAATTCCGATCACCGGCGCGTGAAGCCACGCAAGGAAAATGAAAAATGTGCGAACACTCCGCCGTGAAAATCGCCGTTCCTCTCCCTGCTTTCGCGCTCTGTAAGCAAATTCCACATCTGCTGCTGCTACTCTGCTCAAAACACATACAGAAACAAACAATAAGCAAAAAAAAAGGCGAAATTTTGAATATTTTGAAAATCCGGTTCGATTCTTACTTTGCTGAAACAGAGTCTTGATTTGAGGAGAGAGAAACTGGCCGGAGATTTCGGTGACGAAGGGGTAGAAGAAGAAGATGAAACGCTGAGAAGAGAGAGAGGGCTTCTGTTTCTCCTTGGCGTAGTCGGCATCGGAGTTACGTCGCCGGGAGTTGTGCACTGAAGATTGGGACTAGCGGGAAGAGACAGTGAGGGAGTGGCCAGGGCCGTAGCAGCCCAACTCTGGCAACGAAGGGTAGAGCCAGCTGAATCGGGTCGGGTCTCAGACTTTGGAGTAGACGGGTTAGAGAAAAACCCGAATCTTGAAGTTGGTTTTTGCCGATCATCGTCTGTCTTTTTATGTTTGGAAGTCCAAAACGATCTTTTGAAACCACTCATCATCTTCAGCTTCCTTTGTCTTTTCCTAGTGAGTGAAACTTTTTGGTGAGAGGAAACGAAGATGTTTTGAGATTTAAATGTAAAAACAAAACGATGAAGATTGAAGACACTTAAGACAGAGAGTGGGGGAGAGATAGAGAACAGGAGAAAATGGTGGGGTTGAGTTTTTTTTTAAAAAGTTGCCTCCTTTTTTTTCTTTCATAATCAAAGTATAGTGAAGAGTGGATTATTGGGATTACCAAGATATTTTGTTTTTTCAAGAAAAATAGAAAAGAAAATGACCTTTTAAAAGCTGTTAATTTTGTTTTAAAGTTACTGCTTGGCTTTGTTCTTTCGTCTAACGTTCTTGGCTAAAGACTGAATCGAGTAGATTCGTCGGCATTTCCCGAGGATTAAATAAAAGAAGTCACCCTACGAGTCTACGAATCGTTGATGTAGTTTACTGTCATAAACTAATTTTACTAAGCAGTCAAATAAAAATTTCAGATATCTTCTACTACTACTACTACTTAACAAATTCTTTGTTTTGTTATTTACTTATGTGGAGGTAGTGAAAAACTTTTTTTAATTGTTTAATGTAAAGAATATGGTTGGAATTAAATGTGATCACTTAAAAGAAAACGAAGCATCATAAATGAACGAGAGTGAATGGAGAAGACGATGATCTTTATTCAGAGAGACGCCTAACCGTAGCAGCCTAATACTGAGTATGTGTGTACTCTCTAGTTGAAATTTGTTGGAGTGAGTCGGTCCATTTTTATCTTTTTTGATTCTCATTTTTTAAATGCCTTTTTTTTTATCACTTTTTTCCATTTCTTCTTACACATGTTTTATATCAGCTTTTTAACGTACAACATCGCATGCACTGATTCACACATATATGTTTTGGGATGCTTCACGTGTGTATATTGTCTAATGTGTAAAAGTTGAATTCAATGGTTCTGCTGGTTCATCTAACATTTAGGACATACTAACAAAAAAAAACACTGTTAGAACTTAGGGTTAAATTTATCTTTCTAATTATTGAAAGTGTAGAGTTATTAATTGTCGCACATTCCCTATGTTTCAGAAGATTTTGGTTGTTTCTTTCTGCACCATGTGCCGCACCGAAAACATATACCAAACTATGTTATTAAGACGTGACCATTTACGCGTGTAAATACGCCATATATATAATTTGATTATGAATACATGGTTTAAACTTTAAACACAACGAAAAAAAAATCTCTCATAAAGTATTATAATAAATACAGCCAAAATTACGTTTACATTTGTATCACCAATGACAGTTACTGTGGTATTCTAGGAGAGGATATTTTTCGCAAGATTAAAAAATGTTTTCTTTTGAAACAAATTTACATAACACGAAGCATTCTTTATGCAGTTTATATATATAGTCTTTTGTTAGTTTGTTGTCGTTGTTTATTGGAAGTAATTTGATAGGTATACACTAAAAAATTGGTATTAACATAAAAAGACAATGACCCAGCAGAACTACCGTCCAAAAACTTCAATTAGAACCAGTGGAAAACATAAAAGTATCAATTAAACTAACAAACATGTATAGTAATTTATCATAGCTCCAAGTTCCAACAAACCTATTGTACATGTAAGTTTAAATATATACGGACTAATCTCTTTCGACAAAAGGATGAATACTTTTGGAATAATAGACCATGAAAATTATGATAATCAGTTTATCACATACAGTATACTAATTAAACATCTTAATTAGCACATTAGTTGAATTTAACAAAATCTAAAGCGTCTAGGCGAGCCGCACCAGTGGCCAGAGCGGACATGTAAATAAATAACGTTTTCTTAACTTTAAACTCATTAGCTAATGTCGTAATTTTTGTTTGTGTGATATAGTAGGTTATTCTCGAGAAGTGTGTACCATTCGTCGTCTTATGGCGATTTTTTAAATAGCAAAATGGAGTGAATAGGTTACTTATTTGTTATGTTGGTCGAGAATTGAGATCAAACTCTACGGATATATATAGTATTGGCTAGTCTTTGACCCATTATTTTTGTGACACCTATTAATTATATTTTGATATTGACCAATTCAAAGTTTCAGCTTGTAAAATTTGATTCAAAACCCAATGCATTCGAGTATCTCATAGTATATATTACACTGTATTCTTGTTACCCTTGCGGTTCTTACTTTTCTTTTACTTCTTTAAAACAAGATAGACTCAAATCGTTCTAACTACATATCCACTAATTTTCTTGCTTTACGCAGTGGCTGAGAAATAGCTACTCAAAAGTTCACACACATGCCTGTATAGATTTTGGCGAGTATCATGCGGTTAAGTTTACACTAATGATCCAGATTTATCAAGACCCACAAGAACTCAAAGACAATTTAATTCGCTGTTGAAACGGACCACTTTGAGACTATGTTCTTGATAAACTTGATGACATAAACTTTGTGGCTAGGTTATATCTAAGATTTCAATCCTAATAAACAGCTTTTATAGATATTAAGAAAAAGAAGAAAAAAAAAATCAGTGGGGGTAGAGGAGCCGTGCGGCACGTGACATTCATGAGAAGGTGCAAGATACTAAATATGGGTTTATGGAGACGAAGACAATCCCTCCTATCGAGCATCGACGAAAACCTTCTACATGGACCAGTTACTTTCATAACTATATACTAATTTTTCATTAACTATAATTTTATTGCTCGGAATTTGAAACCTAAAAAGGGGCGTCCCTATTTAGACTATATATCTGTATGTTATTAAGTGTTAATTTTGCTTAGACCTCATGTCTCTTCATTCGAGAGGTAACAACAACTATAAGAATTCGAACGGTGACTTATAGTTATTTTATCAGCACACAATCGGGTTAGTTGTGCAATCAGTCATTATCCTTAATTTTAGTTTAATTCGATCGTGTCATTTTTCATTGACCAAAATTTCAATGAGATTTGTGAACCATTATGTAGAGAACAAGAATGATGAGTCGCGTGAGATTATAAAAATCAGATAATGCTCATTACGTATTTAATTAATGGATTTGACCAAACTAATCATCGCAACTTTTGATTTTTTACTAAAGAGACTTAACTTTCGTGAGTCTTACTACTTAGTACTAACTAGGATCAAGCAAAATCGTATACTTTATACAGAAAAAATAATAATTAATTTACATATCATATCCCAATGCGTAATTTATACATTAATGTAGGGTTACGCGTAATTAAACACTACACATGCAACGCAAGCAAAGAGCCCACAGGGGGGCATGCATGTTTGCCTCAATTTACTTCTTGGACATTTTATATTTTATGTATAATATGTTTGTTTTCCTTTTTAACAATTTCATCTTATATTTGTATTTTGAATATGCTAAGAATATATTGTAATCTCATAAAATGCTAGTAAATGAATACCGTATCAAACACATCTTAATCGTTCTCATACCTCGACTAAAACTGTAAATCGCTGTAGACTAAACCATTTAGCGTTATATATCTAATTGTGAGTTGAATCCTCCTCTCCTATTAACCAAAACTTAAATATTATATGCTTTCTTTAAATTCTCACAATTAGATAATTAAGTTCAAGATTTAGTGAACATCACTTAAAAAAAAACCCACCATATGTTGAGCCTACACATATAAATTCTACATAGAAGAATGTATATGTTACACGTACGAATTAAAGTATACTATATAATATTGGTTTATGTCGGTATGCTCAAGTTAAGAGAATGATTTGTGATGAATAAATGGAGCTTTGTTTGAATGTGTACGTATAATTAAATACTACTAATTTACTAAAAGCATAGCTTAAGTAAGGTTAAGAAAAGGTCTCGGGAGACATAGCATATCGTGGGTTGGACCGATATATTATGTTTAAAACAAAGTTGACAAAAAAAGATTAATGTTGTGTGGTCCGTTGTATTACCACTAACCGGACACCATGATACACAATAAGAGGTTATGCGCTCTATTTCCATTTTCTACGGGGAAATTCTTCTGACCAACCTCTTTCATACTATATATAAACTAACTTCACATTTATTATAATGACTTAGTAAAGTTTTTGTCTTCCGCATTTAGATTCAGTGTTATTTTCTTCTTCCAGGATGTGCTACGTCTTTTGTTCTCGCCACATTTGATGAAACCTTGTTGATGATTTTATTATGTTTAACAGAGTAGGATACAAAGTCAGAAGAAGCTAAAGAGCAGCGATCACGACTTAAGCGAAACCACAGCAGAACCGGATGTTAGAAATAGAATATGATGAACCATCAATCACCTAAACAGAATATGATAACCCATATATAGAACCTGATGTTACATCAGTTTTCTTACCTGATGTGTTTGTATCGATCTGTGAAGAAGTTCCAATAAACCAATGTGAAGAAGAGTTTGTCCTCCAACTTTCAAAACACAAAGGAAATTTGTATTACATGTGAGTGGGACCCAACAATCTTTTATTTCAATCTTCTAAAACTCGAACTTGGCAATTATGTAGGAAATATTGTCATGCACACGACAAATTTTCCACGTGAGGGTAAGTGGGTTACGGCATATGATTTTTGCGACAAATTCATTAAGAAGTTGTATTTTAATTATATGTTTTAATTTGTCTTTTTTTCCTCTTTTCTTTTTGTAACAGAAATGATGTTTACGATGGATTTAGAAGATGATCATTAAAACTGATGTAATTGTGTCGTTAATTTTGTTGTTGTTCATATATATATCTATAGAAAACAGCTTACACATTTTTTTATCATAACCCTAATTATTACTACCCCAAATTCATAGCTGAGCGTACCACCATTTACTTTTCGCAAGTTTGATCTACTCTTGCTCTAAAATCTTCATCGTGGATATGGAGAAAAATCAAGAACCCAAAGAAAGATCGAAGCAAAGTGACAGAAACTTAGGAAATGGTAAAAAAAAATCTAATTAAGAAATGGTTATTAATTTATTGTTGATGCGTGGGAAAGGGTTGAAATATCTTCCTAATCAATAATATCCACAAATAGCTTAAATATCACATCATCAAGTCAATATTAAGTTGCAATTTTATTAGCCATCGATGAAAAAGCTATAATTTTAGATTGATTAATTTAGTTTAAGTATTAAATTGTGTTTGAGCTATTATTGTTAAAAATATTTTGTACAAACATTGAACTACAAAATTTTGTGAGAAGAGGTGGAACCTCAGAGAAATGTGAATGTTTACTAGATGGACAGTTATTTTTTTGTGATCTGCAAGACGAAAAAAGAGTCAGATGTTCGAGACTTCCAAGACTTTTAGAGTAATGTTGTCACTCATTTTATCTGTTTTATCCCTTAATTATGTTTAGAATCTCACTAAATATGATTTACTCTTTACTTTAATCACTTTTAAGATGTGGTATGACTTGTGACATTAGAGTTCTAATACTAATAGGACTCAGTTTCATAGATGAATACGGAATATATTTGATTGATTGTCATTTTTATCTAATTTCTTTATTTTTTGCTTAATAGGGAGATAATTTGTATTGATTAAGAATTTGCAATAACAACTAGTCATGGAAGTTTCCATGATAGAAAAAATTAATCTGACAATGAACAAACTGTAACGTTGGATTGATTTCATGTTTTATTTGTTGTGAAGAAAGCTTTTTGAAAATGTATTTTATACTAGTAACGTTTTCACTAAAAAGTACAGTAGTATTTATGTTCTATAAGTATTTATAAATTTATATAGTATATATTATTTAAACCTGATTGAGTAATATCCTTTTTTCCCCTTACATCAAAATATTTGAATAAATTAATCATCTAAAAAGAGAAGCGAAATTAGCACGTGTGAGCTTAGACGCTCATAAAAAAATTTACACACGGCAAAGAGTATTTTACTTTAAGCGTAAATCATGCTTAAGTTTTCGACTTTTACTATTTTAGAAATCTTATCACGGTTTAAAACCGATGCTTAACCAACCCAAATTGAATATCCTCCCTCAAACCAGTTATAGCGAGAACCGGTTTGATAATGGATACACCAATTTTGTGTTTTCTTCTTCTAACCGGGTCCATAATTGACCCAAAACTAAGCATGCTACAAATTTAGGGCCACGATAGCTGTTAACGATAGACAATGCCAAACTAGGGACGATGTGATATAGAGGAGGCTCCTGTATTACGCTCAACGCCATCTCGATCTCATGTGTTTTGCTACAGGAGAGTTTCTGCTTGTTTGCAACACAACCAAACGCATCTATAATGCTCCATTATCAGATAATCCGTGAGTGAAATTGTACCTGAGGAATAGAGATTAGAGTGGAATCGTCCAGGTCAATTTTCTTAATCTCAGCCTATAAAATATCATCAATCTCGACACAATGAAACAAGACAGTTCTTGTAAGCAGCTAAGTTGAGGAAACAAGTATCTAAATGATTCAAATCCAATCTAAAACTTGATTCTAAGTACGATAGATACTAAAGGATCGATCAATCCCTTGCTTTAAAACAGAGGACCGAGTTTAAAGGTTTATTAAACTGAATACAAATGATTCCCGGAAAAACAGATCAGGCAAAGGATTTAAGAATATCCAAGAATAAATCAAGAAATGAGTCAACTTACAAGCATCGTAATGCACTGATTTGAATGCGGTGTTCAGTAACAACACTTTCAAACGCCCTGCACTCACTGCACTGAATTCATCGTAATTAAACATAGATGGAAAGGAAGATACAAAAAGAAAGAAACACAAGGTTCATAAACAGTTACACAAGTAAGAGTGATTCAGAGAGTGACAGAAGCAGCACACATAACCTTGTAGCGATCCGAGAAAGGATTAACGGTCATGACAGCGTTATCCCACTCGACATTGCCCCAAATCTCGCCTCCTCGTCTCTGCACGGAGATCTCTGCACACCGAATCTCAATGTCTGCACACCAAATATCATCAACGTCATGATCCCTCTTGTCCCAGAAGACCACAATGTTGCCACCAGAGTTGCTGAGCCTGGCCCCCGGAAGCAAATCTACGAGCTTTTCCTCTCTACCAAACCGGCTCTTTTGCGCCTCCCACAGAGCCTCAGTCTTGCTATCAACGTGGACCAGTCTGGAGGTAGCGAGACTCTCCTTCAGAGAGCCCAAACCCTTCACCTCCCTCCAATACTTCCCCTCTGGTTCACCCTCCAACCGGTCTGGCTCACACCAACACAAATTCCCCTTGCGATCACAAGCGTACATCACTTTATCAATGACACACCAATCCCTTTCGTTTCCCTGCGGCGTAATCGTATTCCCTCTTCCCCATTTCTCTTCCTTGGGCGAGTAGTAAAAGGTTCTATCCATTCCATCCACTGCGTAAAGCTTTTCCTCCTTCACCACCACACTGTCGTGTATACACCGACACCGCATATTCCGATCCGGCGGTGGCGGCACAGAATCCCAAGTTTGGGTCTTCGGGTCGAATACCTCTGCCCACTTCGAGCAATCTCGGGACAAGCAGCCTCCGAACACGTAAATCTTCCCGTCTACGACTCCGGCCGCAGCGGAAGCTCGGGCCACTCCCATGGAAGGTGCTCGGCTCCAAGTGTGAGTCCGACAATCCAAGAGCAAGACATCGCGAGAACGGGCCTTCCCTTTTCTGCATCCACCAATTACATAGATCCCCCATTCCAGCGCCACCACGGAGAATTCTTCCGTAGGCTGAGAGGGGGACGAAGGGATCGGGATTCTTTGGAGCCGATTCACAGTTTTTTCGCGGCGGAGGATGAACCACCGTGGGGTTGGGTCGGGAGGGGTGAGCAAGCACACATAGAGGCAATTCTCGGTGCAGCCCAATACCGATCTCGTCCTGTAGAGCTCAGGCGAAGCCACCACTGAGCGATAGCTCTTGGAGACCAGAGACAAGGCCGCCTGATCCGTTCTCGGCACTCGAGCCAGGCAGCTCATAGCCATCTCATCTGGCAGCGAAGATAGCGGAGACCACGATGACGGCGACGGAGACGGCTTCTTCTTCTTATGCGGCGGCTCTTCGACGGCGGCTGAATTCGACATCGCGGCACTCAAAGGTTTTATTTTTTTATCTTTCGGTGGTTTCTCAGAGACACGAAGAGAGAGAGCTCTGTTTCTATATATCTTCTTATTTTATAGGGAAAAGTCAACAATATATATTTCCATTCTTCCAAACAAAAAAGGAAAAACAAAAGAGAAAAAATCTTGAAGAAATAATTAATTAAAAATATGATGTTCAAAAAGGAAAAATGAAAAGATAAAATCTTGAAGAAATAATTAATTAAAAATATTATGTTCAAAAAGGAAAAAATGAAATATCCAATATTTTTATGAAGAGAAAACATATCTTAAAAAAAGGTATAGAACAATAGTAAATAATTGAAAAATTGTTAGCACCATCAAACAGAGTCATCAAAATTTGTTAGCACAATCAAAGATAATGGAATTATAGGAGTTTATATATTATGTAGGTGAATAGTTAGCATATGGTTGTTGTGTACAAAGATAATTTATCATCTAAATCTACTTTTATTTATATAAATATTAAAAAGGTGTAAAACTAGGAGTTTTCTTTTCCCAATTTTATAATTTGAAAAGATCTGAAAATGACATACCAAATCCATCACAAATAAACATGTTAATAAGGTGAAATTAAAAGTTCTCTTTTTCCAATTTTTTGTTAGGTTTAGTAAATCTATTACAGATTAAAAATAAAATTTATGATCAAGTTTATATTAGAGAAATCTGAACTATTTTATTAGTTTGGAGCCAATAACAATATATTAATGGACAATTTTGATTCTCAGTTGCATCTGGTTGTCCACGGCTGCTGTGGAAAAAACCTTCAATTTCGCTTCAATGCGGTTCACTACATTCCAACATCGGGATGGTAAACGATTTCGTTATATCTTTGAAGTTATTATGAACCGTTGTATTGATCTTTCGATTTAACCTAAAGATGATTTTAGCCTCCAAAAATGGACCTACAAAAGTCAACAATATTTTAGCCTCCAATCTCTTCTTTTCATCTATCACTCACCATTTGTTTCTAATTTCATCAAATTGTTGTTCATCATAAACAGAGACTCTTTCTCGCTTCTTTTCTTCGATCATCATAAAAATTCTCTCAACTTACAAAATCATTTGCATTTTATATCGTTTGCCAAAATTAAGTTGGTTTGAGTTGTTTAGTTTAAGTATTAAGTTGTGTTTAAGTTATCATAGTTAATATACTTTGTATAAGAACTGAACTACACAATTTTAGGTAAGGTCTGAATTATTGTTCCAAACAATTTTGAACTTAAGAAAAATTTATGCTATATGTATTTGTAATTAGAATGACGATATAGTAAAAAAAATCAACAATAGTTTTAAAAATGAAATTGTCTTGGGCCAGATAGTTGCTTAATTTTTTTGTAAGATTCATTTGCTTTTCGATACTTCTAACTTTGGAAAACTCAAATCTTTAATATCTGGTTTTCTAAAACAGCCAAGACCATCTATTTATGGTTGATTTCAGTGTTATTTTATTTTGCTCAAAATCGATATGAACCTTGGTATGGATAAGAAGCTTGGTGTTGGTGAGGATAAGAAGTTTGGTGTTGGTGTGGATAAGACGCTTGATGAGGATAAGAAGCTTGGTGTTGATGGTGATGAGAAGTTGATTTCAATGGTATTTTATTCTGCTCAAAATCGATATTGGATAACTTCTTTAGCATTATTAAACATGGAGTATATATATAAGAAAACAATGTTTAGAAAACTTACTAAGTATTTTTCTTAAAAAAATCTAATTTTTCCAATTTAATTTCCCTTAAAAGAAAATCTAAACTCTTTTAGTTTTGGAATACTTAAATCCTTAATATCTGCCTTTTAGTTTTGGAAAACTTAAATCCTTAATATCTGATAATCTAAAACAGCCATGGGGATCTATTTATTTCAATGTCGTTTTATTCTACTCAAGATCGATATAAATACATGGAAGGATATATATATATGTATAGTTTCACAACTTACAATAAAAACATACTTAACAACATCTCTCATTAGTTTTAGGGTTCCTTAGTTTTATTATATTTTTAGACCATCTATTAACATTACATAGATATAACTCTATATCGCTCTTCCTTATTTGAATAATAATCAAGCTGTAACGTCGTTTAGAGCTTCTGCTGCCGCTACAACTGATGTAGCATTTTCATCAGCATTACTCTTCATCATATTACCACATCCTCCACCACAGTTACCGCAGCCAGTGGATCCCCCAGTGCAGGCGCCACCACCGCAACCTCTGATCTTCGTCATTCCACCACATCTTCCACCGCCTCCACCGCACCCTCCGCCACCTCCACCGCCACATCCCCCTCCACATCCACCACAACCGCCACAACCACCACAACGACCACCTTCTTCTTCACCCATGTTACCACAAACAGTACCGCAGCCGCCGCTAGCGTTTAGCTCTTTCGACATGCACCTAGAACCTCCATTGATCTTACCGGCCGCTACCACAATCGGAGTAGCCGTGTCCGTATTCATCATTGTTTCTTCTTCTAGCTTCACTTGAGTGAAAACTTCAATCTCCTTGCTTTCCTCTGTTATGCGGTTAGCTTTCTCTGTTTCATTTGCGGCTGCACAAAAGCCTCCCTTCTTAAAAAGATCATTGAGTATGAAAGCCGATACTATTCCAGGCAAAACCAACCATTTCTCATTTGCCTGCATGCGTATCGAAATAAACCCAAAAGTTAGAAGTAAACAAAATGGTGAATTTTTGAGTTTTAAAGAGTTGCAAATTTTACCTCAACGGAACCAAATTTCAAGTCGAGCAACCCCACAGCTTTGCCATAAGGATGTTGCTTTGAGAATTCAACAGCAGTCATGAAATCTTGCTCGCTTCTTAGCTTTGCGCAGTGTTTTGGCTCATACTCCAGCTTTCTTCCGGAGTAAACTTTCACCATTCGAGTACCCGAAAGCTCAAACAGAGGACCATCTGTGTCAGGATCGCTTGTTGTCTGCTTAAGTGACCATTTCGAGTCAAGCAAAGACCAGAAGCTCACATCATACTCTGCTAGAACAAGAGTTTCACCACTCTCTTTCACACCAATGACTTGTCTTGCATCACCTTTCGGTGCTGCGTCGTTGGAGTTCCTCATTTGGAGACTGATCACCTCTGTTTCGGTATCATCAACAACGCGTGTAAAAGCCTTAGCAAGACGGGCCTTTCCGATCAGAGGAAAGAAACAAGAGTCTTTCAGTGAAGGTCTTGACTGAACCAAATGTAGAACAGTCGGACTTGGAGTTGGCGGGGTGAAGGAGACAGCGACTCGCAGAGAGATGGGATTCGGATCATCCACTTTTCCTCTTTTGACCGGTGTTAACTGTAGCCACTTCTCAACGGAGAGTTTAGTCACTGGAAACAGAAACTCCGAAAGAGATAAATAAGTGAAACCTAAGCTTTTAGACTTGGAAGACATTAGTTGAAAACTAAGCTCCCCTGTAGGTTCACACTGGAACAAAGCAACTTGCTTTTCCCCACGAGACTCGGATAAAACCGTAACCTTACGCTCAGAGTTAAACAGAGAATCAGGTTGGGTTTTGCTGAACACAACAAAGACTTTTCCTTTGTGAGCGTCTGGTAAGTTCTTAACCCCAACAATCTCCAAGATGACCTCAGTGACTTTCACCTCTGGAGATTTGATTACATTCTGAATCTCCTCCTCTTTCGCAGATAACTTCTTTCCCAAGAAAACACAAGGAGAGGTTGTGACTGGCGTTGGGGTATTACCTCGGTTCATAGCACCGGCTTTCCAATACCTTCGACCAAATGTTTCTTCCCACTGAGCAGTAGTTCCAGAGAAACCAGTGTCAAGCTTCTTACCTTTGCTTCGGTCAGAGTCTGTGTCATCATGCTCCAGAACCTTACCGATCATCTTTGTCAAATCGTTGCAGTAAGAGAGAGCGTGAAGCTGGTGTGTGTGCCAGATAAGATCAATATCGTAAGTAGGAACACAGAAAAGCTTAATGGACCTTTCTCGATTTCTCTTGATCAAGTAGAGAAACGCTTTGTATCTAGCCACAGCTTCTTGCAAGAAGACGTCATTGTCTACATGAGCTCTTGAAACCTGCAGCAAAAAAAAGAGACACAAACAAAGCCGATTAGTGAAAACATTGAAAATGCAGAGGTTTGGGAAATGATTTTTCTTTTTTACCTGGTAGTAAAACGGGCTTTGTCTCTTCACAGCTGAGACAAGATCATAAGTGGTGGTGCATTTTTCAAGAACTGAGATATCCTCTGGCTCTGAGATTTCTTGACCCAAATCAAGGTCATAAGGCTCCATAGGATACAATCTTTTCCATAGATTTTCAGTTTGTAACTTGCAGCTTCCATTTACGGAAGATAAAACGCAAGAATTATCGAGGACTCTCCCATAGAACTCCTCACAATCAGTCTTGTACCTCACCTGAAACGATCAACAAACATTGTGAGCTTGTATATCCAAACAAAGAACTGAACCGGGTTTTGAGATATTGATTTAGATTTACCGGATTAAGCCTGTGGCAATGCCAAACCCATTCACAGTCAAGAGGAGGGACTAGTGGTCCTTCGCAGATGGAAGAAGACGCAGTATATTTAGCAAGCATAGGAAGCCAGTAAGCATTGTATCTGTAAAAGAAAGAAACAAACAAAAAAAATTACTCAAATAAACAAAGAACCTTAATATATTAGATTCGTATGTCTAATAATGGATATAAGGAAATCTCCACCTTATGAAATTAAGTCCAGATCATGTATATGATACAAAGAAACCGATTTGAGTGATTTTGTATACCTGTAGATGGCTCTTTGGAGCGCATGGCCTTCGTAGAGCCAACGGTTCCGATCAACGGCTCCGAGGAACTTGAGTTGTTTCTTGGCTGCAGCAAATAGGTCGACGCTTATCTCTGTCTTCTGGGCTTCAAGCCACTCCAGTTTTTGCTTCATTTCTTTCTCCATCTCTTACAAAGTTTGGGAAATTTTACCTGCAAAAATATGATCATATATTGATAAGATTTTGACCCTTGAAAACAGAATGCCAAAGTTTTGACCTTTTTTTTATCTACTTATCTTTCAAGAACACGCATTTGACTAAGTATGAATAAAGAAGAATCAAACTATATACCAAAGGGGAACTTCTTTTATGATGCTGACTTGAGAGAGACGACTTCAAATGTTATGAGGCTATTTATAGCGGTTTCTTGTATACGAAGAAATCACAAAAACGTCACTCTCCCTTTTCAAATTACGATAGTACCCCTAAGACCGGGAATAAAATCAAATTCCTCCGTATTAGGATTTCTTCTGTAATTTCCAACTGTTATTATTTTATTTTAATTTGAGAAAGTTCGAATATTTTGTATTAACAAGTTATTATCGACTCAAATAAATTATAGTTATCAAAATAATAAAGATATACAAAAGGTCGAATTTACGTGAGAAGATAAGATCGTCGGCCTTGGAGGAACAAAGAAAGCATGTCCATAATTTGCTGACATTTTACGCCTTTTTTTCATTTCAGTTTATCGCCAAAGTTTTAAGAGTTCCACAAGCAATTGAATTTGAGCCTTGAAAAACGACAACGCCTACAACATGACCAAGACGTTTTCTTTCAATTTCTCTTTGCATTTCAGAAGACAATAATAAAGTATTTAAAAATCAATTGCATCATATAAATATTTGAGAAATTCCACACATTTTCCTAGAAATTTGTTATACAATGTTCAGTTCTTCATCCATCGGATAGGAAAATTTACTCTAATTGGAAAAAGGTGCGCGCACGAACGAACGACCTTAACCGGTCAAGATAAATAACCGTAAATTTAATGCAAGAACGAATAACCTTTTACCATGTAAACTTATTTTGTGAAAAACCAGAAATCGGTTTATACCGGTTAACGACCGACCTCACTTCCTTGAACCGCTCGCCTCTTCGAATTCAGCTTCAGGAGTCTGCTCAGTCCCACTTGAGCCCTCACCAGAGCTCCCAGATGAACCAGACGATCCGGATCCCTTAGACATGTGTTCTCCAATCTTGGACACTGCCTTGTTCGCTGCTTCAAGCTTAGCCTTGATGTCCTCGATCTCTTCGCCAGCCATTGCTGTCCTGAGGTCAGACACTGCAGTTTCGATCTCAGAGGCAATCTCTGCAGGAATCTTCTCTCTGTATTCACTCAGGCTCTTCTCAACACTGTAGATTGTGGTATCAGCGGTGTTCCTAAGGTCGATAAGTTGCTTCCTCTCTTGATCCTTTTGTGAGTTTAGCTCAGCTTCTTTCACCATTCTGTTGATCTCATCGTCTGAGAGACCGCCTGAAGATCTGATTGTGATCTGTTGCTCTTTCGCTGTTGCTTTGTCTTTGGCAGAGACGGTCACGATACCATTTGCGTCAATGTCGAACGTAACTTCGATCTGTGGCATTCCCCTAGGCGCAGGTGGGATCCCAACGAGATCAAATTCTCCGAGCATTTTGTTGTCAGAAGCCATCTCACGCTCTCCCTGAAGAACTTTGATTCCCACTTGCATCTGGTTATCCGCGGCTGTGGAGAAAACCTATGACGCAAAAACCATAATTAACAATCAAAGAGTTTAAAGGATACAATATGGAACTGTGAATATATTTTCAAGATTCATCAGTACCTGAGACTTCTTTGTGGGAATGGTGGTGTTTCGGTTGATCAAACGAGTGAAGATCCCACCAAGTGTTTCGATACCGAGCGAGAGAGGAGTCACATCCAAAAGAAGCAACTCTTTAACATCACCACGGAGGATACCACCTTGAATAGCAGCTCCCATGGCAACCGCTTCGTCAGGGTTAACACCTTTACAAGGACTCTTTCCAAATATCTCAGAGACGATCTCTTGCACCTTGGGAACACGGGTCATCCCACCAACAAGAAGAACCTCATCGACTTCCTTAACCGTGATTCCGGCGTCCTTCAGACAGTTTTGGCACGGGCATCTTGTTCTCTCAATCAACTTGCTGACCAAACCTTCAAACTTGGACCTAGTTAAGGTTATGTTCAAATGCTTCGCTCCAGAGGCATCTGCGGTAATGAAAGGCAGGTTGATTTCCGTCTGAGATGTCGAAGAAAGCTCGATCTTGGCCTTCTCTGCAGCTTCTCTCAGCCTCTGTAGGGCGAGCTTGTCCTTAGTCAGATCAATATTATCAGATCTTCTGAACTCATCAACCAAATACTCCAACAAAGTGTTGTCAAAGTCCTCTCCTCCCAAAAAGGTATCTCCATTAGTTGCTTTAACCTGATAAGAGAAAACAGTTAGATAACCACAAATGAAAAAGAGCAAATCAAAGAAAGAACAAAAAAAGAAGACGAAACAAGGCAATACCTCAAAAACACCACTTGAGATTTCCAAGATAGAAACATCAAAGGTTCCACCTCCAAGATCGAACACAGCTATAACACCCTCCTTGTTGTTCATTCCGTATGACAACGCAGCAGCGGTAGGTTCGTTGATGATCCTCTGGACATCAAGACCGGCGATTTTCCCGGCATCCTTTGTGGCTTGTCTCTGCGCATCATTGAAATAAGCTGGAACAGTAACGACAGCTTTGGTGATGGTTTTCCCGAGGTAAGCTTCAGCGGTTTCCTTCATTTTGGTGAGGACATTAGCTCCGATCTGGCTGGGAGAAAACTTCTGTCCGTTTGCTTCGACCCAGGCATCACCATTTGGTGCCTTGACAATCTTGTAAGGAACCATTTTCATCTCCTTCTGCGTCTGCGGATCCTCAAAACGTCTCCCAATCAAACGCTTGCTCCCGAAAATAGTGTTTGCTGGATTCGTCACGGCCTGACGTTTAGCCGGTGTTCCAACAAGAAGCTCACCCTTCTGGTTAATAGCAACCACTGATGGTGTGGTTCGAGCTCCTTCCGCATTCTCAATAACCTTAGGGGTCTATGAAAACGAGATCAAAGTCAATAACTTTCGAATTCGGTTCTTCAATAAATTGATAACGGGATTGAATTAAAAAAAAACGGATTTTTACCTTTCCTTCCATAACTGATACACAAGAATTGGTGGTACCCAAATCAATACCAATAACATCATTTCCCACAGGCCTCGAACTACCATTTACAGAACAACATACAGTGAGAGAGGATTAATAAAAAACACTCGAAGGGAGATACTTGTAGAAGATTAACCATAAAGTGAGAGGTTGAAGTTACCAGAAAGGCCTCGCCAAGTGACTCAATTTCCCAATCAAAGACGTATTTCCATTCGCAGAAATCTGGAGATTAAATACCAACAGTGTAAGCTAGCTTCAACTCATATTTGAAGCATTAAAAAGTATCTCAGTAAATGGTTACTAAGTCAAGAAATCTAAAATCAACGAAGATCAAAGGAAGTCCCTTCCCAGAAGAATCAGAAACAAGTGAAAAATTTAGATCGGAAACCCTCACAAATCGATTCTAGTACAACATAAAAAAACCCAGATTCAATCCATCGAATAATTGTCGAACCCTAATCAATTTCGGACTGGTATTATCGATTGCAGATCCAGAAAACCCAGACGTGATTTCTCAAGCAAAAATTAAGATCAGGGGGAGATACATACGGATTTAAACGCAGAGACGGAAGCCGTCTGGAGCTCACGGCGGCGAAGAGACCGTAGAAGCGCGACGGAGGCCATTTTGGTAGGAGAGAGTCGGTGGAGGAAGGGTTTATGCTCCGAGATAGGACAGATATGTCTGGCTGCGCGTAGGGTTTAAGGGCTTTATATGAAAAAATTCGTGGGCTACAAGTCAGTCATTTTGACTTTTCTCTAGTACTAATCTGGGCCCTCCATGGGCCTATTGATATCGTAGCCCAGCCCAAAATTAAGGGATCTTTTCGAAAATATTAATTTATAAAAAAGACCTCATATTTGGTCGTAACTGTAGATATAGCGGTGAATTCTACAAAATTACTCTCTCCCCCCCTAGTAAAATAGGTCCTAAAGCTTTCTAACAGAAACAGAGTGTGTTCATAGATTTCAGTTCAAAAAATCTTCAACAGAAGTAGTATCGTCTTCCTTCTTGGGATTTTCATCAGCCACGAGCGTTTTCTTGTCTAAATACTCCTCTTCGATGGTGTCTTTGAGGACGAATAGCCGCTGAATAACGATAGGTTGGCTCATCTGTTTAGCTTCTCTAATGTCAGTTTCTTCCTTGTTGAGATGGTAAGCATCAAGCATTATCTTTATCCACTTATGCAGCTCCTTAGGCGTCCTGCGTGTTCATAAAAACTTTGTTAGAATCAGAGGTTGTGATTAAAGATGAAACAGAGAAGTTTTAACTCACGTGTATAAAGCTTTAGGGTCCTTGGCTACGTGGTCATCGCCAGGAGAGAATGCTGTTGCCAGAGCAGAGAATCGTTCTTCCGGGTCTGTTATGTTGAGCAAGTACTTAAGGAGTTTGATTTCTTTCGGCGTGATGCTTCTAAGACTGCTCTTTGTAGCTTTGTATAACTGATACATTACGTCTTTGGCCTGTTCAAACGATAAAAAGCTTGATCCGTGAAAACGCTGTGATGTGAGAAGATTGTAAAGATCAGAGCTTTTTGTTTTATGTGATATGTTTACCTCGTTTGTAACGGTTTGAGATTCTTTAGCAGCAGCATAAGCAGAGTTTATCAATAAGATCAATGAGGAATCTAGCTCCTTCGCCTTTGCGAGGCTTCTTATCTTGTCACAAGCGATATCCACGGAAGAAGAGTTTAAAATATCATCAAACTTTGCTTGAGCAGCATCTAAAGTCTCTACACTCTCCAATGTATTGTCGTAAGCACTCACAGCAGATAAACATCTAGCGGAAAGCCTCGCAACACCTGCTCAAAAAAGGAACGAAACAGTCATGGAAACTGTGGAAAATCAATGTAAGCAACAGGATTAGTGTTTTAAGTACCATCTCTGTCTTCTAAGCCATCAAGAGTTTCTGACAACAAAGCGACATAGCTGAAAAACTCTGCCGTGAAGTCTCTGCGTCTCTTGGCAGCGACTGCGTTTATGTCTGTTGGGTTGTCTTGAACCTCCTTCAAAAGGTCATTGTGCTTCTCCATATCCTTATCTATCTGCAATAATGCTCTCACTCTTAAGTACAAAAACTCTTGTAAACCACATAAACCAAGACTCATACTAACACTAACAATACCTTCTTTACTTTACTCTCAAGAGAAATCAGCTTCTGCTTCAATATGGGATCAGTTTCAGTATCAGCTCGGATTCTGCAACGCTTGTAGAAGTTTACACTGTACTTGTTCCATTCATCTCTCAAAACCAGATACTTCTTCCACTGTTTAACTTTAGGTTTCTCATTCAAGAAAAGATCAATGATCTTGTCACAGAATTGAGCCATAGTATAGCCTTCAGCGACCTCAACTTCCATAGGATCCTCAACAGAACATCTTACTTCCGTACCTAAAACAACATATTTATGTTCATCATTATCAAAACTTTCTGTAATTAACACTAAATCAGAATCTATGAAAAGCAATCTCTTTTGTTTCAAAAACTCTGAAAACAAAAATTTCAGCAAGTCTTTGCAGATTTGGCTTTCTCTACGAAACTCCTTAGCCAAATAGCAACCAATAATTCGAATTGAATCCTAAAGGAAAGGAATTTCTTGGTGATGAATTTAGGGTTTATAAGCTTACTGGTAGTGCTACTGTAAGTGGCAGTGTCAGTAGCAAAGGTAATACTTGAGCTTTTGCGTCTCCTTCGTCCTCCATTGATGAAAGCAGGAAAAGGGAGAAGACGGGTTTGAGAATTATTGGGCGGGAAAGACAGTAACTTATCAGCCGAGGAGAAGAAGATTGATGTTTCCAGTAAATTCGCCATTTTTTCTCCCCAGTTCCCACCTGAAAGACTTTGTTCGTCTTGGTGACGAAACGACGAGAAATGCCAGAGGATAAGAAGAACAGGGTTATCTTTGTAAGTAATTAAGAAATTATGACAAATCCGAGAATTTATAATTTAGAGAATTAAAACTTTTGGGGCCAAAACTGAAAAAACTAAAAACATGTGCATCATTTTGAAAATGTTAATAGAGTACAGAACACCACACAACGAAACCAGAGAAAATTCATCAATTCATGGTCTAATGGACTTTTTGAGTTTGGTTATTTTTTTTTATAAATATTGAAATAGTGAAATTGTTGGAGATGAATTGTTTCACAAAATTATATGAGTTTGGTAGCACTGTAAAATAATGCTACAGCTCTGCGGATTACTAACAATATGTACACATGTTACTTGTAACAGGAGAAATTGCAAAAGCATTTGCATTCCATAAACCCACATATCATATATTTAAGATAGATTGTACATAATCTTTTAGTGTAGAGTTTGTTTCACTATGCCTACTCTTGAGGCTGACCATCTCCACCACCATCAATGTTGCTGGTGTTGAATTGAACACGAGGCTTGCCCATACTGAAATTAAGAACTCTTGCATCCATATTGTATTGTATCTCTCCATCAAACAACATCTTCCTTATGTAATGTTCTACGTCCGATCCTATCAATCTCAGTGTATACTCTGTTAATGGTGCTCCCTGTCCACAAAAATAAATGATCTCTAATTTTCTTGGTCACAAAAAGAAATCATATTCAACTGATCAGTTTAGTAGTATTACCTCGTAGTGATCAACAAGTTCTTGGAAATAAGAATAGACCTTGTTGCAGCTTTGATCATCCCACACAAACTCTTCAGTGGGATCAAGAATCAAAGTGAGTTTATCCAGCTGCGTCTGGTCAAACTCACAAGTCTCTGGATCGATATAAGCAGCGTATATCCTGACGTGACGTGTCACACTGCTCAGCCACTCACCACCAAACTCTCTGGGCAAGCCCGTGCTTTTCACATTCGACTGTTTCTCCACTGGTCTCAATGGCGTTGGCTGCTTCTCCATCTTCTTCTCTGTTGATTTCTCTTCTTTGATTGTCTCTGTTTCCTGTTCCTCTAGTATACTCTCTTGTTCAGAATTTTTCACCACGAACGCCTTTTGTATTGTTCTAATTGGTCGGATTTGAGCAGCCATGGGAGGGTGTAACAGAGAAAGCTTGGTGCAGGCAGTGTAAGAGAATGATGCAACCATTTTTTTTTCCTGTCTGAAAAATGAAAAAAAGAAAAAGAGAGAGTTCAAGTTGTGAGATGTTGTCTGGTTACAGAACCATGTTTCTGTAGAGAGATTTGATGATGAGATTGAGAAATGGCCACAGCTTATGGATGAGCTTCTCCAAATAATTTTCTGTTATTTTTCATATCTTTTTTGTTTTCTTGGTGCTTTGTGGTTAAATCTTAAAAGTCACTTTAGAGGTAAAACAATCCTTTTTTAGGAGGTAACTGCTTTGTTGTTGTATTTGTTATATCTTTTTTATAAACAGCAGAGAATGATCTGGGAAAAAAGATTTGAAGTGAAAGTTCATTATTTTTTTCGCATAGCGTAAAAATAGAGTTTACATGTATCATCTATACATTCCATGGAAGTTGAAAGCATAATAGAAGACATGTGGGATTAAGACATTTAGTTCTTGTACTTCATGGTTTCTTTCTCAAACCCAATCGTTGGGAACTGCTTAGCGAACTCCTCGACTTCATGGCGCAGCTTCGCAATCTCTGATTGAATGGTTGAAGAAGACTCCATTGCTGACACAAAATCCTTGAGCTTGGTTCCTGGATTTTAAAATACAACAAATGAGTTCTTCTCTCAATCATTGTTTATAAGAACGGCAAAACATAGAGGATTAAGCTAAACCTTGAGCTTCAGATTTGACTTTGAGAGCCAACTTCACAGCTTTGTCGAAGTATTCAGCTACTTTGGCAAAGTCTTCCTCAACAAAGCCTCTGGAAGTGAGAGCAGGTGTACCTAAAAATAACAATGGCAGAGGATTTCAGGAAAAAAAAAACTCTATTTGCATACCAAAACAAGAAAGCTAGACTATGATTCTTACCCATTCTGATTCCACCGGGGACCATGGCAGAAACATCACCAGGAACAGTGTTTTTGTTTGATGCAATGTGAACAGCTTCCAACACTTTCTCAACTCTAGATCCATCAATTCCCTGCAAACAAAATCAAATAATCAAAAGAGTTTTAACTAAGGAGATAACAGAAGATAAGATAAATGAGTATACAAAAAGATCAAGTGGACCTTGCTCTTCAGATTCACTAGAACCAGATGGTTGTCAGTTCCACCAGAAACAAGTTCATACCCTTGCTCCATCAGAGTCTGCACCAGAAAAAAAAAACTAAACTTTTCAGAAACAAACTCAACAGATACTAATATACATATGGTTTTTTCTTCATGTTCAAGCGGATTAGTACCTGAGCAAATTTTGCAGAGTTACTCAGGACCTGCTCTTGGTATGCTTTGTACTCTGCAGTAGTTGCCTGCAGTTTAACAAAACATTTGAAATTAGAGAAACCGCAAATCCAATAAGAAACATTAATCAGTTCCAATGCCGGTGCCTTCACTGTACCTGTTTCAAAGCAACAGCTAGTCCTGTAATAGTGTGGTTGTGTGGACCTCCTTGAAGACCAGGGAAGACAGCTTGATTGATCTTGTCTTCAAAATCATACAAAACCTTTCAAGAACGAACAAATGAATTACATGAAAGAACGTACATACATCTCAAACGTTCTGGTTCAGACTTTGAGTTTTTGTTTTACCTCTTTCCCTTGTTTGTTAATTTCCTTAACACCCTTTCTGTAGAAAATCATGGCTCCACGGGGTCCACGAAGCGATTTGTGAGTTGTGGTGGTCACAACATCTGCATATTCGAACGGTGAAGGGATAACACCAGCAGCAACCAAACCACTGATGTGTGCCATATCTGCTAGCATTACAGCTTTTTGCTTGTTACACACCTACCAAAAGAATTTGAATCAGTAACTCTTGATTACAACAATCTGTTTGTTCTTCTTTGTTTTTCTTGTATTTGGATATGAGATTGAATTACCTTTCGGATGCGGGCATAATCATACAATCGAGCATAAGCACTTGCACCAGCAACAATCAGTTTCGGCCTGAAAAGAGTAGCGCTTTTCTCCATCTGCAGATCAAGATAGACAAGTTAACGTATTGTAAGATTAACAAAAATATGAACAAGTAGGATGCTTTAATCGAACCTGATCATAGTCGATGTAGCCAGTGCTCTCGTCCAATCGATAAGGCATAGTTTCAAAGAAGATAGACACAGCAGATATCTTCTTGGTATCAGTCTGATAAGAAGCAAGTAGGAAATAAACTGTTATATATCAGAGTCAAGAGTATAGAGGTTAAGCCAAATTTACAAAAGTCGACTTGAAGGTACCTGATAACCATGAGAAAGATGGCCACCGTGAGGGAGATCAAGCGCCATGATTCTCTCATGAGGCTTTAACAATGCAGTGTAGACATGGAAGTTTGCAGGAGATCCAGACAAAGGCTGAACATTCACTGTATAAACCACAGGACTCGAATAAGCCATCAAAGGAATCATTTCCCAGTAAAAATGCCAAAGAGTTATCTCTACGGATGGATAGTTTACCTCCCCACTTTTCAGGGTCTAACCGGAAAGCTTCAAGAGCTCGCTTCTGGCACAAGGTTTCCGCCATGTCTATGTACCTTCAAAGCAAAAAGGTTCTTCAAGTCAGCATTTTTTTTACAAATCCTTGGTGAAACAATCATTTCTCAGATCAGAAACTCAAAATGTTTTAAAAAGTGGTGGACATACTCGTTGCCTCCATAGTATCTTGCACCAGGATACCCTTCACTGTACTTGTTAGTCATCACAGACCCAACAGCTTGCATCACCGACACAGACGTGAAGTTCTCAGATGGAATGAGTTCAAGTCCCTTTGATAACATTAAGCATTACACATATATCATCAGCCCAAAAGGAACAAGATTTTTTAAGAGAGAGTAATCCAAAATCTCAGATTCTAGGGTAATAAAGAGAGACTAAACCTTCCACTGTCGAGCTTTCTCATGCTCAATAATGTCAGCAATCTCAGGATCGACCTCCTCTAAAGGTGCGTTAAGCTGTTTTGGCCACTGCAACAAAAAACAGAAACACTTGCATCAATTTGAAACAGAAGCAGAACTTCGACAATCAAAATCATTGCTTCAACCGCAAGGAAACAATCAATATATAAGAGAGAAACAAATTGGGGATAAAGAGAATATGGAAGTGAAATTAAACTCACAGTGACACGAGATCTCTCCTTCTCGTCGACAGCTTCACTGGGCAAAGACGACTGTAGCGAAACAAGAACCAGAAATCAGAAACCCAAAATCGACAAATTCGATCCGGCGATAGAATCTGGAGAGGAAGGAGGAGTCATGGGGGTTACCATGGAGCATGAAGTGGATCTGATAAGAGGACGAATGGGTTTGTCGATTGAAGAAGAAAGCCTCCGAAGAGCCATCGCCATCGCCATTTTCTCGCTAAACCTCTCTACCTCCTTCTCTCTGTTCGAAACCCTAGAAACAGATTTGAAGCATTGACGAGAGAGAGAGAGAAAAAAAACCAATTGGGTTTATCCTCTGGAGAGATGAAGAGAGAATTGTGGCCTCTGCTTTTGGCTGAGCTTTTGGTGGTTGCAGAAAATTTTCGAATTTTTCTCTCTTCTTTCTTTTATATTTTCTTCAGGAAACAAAAAATAATAAAGTAATTATTTTTTGGGTTTCTTGTCGTTATCTCAGGTCAGAGTCTCCCACCAACGTTTGTGATAATTGGCTGACGACGACGATTTGTTTTCTTTTTAAGTGGTGGTTCATGGTCAACAAAGTCAACGATAACCGATATCGGTTTTTTTTATTTTATTTGTGAATCCGTAGAACAATGTGATTGGTTTAAACAAAAATCCATTGAAGCGAATATCTCTATAGTTATAAGAAGAAAGATCATATATAAATCCCTATATTAAGATATATATACTCAGGATCATGATTATAGTAATCACGGGGTTTTACTTATGTGTTATATATATATATATATTTGCTTTAATTATATATTTCAAATTTGAAATGCACAGGAGAAATAAAGATAAAAATATGAATGATGAGAAGGAACATGCATGGCTTGGTTTCTTTGAGGCTTCTTCTTTGTAAAACCCTTACTCAAACCAAACCTTTGATTTGTTCTTCAACATCATGGTACCTTCGAACTTTCAACCTGTGAAATTTTAAACGAGTCACATTAATATCAATATATTTATAAAAGATCCCTAAATTAAGTGTTTTTCTGATTCGCCAAGAAACTCTACCACATGCATGCTGTTATTCACTTGCTCTTGGTGGGGTCTCGTAATCGGAATGCTCAGGTTGGCTGAGTTGTAGCCGAATCTGAGTGTGTGATTCATCATCCGCCACAGCTAGTTCACGGTGTATAAACCCGTTTGTGTTTGCTGTATAAGCCTGCGTGCAACACCCAATATTGAAAGTCAAATTCCTTTTTATATAGCTCTAATCACTTCAAGCAGACGGAGTTTGTGTATTTGTTTGTCACCTTTTTGTAGAGCTCCACATTTTCTTGATGAATCCGTTGTACTTTTCTAGATAGTTCGAGGTTTTCTTGATGAATGAGATTCCTCTGCAGCACGAGCAACGAAGAATAAGAATGGTCTAACGCTAACTTACGCTATTTTAGGATAAATTACATATCAATGGGTAAGTTATATATTGTGTATATGTAAAATATCTTATAGTGACCTTTTGGCTTAGTTCTTGGATTTCATGACTCAACATTTGTTCCTGTGGAATCCGGAAAAGCAATCGATTCTATTGAATTCCGTTGTGCTCTATAGTCAACCTTTGAGCAATACACTCTTAAGTACGTAGAGAGTATCTATATACCTTTTTCATACGAATTCCACGCAGACTTGTCTCAAGTTGATTTTCAAGATTGTTTAGTTCGTTGACGCTCAAACCATTTAGTTGTTCCCCCATAATTTTTCTGCTTCATAGTAAACAAAGTAGTCGCAATGTATAAGTAGAAAGTTTCTTCTTCATCATGTATTTCCGTTGATATTCTGATCAAAAACTAATTATAATGATATGATATATGTTATAAGGTGGTAGTTCAAGGCAATACCGATGATTTTCTTGCAAAGCATGCAATTCTTGCCTTAGAACCGCAGCTTCTCTCTGCCAAAACTATAACAAACAACACATCTAACTCAACAAAAACTTAGTAAACCAGAATCTCATTTCGATATGTACACGATTCTAAAGCCTCAGTCCACATAATCACATATTCTATCATGTTCGTCTAGATATGTACCTTGACTTCTGATGCGGGGTTGAATAGTTGTTGTTGTTCGATTTTGCTCTTGTTGTATCTATCAATAACTGACTTCATGCTGTTCAAAAGATTTGATATTAGTAACTTGCCCATGGTTAATTCACGAACATATATATCATATGACATATCACAGTAAATAATATATAAGATTTTTTTCATGAAGATCTTGCAGCTCTTCCATTGAAAAATTCAAGCTTTCATACATAAAGGGGAAATTAGCCTTATAGACACACAGTTATATAAACTAAATCGACTATATATGTTAACTAAATAGATGGTAGTTTCTTTGAATGTCTTTTTTTCTTGGGTGGCATTTTTTTGAGAAAAAGGGATAAGGTTACTTACTACTAAGGCTCCGTCATATATGGCACACTTTTTATACTTGATCCAAGAAACAATAACATGTTTCAGGGCATATCCTTGTGTCAGTTAGTTATAAGGATGGTAAACTCAACTCTGCTAAGATTCATTTATATAATGGTTCATGGTTCATGAACTCTATGATACATGAGAGAATAATTTATTGAAAATTGAAAAATACCTCACATAAGGAGGTTCTTTTTACTAAATAATCAATGAGGCTATCAAACTTTTGATTCCCATTTATAGAACTACTTTTACTTGGTTGAACTGATAAATATGCAATCATATTATATATGATTTTTTCAAAATAATTAACATAATTATGTTTTTAAAGATTAGCTGTAAATATGTTTCTGATTTATATTATTACGATGGTTCATATAGCCATGAAAATATAATATGTCTTTACGTTTATTCTGTTAGCAATAGTTTTTAACGATCAGTAACTTATTCATCGATGAATTGAAAGATAATATGCACGGTCCTGCATATAGCTAGTGTTTAATGTACAGAGTCATCTGATCGTTATGTCAGTAGTTCTATACACAGAAATATCCAGAAGATGTTTATATTTATGACTACAACTATAGATCATTGGATTAGATGAAATCATATCCTAGTTTATTGGTTTTGAGCAATTAAGTCCCTCTCCAAACCAATCATAACAATCTTGTGGTCTCCGTACGATAACTTTCTTTTAGCTCCCCGAAACTGATGTTTGAGCATTTACTGGTTATCTAATCTACTTCTTAAACATTTCTAAATTTGGAAAAGGCAAACAATGACCCTTAGCTATAAGTAAATGTCCACACATATACGTGTAGATACACACAAACACATGTTTAGAATGTCCTTCAAACATACTAATGTCTACACCTAATCACTCGCATATTAAGCCAAGAAAACAATTTCAAATTAAGCTTTTTCATTCTCTTCATTTTCGATCTTTCTTTGTTAAAGAAAAATAAATACTTTGTCGGCTATACATACACATCTAATTGTAGATATAGTAAAATGTAACATGTTCTACCGACCGCAAAATGCAAAAACATTTCCACTAAAGATGAATAGATCAAACAAGTAGATACATCTCAATGAATATCCCCAACCCGTATAGCATAAAATTATATTAGTACCGTATACATACACACTTCCATATATATCCACACAATCAAGAAGATGTAAATATCTAAGATTGAATAGCGGTAAAAGAGTTAACCTGGAGCTGGCAAAGTCATAGAGCTTTCCAGTGCTGGAGAAGATGATGAGACCGACCTCCGCGTCGCAGAGAATAGCTAGCTCTTTGGCTTTCTTGATAAGACCCTTTCTTCGTTTGGAGAAAGTGACTTGTCTACTCGTAGAATCATCGATCCTTTGGATCACAATCTTCCCTCTTCCCATCGATTTTATCCTCTAATTGATTCAACTCTGGTTCTTCCCTTTTCTAGGGTTTTGTTTTTTTTTTTGTAGATCTTACCAAGCCCAAAAGGGAAACGAAGAAGAAGAGGAACGAATAAGGAGAAAGAGAAAGGTAGAAATATAGATAGGGAGAGGAAGGTTGAGCCAAGAGTCAACAATCTATTCGAGGAATAAACTAAGGATATATATGCATATGCACACATATATATACACACAGACTCACCTCTTAATTTGAGACATTTTTTGGTAGATTTAATTTATAGAAAGTACTAAGTTTCTAGTCCAAAAATAGTATTTGTGAGCGATTTTAAAAAAGGGGAAGAACAAAATAAAAGCAACCAACGAAATAGATGGAAGTTCTTATAAAGTTCCTAGGTTAAGAGAGTATATAATAGATATAGCTTAAATGTATGTATATATCTCTATATATATAACTTTTTAATCACTGATTCTTTTCACAGTTAATTATGGGAGATAGTGGAAACTTAATGGAATTGTTTGGATAAAAAGGAGTGAAATAATATTATATGTATAGTGTGATTTAGGTAAATTTCCATTATCAATAATATTTCCTTTTTTAACATGTCCGTACATATTTATAATTTATTTTTAGTCTTTTTCAGATGTCATGTGGAAATAGTGAATGGGCACATCACAGGGCTGTGTTTCTCTGACAAAAAACACTTGCTTTATATGCTGCTTTTCTTTGTTAAATTGTTTATTATAGGTGAAAAAAAAATTAAAAAAAATTAGGACTTGAATGGATCTGAACAAAAGATATTTACCCAAAAAAGTAAGAGAGTGGATTGAACAAAATACATAGTACATTGCTTTCTGTAAAAACACAAATGTATTAATTATCTTTGTGTCCATTATAAAAGAATTGATCAAGTACACGTGTCAGACAGGAGTTTGGAGTTGCGGCGTTGTTCTGTCGTAAGTTTCCAAATACGGCAAGAAATTTAATATCACATAACTAACATTTGTAATCAAAGCAATTCCAAACCCGTCTATTTAAAAAACTATGAATAAGTAACATTTAAATAAAATGTAATAAATCTTAGCTAGTAATCCATTTTTAAATAATTATTTTCACAGAAATTATGTTATACGAATTTTTTTGTTTACGTTAATTTGAATGGTACTAATAAATTAACGGCACTAGTATAAATACTAACTACATGTCTTAATCAATACACCGAGCTACAAACTTTTAACTTTTGTGTATGGTATCAATAATGGCTATCCACTGCACTCAGAAGGCAAAATTCAAATTATAATGTATATATAAATTTCATTGAGTTATAATGCAAAATGCCTCCCAAAAAAACCTAAAATGCAATATGCATTTGTGACAGGCACACGTGGGAGAAGCAGAAACAGCTCCTGAGAACACCAATGTCAATGTATGGATGCCTTCGCAGTTCGCACGCTCCACCGCAGAATTCGTACACCTGATCCTTTTTAAAAATTATTTTGCTTTATTTACAGTCCCACTTTCCGGTTCAGAGAAATTACTTTGAGTACTCCTCCCATGATATTTCAAAATCACAATAATATGTAAACGGTAAAAGAAGAAACGAAACTGAATATAAAGTATCCGATGATCGCATCAAAATGAAGCCAAACCATGTAGAATTAGGTTTGATCTTAGCAAAATTCTTTTAAACCGAACTAAACCAAATCCAAACCCTAATAAAATTCGATTTTGTACCGATGAAATCTTAGAAGATTCAGGTGGAGCCCAAATGGACAACATTGTAATAAAGATCCATAAGAATCACGTGGGCGTGACTGCTTCGAACCAATCACATCTCGAATCTCAAACTCAACTTCAAATTTTGCACTTTTTTCTATTAACAACGAATCTTAAAGTGCTTCCAAGTGACCAAATCCCCAATAATCGTCGTCTTAAGGTACAAAAGATTTAGTTTCATTCCCGCCAGGTGTCAATCATCAGCGAATCATTTCGATTTTACCAATTAATAATCATTATTATCTTTAAGTTCGACAGGTTTTATTTAACCAGGAGTATCTTTTAAGTTTCAAGCTTCAGTTTTCCAGAATATTTGAAGTGCAAATATGAAACCATCTACAATTATCATTCTTTGTCTATTTTGATTTTCTAAAGACCCACATACCAAAATACCAAATACATTTGTGAGTGATTTTTCTTTACTTTAAGAACCATTGTTTAAATCTTGAATTGGCGTGTTAGTCCAATTATATAAGAACCATTCTTCAATCTTCAATCTTCAATATATAGATACACACTTGAATTGATTACCGTAAACTTCCATTATTTTCATAATTAGTCCACCTTTTGACAAAGAAAATGCATGTTTACTTTAATTTTAGAGAAATTTAAAATACCTAATGGCTATATAGAATATAGTTTTTTATCCGGTAATGCTATTAATTCACGTGAGAGGATACTCAGAGTGATAGTGTGAAGGATAATAAACCTTATTTAGATTATTGATCAGACCAAGAAAAGGAGATAAGGTGTTGTCCCTTTTGGTTTATAAATTAAATCACACATGATCTTTCGTCCATAAAGTCAGTTTTATATTTTATCCTCTCTATTCAGATTTTCGAAGGTAATAATTATAGTTAGTAATTTCAAAGGTCGAGACGAAAAACAATGGTCTTGGAACTTGAGGATTGGTGGAAATCGTACTACAAATGCTGTGGCCATTATTTCATTTTACCTTTCTTCTATGATAGTGTAGTATAGTAAGTAAAAGTAATAAAGACAACAATTGATATTATATGTTTTTCCCGATTACATTTAAAGATATTATGGAGCAAAAAAATAGTATTCAGTATTTGTTAGAATACGGAATCCCTGCCAAACGTATACACACTAAACAGGTAGAAAAACTCGAAACCAAAAAATTGGAACTGAACTCGGGCCAAAAGTCAGAGACACTGAACCAACGTAAATTGATTGGTCCTGAAACTTGAAACTTAAGAATATACCATATTAGTATCGTGCACATATGATAAACAATAAAGCAGTCGAATTCAGCGGTAACACAAGTTGAAAATGACATCATAACTCACTAGTATATTAAACTCATATTCTAAATAATGATTCCTTACATAGTTCTGAAACTAATCCAAGAAATGTGAGAGCATGATTAAAGCGATGGTGTGTTCCGTAATTGAGTATAGTTCAAAATGGGTCTGGCAAATAATTTTTCTCAGAGTGACCAAATTGTATTTGTCATCTACAAATTAATCAATCTAATTCATCATAAGACTCCTATGTTAATAGATGCCCCTATAATAGAACTGTACAAACTTAAATATTTGATCGGTCCCCAATCTATTAAACCTCTGATAAGTGATAACTTTATGCTGTTTACTACAGATTAAAACAATGTCTTTACAAACTATTTACACGTAAATGTTGATGCACTAAGTAGATCTTTTGTTTAGGCAGGTTTACTATCAAACATGTAGATTGACTACAAATTGGAGGCAAGGGGATTCAAGATATGAGAAAGGTTTTGAGATCTGGTTCTCAAACTACTGATGTAATATTTAAATTTCATACACTAAAATGCTTTTATTATCTTCAAAAACAGTCACAACTATTGTAAAAAATGTTTTTTTTATTGAATTAATTTTACATTCATTCAAAAAAAAGGATAACAGAATAAGCCACAAAATAATAAAGATATTTTGTATATCTTATTTGTGAAATAAATGATTCTTCTATAAGAAAATCATATGTATAAATGATAAAAACTCTTTTCCATTGCTTTGTTTGACACATCATTATTTCGTTAAATAAATAACATTTTCTAATTTTATATGTTTTTATTAATAGAATTTATTAATTATTATAAAATCCCTTTTTTGCATAAATCATAAACTATTATCTCCTCTTTATACCAAACAAAAGTATTTATACTATTTATTGGTAAATAAATCAAATTTAAGAAGATATGGTAGTAATAATTATACTTTCTAGTTAACATTCTAATATACTAATAATAATAAGTTTAGCAAAAGATATTAAATAGTGATCGCAGATTCTGGGTTTTCCTGCCATATTCAGATTTTGAATTTCTATTTAATTATGAAAAATTTAACATAAAAATTGTATATAGGAAAAAGGAACCACAAGACAAAAAAATAACAAAACAAACACGTGTATTAATTTCATATATAAATTTATTCAAATATGGATTTTCTAATCAAGAAAATATCATATATATTTAGTATGTTACTTAAAGAAAAAAATTATTACTTGAACACAAATTTAGTTACCGGATCTGACTATTATAGTTGCATATCTTTTTTTTGGTAATACTGTTAAGAAGAGTTGTGTACCTTTTATGTTCATGTCCCTTAACAGTAACTTACAAAGGATTTCACAAAAGTAAAAGGAAACAAATTTGATGATTTGTACTTTAATTGTCATGTTACCACAAGTGTATGTATACACCTCCTCCGCCTTTAAATCTGAGTTGTCGTCATAAAAGAATGTGATCTCTTTTCTTGTTTACTCTATATAGATTATTATAATCTTGCTCTATAAGATGGTAAATGAAAACATTCCACAAGAAATATAACTTTCTTCAATGGAGTGAATGCATCTTCTTCTCCGAGAAAACAAAGCTGCAAAGGAACCCAACAAAGAAAAGAAAATTAACAAAAATTTCTAAGTCAACGTGCGTATTTTACACATATAAAATGAATTTAGGACCATAGAGTATCATTTTGGGGTAGACAACATATTGTTTGATCTTCTGTTTTCTTTGTGGAAGGTTTCGTGAATTGGCAAAAAGATGAAAAACGGAGCTCTCGGAATGAAGGCGGATCGTATCATGACTCAGGTTTTTGTTCTGATTTTCCTTCTTCAAAGTGTTCATTCTCGAACGTCACGGTTTGTTCCCTTACCTTCTCGCTCTTTCACTGAATCATGTTCTATCAAATTATATTTATTTCATGATTGAAACTCAATTATATTATCGTAAAACTTTATAAAGGAAGTAATATTTGTGTTTTCGTTATTCTAGTTTTATTTTGTTTTTATCTTCAAAATTCATAACGTGAAAAATATATTATTTATTTCCACTTTCGTATTTAATCCTTAGCTGGACCCACGCATAAGGTTCATGCCTTCATGGGCTTCATGCACATTCAAGTGAATATTTTTAAAATTTTCTAATTTAAATATCTTAAATGTTTCTCTAATTTTAATTGTTATTCTTCATATTACAGAACCAAATTAAAGATCGCAAATCCTGGACGAAATCTCGCATATCCCTCTGTTACGCTTGAGAAAGTTGGCACTAACCAAGTATGATCGAAATGTCTATTTCATCTTTTGAATATTTTGTTTAACTATACTAGTTTTTTTTGGTCAACGTTTAAGTATACTACTATAAGTTTTTTTTAATATCTTTGAATATTCTGGTCCAAAAAACTGTAATACAGTACGTGAGACTTGTTGCATATTTTGTTGTTGTTTAAGGTGGTCGTTGATAATGGTATTATCCAAGTTACCTTTTCGAATCCATACGGCTTAATAACCGGAATCAAGTACAATGGATTTGACAACGTGTTAAACGACAAAATTAGAAATCGCGGGTACAAAGTTATCTAAAATTTATATAGCTTTTGAGAATAGTATTAAAAAATGTTTCATTTGATACATAAGTATATAAATTATATATGTAGGTATTGGGACGTACTATGGTATGAACCAGGACAAAAGTCGCAAACAGATAAGTGAGTTTTCGAATCTCTTTTCATATATTTTTTTGATATATAATTTACATAATGTAATCTCATACTAATATTTAATTTTAACAGTTTAATAGGAACAAAATTTGATATTATAAACCAAACAAGCGAGCATATCGAAATTTCCTTTTCGAGAACATGGAATATCTCTCAACGTGGTTCGAAAGTCCCATTAAACGTAGATAAAAGGTACATCAAGGTTGCAAGAACAAAAAAAGATTAGTAAATTTTGTTTTAATTCTGATATTAAATTATAGATTAATCATGATCGATTTTTTTTTAAGGTATATTATTCGAAGTGGTGTCTCCGGAGTATACATGTACGCTGAGTTAGAGAGGTTAAAAGGTTGGCCAGAAGTGGATATGGACGAAATGAGGATCGTCTTCAAGCTTAACACAACAAAGTAACCATTGCGTTTTATTAAAGTTTTTAATTAAGGCTTTACTGCTAAATGTTGTGGTTGTCAAACTAATTCTTTTCTAATGAAATACTTTAATTTTCAGATTTGATTTCATGGCTATATCGGATAATCGGCAAAAAATTATGCCTTTTCCAGCAGATCGAGATACCACCGATGGTAGTGCTAGTCAATTAGCTTACAAAGAGGCTGTTCGATTAGTAAATCCACAAAATCATATACTTAAAGGACAGGTATATATATATAAGTTAATCCCCAGAATTTACATAGTTTTGAATTTCAACTCCATTTTAAAAAAAGTTATGAATATGAGACCGTTACTACCAAAAGTATATGACTGGGGTAATGATTGGGTGTGGCGCAGGTTGACGATAAGTATATGTACTCAATGGAAGACAAGGACAACAAAGTGCATGGTTGGATTTCATCGGACCAACGTGTCGGTTTCTGGATGATTACTCCCAGCAATGAGTTCCGTGTTTGTGGGCCCGTCAAACAAGATCTCACTTCTCATGCGGGACCCACCGTCCTCTCAGTGAGTCATCATCCTAGTCAGAATTCATTTTCTATTTTAGTTGTGTTTCACTAACAAAATATAAAAAGGTGTATTTTTTAGTGTTTTTAAGTCATTGACCCAAAAAAAAAGAAGTGATTTTAAGTTGGACCGATCTAAGAAAAAGTCTTAAATTTTATGCAGTTTTTTCACGTTTTCACGTTTTTTTATATTTTTGAAATGTGATTTCGTTAGCATGTTAAAAATATAACTAAAAAAACAAAACGTGATTAATGTACTAAAAGTAGCTTTTCAACATTTCACAATTATTCAGCTAAAATATTATTCAGTTCAGTTCATTCCACTATTAATTTTTCAGTTATTCCACTATTCTATTATTCATCTGACATACTAGTTATACCCATAGTATTTCTGTTAATGAAGCGGTTTTATAAAACAATGAAACAGAAAAACAAATAATGTTAATTTTGAAAACTATATTCTCACCTTTCCGCTTCGATTTGGAACATGGAAATTATTTAAATTCAGCCCGCTAATTATGTTATCTTTAAATATATTTTGTTTTAGTCTTATAGTATATTAATTCGATCGGTTTTAATGAAGACTGTATTGGGTTTTAGATGTTTACAAGTGTACACTACGTGGGAAAAGAGATGAACACAACTCATACAAGCGAGGAGCCGTGGAAGAAAGTGCTTGGTCCTGTCTTTGTTTATCTCAACTCTGCCTCCTCTCATAATCTCCTCTGGACCGATGCTAAACGACAGGTCTCGTTGTCGCGATTTCAATTAGGCTGAATCATAATGACTATTGCTATTTATATTTAAGATGCTAAACTAATTAATTGTTTAGATGAATGACGAGGTCCAAAGCTGGCCTTATGATTTCGTGAAGTCAGTAGATTACCCTCTCCATCACCAAAGAGGAACAGTCAAGGGTCAATTATTTGTCATGGACGGGTAATATATATATATATATATATATATATATATTCCTCTGATTTTTTCTTTTTTAAATACCATTGTCTTACATATCTTCAGAATACTGTTTTTTTAATCCAATGTGTGAAACTCTGAATTTTTATAGTTTCAAAAACAAGTCAAAGTTATACGGGGGGTCTGCTTTTGTGGGCTTAGCAAATCCTGGTGAAGCTGGTTCATGGCAAACCGAAAGCAAGGTATTATATATATATATTTTGGTAATAATATTGGCATGCCGGCTCTATGCTATAGAGAATAAGTGAAGTTTTGGTATCAGAATTTTCGATGATAGAAAAAAATATTTTTTTTTTCATGCTATTTGCCATAAAGATTACTAATTGGCATGGCCGGTTAAATTTTAATCGTATTTTTAAATTAATTTTGGACAAAGGGATATCAATTTTGGACACAAGCAGACAAAATAGGGAGGTTCACAATAGCGAATGCGAGACCAGGGAATTATAACCTCTACGCGTGGGTTTCTGGATTTATTGGTGACTATAAATACGAGCGTAACATTACCATCACACCAGGTATATTTAATTTATTTGTATACCAAAATATAACATGTGTGTCATCATGTGTCACATGTGGTTTTTCACATGTGTGTCATTAAAATGCCCACAAAACAAATATAATTAAAATGTTTCATTGCTGTGTTTGGTTTGGTGTAGGTGGGGAGATAAACGTAGGACGCATAGTGTACGAGCCGCCAAGAAGCGGTACGACGCTGTGGGAGATCGGAGTACCTGATCGGACCGCCGCAGAATTCTATATCCCAGATCCGGACCCAACCCTTTTGACCAAGCTCGATCTTAATTACTCAAATGCTCCTCAAGACAGGTAATACATATAATCAAGAGCGGATATTATTTACAGTATAGTTTTCAAAATGTACTTAATGGTGTTTTATCTACAAAATAATACAGATTTAGACAATATGGTCTATGGACTCGTTACACTGTTCTGTATCCTCGAGAAGATCTTATTTATGTTGCTGGAGTGAGTGACTATAAAAAGGATTGGTTCTATGCACATGTCAGCAGGTAATAATACATATTTAAAACTTCAGAATGTTTATAATTCATTTAAATCCTATTGATACAAATTTATCTCTCTATAACATATATATATGTAACATACAGAGATACTGGAAATGGGACGACATTGGTAGCAACGACATGGAGAATTGTGTTTAATTTAGAAGCAGTGAATCAAACTGGAAACTACACACTTCGAGTGGCTTTGGCTTCAGCCATGTATGCGGATTTACTTGTTCGGATTAACGAAGCTAACTCCAAACCTATTTTCACGACCGCGTTAATAGGTCGGGATAATGCGATCGCTAGGCATGGCATTCATGGGTTGTACAGATTGTACAATATCGATATTCATGGAAATCTGCTAAGAGTTGGTAACAATACGATTTTTCTTACTCAAGATCGGACATTTGCTCCGGGTACAGGTGTTATGTATGATTATCTTCGTCTGGAAGGTCCTCCTTGAGTTTGATAAAAATGAGTGGGTGATGTGAGGTTTATTTATTTATTTTTTAATAAAAAAAAATATTTCATAGAACAACAGTGATGAATGTTTAAATTTGGTGCTACCTTGTGGCTAATTTAGACACCAATGTAAAGGTTCTAGTGTTCTTCAAAGTTAATGAAAAAAAGCTTTCTTCAAAAATTTCAAGTTCTTATATCTAATGTTTTTTTAACAACAAATAAAATGATGTAAGCATTTAGTAATAGATAAATAAGTACAACACTCACCATCATGACATTTGTTATTAGTATATCGAAATATAAGTATAATATCTTTTTATGTCTAATATGTTAGAAGTAATATACATATATGAAACAGTATCATGTAACATTCTGTTTAAATTAAGTACATGTTGGTTATACCAAAAGTCAAAACGATAGTTGTTAGATCAAACGGCAGCGTTTTTAGGGCCTATTTATCCTATATATACGTTGAGGTCCCTTAGAGGAAGAAAAGAGTGAGAGATGGAGATGAGAGGAGAGAGAGCGCAGAGTGTGGAGGCGTTTGGTTGGGCCGCGAGAGACTCCTCAGGCCATCTTTCTCCCTTTGCCTTTTCTAGAAGGTAACGTACGTGAATGAGTGATGATGGATGATTAATGTAGCCATGATGATGATGTTACATGATGGTATGTGCAGAGAAACAGGAGAGGAAGAAGTGAGAGTGAAGGTCTTATACTGTGGAATATGTCATAGTGATCTCCATTGTCTCAAGAACGAATGGCATTCCTCTATTTACCCTTTGGTTCCCGGGTACGCAATTTCTTGTTTTTTTTTTTCCTTCTCAAAAACATAATTTTTTTGAAAAAAATCTTTAGACATGTTAAAAACAAATGATTACTGCATTAAAATCAAGCGTTTATAAACTATAGCCCAGTGTTATTTTTTTTTCAGTCTTAACGATTAATTTCAATTGATTCCACATGTGACCATTACAGAAAAACACATTATAAATATACGAAATCATAAATTTTGATCCAAACACACCTGTTAGTAAAAAATGTTTAAAAAAACGTGTTAGTTTATGATTATACCAAGAGCCGGCTGTTTCGTTCATATTATAGCGTTCGATACTAAACTTTAACCTTTGCAGGTTTTCTCTTTCTGAATTGGTTGGTTAGTTAACCCTGAGTTGTGGGTTCTATTTTTTTATAAAAAAAATACTAAAATAGTCGATTTGGTTGGTAAAATTACTTATTAGAGACGAAAAGAATAATTAAGTGGAATTAAATGTGGCAAGTTCTTGTTTGGCCACTGTTATAGTGGAGCACTTAGCTCTTTCTTTTGGCGAATTAAAAAATTATTAGACAGATAAATCAATTATTACTCTTACATAAGTGTTGCCAAAGTATGAGCACTCGTGTCCATTAGAGTCTTAAAGTTGACTATTGGTATTATCTTTCTTCTTTTGTCAAGCTGACTATTGATGGCTTATACCCTCTTTTTATGTTCAGATAGTAAATGATTTTGTATATAGTGATTACTACGATAAAACATGATTGTGGATATAAATTTTCAATTAAAGATTATCAAAAATAAAATCCTTCGTTTTTAGTTATGATAATATATTTAGTATATTTATTTGAAATAAGAATGATATAAATTATTCAAGTCGAAAGCATTAATTATAAACAAGTTTTTTTTTGTGACAACAATATATTAATATTCGTCAGATCATAGTCAAAGTGATCGACCAATTTCCGATTATTTTAAGAACGTCTACGGTCCGGTCCAGTTTACAAAGATCGTACTTTTTTGTTTTTTTTTTTTTTTTTTTTTTACTATTTTCTCAATTCTCCCCTGAAAAAAGAGTTTCAATAATATGGAAAGAAAGTTTCATCTCATTGTACGTAAGAGATGTATAAACGTGTAGTTGTTTATTACAGTCATGAGATCGTTGGAGAAGTGAGTGAGAGAGGGAGCAAAGTGAGAAAGTTCAATATCGGAGACAAAGTCGGTGTGGGATGCATAGTAGATTCATGCCGCACGTGCGAGAGCTGCCGTGAAGATCAAGAAAACTATTGCACCAAAGCAGTCGCAACCTATAACGGAGTTCACCACGACGGAACAGTTAACTACGGTGGATACTCCGACCACGTCATTGTCGACGAACGTTACGCCGTCAAAATTCCCCACACGTTGCCTCTCGCTTCGGCCGCACCTTTGCTTTGTGCAGGTTTATTAAATCAGTTCAAAATATTCACGTTTCATTTGATGATCATTATGCTTATTTTTGTTTGGTTAATCATATATATGGGTTTCACTTCAACATGGACTTTGATACACATTTCACTTTCAAGATGTTTCTGAAAATTTAATGTTATATAACATGTTAATGGATATATTACATATAGGCATCTCGATGTATAGTCCTATGAAGTACTTTGGATTGGCCGGACCGGGGAAACATATCGGAATTGTGGGGCTAGGCGGTCTCGGACACATTGGGGTGAGGTTTGCTAAAGCATTTGGGACTAGAGTAACGGTGGTTAGTTCGACCGCAGGAAAATGTAAGGATGCTCTTGAAAATCTTGGAGCTGATGGATTCTTGGTTAGTACTGATGAAGACCAAATGCAGGTAAAACATATAAATTATATATATTAATTTTCAGTGTGATATTTTTTTTATCGAATTTTAATTAGTGAAATTATATAATGTTAGGCTGCAATGGGAACTATGGATGGCATAATCGATACTGTTTCTGCATCACATTCAATTTTACCATTAATTGGACTACTCAAACCCAACGGTAAACTTGTTCTACTCGGTGCAATGGAGAAGCCATTTGATATACCTGCATTTTCCTTAATCATGGGTATACATATTAAACCCAAAGTAATAGAGTGTTTTAAGTATTCAATATTTCGCATTTAGAGAATTAAATATAACGAAACTATAATTCATTAGGAAGAAAATCAGTGGCGGGAAGTGGTATTGGAGGAATGAAAGAGACGCAAGAGATGATTGATTTTGCAGCTGAGCATGGCATAAAACCAGACATTGAGATCATACCGATGGAGTATGTGAACACCGCCATGGATAGACTTGCAAAGGGAGATGTTAGATATCGTTTTGTCATCGACATTGCGAACACGTTGGCTGCTACTCGATCTTAAACTTGATGTTCTATGTGTATTCACATTATCATTACTCGATCTTATTCTAATTTCCCTCAGCAGTTAAGAGATTTGCTCCGTTTTAATAATAAAGTCTGCTGTCACTAGAATATTTTGATCTCCATAGAATCTCAAAACTTTACATTGCTATTAACAAATTTGTTTATAAATTTGAGAAAAGAAAAAAAAAAAATCACACCATCTTTGGAAGATTGTTATGTATATGAGTCATGGAAATTGTATTGTATCAGCCAAAAATGTTTTTTTTTTGTCTATCTTGAGATTCCTCCTAACATGCCTCCTTGACATGATGATTATTACCATCCATCGATCACCACTCCCAGATCTTAGTTTAGAATTGACAATATATATCCTGTTTGGATCACTCGGTTTTGATCATGTTAAGTTTATTAAGTTTTCAAAGTTAAAACCAATTAGTAAGTAAATGAATTAGTTCATATCAAAAGCCCAAAGGGCAAACAACGTTTGGTGCAAAGAGAGGCCCAGAAGGCCCATTAAGAAAATAAACACGTGCTTGATTCTAAGCCACAACTCACAAGCCTCGATCCGTTTACCGGCTTCTACGGGTCTGTGACGTCATCGGATATCGGTGCCGGCTTCTCTGGCTAACTGGAACAAATTGAATAGCGCGCATACGGACAGCAACATCATATATAATTAATGAAGTGACGATGGTTTTCATATCTATCCTTTTTTTCATTTGTATAAATTTAGTTGACTTCTTCTTGAGACAACATCGTAATTAAAATTATATAGAAAAAACTACACCAGAAATAAACTACACCATTACCATTGAATACGATAAAATTTGAGAAAATAGTCAAAATACACTAAAACTAGTTTATAATTTTAAAACTACACCTTTATAATTTTGTAGAATTAATTATATATGAAATGAAAAAAACTAATCTTATTTTGAATTCTTATAATTTAAAAATTATCTAACAAAATCAAAATAAAATAACATTTTAAGACTAAATAATATCTATTTGGATTTTACTTTATTTATTAGTTCTAAAATTTTAGTTTCATGATAATCTATAGAATATTCTACTAAAATATATTTTTGACAGGAAACAAAAAATCCTAAGATTTTTATATATTATATATTTATCTATAGATTATTCTACTAAAACTAGTTTTAAATTTGTATTGATAATTTTCAAATATTAAGTTTTATCTGAAAAATATTTATTAAATTAAAAGATTTATATAAATAAAATTTAGAGGAAATCCTAAAATTTATCTGATTAGATATCTCTTTTATTTTTTTCGATTTAAATTTTAATCAATAAAAATATGTATTAGTAAAACATGGTCAAAACGGTTTTTCTTCATCAGTAAATTTAATTATTAAAAAAATTAGATTAGTTTGTCAATTGCCCCGTTGAATAAATCGGTTACAAATTTTGATAAAGACGTAGTGAAAATGGACCATGACAGATTTTGATAAGGACGCAGTGAAAATGGACCAAATCAAAGACCTCCTCACTCCAGTCGGTTCAATAACTCCTCTATTATAAAACCCGTGTCTGAGCCTCCCTCCTCGTTATCTCTCACTACCAACAACCCAAAAAAAGAAAAGAAAAATCTCAGTTGTATTCTCTTTGTTGTTTATCCATAATGGGAAAAAATCTTGAGAAGGAGGCGTTCGGATTGGCGGCCAAAGACGAATCCGGTGTTCTCTCGCCTTTCCGTTTCACAAGAAGGTTTCAATATCTTCTTTTTTTTTTTCCTATGATCATAAATTATGATCCATAGTTCTTATTTGAAGAATACTAAAGTTTTGGTGGAATTAATGTATAGGGAGACGGGAGAGAAAGATGTGAGGCTTAAAGTTTTGTTCTGTGGGATTTGCCATACTGATATATGCATGGCCAAAAACGAGTGGGGAATTACTACTTACCCTCTCGTCCCAGGGTAAGACAAAAACTTTTATACTCAAAAGTAATAATCATAATTTATTTATATCTAACCTAATTAATGACCGAGAATATGCTTTTTTGGTTGATATCATGAATATTTATGTATATTTTACCGGATGAGACATGTTAATCTTATAGCTTTCAATCTTAGACTATATATATGGCTAAAATGTGTAACCTTGTCACATACAGCCAAATAAACTTTCCAGTCGATGAATTACAATTTTCTTTTTGTAGTCAATTAATCCACTAAATATTCCAGATTTTTTTGGGAAATTAAATGAGATGACATTTAATCGGAATAAAATTGTTTCAGGCATGAGATTGTTGGCGTGGTGACTGAAGTCGGAGCAAAGGTGACTAAATTCAAGGCCGGAGACAAAGTAGGAGTTGGTTATATGATCAGCTCGTGCGGGTCATGTGACACCTGCACCGATGACCAAGAGAACTACTGTCCGAAAATGGTCGTAACGTCCGGAGGCAAGTACTACGATGACACCATAACTCAGGGTGGTTACTCCGACCACATAGTTTGTGAAGAGGATTACATCATCCGCATCCCGGAGAATCTCCCATTAGACGCTGCGGCGCCGCTACTCTGCGCCGGGGTCGCGGTCTATTCCCCGTTAAAGTATCACGGGCTCGACAAGCCCGGTATGCACATTGGTGTGGTGGGACTAGGCGGTTTAGGTCACGTAGCTGTGAAATTCGCTAAGGCTATGGGTCTTAAGGTTACGGTTATAAGTACTTCGGATAGGAAGAGAGACGAGGCGATTAGTCGGCTTGGCGCGGATCAGTTCTTGGTGAGCAGTGACCCAGAACAGATGAAGGATGCAACGGGGACTATGGATGGTATTATCGATACCGTATGTGCGACTCATCCGCTTGTTCCGCTGCTTGGTTTGCTTAAGTATAAAGGAAAACTCGTTATGGTTGGTGCACCCGACAAACCACTTGAGCTTCTGGTTTTTCCTCTACTCTTTGGTAAGACTAAGAGCTTATATATGTTTTCTTTAACCGTTATCTAGTCGATAAACATTAAGAATATGTTTTTTTGTGGTTGTGTATACATAGGGAAGAAGATGGTGGTGGGAAGTATGATAGGAGGGATAAAGGAGACTCAAGAGATGATAGATTTGGCCGGAATACACAACATCACGGCGGATATTGAGCTTATCTCTGCGGCTTATGTTAACACTGCCATGGAACGGCTTGCGAAAGCCGACGTTAGGTACCGTTTTGTGATTGATGTCGCCAACACACTGAAGCCTACTCCTTAAACTAAGAAAAGCTTCAGAACTAAATTTCCCCAAAGCGTTTTTCTTTATTTGGTTTGTTGTAATAATTAAGTTCCGCGTTGTTTGGTGAGGACTTTGTGTGTGTATAGTACTGCTACGTACTAATGCTTTATCAAATTAATAAACTTGAATATTATATGTTAGCTATATATATGAACAAGAATTTAGGAAAGCCTAAGTAAAACGTTTAAGCCGAACTGTAGCTAGGAGACTATCAATTTGATAGTGTATGATTTCGAGACTTTGGACTTTGGAGTTTATTCAAGTGCATGCATCTTCAAAAAAAAAAAAAAAATCACGCGTCGTAGCAGTGTGGACACGTTTTAGTTATAATTATGTTGCGTGGACGGAACTATTTGGGAGCAAAAGCATGTACTGTTCCATATTTCCATACATGATTTCAAATTGCTTTTACACTTGTATACATATGAGTCATAGAATTCATAACAATATACAGACAACATCATACAGCATATTGTTTCTTGGGTCAATTTTTTGATTAAAAGCCCAAAGGGGAAACAACGTTCGGTACAAAGAGAGGCCCAGAAGGCCCATTATACAAAGACGAAGAAAATAAATATACACGTGATCTCGATTCGGTACAAAGAGAGGCCCAGAAGGCCCATTATGCAAAGACGAAGAAAATAAATAAACACGTGATCTCGATCCTTGTACCGAATTCTACGGATCTGTGACGTCATCAGTTGTCGGTACCGGTTTTCTCATACGGTGTCTGAGCCCCTCTCCTCATTATCTCTACACTACAGTACTTCTCAATTATTAGTGTCACTAAAAAGAAAAAAAAATCTCAGTTGTATTCTCTTTGTTGTTTATCCATAATGGGAAAGGTTCTTGAGAAGGAGGCGTTCGGATTGGCCGCAAAAGACGAATCCGGTGTTCTCTCGCCTTTCAGTTTCTCAAGAAGGTTTCCAATATCTTTTTTTTTTTTTTTTAACGAACTGATCCTCTATTGCTTTTGTTTTCCTATGATCTTGATTCATAACTCTTATTTGAATAAAACTAAAGTTTTGGTGGAATTAATGTATAGGGAGACGGGAGAGAAAGATGTGAGGTTCAAAGTGTTGTTCTGTGGAATTTGCCACACTGATTTAAGCATGGCCAAAAACGAGTGGGGGTTTACTAATTATCCTCTCGTCCCAGGGTAAGTCAAAAAATTCCATACTCAAAAAGTAATAATCGATTATACTTCTAACCTAATGACCGAGAGACCTAATTTGCTTTTTTGGATGATTTCATGAATATTTCTTTATATTACTTTTTGGATGCAAATGGTTGCATATGTAGACATGCTCAACTCATTTTCTCTACTTTTTGAGTCGGAAAGAGTTAGAAAAATGTTTCAACTCATTCCATTACACAAAGTTGAAAAATGAACTAATTATATATAAATATGCTCAACTCATTTTCTCTACTTCTTTTTTGAAAGAAAAAAAAAACTCTTTCTTTAAAAATTTAGCTCATTTTTTTTTTTTTTTAAATTTGGTCTAGCATCTAAATATATGGCCAAAATGTGTATTCTCACAGACAGCCACATAAACTTTTCAGTGGATAAATTATTTATGACATTCCATCGGAATGAAACTGTTTCAGGCATGAGATTGTTGGCGTGGTGACTGAAGTCGGAGCCAAAATGACTAAATTTAACGCCGGAGACAAAGTGGGAGTTGGTTATATGGTCAGCTCGTGCCGGTCATGTGACACTTGCACTGATGACCAAGAGAACTACTGCCCGAAAATGATCGTAACGTCCGGAGGCAAGTACTACGATGACACCATAACCCATGGTGGTTACTCCGACCACATGGTTTGTCAAGAGGATTACGTATCCCTGACAATCTCCCACTAGACGCTGCTGCGCCGCTACTCTGCGCCGGGGTCACGGTCTACTCTCCGCTGAAGTACCATGGTCTCGACAAGCCCGGTATGCACATTGGTGTAGTGGGACTAGGCGGTTTAGGTCACGTAGCAGTGAAATTTGCTAAGGCTATAGGTACTAAGGTTACGGTTATTAGTACTTCGGATAGGAAGAGAGACGAGGCGATTAGTCGGCTTGGCGCGGATCAGTTCTTGGTGAGCCGTGAGCCGGAACAGATGAAGGATGCAATGGGAACTATGGATGGTATCATCGATACCGTATCTGCGACTCATCCGCTTCTTCCGCTGCTTGGTTTGCTTAAATATAAGGGAAAACTTATTATGGTTGGTGCACCCGAGAAACCACTCGAGCTTCCGGTTTTACCTCTCATCTTTGGTAAGACTAAGTCTTCTTTAAACGTTATCCTATCAGTGTCCAATCGATAAACATTAAGAATGTGTTTTTGTGGTTGTGTATATAATAGGGAAGAAGATGGTTGTGGGAAGTATGATAGGTGGATTAAAGGAGACTCAAGAGATGATAGATTTAGCCGGAAAACACAACATCACGGCGGAGATTGAGCTTATCTCTGTGGATTATGTCAACACCGCCATTGAACGGCTCGAGAAGGGCGACGTTAGGTACCGTTTTGTGATTGATGTTGGCAACACATTGAAGCCTAGTACTCCTTAAACTAAAAAAGCTTCAGAACTGAATTTCCCGAAAGGGGTTTTCTTGTTTGGTTTGTTGTAATAATTAAGTTCCGTGTTGTTTGGTAAGGACTTTGTGTGTGTACGTACCAATGCTTTATCAATTTAATAAACTTGAATATTGTATGTTAGCTATATGAACAAGACTTTGGAAAAGCATAAGTAAACGTTTAAGCCGAATTGTAGCTAGGAGACTGTCTCTTGATATTTATGATTTCGAGACTAAATTCAAACTAATCCTTTGGAGTATTATTCAAGTGCATGCATCTTAAAATGAAAAAGGAACGCATCTTAACAGTGTAAACACGTTTTAATTATAATAAGTATATGTTGCGTGGACGAAACTATTTGGGAGCAAAAGCATGTACTATTGCATACATATCTCATTTAGAATCACAAGAACAACTCCATTTATAATATTAATGTTCTAACAGCAGCTCTGTTGTTTTCACATAACAAACTTAATAACGCATACTTAATTAGCAGACGAAATAATACGTAACGTATTCTATATTTTTGAACGGAAAAAAATAATAACGCGAAATGAGCAAGGATATACATAACGATAAGGAAGAAAAGAACTTGCCGTTGTGGTTGTCTGAGGTCCCAGGAGGGACGGATCGATGCAGAAGGCAATTATATATATATATATATATATAATTAATTAAAATATATAATAATATTACATTAGATTTATTTTTGAAAATTTTAAAATTGAATCAGTAATAATATAAACATGGTGTTCTAGTAGTTTTTTGTTTGCTGTGATTTAATAGAATTTTTGTATTTTATTCTATGAACTAATAAGCATACAACAATTAGAATAAAAAAGATAACAAAACAAAAATGTGTATACAATACACTCCTATATGTATATCACTATAAGAAATGTAATGCTATAGATGTTGTAGTGCATATATATAGTATAAGTTGTAATGCATTATTTTGTAACATTCTTTTTGTACCATTAAATTTGTACAATTTGTATATAATATGGTTACATAGTTAACATTACAACGTGTACAACTATATAAGTTAATAACCAATTAAAGCTAGGGATTCTTGCAAAAATGACCTAAATTTTGATTTGAATTGCAAATCTAACCCACAAAAATCACCTTCTCAACATTTGCCATTTTGTGTCCAAACAATCCTTCATAGTTTCAGTTATTCACAAAATTGCCATTATTTTTAATTAATTTCTTTTATTTTCGGAAATCTAAATGACCAACTAATCCTCATCTTCCTCACTTATTTACGAAAATGCTCCGAAAGTAGACTTCTCTTGGTCCGAATGAAGTCTACTAGTCAATGCCCAGATTAGTTTTGCAATTGACCGCATGAAAAAGTAGACTTCTTTTGGTCCGAATGAAGTCTACTCCATTTCCTTTGATAACAAAAAAAATGGAGTAGACTTCTCGAGTAGACTTCTTTAGAAGCAGGTCATTTTTGCAATTGACCAACCTTTGATTTTGTAGAGTAGACTTCTCTATGCAAAGTAGACTTCTCCGAGAAGTCTACTTTCGTAAGTAGACTTCTCGCAGGTCATTTTTGCAATTGACCAAAAAGTCAAATATTTTACAATTGCAAAAATGACCTGCGAGAAGTCTACTTACGAAAGTAGACTTCTCGGAGAAGTCTACTTTTCATAGAGAAGTCTACTAATATTTTGGCAATTGCAAAAATAACCTGCAAGAAGTCTACTTTTATCCGAGAAGTCTACTTTTCTTGTTTTTTTAAAAAAATCATTTTTATACAATATATAACGAATTTTTAAGATTTTCGCGATCCTAAGCTTCTGTTATTAAGTTTTCTTGCTTATGTATAAGTTTTGCATGTTTATATTTTATAGGTATAGTCGAATGAGTTTTCATGTTTTATATGATACTTAGCTTATTAAGAGTAGACTTCTTAGTCTACTCTAGAAGTCTACTATGTAGACTTCATCCGACTTTCAGAGAAGTCTACTTATGCAATTTTGATGTCTAATGTGGTTTGGATTTTGTTCTTTTTCACAGAGAATGGCTCACATACCCGCTGTTTATGGAGAATGGGTTAAGAGTGAATCAGTGTGGCAGTTCGAGGTGGATAATAGCAAAGGAGGGCAAATGTTGCTCTTAAGAGATGGTTGTACACATGGTGAGCTTCTTGGTGAATGTTGGCAAAGGAGGGCGAATAGCAAAGGAGGGCGAATGTTGTCACCTTTAAGTTATGTAAAATTAATATCTTTAAGAAGTCTACTCGAGACAATGAGAAGTCTACTTCAGAAGTCTACTCGAGACAAGAGAAGTCTACTCGGTTGACAAGTTATATGATATAAATGAAAAAAATGTCTTTAAGTTATGTAAAATTAATGTCTTTTAGAAGTCTACTCGAGACATAAGAAGTCTACTCGAGACAGGAGAAGTCTACTCAAGACAAGAGAAGTCTACTCGGTTGACAAGTTATATGATATAAATGGGAGAAATGTCTCTCTGAATCACTTATAAGTTATGTAAAGTTAATGTCTTTAAGAAGTCTACTCGAGACATGAGAAGTCTATTTTGTAGAATAGATAAACATAGATAATTTAGGAATTTGATACAAAACATTCAATGCAATTCAACATTACATAGAAAATAACCCTCTAAACAAACAAACATTTAATGATCACTAGTTATAAATCTTAAAACTGGCATAAGAAATTACTAGTAAACTAAAATCTCTGAAAATTATGTATGCAACTGAAGTCTGCTTGAGAAATCTGCTCAAGATCGAGAAGTCTACTCGAGAAGTCTGCCCAAGATCGAGGAGTCTACTCGGGAAGTCCGCTCGAGATCGAGAAGTCTACATTCAGATCTGCAGAAAAAATCAACTAAATTCAGCTCTGTAACAATAGCGAAAAATTTAGATCTAGAACAAAATCTAATAAATTTATACAACAATAAACTCAGATCTACAAATATAAACTTAGATCTACAACAATAAGCTCAAATCTAAACTAATAAGCTCGGATCTATAATAATAATCTACTATATTTATAACATCCAGATCTGTACAAAAATCAACAAAATTCAGCTTTGCAATAATAACAAAAAATTAACAAAATCTACAAAATTTATACAACAATAAACTCATATCTACAAAAATAAACTTAGATCTACAACAATAAGCTCAAATCTATAATAATAAGCTCAGATTTGCAATATGAACACAAAGCAAACAAAAAGAGGAACACAAAAACTCAGATTTGCTTACCACTACCATAACCTGCAAGTGAGAGGAGGTTGAATGCAAGATAGAGAGGATGGAGAGGATATTGATAGCAAGAGAGGAAGGAGAAGAAATTCATGGCCAGAGAGAAAGGAGAAGAGAGAGAGGCGGTTTTTTAGATAGAGAGAGATTTTATTGTTAATACAATTAGGTTAAACTCTCTTTATATATGTAGAAAAAAATTCGTGTAAGTAGACTTCTTGGAGAAGTCTACTCGAGAAGTCTACTCGAAAAACCGAGAAGTCTACTCGAGAAGTTTCTTAGTATTGATTTTTATCATAATTTATCTATGATGATTTAAATTGATTATTTTCTGTCAAATTTTATTTTTAATAGGTGTAAAAAAATATATATTTGTTGTTATGTATCTAATTTTTTTTATCAAATTATCTTTTATGATTTTTAAAATTAATTGTAAACATATTATTAAAGAGTAGACTTCTTGGAGAAGTCTACTCGACTCTGGGATAAAATAATAATTGAAGTTGACGTTTTTTTGTTTGGTCATAATGGTTAAAATTGTAATTTTACTATCTTTGTGAGTTATTTTTGTCAAACATGCAATAGGAGGTCTAGTTTTGCATTTCAACTCAAGTTTTGAATCATATTCAGCAATTCTCCCTTAAAGCTATTGTATTATTCATTGGCTCAGAATGGGCCATGCACGTGCCACAATATCTACAACGTGGGTCTACCACTGATTTGGTCCTATGGCTCCCAATCACGTCGGTGCCACAATCCCTTCCTATATTAAAGCACTTGTCTCTCCTCCCCATAATCTAGAACTTCTCAGTTATTAGCTAGTGTCATTCAAATACAAATTAAACCACACACTTGCTCAATTTTCAATCCATTTCTCAAACTTATTATTGCTGTTTGATCGATTATGGGAAAGGTTCTTAAGAAAGAGGCGTTCGGATTGGCCGCGCGAGACACTTCCGGAGTTCTCTCGCCTTTCCGTTTCGCTAGAAGGTTTCACAAATTATCTAATTGAACGAAATAATGTCTATCAGTTTTTGGTATCCACGATTTTTTTTTATATAATACAAATATTTTTGGTGATGTGTAGGGAGACGGGAGAGAAGGATGTCAGGTTCAAAGTGTTGTTCTGTGGAATTTGTCATACTGATTTGCATATGGCCAAGAACGAGTGGGGAGTCTCTACTTACCCTCTCGTCCCCGGGTAATACATAAATTTATATAATATCAAATTTATTCAGAATAATTCTTGGATCTAGCAACCCGTAATGATGTTCTTAGTGAGATAAAAACTATTTATCACAACTATTTCTAAGAAGTTAGGCCATGAGCATTTTTAGTGTGTAGACCAGGGAACACATGTTGATTTTTACAATTGTCATTATAAGATTAAAATCCACAGAATGTTATTAATATGTATTTATTGTTGTGGGATGCTAAATAAACCGAAATGCTAATAATAATACACAAAGAAAAATTATGAGAAGTCTTAGAAAAAGTGGACAAAAGATCGACTAGAAGCTTCTTCTGGCTCCTGTTTAATCTCTACTCTGTCCCAATCAGTCGCATTTATTTCTATTTTGGTTCTTCCTGATAAATGCGATTTAATCTCAACCATGGCCGGTTTGATTATTTTTAGAGTTCCAATTAATTGAATGAATTTCCAGGCATGAGATCGTGGGCGTGGTGACTGAAGTAGGAGCCAAAGTGACTAAATTCAGGACGGGAGACAAAGTCGGGGTCGGGTGCATGGTCGGATCGTGCGGTTCATGTGACAGTTGTACCGAAGGTCTCGAGAACTACTGTCCAAAAATGATCCAAACGTACGGCGGACTCAAGTACTATGATGACACGATAACCTACGGTGGTTACTCCGACCACATGGTTTGCGACGAAGGTTTCATCGTCCGTATTCCCGACAATCTCCCACTGGATGCTGCAGCGCCGCTACTCTGCGCCGGGGTCACAGTCTACTCCCCACTCAAGTCTCACGGGCTAGACAAGCCCGGTATGCACATTGGTGTGGTGGGACTAGGCGGTTTAGGTCACGTAGCTGTGAAATTCGCTAAGGTTATGGGTATTAAGGTTACCGTTATAAGTACTTCGGATAGGAAGAGAGACGAGGCGATTAGTCGGCTTGGTGCGGATCAGTTCTTGGTGAGCCGTGAGCCGGAACAGATGAAGGATGCAATGGGAACTATGGATGGTATCATCGATACCGTATCTGCGACTCATCCGCTTCTTCCGCTGCTTGGTTTACTTAAGTACAAGGGAAAACTTATTATGGTTGGTGCACCCGAGAAACCACTCGAGCTTCCCGTTTTGCCTCTCATCTTTGGTAAGATTAAGTCTTCTTTAAACGTTATCATATCAGTGTCCAGTCGATAAGCATTAAGAATATGTTTTTGTGGTTGTGTATATAATAGGGAAGAAGATGGTGGAGGGAAGTATGATAGGAGGGATAAAGGAGACTCAAGAGATGATAGATTTGGCCGGAAAACACAACATCACGGCGGATATTGAGCTAATCTCTGCGGAGTATGTCAACACAGCCATGGAACGGCTCGCGAAGGGCGACGTTAGGTACCGTTTTGTGATTGATGTTGCCAACACATTGAAGCCTACTCCTTAAACTAAAAAACTTCAGAACATGAATTACCCGAAGCTTTTTTTCTTGTTTGGTTTGTTGTAATAATTAAGTCCCGTGTTGTTTGGTGAGGACTTTATGTGTGTAGTACTACTACGTACGTATTATGCTTTCATTTATCAATTTAATAAAACTTGAATATTATATGTTTGCTTTTGGTAATATATTCAAAGTTTATCAAAAAATAAAAAATAAAAGATTTAAGAAAGCCTAACTGCCTAAGTAAACATTTAAACCAAATTGTAGCATATGAATATCATCTCTTGATAGTCTACGATTTCGGGACTAAATTCAAACTATTCTTTTGGACTATTAATTATTCAAGTGCATGCATCTTTAAAATATAAAAAAATGCACATAGTGTAAACACGTTTTCATTATGAGTATGATGCGTTCCATACATATATATCACAACTTTTTCGATTTAGACCACAAGAACAGCCACACAACAAGTATTTAGGCGTAATATACGGAAATGTCCGTTCTGCATTTTTTTTTTTAATCGTTTGAATGCAAATTATAGAAACAATTACGAGAATAATATTTAATATATAAATTAACTATTCTACAAAGATCCACCATAGATATGTGGGTCCACCATGAATAACTTCAACTGTCCGTCATTTCTTTATCTGAATATCCCTATTGGTGTGTAGAAACATTAATGAACATTTAGTTGACCACTGGACTAAGGAGCTTCCACATTCTGTTTTGGATTTCAAAATGCTTTTATTTATATTTTTAAAATTTCAAATGAAGAGTAACATAATTAAATAAAAATATTTTCAATCATTTATGGTGGTTTATTAGTTAATGATTCAACATATTGATTGAAATCAAGATTTACCATTAATATCAACGTTTTAAATGCTGCAGTTTCTGAGACAATGTATTAGCTCAATATTTCGGCAGCTGTATTAATGTCCTAAAGCAGCTCCGTTAGTATATAATTCAAAGTTACGAAATTATCACATACACGTATTCTTCATTAGCAGGCAAAATAATACCTAATGTAAACGCGAAAAGAGCAAGAATATAAGGAAGAACGAGTCGTTGAGGTATTCTCGTGAAAGTAAGTGAATGGTCCTAATGGCACCCAATCACGTCGGTTCCTCGATCCCTTCCTATATTAAAGCACTTGTCTCTCCTCCTCACAATTTCACAGTACTTCTCAATTATATTAATTAGTGACATTCAAATAATAAAAAAAAATAAACCACACACTTGCTTAATTTTCAGTCCATATCTCTAACTTATTATTGTTGTTTGATCGATTATGGGAAAGGTTCTTAAGAGGAGGCGTTCGGATTAGCCGCGAAAGACAATTCTGGAGTTCTCTCGCCTTTCCATTTCGCTAGAAGGTTTCACAAATTTTTATTTTTAACGAAATAATATCTATCATTTTTGTTTTGCTTGATTTTTTTTTTCTGAAAAAAAAAGTTTTGGTTGAATCAATGTGTAGGGAGACAGGAGAGAAGGATGTTAGGTTCAAAGTGTTAGTTCTGTGGAATCTGTCATTCTGATTTGCATATGATCAAGAACGATTGGGGATTCTCTACGTATCCTCTCGTACCCGGGTAACTTATAAATTTCTATTCTATTTAATTATTACAAATTATATATCCAAATTTATTCAGAATACTAATAAATCTAGCAACCAATTACGTATGTCATAAGCATTTTTAGTGTGAAGACCAGGGTACACATGTTAATATGGCTATTCTTTTTTTTTTTTTTACTTTTTGTACCGCATTTTTAAGTCTTATAATGGGGAACATAATTTGTAATATTTTTTTAATTAATCCATTCCCATTTGATAGCGTAATATTTGGTTGGTCAATAATTAAACCAAGAAAAACTGCTAACAATAATACACCAAGAAATATTACGACAAGTCTTAGAAATTGTGGACAAAAGATCCACCATAACCTTCTAATGGCTCCTGTTTAATCTCTACTCTGTCCTAATCCGTCGCAATTAATTATATGTATTTCTATTTTAGTTCTTCCTGATAAATTGGAGTTAATCTTAATTCTCAACCATGACCGGTTTAATTATTTTGAAAATTTCTCAGTTAATTGAATGATTTGTCAGGCATGAGATTGTTGGCGTGGTGACTGAAGTGGGAGCCAAAGTGACTAAATACAAGACCGGAGACAAAGTGGGAGTCGGGTGCTTGGTCGGCTCGTGCGGGTCATGTGACAGTTGTACCGAAGGTCTCGAGAACTACTGTCCAAAAATGATCCAAACGTACGGATTCAAGTACTACGACGACACAATGACCTACGGTGGTTACTCCGACAACATGGTTTGCGACGAAGATTTCATCATCCGTATTCCCGACAATCTCCCACTGGACGCTGCCGCACCGCTACTATGCGCAGGGATCACGGTCTATTCCCCGCTGAAATATTACGGGCTCGACAAGCCCAGTATGCACATTGGTGTGGTGGGACTAGGCGGTTTGGGTCATGTAGCAGTGAAATTTGCTAAGGCTATGGGTGCTAAGGTCACGGTTATTAGTACTTCGGACAGTAAGAGAGACGAGGCGATTAGTAGGCTTGGTGCGGATCAGTTCGTGGTGAGCCGTGACCCACAACAGATTAAGAGTGCAATGGGGACTATGGATGGTATTATCAATACAGTATCTGCGACTCACTCGCTTCTTCCGTTGCTCGGTTTGCTGAAACGTAAGGGCAAACTTGTTATGGTTGGTGCACCAGAAAAGCCACTCGAGCTCTCGGTCATGCCTCTCATCTTTGGTAAGCCTATTATTTACTCTATTTAGCGAAATTATGGCGATTGGTTTGGTTTTATAGTGTGGAAATGACATTGAAAATATGTTTTTTTGTTGTTGTTGTGTTATTGTGTGTACATAGAGAGGAAGATGGTAATGGGAAGTATGATAGGAGGGATAAAGGAGACGCAAGAGATGATTGATATGGCCGGAAAACACAACATCACGGCGGATATTGAGCTTATCTCTGCGGATTATGTCAACACAGCCATGGAACGGCTTGCAAAGGCTGACGTTAGGTACCGATTCGTGATTGATGTTGCCAACACATTGAAGCCTACTCCTTGATTATAATTTTATGAATTGAAGTTCCCCAATGCTTGTTTTCTTGTTTGGATTTTGTCATCAGTACTATGCCTTAATCAAACCAATAAATTTCAACATTATATTTTCACACAAATTTACAATTATTGGTTTACACCAAAATCTTACCATATAGTGAAAATCTAATAACTAACAAAATTAGCAAGGTGGCAAAAAAATTTTATTAATTATAAAAATTAATGGATCGGTGATATGTAGACTTCACAAATGTATGATTGGTGAAAAGCTATAGACTCGAATGTTTTTAAAAAAAAACATGGTATAATAAACTCGTAGAATCAGTTTATCATAAGGTGAGTTATCAACCTGAAATTAAATTAGCATGCATTGTGACAATTAATCTTCATATTCGATGAAGAAGCAATACAAAAGTGAAAAGTCAAAGAGGATATTAAATGAAGCGTACGGCTTGTGTAGTGTTGCTTCCAACAAGAGAAGAGACAGTGAAGTTCGAGTTTGTTCCCAATGTGAAGCACTCCACTCCTTGATATGGCTTCTCTTTCTTTACCTCGTACCTTTCACCACATCTTTCTCTCTCTCTTCCCTAGATCGATCTTATCTTGTCTTGTCTTGTCTTTATATTTCATAGTATAATACTATTAAGAGATTTTTTTTCACAATCATAATTATATGATACAAACAAATTCGTAAACCCTTTTTCTCCAATGGAAACTCAAACTTAGGAACATGATCCAACCTCTCTCAAGGCAATCATCCATATTTTAAAAATAGTTCCTCATAACAAATCTGAAGTGTGATACAAATAAGTGGACGGTGACACATATGAACTGAGAGGTCCTTGCTCTTAAACCGCATGCAACCGCTATCACCTCTTATGTCTATGATTCAAAACTGTGTACTATATACTAATTAATAATTAATGAATGTCATTCGGGTTTGATAATTGAATAGATTCATTAATTCATTCAGCAGAGACCATCACTAATGTAATTTTTACTCAACTAGTCTATCAGGAAGTACTAAAGCTACATCAGTGTGTTATTTTGCTTAATTACGTGAGACGATAGAAAAAGGTAAAATATAGCTGTAAGTTGTAACCATTTTGTGAAAGATAATTTGGAACACTAATATAACTTCGTAATCCTATAACCTTACAAATTTGGTTATGGAGATGTTTGTATTGTAAAGAAAACATTAAAATATACATATCATGTAACAAGCATGCGTGTGTTCATATATATATATATATATATACACATATGAAGATTCATGATAAACACAACGCAATAGACAATCTCTCTCCTCTTGCCCCATATTGCATCATCTCTCCTTAAGATTTCATGATGACGTCATCCCAGCAGAGCCACACCACCAGCTTCAAACCACGGAGGATCAAGACGACGGCGAAGCCACCGCATCAGATCAGTCACATGGAACCATCTCCAGAGAAGCAGCCGGTACTTAAATGTCCGAGATGTGGTTCCGTCAACACTAAATTCTGTTACTACAACAACTACAGCTTGTCTCAGCCACGTCACTATTGCAGAAACTGTCGCCGTTACTGGACACGTGGCGGCGCCCTACGTAACGTCCCCGTCGGTGGCTCAACCAGAAACAAGAACAAGCCTTGCAACCTCCACGTCATCTCTTCTCCTCCCCCGAATGTGACGTCATTGTCGTCCCACGAGCTTGTTGATGAGTTTCGTATGAACAGAGCAATTACAAACCCTCCTTCGATGGCGTTTCCCGGTGGATTCCCCGGCTACATGTTTCCATTAGATGCTAATTACAATCTTGCATCTTCTTCTATCGAGTCTTTGAGTTCTTTGAACCAAGATTTGCACCAGACGCTTCAGCAACACAGACTCGTCACCACCATGTTTCTCCAAGATTCTCTTCCGGTTACGAAACCGATTATGTTTCACAACGTTGAGTTGATTCCTCCTTCGGCAACGACTGATTGGATTTTCGATAGATCCGCCATGGGAGCCTCAGGAGGAGCAACAAGTGGCATTAATGAAAGTAATGGTAATGGCGAGGGTAATTTGGGAAACTGGTATCATAATGCTAATAATACTCTGTCCTAATTTACATAATCAGTGTCATTAGTCTCTTGTATTATGTAGCTATGCTAGTATGCAGAAGCAATGGATGAAAAACTTTGTATTAATTTTCTCCTTGTCATTTTTATCATAATAATTTGCTTCAATGATTGTTTAAGATTGAATCATTCTAGAGAAAACTAGAAAATTTAAATCGCTGAATCCAGATTGCGTGTGTTATAATAATCATGTACACATTGTAACTGCATATAATTTATAATTTATAATTTATAATTTATTATATAATAAGATGAAGCGAGAGGAACGTGAAGTAGAAGAGGACAAGTTCAGCTTTAAGCAGAGAGACATGCAAGAAACTCATGAACTCTTATGTATGTGACACATTCTCATGGTTAATGTCATAACATATATCCGCCATCAATATTATATGCCACTAATTAACCTCTACAGCACTTGATCCTGGAACCTTTAAGATGCCTTTAACCTTCATCAATCTTCTAATCTTAGCAACATCATCCCATCTTCTATTAGCAGCAAAAATATTAGACAGTAACACATAAACACCACTATCTTCAAACTCCATCTCTAAAAAGCTATCTAATATCTCTTTAGGAAGCTCCATTAATGTTCCTCTACTCTTACAAGCACTAAGAATAGCTCCACATATAAGCACATCCGGTTTAACCGGCATCGCTTTAACAAGCTCCAATGCTTCATCCAACAATCCAGCTCTGCAAAGCAAATCAATCAAGCATCCATAATGCTCTAGCTTAGGGGATAGATTGTATTCTCTGCTTTTCATCTTATGGAAATATCTCCTCCCTTCATCTACTAAACCCGAGTGGCAACAAGCGTTTAACACCGCGAGAAAAGTCACCTCGTTCGGCTTAAAACCGAGCTTAACCATTTCCTCGAAACGTCTAAGGGATTCATCTCCATGTCCATGGATAGCTAAACCACCTAACAGAGCATTCCAAGTGTACACATTCTTACTTTTGATCTCGCTGAAAATCTCCAAAGCTGTTTCGATGTAGCCACATTTCGCATACATATCGACAATAGCGGTTCCAATATGCGTATCCCATTTGATTCCAGCGCTTACAACATACTCATGAATCCATCTTCCGTAATCCACAGCTCCTAAGCTAGCACAAGCAGAGAGAACACTTGTAAGTATATGCCCATCTGGTTTTACACCCGAAGATGTTTGCATCAGAGAAAACAACTCAATCGCCTCGTTAGACTTTTTACACTGAACCAGCCCACTAATCATACTATTCCAAGAAACTTTATCTTTGTTTTGCAATTCACCAAAGATTCTCTTGGCATCGCACAGTTTCTCACATTTCACATACATATCTACGAGAGCATTTCCAGTCTCCAAGCTGATCAAATATGCCTTCTTCAAGATCAATCCATGGATTCCCCGCCCTAAAGCTAAACACCCTACACGCCCACTAGCGACCAACGCACAAACAAACGTAGCCAAATTAGGCTCAACATCCATCTTTGAAAACACATCCAAAGCCTCTTTATACAACCCAACCCTCGAGAAACCAGATATAATGCCAGTCCAAGAGATTACATCTCTAACAGGCATTTGATCGAACACTTTACATGCACTCCCTGAATCTCCGCACACACCGTACAGATGAACAAGCGAGTTTTGCACATAGATATCATCGGAGAAACCCATCCTGGTGACGGTTCCATGATACTGTTTCCCTTCTCCGACCCCTGAAAACTTCCCACAGGCCTTGAAAACTGGAGGAAACGTATACATGTCCGGCGAAAAGCCATTACTCACGAATGTTCGGTATACAAGAATCGCCACTCTCGGTTTATCGCAGACCGCGTAGCTTGATAGAAGCGTGTTGTACGGAAAAGAGCTCAACGCACGACGGATGCTGTGGAGAAACACGCAACCGTAAGATGCAAAGTCGGCGGATTTACCAAGAAATGTCACGACTTTGTGGAGGACTAAGTCATTGCGAAGAAGGTCACGAGTGATCAATTGGGTCTGTATCTGTTTGAAAACACGGAGAGAGCTGCATAGGCTTGTCAATACCAAAAGAAATGATTTCTCCGAAAAATACATAACAATTACTTTTTTTAATTTTAGTCGCAAATAGTAATCAGAGAATCACATGGGATTTCTCTGTTAATCTGCATTTGCGAAATGAGATCAATCCACAGAACGAACACGAAAGAGCCAAATTTGAATAGAAGTAGAAAAGATAAAAGAAACAGAGCATGAGGATGACGAAATGAGGAAATGGTCTTGTTATTGGGCCTGGGCCTTTTAATCAAATTGGGCTTTTCTATAGAATATCTCGTCGAACGTCATCTTCTCCGCCGGAGAAGAGAAAACGGTTTAGTTGCAGACAGGCAATGCATTGTGGATGTGCTTTCGCTTCACCAGCAGTGTCTCCACGTCTGCCATTTGAAATCAATGTCTCAGTTTCAAAGCTTCGAGCTTTACCAGCTCAATCACCTAAAACCCAGATTCAGATAAACCCTTCCGATGATCTCTTTATCGAAGGTTCAGATAAATCTCCGGCGAGTAGGGTTTCGTTACCGTCTCATGTGAATTCCATCACCAGCACCTCAAACCCTTTTGTCAAACACTGCTTGAAGCTCCGCCAAAGCTCCTCTTATCGCCACGCACATGGCTCTGTTCTCGTCGTCGGAGCTATCCCAATCAGGTAATTTTCGACTGATTTCGTTATTATCCTTGTCCTTGATTGCTGCGGAGAGATTTGTGGAAAGTAGTTTCATTTTCATGTGCAATTGAGTTTCAAGGTGATAACTTTTTAAAGGCATTGTTCACAGTGAAGTATGTATGTTCCAAACGAAAAAGCAAGGAATCACCACTGAGATTGACTGTCTACTTCTTCACGAAGAAGCTCAGATTCCAAAAGGATTGAAGCGTCTAAGTATACGCATTGTTCGAGTAAGTTCTTCAGTGATGAAGAAACTCTCTGGAGTCCAGTCTACTGAATCTGTTGAAGCCATTGCCTTGATGAGAATCCCTACCAGCTTCATCGATCTTAAAGATGATGAAGACATCATCACAACAGATTGCAGCAAATGGTTCCCTTCTGCTCACAGAGTTCTTGTTCTGGACAGGATACAGGTTAATTTGTTCCCTTGCTAAAGCTGTTTCGAAACGAAATGTTAATGATCAAGAAAGTAAAGTTGGATCGGTATGTTGTTGTTACAGGACCCGGGGAACCTTGGAACATTAATCAGATCAGCTATGGCTTTTAACTGGGTATAAAGGATCAGCCTTTCTTCTCAACTCAATACCAAAAACTGCGATTTTAGGATGAATCTCTGATTCATATCTATATCTGGTTGATGTTTCTGATAGGATGGTGCATTTCTGCTTCCGGGTTGTTGCGATCCGTTTAACGACAAAGCTCTTCGAGCAAGCCGAGGAGCTTCTTTTCAGCTCCCCATAGTTTCCGGCGACTGGAACCACCTCAAGCTTCTAGAGCATGGGTTCCAGATGAAGCTATTAGCTGGTCATCCAGCAACTTCTACTCAGAAACCGAAACCCGTCTCCAAACTTTCCCTGGAGTTTGCTCAATCTTTAGCGGAGAAGCCCTTATGCTTGATCTTAGGCAGCGAAGGGCACGGTTTGTCTGAGGAGTCACGACAAGTATGCGAGCTTGTGAGCATTCCCATGGCGGGTGAATTTGAATCTCTTAACGTCTCTGTTGCTGGTGGCATTTTCTTATTCACGCTTCAACCTTGTTCCGGTTTTTAATCTTATATAATGCTTATAAACAATCATATCAGAATCCAAATAAATTCCATATATAATATTTCAAAACATAGATCGAAATCAGTAAATCGCAAATCTATACAACTATAGTCTCCTAAGAATTGTGTAAAGAAAAAGAAAAACCAAAAAATACTAACTACTCTATGAATCTAAAAGTCTAGAAGGACCCTTCAAGACGAATGTAATCATACATAAGACCTTCGAACGGTCCAAACGCTTTAGCCTGACGTAGATAAATCGTGTTGGTCCCGGTTCTTAGTAACCTTCCGGGCACAGCGATGCTGTAAAGCCTGTAGGCTCCATGGATTCCATGTCTTGCTATAGCATTATCTCTTCCGATGTAACCCGTAGAGAAAAGTGGCATCGAGTATTCGTTGTTGAACCGTACTTGTAGATTAGCCCGTGAAGCCGAGGCTAAAGCTAGCTGCAATGTGTATCTGCCTCGCCAGTTCACATATGGGAGATGAAACACGATCTGCCATGTCGTTGGTTCGTAGGTCAAATCATTGATTTTCCTGCAGAAAAATAATCGAATTAAGATGTCAAAAAGACTTAATTTTTATTCAATCAAAAGAGTTATTTATTTATTTACATGATGCTTTTTTTTACCTTGTGACATGAGCGTAGAACCAGTCTTGAGCATAGTTACTAGCACCAATTGTGTAGACGAGATCATGATTCGGATATAACTCTGTGTATCGTTGCCACAATCCGTACTGCCTAAACCTGTAAGAACAGAAAAACCGGAATAATTAGAACCAGAACCGGTTTTGGAACAGTATGAACCGGGATCATGAGGAATTAAAAGACTTACTTGTCTGTGTGATTTAGGTACAAGGGATTCATTGTATCCTTGTATGGTTCCGGTACAAAGTATTCTCGGGCGGTTCGATCCGGTACACCGATCTCCCACAACGTTGGACCGTTCCTAGGAGGAACGAACACGACTCTGTCGAGATTAACCTCGGAACCGGCAACTACGGTAACACTGTTTTCGTATCGAAAGTCTCCGATAAAACCGGTAACCCATCCGTACAGATTGTAAGTTCCCGGTCTAACGTTATCAATCGTGAAAAATCCGGTTTCGTTCGTCTTTGTCCAAAATTGATATCCCTGAAAAGGAAAAAAAAACAATTCAGTGATCAATACATGTAATTTTAATACATCAATTACCTCAAAGTGTAATAATGATATATACCTTAGTATTTGTCTGCCATGAACCAGCTAGACCCGGCGGTGCTAAACCGATGTATGCAGATTGTGCCGGAGTCAAGAATCTGAATATTGAAAACAGTTCCCAAAATAAATAAATAAAATTAATAAAAAGTCAAAAGTAAATAAATATTATTATTTTGGATTTGTGTGTGTAAGTATACCTGTCGTTGACAAATAGTCTACCGGTAACGGTTCCTCTTTCTCGACGAGAAGGAAAGTCAGAGGATGCTACAAAATCGTACGGCCAGGCTTCAACTTCTTGTTCGGTCTGAAGTTTTAATAATGTAAGTAAACTAAAGTGTCTTCTTTATAAATTAATGAAGAAATATAAAGAGGTTTTAGAGAGAAAAATAACCTGTCGTTTAGCATCTTGCCATAATAAATCGCGAGGATTATTGCCGGTAGAATCAGAGTTTAAGTAGATAAAAACAGGTCCCAAGACCTTTTTCCACGCTTCACCAGCTCTGTACCGTGTCTCCATGTCCGCACCAACATAATGCACGCTTATAAAGGTCTGCATTATTAAATCAAATTAATTAAAATATTTCTAATTTTTTTTTATAAGATTATTAATTAGTCTTGGATCAATATTTACCGTGAGGGCCGTAGGACCGACGTGTGACGTGAGCTCTTGTTTGACCGGTCCACCAGAGCGGTACTCACCGCTCGGTGAGATAAGCCAGAAACCGACGTGGGACTTGGTTGAGATCCACCCATGCACCTTATTGTCCTTAACCTCACATGAGTACTGGTACTTATCATCCACCTAATATCATTCAATTTAAACAGTCAAAACTCGGTTCTTCTAAACTGAATTAACTTAAATTTACTAGATTTTTAACCCGTAGAATTTCAATAAACCTATAACTTTTTAATTCCGATCATGTAGATAAGTTACCTGGTTTCTGAACTTAAGGTTATGAGGATGAGTCAGTTCTACAGCCTCTTTGAAAGCAAGAGCCTTGGCATGACCAAGCTGGATGTTACGGTCATCGTCCGTCGGCATTTCTCTTTGTCGATTATCCGCCACCACCATATAATGGAATCTGCAAACAGATTTACACCGAATTTAAATAAACTTTGTATAATCAAACAAGTAACAAAATATTAACGTTACTGTGAGATCATATCAAATACCTATCAGGGTTGAGTTTGAATGCCATTCGAATCAGACCCATCTCGACTTCTGGCCACTGGGGAAGTCTCTCGAAGATTCCGTATGTGTAGATTCCAGAGGTATTTGTACGTATAATATACCTCTTGTCTACGTTTAATGGGATATGAGAATCACCACTCCATGTTCTAGAGAACGAAATCTCCACTTGTTCTTCGTTTTGAGTTATGATTCTAAATTTGGTTCCTTCGATTCTGATGAACAACAAAAGATAGAAAAACAAGTTTAAGTGAATTATCAAACCGAACATAAGTTATATATAGGGTTAGTTTTATTAAATACTTATTCAACTGACAATTCAGAGAGCTGTATTAAATTAAAGTAGTTTACCTATCCAAACCGCGAATGTTTTCTCCTTGCCATGTTATGTCCCAGTACCTACATTACACAAAAAAATTAATTAATCAGAACTAATTTACTATACTTACATAATATTTGCTTATGGAATACAAATTGATTAACACAATATTAAATCACTAAAAATTAGTTACCCTCGAGCTCGGATATGCGGATTAAGGACATTATCGATTCCTTTGTATGTGATCCCAGTTATAAGTCCTTGAGGACTCGAGAAACTGACTCTGATAATCCCATTGTCCACTATCACCTGAAAAAATAATATTAATTTAATTCTTAGCATATATATTTGCTAAGATATTTGTCTATTATTGATAAAAAAAACATGTTGTTGTTACTTATAATTGTATACCTCTCTACTTCCATCATGTCTGTTTCTTATCTGCTGCACTGTTGGAGCACTTATTCCATTTAAGTTCCTGTAGAATATCAATAATTACAATTAAATAACGTCGATGCATTGAATTGAAAACGCTCGATGTACATACATAAAATTAATTGAAGTTAATTATAACGCAAGGGAGATTTAGGGTTTGTTTTTAATGTTAGACACACAAAATTTTTAAAAAAATCGTAAAACAAGACTCTTAGACACACACGGTTTAATCCTAAAATCAAATTAAAAGTTCTTTTTGGTTAATCATCAAATTCTAGAATATCTTCGTACTCAACACGAAAAAAATACAATTGCTAGCGTTGAACAAACGAAATATGCATGAGATTTTGAGAAACATGTGAAACAGATGTGGTATTGTGAATATAACTTATCATGAAGATAAAAACTAAACTGACCTTGTCGGCTCGGAAAACGCGATTGAAAGAAGCAACAGCAGGAAACAGATCATTGTCGAAGCTATCTTCTTCTGCGAAATCATCATTATCTTCAAAATCTCCAGATCGAATTTAGTGTAAGAATTTTAAAAGCGGATGCATGCATATTTATACATGCTTGTGTGGTTAAACAAAGTCCAAGACTAAACAGGAATAGGTGCACCAAAACCTAACAAGGAGTTACTTTGACTTATGACATTAGAATTCTAATCCTAATAGGACTCAGTTTCGTATAGATGAATACTTTTCTTCATAGATGAATGAATACGGATTAATATATTTAATTGATTGTCATTTCTATCTAATTTCCTTTTTCGCTTAATACGGAGGTAAAAATGTATTGATTAAGATTTTGCAATAATTAGTCATTGGAAGTTTCCCTCATAGAAAATATTAATCTTCTGAGAGTGTCCATCTTTGGAGTGTTCATATATTATGAAATTTTGTGTCGCATATTTGCATTTACTGACGATGAACAAATTGTAACGTTGGTTTGATTGCATGTTTTATTTGTTGTGAAATGAGCTTTTTGAAAATGTATTTTATATTAGTAATGTTTTATGTACGTACTTGTATGAAAAGCAGTATTTTTCACTAAAAAGTGGAGTAGTATTTATGTTTTATAAGTATTTAAAATACCTGATTGAGTAAATATTATATCATTTTCTGTTTTACCTCAAAATATTTGAGTAATTAAATCGTGTAAAAAAGCGAAATTAGCACATGTGAGCTTAGACAATGACAGCTAAAAGAGGCAATGCAGAGATTGAAGTTCGCAATCCAATTGAGCTTAGATCCGTCCGATGACGATCGTTAAACCGTCACAGCTCTCTCTCTCCGGCGGATCCTCGCCGCTATGTTCACTCAAAGGATCACTCCTCACCGTCGCCGTTCTCACTTTCGTCTCCCTCTTCTACCTCTCTCTCAATTCCTTGCGCACTTCGCCGCCGTCTCTAGGACCGATTCAGGTTCCTCAGACCTTCGTGAAGGAAGACAGTGGAGTTAATACTGATAACGACGGCGCACCGGCTGAGGAAGATCATTATTCCGATGTTTATCACTCGCCGGAGTCGTTCAGGTTGAATTACGCCGAGATGGAGAGGAGATTCAAGGTTTACATATACCCCGACGGGGATCCCAACACGTTTTATCAGACGCCGAGGAAAGTCACCGGAAAATACGCCAGCGAGGGTTACTTCTTCCAGAACATCAGGGAGAGTCGATTCCGCACCCTAGATCCAGAGGAGGCGGATCTCTTCTTCATCCCCATTTCTTGTCACAAGATGCGAGGCAAAGTAAGAATTTTTCCGACTTGAATTCACTAAAACTGCAACTTTTATCAGGAGAGGATCTCTTGTGTGGCCAATTTGGGGATTCAACTATCTTCTGGGACTATTTGATGAGATTGTTGCTTCTTTCTGCAGGGAACATCATATGAAAACATGACTGTGATTGTTCAGAACTACGTTGATGGGTTGATATCTAAGTACCCTTATTGGAACAGAACCTTGGGAGCTGATCACTTCTTCGTCACCTGTCACGACGTTGGTGTTAGAGCATTCGAAGGATCTCCGCTCCTGATTAAGAATACGATTAGGGTTGTGTGCTCACCGAGCTACAACGTCGGTTTCATTCCCCACAAAGATGTTGCTCTGCCCCAAGTTCTTCAGCCATTTGCACTCCCTGCCGGTGGAAATGATGTTGAAAACCGGTAAATGAAACTAGCTCCTTATCTTCTTTCATCACTTGTGCCTTTGTTTGATGCATCCATTAGCTAAGCATTAGTCCCAAGTTTGCTGATGTTCAAGTTTATAGCTTGGCTGCTAAAGATTGTTTGGAATGCTAGTGTTGTTGGCTCGTTTTTTCCTTGATTTTACTAGTTTCAGGTTCCATGTTGCTAATACTGTTAAACTGTTTTGTACAGGACGACGCTTGGTTTTTGGGCGGGTCATCGGAATTCGAAGATACGGGTGATACTAGCCCGTGTGTGGGAAAACGACACAGAGCTCGATATATCGAACAACAGGATCAACAGAGCAACGGGGCATCTAGTATATCAGAAGAGATTCTACCGGACTAAATTCTGCATTTGCCCCGGCGGTTCTCAGGTCAACAGCGCTCGCATTACCGACTCCATCCATTACGGATGCATCCCTGGTACGTTTCATGTTCTTCGTATACTCTCTCTCTTCTCTCTGTGAGAAGGAGACTGAGCTAAATCGCATCTTGTTGTTGTGGACAGTTATATTGTCAGACTACTACGACCTCCCTTTCAACGACATTCTAAATTGGAGAAAATTCGCGGTTGTACTCAGGGAGCGAGATGTCTATGACCTGAAGCAGATCCTCAAGAACATACCACAAGCTGAGTTTGTTTCGTTGCATAACAACTTGGTCAAGGTACAGACAAAACTTTTCACCCCTTTTCTCCAATATTTGTTGTATACAAGAAGCTGATTGGGTCCTTGCTTGTTGTTGTGCAGGTGCAGAAGCATTTTCAGTGGAACTCACCTCCTGTCAAGTTCGACGCATTTCACATGATCATGTATGAACTATGGTTACGCCACCAAGTCATCAAGTACTGATCAACGACTAGTTCTTTTTTTTTTTCCAACCCCGTAGACAAGGTCCCAAACAAGAAAAAAACAAAAAAGCTAGTATGTACAACCCTTGTAAGTTTTTTAATATCATAGCTTTATAACAGTAACAACACACATTACATTCTTTGAGGAAAATTCATTATTCTTGTGTATCGTCTACTCCCTCTCTCTCTCTCTCTGTACTATATTCAGAAACGCAAACGCAAGATTTGAGGGTCACTGTTTGAGAAACATGTAATATTCTCAATTTCTCATCAACGTTTTTTTCTTATAACAAAACCTGCAAACTCTATTCGTGAGAAGCTGTTCTTCCATATATCAAGAACATTTTGAGTTTCTGTGTAAAAGCTACTGAAAAGAATGAAACAGGAGCTTAAACATGTACTAGCAGCATCTGCAACCGAAAATCTGAGCAACTCTTTTTGGCAATGAGTAATCAGCTTGCATTTCAGGGTCCACCTCCATGTCCTCGGCTCGTGACCACTGATATACTCCCCGCTCTTCTTTACTACCAGGTACGGTGTTGTCCAGTACGAAAGCCAGTAGAAAGGTTACAACCATATTCAGAGACAGCACAGCGTTCATCGCGAAATCCAGCTGCAGATTGCATAAGAGAGAGTTACTCAGGTCATCATCGTCCACCGAAAAATGCTGAAACCAAGGCAAGAGAAGGAGAAGAAGAGCCGCTTACTTGCTCGATCCCCGTTTGAAATGGTCCGCTTGAGGCGGCTCCAAAGGGCAGGTAATAGCTCGGTAGTATTAGAGTGTTTAGCGGCTGGTACTGCTGGAGATAAGCAGGGATGGATAATCCAAGAAACAATGATACTCCAACTATGGTTATGTTCCTAAAGCTCGCACTTTGTGTATACCGAAGATTCGATAGACCTAGAGCCACTGTAAGTGCCCATATGAAGCATAACACCGAAGCTGCCAAAGCCTGTGGTATTGAAGCAAGAACCGCGCCTAGTTTTCCTGTCAGGTTTTAGGAATTTAGAAGAATAGAGTAAAGGGTCATGATAAAGATTTTACACTTTGGATCAGTCATTGGATGATGCTTACCCACAAATGAAAACACTATCAAGAACATAGCTCCGATCACCAAAGCTCTTCGGCTAGCCACCTTGGTGATGTTGATTGTATGAATATTCTCGGTTAAAGTGGTTGATCCGGTGCCTGAACCCCAAATCCCAGCCAATAAACTGCAAAAGCCTTCTAATGCAACACCTCTACTTACAATTCCTCGTGTAGGTCGCTTAGCATTCACTAACAGAGATGTAGAATGATAAGTTCCAACCTACAAGTATACAAATTCTAACCATTTTTAGCAGCAAGATCACACCTTCAAGGAGGGAAGGGAAAGAGGAAGGAGAGTACCTACCGAATCCACTGATGCAACCATTGACACAAAGATCATAATGATACAAGTCCTCATGTGAAAAACCGGAAGTCCCCATTGAAATGGATAAGGGATTCTGACCCAAGGAGCAGTTTCCCAAGCATTTGAAGCATCTGTTCTGCAATGTTTCATAGTGTAGGCGTGCTTCTTACATTCGTCTATCAAGATGTTAGAGCTTGGTATGTCGGCGTTGCAGCCTCTGTAGTCATAAGCCCCACCAAGAGTTAAAAAGAATGCATATGTCCATACGATGAGAGCACTCAGAGGCACCTGGCAAACATGATCAGCAACATGATTTTTTTAGTAGAGATTTCTTAAAACAAAGATTGAAACTTAACCAGAGGGTTACATTAACAATACCGCGTAAATTCGGAATAACCGATGCCCAAAGAGTGAAACTCCACGAAGATACTGAGAAAGTGTGAAAGCAAAATCCCATATCAGAGAGAGACAGAGAGAAACATGGCTCTCTAACATTATTATTATTATTCAAGTTGAGGCAAATCCTTACCAATGTGAAAACGAGAAGCAAGAGTATTACGGGAATGCTGATCTCAACACAAGTGCCGGCTTGTGGAAATCCATAGCTGAAGAATGCTAGTCCTACTGCAGCTACTGTTGGAGCTACTACGACAGGACTTATAAATCTGAAAATCATAGGTTAAGGAAACATATATAGTTAGAGTTAAAACAAAATCTGATATCTATTGAGTTTTTAACTAAAACCAAGAATCTGCTAATCATTACCTAAGAAGGATAGACATGAGACCACTGAATCCTAATACGCACTGGAACAATGAACCAACTATTATAGCCCCCTGTAATTCTCTCATTATGTCTCGAAATTTCTGCGCAGGATTGAGAAAACACACAAGTTTACCGCAAAAAGTTTCCAAGGAAATAAAAAAATCATATTTTTGGTCTATATATATTTGTTGAATGCTTACATGCTCGGTGAGGTTCCTGAACTTGTCCGAGTTGGTGACAACCAAAGTAGGGGCCAAGTAAACAAAGGAGCTTCCTTGAACCAAGGGAAGACGAGTACCGAGACAAGAGTGAAGTATGGTTGTAACTCCGGTAAGAAGCAGCATTGTTGAAATCACTGCGGCGGTATCTTTCTAGTCCATCATCATAAGTCCAAAGTAATCATCAAGAAACCAAAACAAACAAGTTTTTTTCACAGAGGAATCAACGGAAGAAGAAGAAGAAGCTTACATCGGAACCATCCATGGCTGGTACAATGACTAGAGGTATAAGCACAAGTGAGCCAGCAAGTGACATATAATGTTGCAAACCATAATAGAAAAGTGGAACTGCATTTCACAAAAAAAACAAAGAATAAATTAACAAAAGAATCTTCCACAGCATGTGTTCAAAGAATCTTCCTGATTAACCAAACGAAGCACAAAATTAACCGTTCAGAAAAAGCTACAGTTTCATTTAGTGAGATTTAGAAAACTAACCGAAACCAGGATTATCTCTAAGACCATACTTCATTACAATGGGTTTAGGCCATTCTCCATCTTCTGCTTCTCCACCGCCTGGATAGTAAAACCCATTTTCCAAATCCTTACTGATTTTCCCGCCTTCATTCTCCGACGAAGTCTCAGCCGCGTCTCGATCCTCATTCCGGTTCAGTCGTCCTCTCTCTTCCTCTCCAAGGCCCGTTTTTGACCCGGAATCAGATCCGGTTACGTCTCCCAGAATCGGGTCGATCTCGGTTTTACGAGACGACCCTTGACCTAGTTGAGCTCTGCCTTTTGGCAAATCAAACCCTGAGCTCTCACTGAACTTGGTACGAGTACTCGTGCTGGTTTCGCCGGAGTAATCGGAGACAAACCCAGTCTTCTTGGCCCAGGATCTTAGGTCTCTCGGGTTCAAATCCTTTTTCGGTAGAAATGGTTCTACCCTCTTTAAGAAAGCACCGAACTTTCTGTCGCCATTACCACTCCCTTTCCCCTTATTACCATTATCCGGATCCAAACCCGACCCGGAATCCATTTTTTCCGAAATACTCAGCTAATAAGAGAGACTAGAAGCTTGATCAGAGGCGAACTTACGAGCTGTGAACTGAGCTCTTTAACTTCAGTGTAAGCTTTTAAGCTTTCTTCTTCCTTCTCTTTTTCGCTTTTTTTGCTAATTTTGGCTCTCAAGTGAGAAACAGAGCGTAACGTAACTTCTCATTGTCACTCATGTCGCCATCACCTATCAGCGGTTTGTCTTTACCTCTTATGAATTACTAAACTACCCTTCTTATGTGTGCTTTCACATTGATCATATTGGGTATTCAGGTCCCCAATTAATAAAGCATTTCTCTTTTGTACAATATAATTAAGAGTAAGGCCAATGAAAAAGTTTGCTTTAAGACTAAGTCTTCAACATTAGCTGCTTAATCATGATAATTTACTTACTCAACGACGGTGGATGCTTTTAGTAGAATCACTTCCCATTATTCTTATGTCAAAATTGTACCCTTTTTCGTTTAAACCAAGTACTTTGCAAGTGCGATCTTGAAAGTTGAGATCACAACAAATTCACACACATATATATATCCATTTAAAATAAATACGTACAGAGGATGTTTACAGAGAATTTACAATGGCATTAATGTTTCTATATACAAAAAGATCAGTGGTAGTTAATTATATTACATACAATCTGCAATCACTTCAAACTCAGTCTTGAGGAAGAAGAGAGTTATGATACAGGACAAAATAGATACAAGAGTATATACATCACTCTATGTATATATATACATTGAAGACTTATAACATGAATTTTCCAACTCTAATCAATAATCCCCTCCATCACCATCGATTCCAACCCTTAGCACTGCTTCTTCTTTCATCAATCCCTTATTCCTTTCCCAGGATCAATGTTGACTGTTCTCCTCCATTTCTTTCTGGATTTTGATCTGTCTTCTGGATCAATATAACCAGATTTACATCATCTAAATATGAACCCAAATGTGCTTTTGCTCCATAGATTTTCCAATCCCACGTTGCTTTTTTTTTCTTCCTTTTCTTTTTTTTTGGTCTTGATCCGTTTCCAGGATGCAATACCCATCATCTATATCTAAACCATAAAACAACTTGTGCTTCTCTCTTTTTTGTTCTCTTTTTCTTTCCCACTTCCTTTTCCTTCTTTTTTTTTTGAGTTTTCAGGATTAATGTGGTAACCAAAATGATTCTTCAAAGCGTATTAGCGAACTAAAACTACTAACTAACTAGCTAACTACAAAAGGAAGAGACCTGGTCAAAGGTTCTGCAGCGATGAAAGCCATTGCTCCATGTAGTTCTTCCCATCTGCACATTTCATTACAAGTGAACAGAACTGAATCAGAAAAGTTTGCACTTTGGAGTTTGGACTAAGGACAACAAAAATTGTTGAAACATCAACAGCAAAAGATTCAGAGCAAGTAAGAGTTCGTACCAGGAGACAATCCGTTGGGGAGATTCTTGACAGCAGCCAAGAGCTGGTTATTACTAGAGCCTTCGACGACAGCTCTGTAACAAGGAACGAGCACTAAGAAGCCACCATCATCTCCTTCCTCGTCGCCTTGGAAACCAGGCCCATGTGGCTCAGTCCATCCAACAGACCATTCAGGCCCATCAGCAGCAGCAGCAGCTACAGATTCTGCTGAGCCAGACGAACCAAAGCTCTCAAGCTCCAGCTCCTTCCTCTTGATCACTCTTCCTTTGCCTCGATTTATCTTTGTAGGGAACTTAAGAGCTTCTGTCTCTTTCTCTTTTCTACCACCTAATAACCACCAAGGCCAACTCGGGATCTGTCTCTTCATCATTTCAACAATCGGATTTGTTTTTACTCTTTCTGGAAATCGAGCCCAGTTTCAGGCAATCCCACCATTAATCTGGTGAGATACCACAGGAAAACAGAAAACCCTTTTGGCAAATGAATCAGAAGAAATCAACGGTTTAAAGAATGGATGAAGAAAAGCAGCTGATCTTAGTGAAATTTAACAGCCAAGTAATGAAAAAATGTCTAAAATCAACAGAGTTAGAAAAGAATGAAAAAAAAAAGGACAAAACTTTCGAGCTCGATTCCCAAGAAAGAGATGAGCTTTTCTTAAATCTTCGAAAGAAACAGGAAAAGGAAGATCACAAGCTCACCATTGAAAACCGGCGAAACAAAGAATGCTTCACCAGAAATCGGTAAAGAGCCCTAGAATTTGGAGACGATGAAATCAAGTGAGGCTCGAAGAAATTCAGGACCAGTAAAGCGATGAAATCAAGTGAGGCTCGAAGAAATTCAGGACCAGTAAAGCGATGAAATTATACGGAAAAAAAAACTTGCCCAAATTATCTATCGTCCTCTTCCATAATCTCTCTTATCCCTCCGACCAAATTTGTCCCTTCTACTCAAGAGCTAGTCGTCTTCTTCTGCGAATTTATAATTGGATTTCTCCAATCTTTTGGTTTTAGTTAGATCCAACGGCCACAAATTTGACGATCGTCCCATCCAATCATTAAACAACAATTATATGATTGACAACAAATATATGTAAATACTAGTATTGTTTATTTGATTAATTAAAGAAGAAATAAATAAAAACCATGAGTTCCTATCTACCGTTGATTTGTGGACAAGTGGATCCCTACAACGGTACAAAATTGATGATGTGTCATATTTTATCCAATCGTTTTTGCGTGTGTATGAGGCTCAAGTTAAGGACACGTGGGGAACTCATCTGCCCTTGGTTTCTGACGACTATTTGTTGCTTTTTTAACTCGTGGTGATTACGAGGAAAATCTTAGAGATAAGGCTTTAAACCGTACTTTTCAGCGAATCTTCTAGAAATACTGCTGGAAATTCCGGTTAAACTATAGTTTAGTCGTTATAGATTCTTTAACTGATTTTTCGTTGACCATCAAAAATATTGCTTATTTGTAGATAATATTTGTGGGAAATATATAATCTTATCTAAAAACTAAATATTCACGAGTACAACAAACAAAACAATTAACGTAACTGGTCCGGGGAATCTATTGATTGATGCCGCCGTACTCTATATCATTTATCTTATATCTGTATGTATTTGCTCTTATTAACGTGTTAATTTTGGATAAAACTACAAAACTTATGTTAACTATTTTTTACAAGCATATTAGAAGTACATCTACTGTTTTGTATTCACGGGCTGGGCCGGGAATACAAATTAAAAGTCCTGCTGAGTTAATGAAATCATATTATTTATCGTTACATGATTTGATTTTGTATAAAACGCTACACAATAAAAATTTTTTAAAACGATGTTTAAATAGAATTGATTTTGTTTTTGTAGGACATATTCTCTCATACATAACGTTGACGTATGTATGTAGGAATAAAATACATGTGCACGTAAACGTAACAATCCCTCACAAGTTTATTGATGATAACGTGGAAGTTACAGTAACATCTTCTTGCACAGGAATTTTTCTTCCTTCCCATATATTTTTCTTTTGTTATAAAAGCGTTTAAATTTTCCATAATGATTTTTTTCATCGAGTGCAGAAATATTGATATTTAAATGAATGGGCTGACATTTGTAAAAGCCCATACTACATATGGGCTTAGATATAACGTTGAGGGGGAAGTCAATTAACGGTGTTAACTGGATCTCCGTCTGCACATTTTAAATTTAAATTTTCCCCTTTCTCCTCCAACGGCTCCTTTTGCTCGAAAAATCCCTCAGATTGTTTTCTCTCTCTCTCCTCTGCTCCCATTTTCTCTAATCCTGAAGAATTTGATCAGATCAACGGATTTTTTTAATGGAATTTTCTGTTTGAAGATTCTGTATTTCGTATCAGGTAATCGATTTTTAGGTTGTTTCGTGGATTTCCGTTTCCTGGGTTTGACTGTCTATGAATTAGGGTTTGATTTCTTTCGCACCCGAGTCGATAAGTAGCCTTTTAGATTTGAAGATGTTTGATTTTCAATGGAGATTCGCGAAAAAAAAATTCACCTTTCTCTAGATTCATGTATTTTCTATGTAGTGTGACTGTAAAGTGTAATTATTTGGCTCAATAGTGACGAATTTCAGATTGAGTCACTGTATGTTTTCTGAATTACGCACAGATCTCTTAGGGCTTGATCTCGTTTTCCTCCTTCAATTTTGTAGTAATTTGAGATGATAACTGGTGTTAAAGGTCGTTAAATGTTGGCTTCTCTGTTTATCAATTTAGTTTCATTCATTTTCTCTGTTATATGCTCTTTTCTCACTTTCTTCATTTCTCTAGATCTGTGGAATCAAAGGTAACTGCTGAAGGATTTTGCTTGAACATGGCTAAAATGGAGAAGGTCTATGCAGAGCTGGATGAAGTAAGAGCCGCGAATGAAAATCTCAGGATGGAGTTTCGATGCAAAACGGAGCTTCTTGACAACCTAAAGAAGGTCCACAACGAGCTACTAGTAGAAATTGGAGAGGCGAGATCCGTAATTGAGAAGCGGGGTTTTGAATCGGAGGAGAAAACAAGAGAAATCTCTGAGCTGAAGCGAACAAACGAGGATCTGCAGCGTTGTTTGAGAGAGAAGGACTCTTCTCTCAGGTGTTTGAGTGAAGCCAATGATAAGCTTAGAGCTAACGGGGAAGACAAGTACAGGGAATTTGAAGAGGAGAGAAGAAAGTTGGTGTCAGCTTTGGATGAAGCGAGTGAGAAGAACATTGACATTGAGCAGAAGAACAATGTCTACAGGGCTGAGATTGAGGGTCTCAAAGGGCTTTTAGCATCAGCAGAGAAGAAAAAGATGGAAGCTGAGAAAACCGCCAAGTCTTTGAAAGAAATGAGAGGAAGAGATGACACGGTGATTAAACTGCAGGAGGAAAAGACTCAAGTAGAAGAGAAGCTGAAATGGAAGAAGGAGCAGTTTAAGCATCTCGAGGAAGCATATGAGAAGCTCAAAGACACGTTCGAAGCTAACACGAAAGAGAGTGAGGAAGAAAGATCAACGCTTCTAGATGAAATCTACTCTCTTCAGACTAAGCTAGATTCACAGACCAGAATCTCAGAGGATCTTGAAAAGAAGCTGCAGATGTGTAACAGTGTGCTGACACAAGAAGAGACCCGACGAAAGCATCTTGAAATCCAAGTTTCTGAGTTCAAAGCTAGATACGAAGATGCATTCGCAGAGTACCAAGATGCAAGAACACAGCTTGACGATTTGGCTGGCAAAAGAGATGAGGAAGTTGCAGAGCTGAGACACTCCTTGAGCACGAAAGAGGCTTATTATAAGGAGATGAAGTATGAGAATGGGAAACTCCAACAGGAGAACCGGGAGTTGCTGGTTTCACTGAAAGAGCTCCAAGAAGCTACAATTCAGGGATCAGGAAACTCTGCAATATCAAAGCTGAAAAACAAGTTTAGGAACTTGGAAAACATGCACAGGAACTGTTCAGCTAATCTGAAGAGTAAAGAAGCTGAGTGGAGCTGTCAACTGGAGAAGCTGGCTGAAGAGATTAATGATTACAAGTTGCAGTTGCAAAGCAAGGACGCAGCACTGAAAGAGGTCGAGTTGGAACTTGAAAACTGTCATTCTTATACAGCTAAAATGAGACTAGAGTACGAAGAGATCTCGGTTATGTTTATAGTGGTAAGTAGAACAGTCGCTGAGGCTCAGTCAAGGCTTGCAAATGTCAAAGATGAACAAATCAAGGATGAGCAGAGAGAAGAGAAAAACTATTCTGTATTGATTGAGCAGCTAGAACAAAAGAATGATGCGCTGGCCAAGGCACATATAGAGATTGAAGCAGAACGTGAAAGGGTCGGGTGCTTGCTGAGAAGAACTGAAATGCTGGATCATTTTGAAGTAGAGAATCTCCAGATGCAGAAGGATGTAGATTGGTACAAGGAAACACTTGAGGAATCAGCTAGATTCCAAACTCAGATGAAAGAAAAAATGAAAGAGGCTGAAGATGATTATGAAGAGAAACTGCTGCAAGTCTGTGATGCACTTGACAACACAAACTCGGACCTCGTTGCTGAACGTGAGAAGGTGGTGGGTTTAACAATGCAGATTGAGTCCTTGGGTATTGTCAAAGAGAAGAATCTAGTGATGGAAAACGAAATTCAGAAGTGTAAGGAGTTGCTGGAGGAATCAGAGAAGTGCCGGGTGCTTTTAGAGGAGAAGATTTCGCAGCTTGAAAGTGATTTCAAGAAGAATATTAGAGAGCTCTGCAGCAAGGTGGACACTGCATATGCCAAGTTGGCGGAAGAGGTTGAGAAGAATGTCTCATTGGTAAGAAAAGCTGAGTCCATTGATGAAAGAGAAGAGCATAGACAAAGGGAGCTTGATCATTACAAGGAGATGCTTGAGGAGGCGACCAAAATTCAACTTGTCTCACAAGAGAAAGTTCTAGAATTGGAAAAAGACACGGAGAGGAAGCTTGCTGACGTTTGCGAGGCTTTAGAAACAGCGAATTTGGAATTGTCTGATAAAACATCTGAAGCGTACCAGCTTGAGTTTCAGCTATGGGTCTGGAAATCTATTGCTAAAAGGCTAAAAGCCGAAGTCGAGCAAAACCTGAACCTGCGGAAAAGAGTTGAAGCTTCTCTTCTTGAACAGGTTGGAGTTGGAGAAGCCATTAGGCAAGAGAGAAACGAGCTGGTGCATAAACTAAAGGCAATCAGCTCTGCAAGTTCGAAGACAGCTGATTCAGAGAAAGAAACCCTTCTCCGGATGATGAGGGATAAGGACGAGTTGTTGAAGAATCTACAGAGAGAGGTAGAGTTGTTGGAACAAGAATCACTTAGACGGGACCTTGCGGATGCTGTTTTTGCGCATATAGCTGCAGAGAGGGAGTTGCAGAAAGAGAGAGAGATTCTTTCACGGGGTTTCAGAGATAAAGAAGAGGAATTAAGTCAGGTGAATAATGAGTTGGAGTGTTTTATAAGCGAATTGGAGAATGGAATGTCGAAGCTGTGTGATGAAGACACGAAGCTGATGAAAGCTTTGGAGAAAACTCGGCAACGTTGTGATGGAATTGGTAAAGAGAACGATATTGGTTCTCCAAGGCTAACAATGAAGCATGAAGAAGATGTTGCAGTTGAAGACAGGTCACCATTTAGACAACTTAACCATTAGTTTAGACTGATTCCATTTCCACAGAGAGAAAGATGTTCTTTTTTTTAATTATTAATATCTCAGTTAAACTTGTTCGTTGTGTTGATGTCTATGCTTTAACAGAGTTTTTTCAAAGTATCTGGTGCAAGAAAGTAACATGACTCCAGAAATAGAAGAAATAAAGGTGTGTTATATTGGCGATAAGTTTCTGTAACGAATAGAGGACAAAGTTTGAACCTACTAGTTAGTTACACAGTTTGCTAAATGCTTTTGAAAAAGACAAGATCTCGTCTGCAGTTTGATTTGATAGCATCCTCTAATTGATCAACCTGGTCAAAATCAACCTTGAAGGAAACCATGGTGGTACCATCTTTACCAGTATCATAGTCTTCCTTGATGTCTTGCGCTTGGCACGATTGCAGCTGCAAATACACACATATTTATATAGATACAGAGAGATCCATCAAACAAAATATCGGAAGAGAAACTCAAAAGATGATTGAATTAATGTGGATGATCATCAGAAACTCACCTGGTTGTAAACAAGACCTAAGAGATCAAACGTCACCTCGACTCCCATTTGAACCTGCAGAAACAAAAACACGGATTGATTAAGCAAGAAGAACATCATCATACAACAACAACATTGACAACAAGAACAAAAAAGAAAAGATGGCTAACTTTGGATTTGACAAGGTGAGTAGAGGCAGTTTTTAAGCAATCAGACGTAACACCACCATATGCTCTAACAAGACCTCCGGTTCCGAGTTTGATGCCCCCAAAATACCTTAATACGGAAACACCATCATCTCTCAAGATTCACTGTGTGTGTATTCAGAAAATATTCAGAAAACGAGAAACAATGACAGAACCGCACCTAATCACAACAACCATGACTCTGTCTAATCCAGAAGATGAGATTGCAGACAGCATCGGCTTTCCTGCGGTTCCCGATGGCTCACCATCATCGCTAGATCGATGTTGATCACCAACCTTAGAAAAACGATGAACAGTAGTTGAGTGCAAACATCCCAAAAGTTCCTTCATTTTTTTTTGTTTGTTTGATGGTTACTGGAATCAAATCACCTTGTAAGCCCAGCAATTGTGCGTGGCGCGAGGATCTCGGACCTGTGATAGAAACTGTTGAGCCGATTGCTCGCTGGAGATAGGACCTGCGATTGCAATGAACTTGCTCTTCTTGATCTCTTTCTCCACGGATACCATTTCTCTGATGGTCGTGAAGGCGGCGCCGACGGAATCCGAAGTCATCGAGCTCTTCGTGGAAAGCAGGGAAGCGACGGGGATTCGCCGGGGGAGAACCACCAAGGCTGTGCTTGCGGCTGCTACCGGTAGGCCCATCCGCATCTGATTGCTCCCTCCCCTCCCTCCGATCGCTCTTAACAAGGCCCACCCGTAGGCCCATTATCAGGCCCAATATCTCTAATTGAGTTTGAGTTTCATCAGTCTATCTAATACATAAGATTTATGTACTTTAGAAGATGCTTGCGAAAATATTTCATAAAAATGTTTGCAGTAAACGAGTTTTATAAATTAAAAGAATACTTATAACTGCTTTTCAAACCATATCCAATTCATTAATTTTTTTTTTTAATTTCTAAAACTCGTTTGCTGCAAATCGAACCAAAAATATGAATTCTCTTAATTTGCAACGCTAATAATTTGTTGGGATAAATTTGTTGACATCCGCATATGATTGTCATACACTCGTTTAAATTGCTCATGTTTAATTTGCTATATGAATTCACTTAACTAGCAACGAGCATGCAATCATATGATTGTCAGACACTCGTTTCATTGCATAAATTAATTTTACAAAAAACAAAAGTCCGCCAAACAATATATACTTTGAACATTTCCTAAATTATTTTATGCATTAAAAACTTAAACAAAAACAATGACGTGTTAATTTTTGTCTTAAATAAAAAAAAACCCTGTGGGGGAGAAGTGGAACATGTTGTTCTTTTTTGTACACAAGCAAACAAACAACTACTCAAAATCATTATCGGCGCCAAGAACCTGCTTTTTTATTTCACTAATCTTAGTCTTCAGTTCTTCTCTGTTCCTCTGCAAATAAAGTATAAAAATACATTCTAAAATGAGAAAAAACGACAATCAAAATAGCTGATTTAAGAAATAAACTCAGTTGACTAGGCATATTTGTTTCTTACCTTAAATAGCAAGTAACGGGTAGTGAACCAGAGCGTGTATCCAAGACCAACCACTTCCATCAGCTTAGGAAACTGAAACATCAAAAATGGAAAAAGTCACTTGGTATATATCATTTAGTTACATTTGTAGAAAGAAGGGTTTTAGAGTTTAGAGTACTAACCAAAGGAATTGATTCGAGTGAACCAACGATTGCAGAAGTTAAGTAGAGAGCAACTACTGCACCACTCCCGTACAGCAGGATTGAATATGTGTTGTCTGAGTCTAGCTGCATTAACAAATCCAACCATAACTGCTATTTAGTATCATGTTGATCAAACTTTTAAGCAAATTAGTTTTTGCTAGAGTAAGGAATTGAAAGTTCTAAGAGATACTCTATATAAATAAAAACACCCACTAATGGAAAAGTGAAAACTAAAACATACTCTCACAATATCATCGGAATCCTCATGGCAACAAACTCTTTGACTTCAGTGCAAATAGAGAAAAACAAAGGAAAAACAGTGTATAGCAAAAGGTATATACTATACATAGTCATCATTTACTTACCTAAGGGATAAACAGAACATGTAACATCATTACATGACACTTAGATGATGTTTTTTAACAATCTAAGGTATCATCATTTCAACCTCCATTTGCAAAAGAAAATGAAACGCTTTCACTAACATTCCCTGAAGTAAAACAACAAAAGCTGAGAAGTAGCTACCATATATGAAATGAAACGCTTTCACTAACATTCCCTGAAGTAAAACAAGAAAAGCTGAGATATATCTCTCAAGATAAATAATGCATACCTTTATATCGTTCAAGAACTCGAGGGCCTGTGTTTGCTCGTCTTCAGTTTGAGCTTCACTGGTCAAGTTTTCCTCTTCGCCTGCAGCTACATCCCCATCACGCTTCTCAACACCAAACTCATTGACTCCAGTTGCATTTTCTTCAGAGACTGTTTCTCCTGGGAACTTTCCAGTACACCGTAAAGTGCCTTGCCATTGAAAACGCAACGATAACAACATCAGCGAAACAAAATACAATCAGCAGATCAAAAATAATATGCAATCTATCTCCCTACTAATTGGGAGAATTGAGCTCAGGGAAACAAATTCAATTCGATAATTGAAACGGTGACGAGCCGAAGATCAAAAACATATATAGTACTAATTAACTAGGGCTATCAAAAATCATAGTTGCTAGAAACAAAAGAGCACAAAAAGGCGAGGTGAGTGAGTGAATCAAAACAGGGTTTCTAAGTTCTCGTACCGAGAGATGCAGCGTTTCGCTGGAGAGGGAGCGAGATTCTGTGAACAGCGTTTCCCGCCACATATCCACGGCGGTTGGCGCTCGGAGGTAGAGGAGTGACGGTAGTGACAGTGCAGAGCTCCATTTTCGTACGGACGCACGATGGTCACTTCAGCTTCGGAAAATATTGAAATCCTCTAGGGTTTCTCTACTCATTTAGCTGTGATTAATATTTGGATCCATACTTAGGCCCAAATATAATTTAATGGGCCCCATTATCAATACGTATCGGGCCGTATACGTATATGCGTCGTAGATATAACCGTACGAATGGCATGTATATTCAGACGGTCATACCGTGTAGCATACGTATATGCGCCATATTCATTGGTTTATATATTTTTTTTGCATTTTTTTTTTTAAAAAAGGGAGCAAACAGTTTTGAGTTTTAACAACGTACCGTAGATTAAAACAATTGGATTATATTTATACATGAATAAGGAAATGTTTTGAAGAAAGGAAATAATGGAAAAGAATAAGGAAAAAATGAAACGAATGAGAAGATTATCTAAAGTAAAAAGATGGATACAACCGACTCACCCTTATTATAAATAGAAGAATTTCTCACGAAGAGAGAGAAGAATAGTTTCCCGTAGTTATTATATTACCATTCAGATTAGACTATCTCACAGTTAATCGATGCAAGGAGGATTTGCGATTCGGGGATGTGGTGAATTGGAATTGACGAGGAAGGGGAAGGGGAAGAGGAAGGTGTGTGGGATATGGTCGTTGCCATATGATGTGGTTTTGACCTGCCTGGCTAAATTGTCGAGAGTGGACCTCGCTGCCTTATCGATGGCTTCCAAGATACACCGGCCTCTGGTGGTGTCCCCTGACCTCTGGAACTTGAGGTCGCGGATGGGTCTCCTCGAGCCATGTATGTACGTATTCTTGCACACATCTTTCCAGATCCATGGCCACGGTGGCTCATCGTGCACCCCGTGAAACGTCGGCTGAAACGGATCTTTTTGAATTTGTACCCGGCGCCGGAATCAGGATCCTGTTTCGTGGAGAGGAAAGGGGGGATCTTTGTTATCGGTGGACTCATGAACGGAAAACCCACTTCGGAGGTGACGTTTTTCGACTGTTTCGAGCACATAGTGTACCGCTTTCCGCCCATGAAGATGGCTCGATGCGGAGCCTCGGCAAGCCACATAGACGACAAGATATACGTGTTTGGAGGTGTGGCTGATTCCGATTCCGACTCCGATTCCTCAAACTGGGCAGAGGTGTTTGATATCAGGGCCAAAACTTGGGAGTTGTTGCTTGTGTCTACGCCCAAGATGCCACTCAAAATCCAGCGAAGCGCGGTGGTGAAAGAGAAGAAGGAGGGTCAAATCTTCCTCTTTTCACCAGGCAAACGTATGTTTGTGGCCACCGGAAAAACAGATTCTGAGGCACAGCACAGAAACCATTGGTGTTCCTTTGGGCCATACTTGTTGTGCCGTGATTCCCGCCTCGGGAAAATACTGTGGTGTTTCCCACACGAGTTGGATTGGAAGGAAGTGAAGGGTTTACAAGAGCTCTGTGGTTATGATATCTGCAAACTCTGCAGCAGCTGCGGTCACCATGGTGGCCATCTTTTCATCCTTTGGAAAGTTCCTCAGACTTTTGAGCTTTGGTCTGCCCCGATTTCCCTGTGGACACACGAGACACCCGAGGGACTCGAGCTTTCGGGCCGCATTGAATGGTACCGTCCTCTCATCCAGCACTCCACAGACGGCGTCAACTTGGTACATGCTGATTTTGCCAATACCTGATTATTCTCCTCCCTCCCTTGTTTCAAGTTGCTTCTTTTCTCTTTTGTTGCCCAGATTTTTGGTAATTTATGAATAAGAGCCAAAGTGTATTTGAGTGCAAAAGTTCCTCTTTTTTGTTTGTTTGTTTGATGGTTATTGGAATCAAATCACCTTGTAAGCCCAGCAATTGTGCGTAGCGCGAGGATCTCGGACCTGGGATAGCCCAGCCAATTTATTAAATATTCTTTTAATTTTTAAAACTCGTTTGCTGCAAATCGAATCAAAAATATTGCAATCCCCATTATCAATACGTATCGGCCGTATAGCGTATATGCGTCGTAGATATGACCGTAGTAATGGCGTGTATACATGTCCGTATTTTATACATGAATAAGGAAATATTTTGAATAATGGAAGATGTAATGGAAAAGACTAAAGAACAGGGAAAAGGATAAAAGGAATTAGAAGATTATCTAAAAGTAAAAAAAAATAAAAAATAGATAGAACCGATTCAGCCTTGTTATAAATAAATGAAAACTTTCTCGCGAAGATTTGAGAAAAATAGTTTGTAATTATATTACAATTGAGATTAGACAGGTCACCGTTTAGACAACATAATTACTTAACCATTAGTTAGACTGATCCCCATTCTACGGAGAGAAAGGATGTTGTCTTTTTAATATTTTGTTAAACTTGTTTGTTGTGTTCACGTGTCTCTGTCTCCAACTAAAGCCGTCTCGCTTTAACATAGTTTTTCTTCTCATGTAATAATAAAACGTGTTTGATACTTTTCTATATATATAAACTTCAAGAAAGTATATGATTCGCTTTATTGTTGACTATTTAAGATATACAACCAACAAGCAAGCTAATCTCCAAAGATTTTTCATTATATTGCACGAGGCATTCTTTAACTTTGTTTGCTTAAGAATGAAAAAAGCAAGAGAAAAATGTTTATCTAACAAGAGCTTTGTTTACATCAATGTATTAATTGTTGTAAGTAAGAGATAGCTCTACACACATCTAACACTTTTTCCACCCATTTTACATCATGAGCATGTTGTTTTTGTCGTAAGTAGCAATTGTGTTCTCATGTGGGAGGTGTGATAAACTTATTACATCTTCACCTACGCAGTAACTTAATATATTAAGGAGGAGTTTTTTATAGTAAAATAAAATATTTAAGTTTTAAAACTAACTCTTAAGTTCATCGCCAAAACAGTATACAATGCAGTCTTTACCAACAACATATATGAAATCTCATATTCTAGATAAAGATGCAGCAACAAAAGCAGCTCCTTGCTGTTTGCACTTGAAATTTTTCACAAACCTTCTTTGAATGCTCATAATGCAAAGTGAAAAAGTTCAATTGCATATGAGAAGGTGTTTAGAGTTGTTTTTAGGAAACAAATTGATAGATTTGACATGAGCTTTACATTCTCTTAGTAAAGGTTTTGTTCAATTATTTTTAAATAATTTGTTGTTAAGTTTTGAATTTATCACCAAAAAATGAATTAAATATGTTTGAAGTAAAAAACTAAATTGCTTCATTAAATTTTCGTGGTACCAAAAGAATCAAAGAAAATTTACTAACTCGATTTCAATTTTTTAAAAGTTTTACTAAATTCGTACAAAATTTTGCGAATTTATAAAAAAAAGTAACAAGATCTCAAAGATCAAAGGTCACTTCAACTCCCTTTTGAACCTGCGGAAACAAAACGAATGATTAAGCAAGAACATCATGCAACACAATATTGACCTAGCTTAATTGTTGTTGTCAATATTGTGTTGCATGATAATGTTTTTGCTTAAGTTATCAAATATAATTTAATGGCCCCAATAATAAAGCCCGGCCCTGAGTCCAAGTTGAACAAGCCCATGCTTGCAGCCGCAGTTTTATTTAAAATCTTTGGCCCCCAAATTTTGAAAGTGCGCTTAGCATAGTGGCAAAATCGCTTTAATTTATGTTAAGAGGTCATGAGTTCGAGGGCGCGTGGGGCCGTTAAAATCTCATGTCTCGGCGTTAACTTGTTACATGCCTGTACCTGAATGTTCTCCTCACTCCCTTGTTTCAAGTTGCTTCTTTTCTCTTTTGTTGCCCAGATTTTTGGTAATTATGCATAAGAGCCAAAGTGTATTTTTCGTAAAATATTGCTCTCTATACATTTGTACAGCAACTTATGAAAAAGTCTTGACAAAAGAAGAAGAAGAAGATTAGATTTGTTGCTTTTTAGTGTTCTTCCCGAATGTGAAGTAGTGTGCTTTGTTTGTTTTATTCTTCTGAGAAGCTTTCTCCAAGGTCGAACAACAGCAAAAGAAAGAGACTGTCATAATGTGGATAAAAGATTTAGATAAAATCAGGCTGACCTGTGGAAGTTAAGCAACGATGCCACATTCGACTATTGGGATCAACTGATTTGGGATAAGCAATCACTTCAGGGATCGGTAAGTAAGCGTAATGAGTGTTGATTATCCCCACAGTGATCCCACTGTACCCACCAAAAGCTCCATGAACCTGTGACACCCAGAAATATAGATAGAGATCAAATGTTGTTACAAGTATAGTTTTAGTTATCCAAAACAAACTTGTTTAAAGACTTTACAGCGTTTTGTCCTAAAACCGTGCAGAGGATCCCATCTGATGCATTTGCACGTACAGCTCGGATCATGTATGTTGGATCTATGTACTTCACATCCGCCGATACACCAATCTCCTTAAAGTATTTCTTCGTCTGTACATTACAGTTTCGAGCAGTCATCAGAATTTTCGTTAATCATCATCATTCATGATTCAAGACTGAAAAGATACAGAACTTCACAACCAAACCTCTTGTTGAATGTGAACACCGATATCGCCGAGTACTTTGTTTCCAGATGCATCTTTCGCATTTGTATTCTCAAGGAAACTCTGCAATAACACGAAAAAGGTGGGGAATGTTAAAAGTTGTTGTTCATCTTTAGAAGATTTATTTGATCAGTGTTTTGAATTTCGAGTTTTGACCTGTCCTGCTCCTTCTGCAACACAGATTACAGCAGAGCCTTTTGTTTCTATAAGGTACTTCAAATGTTTCAATACGCCATGAGGTCCATGAAGATTGAAAGGAACCTTTTCAAAGTGAAAGACTTTTCAGTTAGAAGCGAAGCAAAGCAAAGCAAATATCTCTCTCAGTGTTTCTGACAATTCAAACAGAAGAAGAAGGTACCTCAGGAATGAGGCAAATGTCGACTTGTCCGCTGGCTAAGGAAGCTTGCATCGCGATGAATCCACTGCTACGGCCCATCAGTTTCACAACGCCAATGCCATGATAAGCACTGTGTGCCTCGATGTATGCAGAGTTAATCGCTCGTTGTGCTTCCTCAACAGCAGTGTCGAACCCAAAAGTTTTATCCATATGCAAAATATCATTGTCGATGGTTTTCGGTACACCAACCACAGCTACTTTCATCCTTCTTCTGCGACACTAGCAAGAGAGAGAGAGAGGAAAAAAGGGTGAATCAAAAGATATGGAACAAGAAAATTGAAAAACTCTGTTTCAAAGGTTTTTGGTAAACATAACAAACCTCATTGTGTATAGCATTGGCACCAGCATGAGTTCCGTTACCGCCAAGCACGAAAAGCATGTTGATTCCTCTCTCCTATCACATATTTTCCGAAAAAAAACTGTGATTACTCTATCATATACACTATCAGAACATTTATTGCAGAGTAAGAATCAGAATGATCTACCCCCATGCTGTCGACGATCTCACTAACACTCGGTCCACCACGTGAAACACCGAGCAAGCTTCCACCGGAGAGATGAATGTTCTGCACCACTTTCCTCGAGAGCTAAACAATCAAAGACCAAAGATAATCCTTAAAATGTAATCTTGGCAAGAGAGCAAAGAGTAGTAGGTCTTTTTTTTCTTGAAATAAACTAATACCGGGATCTCAGGTAGGTTCTTATCAGAGAAGCCACGATAACCAAAAGGAATCCCAACAACGTTCTTCACACCATATATCTCTAAAGTGATGACAATCTTCAACAAACAACAAAACAAATCGTCATGAATAAAAGATAAGAGCTTCTCTCTGCATGAAACAAAAACGTAGCAAACTCACATGTCTAATGACATCGTTGAGACCAGGACAAAGCCCACCGCAAGTAACAATCGCTGCCTTCACTTTCTCGGGTCTGAAGTAAATCTTTTCCCGTGGCCCAGCACGATGTACCCTAAATGATCAATCCATCCTTAGATAATCTAATGACAGTGGAAACAGCAATAGTTTCTTGAGAAAAGCTACTTCTTGAATCATCAATGTTAAAACTATTACTACCATTGCTCGATCCAAGTGCAGTCAGGATCAATACACACTGCTCCAGCAGAAGTTGGTGATGAGTAGTTTATAACCTGATATCAAATCCAATCCAAACTTTAATTCTGCCTTAGGTTCTCTAATCAGGTTTCTTTAGCCAGCTGCCAATTACAGAGGAAGAAGATATTACCTTGAGAAGTACTCTATCTTTGTTATTAATGTATCCATGCCACTCTTCATCCGACGGGTAACCGCCGGAGAAATCTGCCGTCGGCGACCTACCGGAGAACACCAAAAAAAATTACAGAATAAAATCAAAACATTGGCACTATAACGATCATGAGTGCATGACCCAATACTCCACAGGGATCGAATTCCTTCGGAATTTTCGGAATTTACTTACCTCATCTTTAGACAAAACGTGGAGCGGATAGCTTCCGCATCTGGGAACACATCGGTGATATGGGGGATGTTGAATCGCTCCTCGAAATCTCTCTGATACTTTAATTTCCAGTCGGGATCACTTAGATCCATCGCGGCCGTTTCCGCCGCCGCCGTGCCTCGAGGAATCCGCAAGGAATTCGCCGGAAATCTCGGTTTTCTGAGGATCAAAGAAGAACCGAGTCGAGCAGACCGGACGAGCAAAGAGTTTTTGGGAGATATGCATACGGCCACGGCGGTTGAACCGACGCAGGAACCGATGAGCACATCCATGGAGAAAAATGATAGGATCTTTGCTTTTACAGTTCGCACTAAAACACTTTTGGAGGGAGATTTATTTTGCTCACAATAAAAAAAAACAAAAGGAGACAAAAGTGCTATTTGAATTTTTAGCCGTCCGATCTTAGAGTTATCTGAGATTTTCTCAAACTTGGCTTCCTAGAGTGACGAAGAAGTAGGTAGGGCGAGTAGAAACGGAATCTAATCGAATCTAAATAATTAACTAATTATTAAAAAGGTTTATTTGTTAGATAGCCATTTTTGGGGGATCAAAATTGGCAAACTTAACTAATGTGATCTCACACTGTCACACTTTCTCATTATACTAAAATTGTGAAGGCTCATATCTAGACATATATAAATTGTTAATTTTGTGATTGTTTCTTTCAAAGCGTTATTACTAATTACAAACCTATAAAAAAATTCTTAATAGAGTCATAAATAATCTAATGGGTTCAACAAAAGTGAAAAGAGTCTTATCAATATACCCAATGATGTTTGACTTTCGCATAGGTCGCATCACATCACATCACTAATAGTAGAGACTAGAGAGTTGGAAGTTGGAACTATATTATTAAATGAGAATATCACGTAACTCCTACGCTATCCACCACCGATCCATATATTCAATAAAACGAATATTTGAAGAACAATATGAAGAGAAAGATAAAGATTCCAAGAAAAAAAATTAATAAATAACATTGGGTTCTTTAGTTAATCATGAGGAAACATATTTATCTCATTCGGTATTTGTTCCTGAGATACAGTTTTGAGTTTGGATTTATAATGGGCTTTGGATATCAGAGGAAAACAAATTTTAGTTTAGATTTTTTAAAAATTGTGAATCTGATATTTTTTACTAATCAGAACCATCGCCCTCATTTATAGTGAAATTGAAGTATAATATTTTCATTTAAAAAATATAACGTCTTGACGCAAACATGTGAATCTTCTTCTTTATTACTCAGACAGAAAATACTTGAAAGCAATCCATAGCAGTCTTATAAGTAAAGCACTATTCTCACCAATATATAAAAAAGACAGACATAACATAAGCTTCAATTATAATCTGCACTTAAAGATATTTGGCGCGTAAATGCTTCAATGGCCGTTTAGTTAACGGTCACCTAAAGCCCTATTATTAAGCCCTAATAACTTTTACAAACTTCAACATGTCTTATTCGGACCACCAACTATAATACCTGAGCCCACAAGCGACCCATCAAGAGAAAATGTCAATATCAAAACGACATAGTTTTATAACCCACTGTGAAATCAACTGAAAAGAAAAAACACTAGACACAGGAGGGGACCGCATCATAAAAAAAGAGAGTTGTGAAACCATGGACCAGCAAACTTATAGCCAACCGAAGGTAAGTAACAAATATATATACAGAGATGACACATGCATGTAGTGTAATAACCTTCATGATGGAAAGAAAAGTTAGCAGTTAGCTACTAAGTGTTGTTTATAAGTATAATCATTGCAGGAGGAGAGAAGACTCTTGTTGTCCAAAGAAGAAGAGAGGATTCGAGATGAGCTTGAAATGGAAATAGAAAGAAATTTGGAAGGAGAATTCAAGGATGGGATCTACAATCTCGCACTCAAACTCCGGAGGCTGTATGAACAAAGACGGGAGAGAGAAGAGTCGTTGGATGTTTCCATGAGAAAGAGCAAGAGAGTATTGGAGGTGAACATAAGCATAAAGATGGAAGGAGATACCAAGATTGAGATCGCAGAGAAGAAGAAGGAAGTAGAAAACAACAAGACGAAAAAAGCAGAGAGTTTGGACAACAGAAAGAAGTTTGCACCTGGTGAAGATAAATCAAGAAAGGAGAAGACGAAGAACCCAACCAGGGCTCATGAACTCAGATGGAAATGGTAAAAGAGATTGATCAGTCCCTATATTTGCCAGTATCTATCTATGTTTGAAGCTATTTTATATATCCTATATTTAAACACGAACGAAATAAGAGTTATGTATATCAAATTATGCAGTGAGATGGTAAAAACAAACACAATCTTCTTCGTTTACAACCATATAAAATTTTTAAGGTTGATGCTAAGCTATCAAAAAATGCTATATTTGTGTTCTCAAGAATCACACTGACTGTAAGGCACCGTCTTGCAAAGTATATTGCAGAGATGTAACAGCGCCTTGGTAGTTTAAGAAACCCATGAACCAAAACTCATGATCATCGACCGAGATTACCTGCACGTACTTCTCCGCGGGATTCACCGTGCTCGTAGAAGGGTTCACCGATTTAAGCTGATATAGTGGGATGACTAGCTGTTTAAGAAGAAGAAGATACAAAGTAAACTCAACAAGAATTATAATTTGATCACAAAAAGGTAAGAATGTTTGTGAACAAGAAGAAGACCTTATAATAGCTCCATTCAGTTTGACCAGAAGCTTTGTAAGAGAGAGGGTTATCGCTACAGTAGGCAAGCTTGGAGGTGGAAATGTAAAGAACGCCCATGACCGGACCAGCTGATGTTGACAAGTAGCATGCGTATGAATCTTGCAGCTGCTCCTCTGTAGCTGTTTCAAAGGTTTGCCTGAAAATTTTCTCGTATCCTCCTTCTGCTATCACTTTTGTACTCTGTGCTATTCTTCCCATTGCAGCATCCGCAAAACTCGGTGCTGTTTTCACTGATGCAAACACCAAAAGATTAGAGAGACCAGCCACATATAAGAAATCACATTCAAATCGAGTCTTCTCTTTAACATTGACTCAAAAACTTCATTGCTCAAAACAATTTCAGCTTATGATTCCAGCCAAAACCATGTCTTTTTTTTGACAAACGATAATAAGAGTTGGAGTAAACAGATTCAGATGGTAATAACGGATCGGAAACTCACGGTGCTGCCACGTGTTACCGGCAAGGCTCTCAGCCTTCATCGCTGCTTCTCCGACTCTCCTTCCCCATCTCCCAATCACATCTTTCACAGACTCCATTGTCTCTGAATCCAATTCAAAGAGATCATTCCAACGGTTACACATCTCCCATACGGCACCAGACCAAACAGTATATAGATATAACTTTCACACACTACCTTTCAACGACGCGTCCGAATTTTCCGATCCCGCGGCGGAAGAAGACGATAAGTCCTTCTGATCCGGTACCGGAGATTCAGAAACCAATTCTGGGTTCCAGTGGACCGATTTACCCGACCCGGACACCGATCGAGCCGGCACTTGATCTTCCTTCGTCTCGATTCCAATTTTTAACGTAGGTTCCTCGGATAAGACCACCACAGAACTCGCAACATCGGCTCCTTTCAGCCCCTGATCCACCGGTTTCGGATCAACGCTTGCCTCCGGGTTCTGATCCTTTATCGAAACTTCCGATTTCACTGCCGTTTCTCCCGGCGCCTGCTCCATCCTCAGACGAATTTGACGCCTCTCTCTCTCTTGGAATTTCTTCTCTGGGGATTTTTGAATTTCGCAAGTATGGCTTCGTCTTTCTCTGTGTTTCTTTCCGTTTCAAAAAAAACGTCTTTTAACGGGTTTACCGGGAAGAACGGTGACAAGCCGTGATAAGTGACGCCAAATGAGAGAATGTAGACCGGTTTAGACCCGTGAATAAATTTCTTTTTAAGTACTACAAATCATTTCATTGCTGTTTCGCTGTATTCTGATGTGATGATTTTCATCATTTAGATTGCTAATTGTTTATTAACACGTAGTGAAATCGTTGATCCTCACCAATCGGAGAGTACCAAAAGTTGATAAATTAAAGTTACGGGAAATTGTATAAAAGCTCAAAATTTTCGTCCGTAATGGCCAGATATTGAATCATACATGCCATTATGCCATTCAAAAACGTTACAGTTCCCACCCGAATTTTATTATTGTATGGGTCTAGATATATTTTGGACTTTGCCTTACGGGTATCAAAGCACCAAAGCCCATATTTAGAGCAATGGTGTTGGTTTAATTTGTTTGTTGTAGAATTTGGTTTTGATTTAATTTGTTTGTTTTAGAATTTCGGTTTACATTTTGGTTTTCGTTTTAGGATAAAGGTTCTCTCGTGTAAGTGCGACCCAACTAACTATACGATTTTTTCGCACCATACAAAATGTCACAATCATTCACAGATAATATATGTTGCTTGTCTGCCTCGTCGTAACCTTAGTGGGAACCAAGTATGTTGCGCGTGGTCTTGACTATTGAGAAAACCAAAAAAAAATTATAATTTAAATATTTGATGCAAGTATATCGCATTATCGCTTGGCACAAAATATGTCACTCTCTTAATTCCATGTAAACTCGTCAAATTGTATTGCCAATAGATAAGTAATATTCTACAACTCAAAAAAATCCATATCATAATTATATGCTTTCGTTTGGTGCTCTTCCGTGTAGACGACTCTTCAAGAAAACTTCCCAATTCAATCAAGAGACTTGGTAAAGACTACTTAATATTGATATTAAAGATGAATAAATAATTAAGAGTTGTACTGTCTGTCTATGTGCTTGCATGACTAAGATGTCCAGATACTAAATAATCATCCAAAATCATTTTATTTTGTTGTAGAATTACATATAATCTTCTTAGCAATATATATATATACAAACCCTTTTCATCATTTCTCCACCACCAACGAAGACAAGAGCTTTCTCAGTTTCTCTATCTCTCTCGTCGTTTTTATTTCAGACAACGAAAGAAAATTGAAACAGAGATCAATGGCTCTTAAGGCATTGCAAGCTCTCATCTTTCTTGGTCTATTGGCCACGTCCTGTTTCGCTCAAGCTCCGGCTCCAGCACCTATCATGGTTCTCCCACCGGTAGCATCTCCTTCTCCGGCTGTTACTCCGACTGCAGAGCCATCGACTCCGGTTGCTTCACCACCGGTTCCGGTTACCGAGCCAACTCCAGCTCCGGCTACTCCTCCTACCGTCTCACCACCGACTACTTCTCCAACAACTTCCCCTGTCGCTTCTCCTCCAAAACCAGAAGCTTCGGCCCCAGCCCCATCAGGCTTGACACCGACTACTTCTCCTGCTCCGACCCCAGAAGCAAGTGCACCGGCAGCTGACTCAGCATTGACTAACAAAGCATTCCTTGTGAGCACCGTCATTGCCGGAGCCTTGTACGCCGTCGTTTTGGCTTAATGAGAGCTTTGAGTATTAATTTCCTCTCTCTTTTTCTCCTTTGGTTTTTCTTATCATGATTTGTTGACGAAATCTCTCTGTTTTCTCTAATACATTTCGTATTTTTCTTCCTCTTTGTTGGTGTTTCTTTTGTTGTTTTGGTCTTTTTGATACTTTATAACTCTGATGGGCCATGGGATTAACCTAAGGGAGGAGATTCTGATTGTAATTTCTTCATTCTATTTTTTTAATATAAATAAAGTCTTGTTTCATATAATCAGCATTAAGATTGCGGTGACTTAATTGCAGATATTGAATTAATGTGTTAAGATGTAGAAAAATTGGATCGGTTCAGAGAAAACAGAGCCAGATTATAAGCACATTTGAGAAAGAAAAGTTTTGAAAGTTTTATTCCTAACTCTTTTAATAGCCACCGTTTTAGCTATTTACTATCGTAATTTTTGCTTGACTTTTAGATTGATCTATGATCAATGAGTTGTAAAAAAAAAAAGATTGCACCTGAATATTTTACTGATGTTTTTTTTTTGTTCCTAATTCAAAGAAACACCGCAAATTTACAGTTCAGTAAAACTCAGGCCTTTGTTCATCACATGTTCTTAGTAAAAAACAAAAATAATTTCCAACCTCTAATCATTCTTAATATATACATCAACATCCAGACATTAATGAAATAAACTATCTGCGCCTTTGACTTTATGGTGGCTGAATTAGAAATATTCTGAAAACCGTCTTTTTCGAGATTCAAAACACTTTATCATTACTCTGTTTGACAAAATTCTTCATCTATCTCATTTTTTTTCGTTCAACATTCTTCCTCTTTTTAGTCTTTAGAATTTCACAAGACATCCGACCAAAAAATAAAAATTTCACAAGATGGCCGGTCAAAATCGTTCGTTAACACAACGTTCGACTAGAAGAAACCGGATAATTAAACGGCCTATCAACATTAGTAAACCTACCAGAAGAAAACCGAACAGCATCACCGTAACCAGTAACTAACCGATCAGTAAACCGAGCCGATCCGTATCTTTTTTCTCTCCTCCCAATCCCAACAATCGATTTCTCAATCCGCCCATAGCTACCCTCTAAATTACCAACCATGCCCTTGACCTCAAGAACCAAACCCCAGAACCCATCGAGCCAAGCTTTCTTCCAATTCCAATGGCAGATTTCAGACAATCTCTCTTTACAACTCTCGAGCCGCTTCAAAGCACAGAGAAGCTCGATCGAATCTCCGAAGCTAAGAGTATCGGGTCGCTCTTTAAACTCGTTGAATCTCGTGTAAAGCTCGTCGATGGAAGACACGTAGTCTTCGCCGACCAATTGGGTGATTTTGACGGCGAGAGGTTTGCCTCCTGAAAAGGGTAGATCCGGAATTTTACATGCTTCTTCTAGCAGACCGACGAGCGCGTCGACTTCACGCAGCAAGTCAGTGTTGGTAAGAGACGAAACCATCTCTTCGTATTCGTCTTTGTGGACCGTGCTCGATGTTGAAGAAATGAAAAACCCCATGACTCTTGAAGTTGATAACAGATGCTCAAGGTATAAAGCGTACCTAAAATCAAAACCAAACACATAAAAATCCAAACTTTATGATACACAACAAAAAAAACAGAAACTTTCTTTTTATCGAATTGAACTCACCATCGGACCCAAGAAGAAAGCTCCCACATCAAAGGGGATTTCTCGTCTCTGAAACCAGAAAGCTTGAGATAATTCCGGCCACCGGACGCCGGAAAAACAGAGAGCTGATCTTGGAGGATGAAGCGACCGTGCTTGACGATGTGGTGGACGATGATCAGAGATTTGAGAGCGACGCAGGCGTCTCCGGTGGTGTGAAGTCGGTCCATGATGGCTTCAACGGCGGAAGCAGCAGTAGCTCGTGAGCCAGTACCGGCGGAAAGGAGAAGAGCAAGGTGGCGATTTCCCGGCGGAGTTGAAGGGTCATGAGTAGTGGCACGGAGGACGGAGAGATGGAAAGAGAGAGATTTGCTTTTTGGGTTTGATGAGACTAAAGCAGCTTTGCTTTGAGAAGCTTTGTCTTTTATTATTCCGATTAGATCTGCAAAACTTGTAATTCTTCCCATCGATTGAAGCTCTGATGATGATCTACAAAGATAGATGACTTGTTGTGTCTTCTTTTTTTTTTTTGCTGATTGATTAATAAGGAGATGATATAAACATAATTATTTAATTCGGGTCAAGAATGGACACTGTTTTTATATGATTCGATGTACCAACATGGGTCAAATAATCTTATATATATATATATATATATGGATAATCGCTCCAATTTACTTTTATTTTTTTCTGGTTTGGTTTTTCCTTTCCAAGCTACTTTCCATATTTAATCAATTTTAAAATAGAATGCAATCGCTCGAATCGAACATTCTGATGATTTCCTCTTTTTAATCACCGGATTCAGAAAGTGGTACGGGGTATATCAAAATTTAGATTCCTCAAAAAAGGCAGAAATAGATGTAAAACCTTTTTCCGTTAAGTACTGTTTGAGAAACTTTCTATTTCCTAAAATTTATGAAAAAGTTGTTCTGAGCGTGCGGAAATCAACAGTCTTGTACGAACAGGCTACTTTTGTCAGCGACGATGACGCACATAATAGTTTCTCACGTTTGGTAGAGACTAGGTTTAAATTTTCCATTTTAATTACCAAGTTGGTTTAGAAAACAAAAGAATGAAAACTAGTAGGAGTAGTTATTATGAATCACTAAGGTCATTTTTATTACTATAAACCAGTAAAATCATAATTACAACTTAAACAAAGAATAATACATTTGATTGTATAATCTATAATATAAAAGATGATCAACTCTTTCCAGTTGAGTATCACATCAACATTGGAGAGAGTGACACGTGATATCTGTCTTTTTAAATTTTATAATTAATTGTTTATTATTTTAATGCAACCAAAATTAGATTAATTAGTTACCTTTTAATTATATGCTAATTAAATTTATATATAATTTATAAATACATAATATAATTTATATTTTCTGGTGACAAAACATTTATCACATACATAGTTATTATCGATAAAATATATACATATGTATTATATATTTATTCAAATACACATATTTTTAGGTAAAACTCATATATAATAAATTATCATTAAAAATTTAAGTTTTTTATTCAATAATAAAATATGAAATAATTGATAAATACTTTTTTTATTGTAGTCAAAATATGTAATAATATATTTCTTTAATTATAACATATTTGTAAACTATAGTAAAAAGAGGTTGCATAATCAGGTTAAAATAATAGGACGACTAGAAATCAAAAACAAAAAATATTATCATTGTTCATAAAAAAGAAGTATACAATAAAATAAATTATAGCTAAATTTTTAACAAATAATATTTTGAAACAAAAATTTGCATATTGCACAGATACTCATCTAATAATATATAAAAACCCCTTGCCAAGAAAACTAGTATAATAAAGAATTGATAATCATCAGTAGTAGATGGATGGAAACAACCCGCAAGCTGAGATAGAAAACATAAAAACAAGCTATTCATTATGTTTACAACAACTAACGAGCCCCTACCATCAAATCTATAACTAAAACTAACGCGTAACCATTGGTATCAAACAATCTAATATTTGGGACTTGGCACACTTTCTGCTTTGTATCCAAATTCGGAAATGGTAACTTATGTAATTTTCGAATACATATATATTTTATTTTATTTGTCAACAATACATATTTCGTTTTTATGATTAATAATGGAGAAAGCCTGACATAGTTTATAAAACCAACAATTCAAAAGCGTTTCCACCCCTAAAATGAGCAATAAAAGATATATTCCTATACAAAATGGATATTCGATTTCGCTTCATGAATTTCTCAAAACTTTCGCCAAATGCACGCTTTCATCATATTAATATGATCAATGCATGTTGCGCTAATCTCTCTCACGATAAGTTAGGAACCAATCTATTTGAGAACCAATAGAAATGACATAAAAGCTCAAACAATGTTTTCATTATTATCAATAAATATCAAGTATAAGCACTCTTACAGAATTTATAAAACTTGTTTAGCGAGTTGCTAAACAGCCTGGACCCTTTTGGGGGTGTTGAAAATTCACCAATATAGTACTCCCTCCGTTTTTTTAAGATTTAGTAATTTTACCCACTCGTATATATATGAAAAAGAATTTCCACTACTGACCCATTCCAGGGCGTGGCTAACGGCAAATTATAACGTCGTCACTTCAACGAGTCGCCGTTAGGTGGTCTAACGGAACCCGAGTTTGACTTTGAAACTAACAAACCCCATCGATCCGCCCAATTGACCCGATCGGATTTTTCACCCGACCCGAATTTGTAGCTGCACTCCTCGCCGCTCCGATTATACTCCCCTATTCCTTCCGCCGTCAAATCAGCGTCAAAGCTTCTCGTTCGTTTCAGCCTACGTCCTTTCGCCGCCATGATTCTCCTCTTCACTTCGTCCGGCAACCGTAGAGTAAACCTCTCAGTGCCGCCGTCAACGAGTCGACATAACGAATGACCCGTCGAATTCGACCGCGGAAACTTACCGCCGATTCCGGAACTCGGCCGTCCGTGGTGGCTTTTCTCTGCCTCAACGGTCATCGAATCTCCCGCAATGTCAATCGTGACGTGGTCATTAATCGGAGCTCGAATCTCCGGGTCATCTTCCCCGCCGGGTTTATCCGATTTCGCCGTGAGATTGTATCTGCAAACAGGGCAAGTCGCGTGGGTGAAAAGCCAAGCGTCGATGCAATCGATATGGAAGAGGTGATTACAGATCGGGAGCAACCGCACCGTCTCGCGATCCTCCAATTCGTTGAGGCAGATCGCACATTCCAGATCACCGGATCCAATCTTCGATTCCTTGACGGAGGAGTAAGCGAAGACAGGAAAGCTCTCGATGACGGCGTCGTCAAGGCCGCCTCGTCGTGAACAGCCGTCGTCGGCGCGGCGGTGGAAGTATCTAGTGGAGAATCCGGGATTAGAGCGCGTGCAGTGGCGGATATAGACGGATAGTAGTCCAAAGAAGAAGAAGGCGGTGACGAGAACGGCGAAGACGGTGGTCTTCGACGGAGGTTGGTCTGGTTGCAACGCGTCCGGGCTCGGTGAGAGTGATTCCTCACTGGCTTTGCTCCGTACGATTAAGGCCACGTGGAAGATTGTGATCAACTGGTGGATAATCCAACGGTGAGAATTGAAACCCTGGACACGTATCATCGTTCATTCGAAACGACGCCGGTGAAGAAGAATGAATAGTCACCCGTCGGCTGATATTTGTCCACGTCGAATTGCAAATGTAAATGTTTATCAGTTTTGTTATTATTAAGGTTAGACGCATAATTTATATCAAATAAGAAGATCGCATTTTATACACTTGAGAGTGGAGAAGCAAAAACTTGTCTCCAAAAATCTTCAAAAGGGTGAAAATTATATTTTGACTTTTTGATGAACTTAAAAAATGGAGATAATGGGCTAAATTTTGTCAAATAGTTTGCTAATTCATTTAATTAATCATTGATCTCCACTTGTTTAATGAAAGAGTCTTTATCCACTAAATTGTGCTTCGTTTACATGTCTATCCACATGTTCATTGCATATTCACAAGTTATTTGTCTCTTCCATAGGGTCAAATTAATTCTTAGAGGTCAGCAATGTTTCATCGTACAGTTGCCTTTTCCTTGATTTCAGACAAGAAAATAACAAACAAACACAGAAAAACAACACATAAGTGATAAGTGGTCCGTATCGCATTGGTCAGAAAGAAAGGTTATATTTATGGCCACACCAACAATCGAATTACCATAACAACTGCGAATTGCAGCTATTTACCGATTTACCATAATAATTTAAGTGGTTGATTATAGATATGAATCTCGTACGTTTATTACTAGTAGCTACAAGTTTCAGCTTATCACTACTTTTAAAACTCAGTTAACAAAAAAAAATATACTTACAACTACTAAAAAGAAAACAGTTTGGATTACTAGTAAGATAGAGACAAACTTAATAAGGATAAAAGAGAACTGCAGAAACTCGAGGCTTCACCTTATAACTTTCCAAAGAGACGATTTATTCATTATATATCGTCAATGTGGTTGATATCTTCAAAGTCGCCTTGTATTCGGACATCATGATCCAACATCCAGGTTAAATTTATATTAATATTGTTTTTCAAGCTGATCTACTAGTTGTGCAACTGTTTACATTTACTACTATTACTATTAATATAATAAGGTTAGGATAATAATTACTACATTTATAAAAGGTTATACCTTTTTATACAACTAGGATAACCTTTTTATAACTACTCCTACAATATTAACCTTTTTATTTATAAAAGGTTAAATTTATATTAATAATTGTTTATAATATTGCTGATCCAACTAGTAGATCAACTGTTTACATTTACTACTATTACTATTTATATAATAAGTCCACCCACTTGAGCTGTTAAAAGGTTATACAAAATGGACCAGGCCTATAATAATTACATATTTTGTGGTCCGTTATCTGTGACTGGGTCATACTGTAGAGGCCTACCATCTCTTTTATTCCCAAGTTCTAAACATATTTCATTTTCTCCAAACTTTCGTCGGAAAGAAATTTATCTCAAATGAATATACCCTTACTGGAGACTGTATAGGCCTACGAAAACTGCTAATCTCAGTTTCCTTAGTAAAGCTTATATCCTCCCTCCCTCAAAAGCCATTATGTGGTAAATAGAGAATTTATAAAGAACCCTATACCAATATATTAGCATTTTAACATCTGGACCTAAATGGGCTCAGAGTAGAAGACAATCCTCCAAGCCCATATTTATTTGGTACGCAAGTGTAGCATTAATTGCTCGGTATAATTTTTCCAATGTAAAATCAATAAAAAAATCTGTAGTAAAAAACTTATAATTTTACTTTTTTTTTTTTTAATTTTTCAGTCCAAAGTATTTTGACAAGATCGTAAGGGTAAAAATGTCTTACAGCTGTATTTAATTCATTTGTCTTTTTTTTTTCTTACGGTGGCGTTGTTTGATTGAGCCCATAGTTTTTGGATACATTCAACGAACCAAACCCAAATTGTGTCAGTCTTGTTCCCCCACCCACAAGCTTTTTTCCCACCCTCCTGTGTTGCTAACAATAACATATTATTGTACATCTCACATATATCAATATCAACGTTTTAATATAAAGATCTCGAATCATAACATATGGGATTAATACTATCCTTATAATTTAATATCTTATCTAATTTGTTAAATTTGATCAGGAATGAGAAAACTTCATTTTATTTCATTTATCAATTTTGTCAGCAAATCTTCTGACGTATCTTATGACGATTTTCAGAGGATGGGAACATTAACCATTCTAATTATTAAATGCACATCTTACGTATCTGTTTTTCGCTGTTTATTAATAATTTCTATGAATTTTATATAAGTTTAGAAAGTTGAAACTAGAAAGTAGAAACACCCTACCGGAAAAAATAGGGTTAAGCTGCATTACCAAAATTAATAAACCAATACGGTGACGTATCACAGATTCCGTTTCGCCTGAGCCGAGTGGAGCCGAGACGTATAAACTCTGTTCCCGTTTCATTACAAACTTAACCCTGGTTACATTTTAACCCAAGCTTGGTTTATTTAAAGAAAATAAAGTGTGAAACCAACTTGTTCATATTGAAACAAAGAACCCCCCTCTCTCTCTTCTCTCTCGCTCTCTGTAAATATAGATTACCATTTTCTTCTAAATAGCCCAACAAAAAGCTTCTCCTTTTCGGAATTCTTCTAAAGTCTCATCTTTTCTTTATGGGTTTCAACTGAAAGAAGCTGAATTGTGTTTAGAACATTGCTGTAATGAAAATTTAGCAGCACGTAATTATAAAATTCCAGAAGACTTTATAAGTTTATTGTTGGTATCATGAAGAGACTTAGCAGCTCAGACTCAATGTGTGGTCTAATCTCCAATTCTACAGGTTCTTACCATTTTTTGGATTCTTTTTCCTAATTTCAGTTTCAGACAAACCCATGTGATCCTTTCTTCTTCGAATTTCACTTTAATAGCAAATGATACTGTTTAGATCTTTGCTTTTGTTTTTTTATTGACAAAACTCATTGGTTACTTTGCAACAGATGAGCAGAGTCCGAGAGGGTACGCAAGTAATTTCCAATCTATGCTTGATGGTTACGAAGAAGAAGGTACAACAGTCGAGGAATATTCCGGCAACATCCACCACATGGGTCTATCGGAGAAGAAGAGAAGGTTACGCGTTGACCAAGTCAAAGCTCTTGAGAAGAATTTCGAGCTTGAGAACAAACTCGAGCCTGAGAGGAAAACGAAACTAGCACAAGAGCTTGGGCTTCAACCTCGTCAAGTAGCGGTTTGGTTTCAGAACCGCCGTGCACGGTGGAAGACAAAACAGCTCGAAAAAGATTACGGCGTTCTTAAGAGCCAATACGACTCTCTCCGCCATAATTTCGATTCCCTCCGCCGCGATAACGATTCACTTCTCCAAGAGGTGAAAGTTCAATTTTTTAAGGATTGAAAATCATAAAAATCTAAACTTTTTAATTGATTTTAATTTGAAATTTATTTGTGGTTTTGCAGATTACTAGAATCAAAGCTAAGATAAACGGAGAAGAAGATAACACCAACAAGGCTACGACGGAGAGTGAAATCTCCGCCGTGAAGGAAGAGTTAGTTTCACTGCCGGAAAAACTATTTCACAAAACGGATCCGATTCCTTCATCTCCTCCTCAGTTTCTAGAACACTCCACGGGTTTTGATTACCGGCGAAGCTTCACCGATCTCCGTGACATCCTACCGAATTCCACCGCTGTCGACGCTGGATCTTCCGACAGTTGCGATTCAAGCGCCGTTATGAATGAAGAAACCAGCTCCGATTATGGAAGATTGACGCCGCCGACGACGGTTACCGGCGGTAACTTCTTACAGTTCGTGAAAACAGAGCAGACGGAGGATCACGACGATTTTCTGAGCGGTGAAGAAGCTTGTGGTTTCTTCTCCGACGAGCAACCACCTTCTCTTCATTGGTACTCCGCCTCGGATCACTGGACATGAGAATCGTTGATCGGAGTGATCGATTTATTGTGCTCTGTTATTTCTCTATGTGGGAAACAGAACGGAGGGTAAAACTGGAATAATTGAAAATAAGGAATTAAGGATTAAGGAGTAGTTCATTGGGCTTAAACTGTAATTATGCTTTCCCTCGTGTAATTAACGATGGCGAGAGGGGTTTTCACAGATATGAAGGACACATGAAAGTAATACAGCTAAGGTTGACCCCTCTAGTCCAAATTGTATTCTAATTTTTACCCCTAAACATTTAAATTGACTAAGATCACCTTATACGGTTTTACCCCTCTATACGCTATAAATTAAATAGCTTTTAGTTTGCAATTGAAGGAAGAACTGAAATTTAATTTATGAAAGGAATTAAAATGGGATATCATAAGCGAATTTTAAATAAGGACATTCTATGTCTTTTTGTTACTGTAGTTATGTACTTGAAAATATATGTCTAATCAAATAATCATCACTAGATTTTATCAAACATAGAGAATGATTATATCTAACATTATCATGCATATAACTCGTTATAATCAAGATTGACGAATTTTTTTAGGACGTCTAAATATTAGATACTAACATGGTAACCTGTGATTTTGGGATTGATCAGATGGTATATATTGGAGTTTTATAGAAAAGATGGGGTGAAAGTGAAACTGAGACAAATCATGGGTGAAAAATGGAAGATGATGAAAGAAAAGACGTGTGATTAGTTTCTCCGTAGCCGCAGCTTTTCTCCCCACGACCACGACATCTCTTTCTCTTTCCTTTTTATTTTTAAACATAAAATCATTTTTTTCTTTTTGGAAAGCTAAATTCAATCACGAAAACGACAACTGAAATAGTGATCACGACAAAAAGAAATTCATATTTGTCAAATCTGATGTTACAATTAATAGTAAACTAAAATTTACAACAATGACTTTTTATCTCTTCAACCAAAAAAACCACATGTTTTACACAGGTGCATAGTCATTTTAATTTTTTTTTGTTTGGTTAAAGATAAGTAGATAACATCTTCCAAACATTAGCTTTAAAATTCGACGACAATGTAAATAATTTTATATGAAACGGGAACAAAATATGATAAATAACCTTTGGAGAGAAAGAATAGTTCTTCAAATCTAGAAAGTGGCTTTAAGAAATGGTGCAGAACCTGATGATTTTCGTAAAAGGGTTTTGGATGACTGCTACAAATTTTTGATTTTGGTGAAGGACAATAAAGCTTTTCTTAAAAATAAAATAAAATAAAGGTGATAAATTACTAAGAAACACTTAAAACATAGGATTGGGTGTGAAATGCTATCTCATCATCAAGGTGCTTTTGTTTTTATGATTGTGTGCGTTCGTTTTTAAGTGGGAGCATGGGACATCGTTTTTAGTGAATGATGAAAACATTCTGACACAGTCAGAAGCTTTTACCAATGTCACGGATCATATCTGAAATTGAGGCATTCAAATCACGACATGACGCCAAATGATATAAACATGCCAAAAATATTTGATCCCCTTACGATTTTTTTTTTTTTTTTAATTACAATATTGTAATTTCTTTAATTATCTATTCTTTATACATAAGAAAATGAAAGTGCAGTTGTTGCAATTAACACAAAACAAAGAACTGAAGTAAATGAAATTACACTTTTTCAATTACACATTTAAAAGGGGAGGGGGTATGTACATTGCATTCGAAATATAAATTTCCTAAAATTCTATATATTAATGAAAAAAGAAATATTATAAATTATAAAAAAAATAAAGTTACATTAAAATAGGTAAATTAACCTTTTTTAGTGTATATTTTTTTTGCTGTATTGCCAAATGGCACAGAAAAGGAGTGGGGGCCTACACTGTAGCCTATTTTCTCATTTTCTTTATAAGAAGCTGCGAGAAAATGGGGACCACTTACCCATGTGTTGTGGGGCCATGAATGCATCAAATAACATGTCGTTTTCGTCATTGCCATTTGTCACCATCGACCGAAATAAATTAGTTTTATAATGAGAAAAATCAGAAAGCCTCGCAGGATAGCTGGAGGAGGATAGACACGTGTACAGTGCTCTCTTCTCAGCCCTCCGATCCAATGACTTCTCAATCTCATCATCTCTTTCATCAATTTACAGGCGTTTTATTTCACTGCTCTATTTAACCACTCGTAGCTCGACACGTTACAATAATCAAAAGAATGAGTGTCGGTTTGGTCTGGTAGGTGATGAACCGGTCGGTACAAAGTTTATTTATAAATTTTGTAACTAAACCCCTTTTGTTTTTTTTTTTGTAACTAAATTTACTAAGTTTAATATACTTACTAATTATGTTTTTTATATTTAAGGCGGTGAACATTTGTGTTGTGTGCGTCTCTTTCTCTTGGCAGAGATCACAATGGTCTTAAGAATCTTTGCAAATCGTTTAATTATATTTACACGAAATAAAATTTAACAACTTTATAATTCAAAATCTGTATAATTGTCATTTTTGTACTATAAATAATACATATGCGATTGCTGCTGTCACGCAAACAAAATTATTTGCTATGTATACAATCATTAACTTTTACTTGCTAACGGATTAATTGAACTATTCTATTGCCTACGAAGGCAATCGAGTTGTAACTTGTTAATTAAGAATATAATAAATGGTATTATAAATTTATAATTGAATGCTATTGCAGTATTGCTATATTAAAAGAATATAGGTTATATTTTTCAACACTCTCGTGTTTCCCAGGGCCCGCTTGTAGAAACTCAAATATGCTTTGATGGTGAAATGTTTTTTAATTTGTATATAGTTGCCCCTCAAAAAAATTGTATATAAATAATCTAAACATAAACTAACACGCAAATGGGTTTCAATATTTGTCAATAATTAATTACAAGGTGGGTCATTTAATAATGTCTCTCTCAGCTCTCAAGTCTTTATTTCTGGAAATTCTTATAATACTCTAAACTTGGAAACACTTAAATAGTTGATTAATTCTACAGTACAACAAAATTTGGTAAAATTAATACATGTGTGACACTAAATTATGATATTTAGAGACAATTTGATAGCTCGACGTGAATGTTTAACTCTTTAACGCTATTCTTTTTTCTTTCTTTCTTATAACTATTTTGATATTGTTTAAAGTTAAAACTATAGTTATCTTCATGTTTAAAAATTATTATCGCTTTGTATTACTAATAATTATATATATCCTATACAATTACTTTATCAAGCTATAGGAGGTCAAATCTACATTATAATATTACTAGGAAACTTTAGTAAGAGGTCATTTCGTACATCATCATTGATTTCCTTAATTTTTTAGCGTTGCCAAAAAGAAAAATAAAAAAAGGATTTACAATTGATCAGTTGTGTAAACAAATCAGCACTAGTGCGAATGCGATTTGAAAGAAAATGGATAGAAAAATAATTTTAAAATATGTAGAAAGCTTTTTTGGGTTAAAATATTAATAAGAACCACAAAGGTGATAAATTACAAAGGAGTATATGATTAATTAACTAATTACTAATTAGAAAGAAAGTAGGGAAAAGGAATTATTCGAATACAATTACGAAGAACCGTTGTAGGGAGACAGCTTATACTATACGGCTTGCGCCGGCTAAAGCGAGGGAGGAAGAGCAAATGGCTTTTTATCGAAACGGCAACACTCTGTCTCGTCTAAACCGTACGCTTCTTTCGCTGCAGTTTTCGCTGGATATACGTACGGCAACTGGACGGGTGGGGCTGGTAGGGAAAAGGGGTGCCGACTATGTGTGGAGGATCTCACGACACGGTACGAAACAATGAAGCTACAGCCAGAGAGGTAACTAAAGCAATGACTTGAACGGGGTTGATTAGGGAATCTGCCGTTTAGATCCGATCGAGTTGTTGTTGTTGTTGGACTCTTACAACTTCATCTTCTGAATTGCTCATGTTGTTTTTCAGATGGGGATCTTGGAAGCTGATGCTAATTAAGTAAAAACTCAGCTAAGAAGATGGGATTGTGACTCTCTCTGTCTATCTACAACAAAACTCTTTGTTTGGTCACTGTTTTTGGTATGTATTGTGAGTTGTATACACTTGCACTGTTGTCTAATGGCTTTAGCTTTATTATCCATCAAGATACTTTTAATCCTTCTTCTTGCCTTTGCATTTATATAATTCCCTGTCATCTTTTCCAATCAAGATGATGATAGTTGATAAGTGAGACTATGAATCCAACATTTTGTAAAAATAATAGCTTGAGACTATGAATTATATAAATACAAGGGAGGCTTTATTTAATTTGTGGCTCGCTCACTTCATGCTCATATGATTAACCTTTGTACGTATGGTTCGTTAAGTAAATCTGTAGCTTTTTTGTTGTGCGTTTAATTTTCGACTTCATGGATTGATTTGAAAAAAACAAAAGGAAAATGCGACTCCAAATTAGTGCCTGTGTGCTTCAGGCCAAAGTAAAGAAGAAAAGATTGTTCTTTTAAATAAGAATGTCAACATAAATGTTTGACACAAAGTGGATTTTAATGCTTTTGCATTGAAGGAAAGGAAAGTAAAAGGTTTGTAGCACTAAAGTAAACTCTGGTTTCAACAAAAGAAAAAAAAAAGAAAAAAAAAGAAGACTTTTGTTACCAATTAAGCTGTTATATATTAATAAAATACATATATTATTGGTTAATTTCTTAATTATGTAAATGAAAAAAAAATCAATGGTGCTCGTCTTTGATCCATTATTACATCAGTCTCTTTGTTCAGTTAGACCTTATGTGGGCTGAATAGCTAATTAATAAAGAAATTGTTGGGCCACACTATTTATCACAATTTTTTGCACTTGCTTTCTCATTTTTGTCAATTTTAAAAGTTACCTGCGAATCGCAAACTTTAAAACATTATAATTTAAAATAAGGAGATTCACTTGCATTCATGTAATCATGGACTGGATAATAAACAAGAGTCAGTTGCATTCATGTAATCTAAAACATACTAGTAAATCTAAATTACCTTAGCAAAAAACACAGTTTAGTAGATTTTATAACTAAAATTGAAGTTACAAAAGTCTATTTATCATTGAAGTTATTACAATTTGTAAAATTGCCTTTATTCTCTTATATTGAAACCATAATATATGCAAATCGTGTTTTGTCTCTCTCTCTCAAAACAATAACCGATTAGAAATAGGAGCCGAATGCAAGAAAAAAAAGACCGTTAAGAGTAAGTTAATATATTTTTCTACATTTAAAATTCTTATGACGATTGCGAATGTGATATCCTTCTTCTTCTTTCTTTAATCTGATCACAGATACATTCCATCTGAAAAGAAGGAACCAAAGCAGAACTAGGAGAGAGGAAGTGAGAGAGACAATTGAAGTGAGAGAGACAATTTCTCTACAATTTCTTGGGTTTATTGATTTATGTCATGAGAAGCGAAATTGGGGTTTGCACGTTGACAAAAATCTCTCGATTGAAGAAAACCATCTTTGATTAGGGATTGCAATTTAGAATAACGGAAGTAAAACCATTTTTGATTAGAGTTTTCATCTTTAATTATCTGAAGAATCATAGAATTGGGGAACAAATGTGGTTTTCTGTGCATAGTCGATAACCAGGGACTTTTTTGAAGAAAATATTTTGACTTTTTTTTCTCTTTACCTCTCGCAGCCAGTGGGTGATAAACTTTTCTGGAATCATCAGCTTGCACATCGAAAGTTTGCTCTATAGATAGAATATATTTCTTACAGAATATTATCCATCTCTTTTACATTTGTTTATGTGCTTCGAGATTCCACAAATGTCAAACGACGTCTGCAGATAAATAAGAAAATGTATTCAATTGCCAAATTTATAATATAGGAAGTAACTTTCATTTATATCCGTATGCTTATTCTTTTATAGTGGATCTACAAAATGTGTATATATAATATGGATAAATACATAGTGGATGTCACTTGCGATTCACGCTTCAAACAAAAACAAAGAAAAATCCACATTGATCAATGTGGATCCAATCCTTTATAAGAAATAATATGAGGATCCAGACTTATCATTTATCTACGTAATTTTGCTTTATTTTGTTTGTTTTATAAAAATGTTTTATCTTGGATATTCATGCGACAAATTGAAAGCATAGATTTTCTTCTAATCATTAATACAGTTCTCGATTTGGCAGATCAATGAAGACGACGCGTTTGATATTTGGCAATTTTAACTCGTCCCATACATAATAATAAGAATATGGTAGATAGCCAAATTGCCTTGGGATGTTTTCTCATATTAACATTCTGTAGCAATATTTCTACCAATACAACCCATATAATTGCTTTTTAACTAAAAAAATTCAACATTTCAAGACAATCGCAATTTTTAATTTTTAACTCATATATTAGATAAAATCTGTAATTTTTAAATTTTCACAGACTATGCAATTTAACAATCAAATTTCTTTAAATCATCTAATATGATAAAATATAAAGGTTTTTGAACATTATTCAAATTTTCTAATGACTTTAATACTATTAAAACACTTATTATTTAGTGGAAAAATATTTATTATCATATCACCTAATCAAGTTTAAGAATATTAATTTTTAAATCCTAATGATGATTATTTAATTAATATTTCGATTAATGAAAAAGAAAAAAAAGTATTTTTATTAGCAAATTAACAGAAATTTGATCATTAAATTTACAATATGGTGTGAAAACATGTTGAACATATGACACCTCTAACCGACTGGATGCAATGTTCGATGTGTTTTTACAGACAATACAATTTAGTAATCAAATTTCTTTAATTCATCTACTAATTTTAAAAAGTAGAGTTTTTTTAAAATACTATTTTTATAAACTACTACTTTTAAAAAGTAAACACTAAAAATACTATTTTTATAAAAAATCTTATTACCATTATTCTAATTTTTAAAATTATGATTATTATTATTTAGTAAAAAAAAATATTTTTATTAGCAAATTAATAGAAATTTAATTACTACAATTTACAATATGGTATGAAAACAAGTTGAACATATGACATTTCTAACCGTCAAATGACTGTATGCAATATTCGGTGTGTTTTCACAGACTATGCAATTTAGTAATCATTTCTTTAACTCATTTAATAATTTTAAAAAATAAACACTGAAAATACTATTTTTATAAAAAAATTTATGAAAATTATTCTAATTTATAATTACCATTCTTTTAATTCATCTAATAAATTTAAATAGTAGAAGTTTTTTAAAATACTACTACTTTTAAAAAGTAAACAATAAAAAAATCTTATAACCATTATTCTAATTTTTAAAATTACTATTATTAATATTTAGTGAAAAATACTTTTATTAGCAAATTAAAAGAAATTTGATTACTAAAATTTACAATATAATGTGAAAACAAGTTGAACATATGACACCTCTAACCGTCAAATGACTGGATGCAATATTCGGTGTGTTTTCACAAACTATGCAACTAAGTAATCAAATTTCTTTAATTCATCTAATAAATTTAAAAAGTATAGAAGTTTTTTAAAATACTATTTCTATATACTACTTTTAAAAAGTTAACAATAAAAATACTATATTTATCAAAAAATCTTATAACCATTATTCTAATTTTTAAAATTACTATTATAAATATTTAGTGAAAAAATACTTTTATTAGCAAATTAATAAAAATTTGATTACTACAATTTACAATATAATGTAAAAACAAGTTAGAACATATGACACCTCTAACCATCAAATGATTGGATGCAATATTCGATGTGTTTTCACAAACTATGCAACTTAGTAATCAAATTTCTTTAATTCATCTAATAATTTTTTATAAAGTAAAAGTTTTTATAATACTATTTTTAAATACTACTATTTTTATATAGTAGTATTTTTATAAATTTTTTTTGAAAATTATTCTGATTTTTAAAATTACCATTATTATTATTTAGTGAAAAAATATTTTTATTAGCAAATTAATAGAAATTGGATTACTACAATTTACAATATAATGTGAAAACAAATTGAACATATGACACCTCTAACCGTCAAATGACTGGATGCAATGTATGGTGTGTTTTCACAGACTATGAAATTTAGTAATCAAATTTCTTTTAATTCATCTAATAATTTTAAAAACTTTCACATTTTAAAATACTATTTTTATATACTATTATTTTTATATACTACTATTTATAAAAAGTAAACACTAAAAATAATATTTATAAGAATTTTTATGAAAATTATTCTAATTTTTAAAATTAACATTATTATTATTTGGTGAAAAAAAAAATTTTTATTAGTAAAAAATTTACCATTATCTAATTAAAAAGGAAAAGTTTTATTATCATATAAGCTAATCAAGAAGCAAAAATTAATGACTCAACCAAAACAAAATGACTTGACGAAAGAAATCATACCAGATAGTATGGGGGTGGCTTGAGGACGTAGCTTACAGTAGCCACCGTCATGTATGCAGTGTCCGTCCGGTGCTTCTTTTGCTATTGTCGCCGTTGCTCTATCTACATTTAATTTTAAAAATTAAAATTCACCTCAAAGCTGATCCTCCCGCTGAGCATCCAGAAAGCAAAGCCTGTGGCGAATATACACTTGCAAGTGATTAGATAAGAAGATTCAAAAACACAACATAAAAGCAGAGCAAAATCCAAATAACCTGATTAGGTTCAGCGTAATGCAAAGACCTGGTCTGCTTTCTGCATGCCTAAAGACATGAATTCTTCCATAGCCACTTGCCAAATTCGTTGTCCTCTATAGAAGAGTTGTGAACCCTATGATATAAGTCGATGTAACAAATATTAGATGAGAAGATCAAAAAAGGTACAAGAGAAATATACTCTTGTCTCTGACCAACCTCGTCCTGACTATCCCAAGCGAAAGACGCACCATTACAGTACCGCAACATGATCCTGTTCCAGTGAAAGAAGTCTGCAAGACACAATTAGATAACAGCAGAACCAATACAATAATACAATGTGCATTTACAACCACATGACCAAATTCAGGACAAACCAGGATTCTCTTGAGGTTTATTGCTCAATATTCCAGTGAAGTTCAAAGCTTTTTCCATGAATCTAGAGGAACCACGGCGAGTTGTTTTCCGATACACACAGCTACTATGGCTGTTACAACATCCTCCTCCCTACAAGTGTAGCCTCTGAGTTTACTAAAACTAGCAATAATCTGAAGGTTGCATAAGCTGTAAAATGCACATACATATACCTCAAGATGGATAATCCAACGGTTGGCACCTGAACCAAACCCACGATCTAGATGATAACCGGGCAGCGTCCCATCGAGGCAAACTGCAGAAATTTAGAATCGAACAAAACACTAATTATCATCAAAGCATTACAAGAGAGGAGACTTGACTTCTACCAAATCGTTTTCATCAATACAAAGAAAGTGGGCAATGGATCTTAAATCTAAAGAGCCAATGTTTGTCCACAGAAACTGAAATTGCGAGCCCAGACACACTGAAACTCAATCGATACGAGAATCTGAGTCTACGAAATCGAGCAACAGGCAAAAATGAAACTCAATAATTTCAAATTCCAACTAAGGGAAACAAAAATCGAAATCGAGAGAGAGAGAGTACCAGCGCCTTTGGAGTTAGCTCCTTGAATCAAGGTGAGAGGCACCATGGAAGCCTTTGATGCTATCGATTCGTTTTCCAAGAAACGATATCGCCGCCTCGGTATCTCTTGGTTTTCCAAATCCATCGCTCCGAATCACCGCCGCGACAGAGCCTAGCGAGCATACAGCCACCGCGATCCATAACAATACGCTCCTCATCTCCTCCGCCGACGCAACAAAGCCACTTCCTGGAGCTCCGGGAAATGCAGCAAAGACGACTAATCGAGCGCCAATTTTTTATCAATTCGTAACCCAAAACCCCGGAACTAGAAATTGGGGAAAGTGAAACAAACAATCTGATCGGAGAAGAAACTTACAAATTCGACAAAGGCTTGGTTGCGATTGGCGCCGACATTGCTCTTGGTATTGACCTAATTCCAGCGAAGCTTTTTGAAATAAGAATTTTCTGTGTTGTTTGTGGCATTTTTGTTACAACGGCTATTTTCTTACCGTTGTAAAATTGAATTTCTTCATGACCGTTGGATACTTTTCCTCAGATAACTAAAGCTGGCCCACAAAGCCCAAACAACAATACTTTCAGACTTCAATGACGTCAAAAAAAAAGAAAAAATCACAATTCCGAGAAAAAAACACTCGATCATGCTACAATGTATACATTCACATTTTCATGGTTTATAAAGTTATTTCCCTAATTTCCACTATTCAGAGTATTTTTTATTTTATTTTTAATAACACACTTAAGTTAATTGCTGTAATTATATGGAAATAATCTTTATCAAATGGTCCATCTTACTCTGCAGATGTGCACATAAATATAGTGTAAATGTTTTTCCTCTCTTCCAAATATAAGTCTACCATGCGAAATAAGTTGAACATGCTAAATAAGTTGAGTAGTTGACTATATCAAATAAGTCGATCATACAAAATATATCAGCTATATCAATGTTAAAGAAAAAAATTAAGTGGACTGTTCAAATAAATCAACATATAACAGCATAAACAATTGTTTTGATGTTTCTTGGAAATTTTAATCCATATATATACTGTTTTTATCTAAATTCCGATCATTTTAACTTTCTTTTTTTGTTTCAAAATGCAGAAACTATAGATTTTATAAATGGTAAAAGCCCATCTGTTCAGAGGATAAAAGCTATGTTTTGAACAGCAAAGATGTAGTTGATTATTGTATCAATATCATTTGTAGGGCTAATGAAGTTAAAAGGCTACCATAACCCAAAAAAATATTCACGTTTTTTTAACACTGATTTAATTACATTGTTTTAATAAACAACAATTTTAACACGTTTACATTTACATATATTTAAGAAAATATAATATTTGATGTCGTAAATAAAAATAACTACTACAAGGAGACAAACACACAAAAAAATAGAAATTTTTATCTATCTTTATAAACCCCTCTGTCACGGTATTCGGATAAAATTGGTCTAACCACCTACGACTCGTCCATCAAGCTAGTTATCGAATATTCGTATATAATATTTATTCATGAAACTCTTAACATATTCTCTCGGTTATTCGTGAGACCGGGTGTTGTTGAACGTTCCAACACTTAAAGACAAATAATTCAATAGTTTTGGATGGAGAATGGAGATTTTAAAACAGTCACTATTATTTTATGATTTATTTTCTTGGAAGTTTTGTTTGTTTTTTAGTCCAATGGAATGTATTCATGTGAGATAAGTCACACAAGAAACTTGTCTAAAATAGTGGTACATTTTGTACCTAGCAAATAAAGTTTTCCACCTAATAAAGCTTTTAACCAAGGCGACGTACCATTTGGTCTGCAAATCAAAAGAATATAGTTTAAATTTTTTATTTTTATAAATATATTTATCTCATGTCAAACAAAAATCGTTACAAAATTTAATATGAATATTCAGAATTTTAATATAAATAAATAGAGCTGAGACAACTAACATCTAACTACTACTACTATAAGTTAATGGAAACATGCCCCACTAATATCATAATTCGCAGATGTAAAGACAAAATATTTATATGACATTTCGTATACTCGTTTTATTATTATATACTTTGTGCTCATTTTTTCTTACTTATTTTCCTTTTCTACTAACCCTTTTTTTGTCAACCATCTCGTGATTCTCTTTTGAATATTAGATAAAAGCAATATAATTCCAGATACTCGAAGATAAAATACCTTAACCAGTTTTATTAATTCATGCAATGATATCTTATACCAAACTCGACCATACAAAAATTGATTTCGTTATCCTATCTAATGTTCTCAGCCAGAACGGAAATTAGCATTAGCGACTCGACATGTCACGTCGGTCCACCTTTAGAAATAAGTTTCAGTAGATGTGATGATTACACCATTAGCTGAATTTAGAACTAAATTCGAAAAGCAAAAAAGACCAATGATCATAATGAAAGTCAACGCGTTAGTATTATATATATATTATATAATATATATGTTATGTAAGAGTATAATGTGAACACCGAGCGGATGATATTAGTCCAATTTGGTTTCTTTCTTTTGAACTTTATTTTAAACTACAAATTTTGATTTATAAAATTATGCCTTGGTATTTATAAATTGCAATGTCGTTGTGTATTGTTCCGCATATAAAGTTGAATGCAACCGAACGAAAATAACCTTTTTCGTTAACCATTTCAACTAATACATAACACTTTTTTCGTAGGATTCCTCTAAATAACGAGTTGATATTAATAGGAGTACATGTTTGCTACTGATTTACTAGATTTGACACGTACATCCACAATTCCACATAGAAGTTATAATCTCATACCAAATCGAGAAACTGATACTCAAAAGTCAAAACCAAGTTTTGCCAACAAAAAGAAGAAAAGAAAAACTCAATTAATTAAAATGATCCTTGTTATCACAATTCGTATATGGGATGATGTAAGTTCTCTGTGGACACGAATTATAAGAAAATAATATTCTGTCCAATAAAGTAGGTACTACGTTACGGACATGTGCTTAAACTATCTATACATGAATGCATATTAGCTGCATGCATCATCATGTATGTACTGTGTAGATGCCAGCTCGCATCTCACGATGATACACAACACAAACGAGATTTTATGATTCTGCAAAATTCTTTTGTGGGTTCGTGCGCACATGCGTCTTTGCTCATAGCGATGCATACTTTTAACTATAGCAATCCAGCTAATAATTTTTTTTTGTACATTATTAAATGTTGTTCCCTAAAAAAATAGCTAGTTTTACTGTCACGCATTTTGCAAATTGAAACTTTTGATGTAATAACAATAACGCCGTAATAGCTAATAAGTGTATATTTTTTTTTATCATAATCCTAGATAATTTTTGCTTAGAAGAAATGGTAAAGGCAAAATCTCTTCTAGATTTTCTCTCAAATTTATAGCAAAAATTAGAAACTGGTGTACATTATTAATCCCAAGGACTATTTTTTTCCTCAACTGCTTTTAGAAAGGTGAACAACTATAAGAGGAAAATGTAAAAAAGTTGAAGAAAATAAGGAGGATAAATTTGGACCAATAATACAAATACAAAAATAAAATGAAACGTAAGTAAAAAGAATAAAAAAATAAAAAAACAAGAAAAGGCATATTTACTTAGGGATTCTCTCATCTATTATCTCTCTCTCTCTCTCTCCACCGTCGTTCCCATTCATTAAAGTCTCTCTTTCTCTCTCTCCAGAGCCGATGATAAACGACGGCGGATTTCACCGGAACTAAGGGAATCAAGTTGGGCTATGGCGGAGGAAGATGTTTCGAGCAGCTTCCGAGCCCTTGTGGAGAACGCCGACCGGAAGTTCGCCAGAGTTCGTGATCTCCCGGCGTTTGGAAGAGCACAGAGTCACTACTTCCACAAGGTTTTCAAGGCCTACATGAAACTCTGGAATTTTCAGCAGTCGCACAGGTCGAAGCTGGTGGAGTCCGGTCTAAACCGGTGGGAAATCGGCGAGATCGCGAGCCGGATTGGTCAGCTTTACTTCAGCCAGTACATGAGAACCAGCGAGGCTCGGTTTCTTCTAGAGGCTTATGTGTTCTACGAAGCGATTCTGAAGAGAAGGTACTTCGAGGAAGCTCACGGGAAGGATCTCGGTGCTCGATTCAAGGAGTTACGGTTCTACGCCAGGTTTTTGCTCGTCTCGTTGATCGTGGGTCGGAAGGAAATGGTTCTGCACTTATCAGAGAAGCTTAGGGCTTTGGTGGATGACAGCAAATCCAATTTCAGGGTAATTTCGATTTGCCCTTTTTGATTCATTTCAGGCTTTGATTTTGTATACTGTAAACGAATTTGTTTTGGTTAAGTTTTGCTGGCAATTTCTTATCTCATTCAATAAGAAACTAGCGAAAATAGCTATTTAGGAGTATATATAATCACGATTCACGAGGATAGATTGATGGATTCATTCTCATAAAGGCTAGTTTTTTGTTTTCTTTTTTTTTGTGTTCATGTGAATTAGCATTATTACATTTGTAAAAGATTATATTTTTTAGAAAAATTTCCAAATCTGTGTGTTTCTATTGTTGGGAACATTGATAAAGTGAGGATTGATTGGGAATATTCTTTGCGCAGGAGACAAACTTCAAGGAGTGGAAGCTGGTTGTGCAAGAAATCACTCGATTTACAAAATCTGACACAAGCTTAACATATCTGAGGCCTCTTCGTTACTGCGCAATGCTTGATTCCTATCCAGCTTCTCAAACATACATTGCGCGGTTCCACGCTAAGAAGCTGTTTAAGTTTCGTGATGCTCTCTTGGCAAGCTATCACCGTAACGAGGTAAAACAAGCAGAATTTGTTTATTTATGGAAACTAAGATTCATCCCAATTCAACTCTGTTACCTTCATAATCATTGTTTGAGTTGTATTTTCTTAGGTGAAATATGCTGAAGTCACGTTGGATACGTATAGAATGATGCAGTGTTTAGAATGGGAGCCAAGTGGATCTTTTTACCAAAAACGGCCTGTCGAAACGAAGGAGAATGGTTTTGTGGTTGATCACACACTAACTTCTGGGCTTATAGATATGAAATTGGCTGCTGATATGGCGGATCCATCATTACCTCCTAATCCTAGGAAAGCAGTTCTTTATCGTCCCACGGTATCCCACTTGCTAGCGGTGAGTTTTATGCGTATCATATAGAAATGTCTGCAGGACTTTCTGATATTGCCTTCATTATCGATAGACAGGAGACTGCCCTATCCATTATGTTTTAACTGTTTAATGGTGATATATATTTGCAGGTCTTGGCAATGATTTGTGATGAGCTCTCTCCAGAGTGTGTGATGCTGATATATTTGTCAGCTTCGGGTTAGTTTTCTTTTTGTGTTCATTTGGAACTTCAAAGGTTGGTAATTTTTTGATCATGGTGTATCAATGGTATTGGTGACGTTTATCCAGGTGGTCCTGCTCGTGAGAGTGTTGCCCAACCTGAGAACTCTGTCGGTTCAAGCAGAACATCAAAAAGCAAGCTGCTTACCCGAGCTTCCCAGGAACAGAAGAGTTACAAGTCAGAGCCTCATAGCAATGGACAGAAATTGTCTGCTGATTATTATGATGATCATCTCTGGTTAGGTCCTAGAGGAGCCTCTGGTATATAAGTCGTTTTCCTGGGATTTTACATTGTGATATGTCTTTAAAGAGCAGGCTTTTCTCACACACTATCTCGTTTTGTTTTCAGGTTCAAACAACCTTTACCCTGGTGATCTAATCCCTTTTACGCGGAAACCTCTTTTCTTGATCATTGATAGCGACACTAGCCGTGCATTCAAGGCAGGTTTGTCATAACTTAGTAGTGTATCGTTTTCTCTGGAGATTCTAATAGTTTCTCTCACTCACTGCGATATTTGCTGACGAATTGTAAACTCCAGGTTTTGGATGGCGCAGAGAGAGGCGAGCCTGTTGCTCTACTTCTTTCTCCTCTGAAGCCATCTTTGGAGAATTCATCTGCTGATGATACAGCAGAACTAAACGGAAGTCAGTTTACTTTTTTCTTGACAGCTCCTTTACAAGCTTTCTGTCAAATGATGGGCCTCTCAAACTCAGATCCCGACCTTGTAAGCACACTTGTGATTTGAAGTAGACCATACATTTCATAATGTTGCATTGCCTCTTACCAGTTTGACACAATCTTCAGGAGGTTTACGATGAAGCAGAGAGCATACTATCTGCTTCCTTCTCTGAGTGGGAAACGATTCTCTTGACTTCCAAAGTATTGAATCTTGTCTGGGCACAGGTCTTGCCCGATCCATTCTTGAGACGGCTGATTCTCAGGTGAGTGTCTTTTTTTCGTTTTGAAGTTTTTGGAAACAAAACCACACAAGGCAGCTTCTTCAATGTTGTCTGCTTGTTGTGTAGATTCATATTTTGTCGGTCTGTACTCACTTCCTTCAGCCACACAAAGGATAATGACCCGTGTTTACCACAATGCCACCCAAATCTACCGGACTCAGTCTCACCGATCTGTAAACCAGTGCAGTCCGCAGTACAGCGACTAGCTGATCACTTGGGTGTTGCCAAATCTTTCCATTTCAACAACTCATAATTTTAGTTTAACCCATGAGCCTCTCCATCTTCTTGGTTGGAGATTGGTGGGTGAATATGTTGGTTGTTCGTTTTCATAGAAGAAAGTCTGTATTTTTTTTTAGGGTATAAAGAAAATGTAATTTGGGGATTAAATTTTTGTTGGTTTTGATGATTCTTTAGCTTTTGTCCTTTGTAAAAGATTAGAACCAGGAAATAAGTTAGTAGTCTCTTGCCTTCCTCTCTTCTTAGGATTCGTTTGTTTTGTGTACGATGAGATGAACAAATCTGTGCATTGCATAAAGAAAGTGTGACATTGTTGTTCTTTCGCAAATTCTTAGTTACTTTTGTGATGAGGATGAGGTTTCCAGGTTTTCTGTTTCAGATTCTTGCATCGATGTCTCCAGATTCATCAAAAGCAATTATTTGGCAAAAATCATGTAAGCCGTAATGGCGAGAATCAATCAAAAATGATTTCATTTAGACTTGTTAAGCTTTATGGTATCCAGAACATGTCTTTAGATCAAGGTCTAAAAGAAGAGAGACTACTTTTTAGAGGGTTTCTTGCATCGATGTCTAAAAAACTCCTAATTTCACTTTATTAACATGTTTATTTGTGATGTAAAATTGCAAAAAGAAAACTCCTAGTTTTACACCTTTTTAATATTTATTTATATAAATAAAAGTAGATTAAGTTCATAAACTATCTTCGTACACAAGCATATAGTTCCATTTTTGAGGTTTGTTTTCTTTTTAAAGTTGATGACTCTGTTTGATTGTGCTAACAATTCTTCAATTATTCTCTCTATTGTTCCGTTAGATGAACGGAGTATATTTGTATGATATATTTTGTATTCTTTGTAAGATATGCATTCTCTTCATAGAAATATTGAATATTTCATTTTTCCTTTTTAAACATAATATTATTTTTTTATTAATTATATTTCTTTTCCTTTTTTTTGCTTATTTGTTTGTAAGAAGGAAATATATTGTTACCACATGATTTCCTTTTAACCTTTTTCCAATAAATTAAGAAGATTAGGACCTCTCGGAGCTCTCTCTCTCTTGGTGTCTCTGCGAAACCACCTAAAGATAAAAACGCAACCTTTTGAGTTATGAGTGTCGCGATGTCGAATTCAGCCGCCGCGGCCGTCGAAGAGCCGCCGCATAAGAAGAGGAAGCCGTCTCCGTTGCCGTCATCGTGGTCTCCGCTATCTTTGCTGCCAGATGAGATGGCTATGAGCTGCCTGGCTCGAGTGCCAAGATCGGATCAGGCGGCCTTGTCTCTGGTCTCCAAGAGCTATCGCTCAGTGGTGGCTTCGCCTGAGCTCTACAGGACGAGATCGGTATTGGGGTGCACCGAGAATTGCCTCTACGTGTGCTTGCTCACCCCTCCCGACCCAACCCCACGGTGGTTCATCCTCCGCCGTGATAAAGCTGTGAATCGGCTCCAAAGAATCCCGATCCCTTCGTCCCCCTCTCAGCCTACGGAAGCATCCTCCGTGGTGGCGCTGGACGGGGGTATCTATGTAATCGGTGGGTGCAGAAAAGGGAAGCCCCCTTTCAGATGTCTGGCTCTTGGATTGTCGGACGCACACTTGGAGCCGAGCACCTTCCATGGGTGTGGCCCGAGCTTCCGCCGCGGTCGGAGTCGTAGGCGGGAAGATCTACGTGTTTGGAGGCTGCCGGGACCGAGGTTGCTCCAAGTGGGCAGAGGTGTTCGACCCGAAGACCCAAACTTGGGATTCTTTGCCGCCACCGCCAGAATGTATACGGGACACTGTGTATATACACGACAGTGTGGTGGTGAAGGAGGAAAAGGTGTACGCAGTGGATGGAATAGATACAACCTTTTACTACTCGCCAAGGGAAGATAAATGGGGAAGAGGGAGTACTATTCCGCGGAAGGGAAACAAAAGGGATTGGTGTGTCATTGATAAAGTGGTCTACGCTTGTGATGAGCACGGGGTTTTGAGTTGGTGTGAGGCAGACCAGTTGGAGGGTGAACCAGAGGGGATGTATTGGAGGGAGGTGAAGGGTTTAGAATCTCTCAAGGAGAGTCTCTCTAGCTCCAGACTGGTCCACTTTGATAGCAAGTTTCAGCCTCTATGGGAGGCGCAAAAGATCAGGCATGGTTTACAGGCAAAGCTCGTAGATTTGCTTCCGGGGGCCAGGCTCAGCATCTGTGGTGGCAACATTGTGGTCTTCTGGGACAAGGGGGATCATGACCCTGATGATATTTGGTGTGCAGACCTTGAGATTTGCTGTACAGAGATCTCATTGCAGAGACGAGGAGGCGAGATTATGGGCAATGTCGAGTGGTCTAGCCCTGTCATGACCGTTAATCCTTTCTCCGAACGCTACAAGGTTCTGTATTCTGCTTCTGTCACTCTCTGAACTCGCCCCAGCATCCTTGTGTAACTGTTTTTTTGTCTATGTATAATTACAATAAGTATTCTTTATTGCTGTATTTTTTTTAATTTCTTAGATACATTTTCTTGTACAACAACTAGCTGATCACTTGGGTGTTGCCAAATCTATACACTTCAACAAATCATAAAATTAGTTTAACCCATGAGACTCTTCATCTCTGTGAGTGAATAAGTTGTTTGTTCGTTTTTATAGAAAGTCTATATTTTTATTTAGGGTATGAAAAGAATGTAATTTGGGGAACAAGTTTTTTTTGGTTTTGATGATTCTTTAGCTTTTGTCTTTTGTAAAAGATTAGAACCAGGAAATAAGTAATAGTCTATTTCCCTTTCTCTCTTGTTACGATCCGTTTGGTTTTGTGTACCGTGAGATGAACAAATCTGTGCATTGCATAGAGAAAGTGTGACATTGTTGTTCCGCAATAAATCAGTTATTTTGTGATAATGAGGTTTCAACATTTGAGCTATATAGAACACGATTTAAAGAATAAAGTTTATGAAGCCTTTTTTAACCCAAAGTATGATCACAAAAAAGCAAAAGCAAGGCTAAAGATGTGCCTCTTAAGACGAAATCCTAGCCGTCAAATACTAAAGGTGTCTCCATAAGATTGAATCGTGGCCATTGAGTCCATAAGATTGAATCGTGGCCATTGAGTCCAATTTCTAAACGGAGCCGGTTCATTTCGCTGTCTTTGTGTTGTACGACCACTCGCCGCTAGTGGAGGGGAAAAGGAAACCGGAGAATTCGAGGTGAGTTTCGCTTTCGTATGATTTCCAATCGGACTTGGCCTCTTAGTGTTGTAGAGTTTTGGATAATCCGATGAAATTACGATTAAATGGATATTCATGACGAGAAATTAGGGTTTCTCTACTCTGTAATTGCCTCTCATCATCGTCACCGAAAGTTGAGTGATTCCGACAATTTCAAGTCGACTACGATGGATGTGATTTTGAGTTCTTAGATCTTCTGGGTAAATTCAAACGTTTCTTTGATTTCTACTTCGCGACTCTGTTCCTCAATTGCAGGTGGAGATAACTCCGTGAAGCCCTCTAGTCCACGATGTTGACATTGAAACCTTTGGTGCCTATAACGTTAAAGCCTCGTTTTTCATTCAACATTCCGCGTCATCATGTCCGTTTCTGCAAATCCCCATTAAAGGTCAAGACATACGCTCAAAATGGCGGCAACGACTCGGCCAAGGAGTCTTCTGGTGGTGGAAACAGGCCGGTTAGTAACGATGATGGTGATGGTTCGAAGAAAGATCTGTTTGCTGGCTTCAGTTTCCGGTGGGGCGATCTGCTGAATCCGGATCCAGATAACTTTGTGGCCGTTGGATTGGCTGGAGCATTGACTTGGGCTAGCCTTCAAGTACTATCGCAGCTTTTCTTCATCTCTTTCGCCATCCTCGTGGCTGCTCTCAAGTATTCTTTTATCGCTGCGCTTCTCATTTTCATCCTCGTCACTCTCCTCTAGCTTCTCTTGTTCTTAATATGCATTGATGTACATTTGAGCTTGGTATAAAAGTATCAAGTTTCATTTGCTGAATTTTCATCTCGATTTCCAGGTTTTCTGTTTGAAATTCTCACACACAGCTTTGGCAAATCCGTAATGGCGAGAATCAATCAAAAAGATTTCATTTAGAATTATTAAGCTTCATAGCTATCCATAACATGTCTTTTATATCAAGGCCTAAAAGAAGAGAGATTACAATGACGACGCTACTTTTTAGAGGGTTTCTTCTTCGAGCTAACAACGACTTGTGGTTTAGGATGCTTCTCGGCTTCACTTGGATCTAACCACTTGAGAGGATGACGATTGAAGAAAGGCCAATTGGGCACGGTGATCAGACTCGTAAGAACAACACCTCCGGCGTAAATTAACATCATCGTCCTGAACGACGCCGTCGTGTAACCAACAACGAACGCCACAACGGCGGCGATCAAGAGCAAGATCTGCATCAACTGCTCCGCCAATTTCTGCCCTTGCCAATCCATCTTTGAAATAATAAAAAAACGATTAGATCTTCGAACTGAATCCGAATCCGAAATTCAATTGATAATCAACGAGTTCAAGCCTACGAGAACAATAATTAACAAATTCGATCGAAATTTTCAGAGAATCCGCACCTGGAAAATGATGAGAATCTCGGTGAAACCAGGTTCCTTCTCGACGGAAGTGGATTTGGGGGAGGAAGAAGACGACGACTCCAAAATCGGTTTAATGCAACTAATTTAACGCACCGTACGTAACGTACCCGTCGGGTTCTGCAATTAATGGGCCTTATCTGTAAGCCCATTATGTATTTGACTAAATTAAATTGGAACGGTTGATTTCGGCGATCCACGACGTTTTGGAATCAACCAATAGCAATCGAGTATCTAGCAGTGGTGATCCTTGTCAAACTTGTATAATTAGATCTAGACCGTCGATTGTGTGCAAGAAAGCACATGTTGTGGTATTCTCGTTCGTACGATTAAAAAACACGAGAAACACATTGGTGATCGATATTAACCGTCCGATCGTCAATCTGCTTTACCATCGTTGCCTATAAATTAATATCAAGAGCCGTACACGCGAGATTTCTTTCATTATCTGCTTTTCGATATCCGAGCTCAAATCCGAAATCAGAGAAGCGAGAGAGGTTATCGAAGAAAAAGGTACGAGTTTTTCAAATTTCTTCGTTTTCTTCCTTTGTATGTTTCTTCGTTTGATAGCTAATCTGCTGTAACCATTGATAGGGTGGAATGAAAATTAGTGCGGTTTAGTTTCTATTTTTGATCGTTATCTTCTTTTCGCCGATTCATCGTCTGGATTTAGGTTTTAGGTTTGAGAGCAACGCTAGATTTAGGTCTGTGATTGTTTCTTTCGGCTAGGATCGTCATCTGGCTCTGAAATTGTTGATAATTGTCACCGATGTACATAGTTATATCTGCATTTGGTAATTAGGGTTTCGTTTTCAGTCTTTGATAATATCTTGATTAGGCATTGATGACTACCGTTGTTCTCTGGATTTATCCTAAAATTGTTGATTTTGCGATTCAAATTTGCAATTGAATGTTCACGCTCTAATTTTGTTTGTTACTGATCAGATGGCTCGTACCAAGCAAACAGCTCGTAAGTCTACCGGAGGAAAGGCCCCAAGGAAGCAGCTTGCTACTAAGGTAAGTCTCAACCATTTTGAACTGCGTGTAATTTATTAGCCACATTGTTGGATCGTGATACTAAACGGATGTTTATATTTCAGGCTGCACGTAAGTCTGCCCCAACCACTGGTGGAGTCAAGAAGCCCCATCGTTACCGTCCTGGAACCGTTGCTCTTCGGTATGTCATACGTTTCCCCCTAATAATGCATAATGTCTAATGTGTTCGTGCTTGATTGTCATCTCAATTGACAATCTCTGTTTCGTTGATTCTTGTTTTTGGTTGACAGTGAGATCCGTAAGTACCAGAAGAGTACCGAGTTGCTGATCAGGAAACTCCCATTCCAGAGGCTTGTTCGTGAGATTGCCCAGGATTTCAAGGTAATGTGTGCTTATTCATCTCATCTATCTTAAAAATTGAAATGTGTGGATGATTTTATCTTCTTCTGTGATCCTAGTGCTTATCTTTTTGTTGATCATCTCTGTGGTTTCAGACTGATCTGCGTTTCCAGAGCCATGCTGTGCTTGCGCTTCAGGAGGCTGCAGAAGCGTATCTCGTGGGTCTCTTCGAGGACACTAACCTCTGCGCCATTCATGCCAAGCGTGTGACCATCATGCCCAAGGACATCCAACTCGCTCGCAGGATCAGAGGAGAACGTGCTTAAGTGTTTTGGGGGGAAACCGGTCGTATTATGTGAATGTGGTTTGATCTAAAATAGCTAATAGTTGGAATTAGGGTAATGGCTTAAAAAGCTTTTGGTTTTAGTAGGATTTGAAAACAATGTCGATGATGATGATGGTTTGTTTTTCGCATTTTCTTGTGTTTAGCTACGTTTTGTTGTGTGGATATTGCTTCTTTTGCAGTATCAAAACACCTTTTGTTGTTTGGATTTCATTTCTAAAACAATTGTTATGTTGACTTGGTTAAATATGAGTAGAATTTGTGAAATTGGTTTAATGTTTGCACATTGTAAATTGTTTTGTTCACCTTAACCTAATTATTATGTTCGATTCGCAAATTATGACAAAATTGGTAATCCGTGTGAGAGCCAAAAATTTAGATCGTGGCCGTTGGAATGGTTTGAGAAAACACAATGTTCAAATGTTATAACCGTCGGATGAGGGAAGTAAGGAAGCACAGGAGCGTGTATCGTGATAACCCTTTCGTCGGTATTATAAATAACCATTCAACGGCATTGTGGCCACAACCACAAACACACAAACCTCAGTAATCAATCCATTGTGACGAAAGACAATAACAAAAAACAAGTCAGCCCAGCCAACAAGAGGTATGATTTGGATTTAGGTTAGGTCTTCCAATTAAATTCTCTGTTACTGTTTGCGATCTAATATCTGGTTTTTTACGGCAAACGAGTCTTGTGTCTTTACCAATTCCAGTTTGAAGTTTTATTTTGTGTCCTCGTTGAATTTTTCTGGATCGTTAACCCCTGTCAAAATCGAGTATGTCCTTTTTTCCGGATAATTCGTTGTTCATCTTTCGATTTTTTCTCACTTCGAGGCTTAGTATCGCCGATGTGTCTGTGTGCGATAGTCATTGTGTTTCCGTGTGTTGATAATTAGGGTTTTAGAGTCAGTTTTCCCCCTTTTGCCGATCTCTGAATTGCTACCGTTTCATCTGCAATAGCGTTGAGCTCTGTTCAGTTTCGATTTTTTCATCAATTAGTGGTTTGATATAATGGAGATCATCAGTGTTATTGAAACTTAATAAGGTTGTTATAAATTGGTGTCAGGAACAGATGGCTCGTACCAAGCAAACCGCTCGTAAGTCCACTGGAGGAAAAGCCCCAAGGAAGCAACTTGCTACTAAGGTTTGTTTCTTCTTCTTTGTCTCTTTTGTTTTTTACGCTTAAAGTGTCCTTTTTTATCATGAAATTGAATTTGGATATTCTCTATGTATCCACTCAGGCTGCTCGTAAATCTGCACCAACCACTGGTGGAGTCAAGAAACCTCATCGTTACCGTCCTGGAACTGTCGCACTCCGGTTTGTTCATATCTACCTTCGTTATGATTCATTGCTTTTGGTCTTTAAGAGTTAAATGTAACACTTGTGTTAAGATTCTCCATATTTTTTTGGTTGACAGTGAAATCCGTAAGTACCAGAAGAGCACTGAGTTGCTGATCAGGAAGCTCCCATTCCAGAGGCTTGTCCGTGAGATTGCTCAAGATTTCAAGACCGATCTGCGTTTCCAGAGCCATGCTGTGTTGGCTCTCCAAGAAGCTGCAGAGGCATATCTGGTTGGTCTCTTTGAAGACACTAACCTTTGTGCAATCCACGCCAAGCGTGTCACCATCATGCCCAAGGATATCCAGCTCGCTCGTCGTATCAGAGGTGAGCGTGCTTAAGCCAAACCAAGAGAGACTTCGCTTTTCCGGATTTGGTTCACGAAAAAGCAAAGCTCTTTCAATTGCTGTAATAGGGAAAATCTAAGTAGTAGTTAGAACGTCTGCAAAACTTAGAAGAATGTTGTGTTCTTTCATTTATGTCTGTGTTGCAAAACTCTATTTTAACTCTTTGTTAAATTATATGCTTTTAACTCTTTTGTCACCAATCTTCTTCTCTCTCGATGTCTTATGGTTTGATTTTTTCTGTATAATTAAAAAAAGTTGTGGGTTTGTTTAATTCTTCTAAACAATCGGATTTTAGAGAATAATCAGAGAGAACAAAATAGAGAGAGAGAGAGAGAGCAAGGGAAAGGCATGATCTTTGGAAATGGTCCGATTTGATCGGCTCTCGTTTGATTATTGCCGAGAAAAAACAAATCTTTCCCCTTAAAAAAAGGAAGTAACTTTCTGAAGCGTGGAACCATTTTCTTTATTTGACCATAGATTTTGTTCCTTTTTTCCCCAACCTATTAAACAAATTCTTAGTCCATTTTAATCAAAACCCATTAACCCAAAAACTTCATCTTCTTTCTCATAAAAACATTCATCGCGAAATGGGAGAAGTAGACGAGAAACCATGTATCGAGGGAGCTTCTCCAAGGTATTCATCGAAGAAAGTTGCGGATTTTGATACGGAGCTCTCCAAGATGAAGGCTTCTCTTGAGAGCAGAGAAAGCGAGGTCGTTTCTTTAAGAGACGCGTTATTGGAGAAAGACGTGTTGATGAAGAATCTCGAAGCCGAGATTGAGAAAGGCAAAGACTCAGAGCAGAAACTGCTTGGTTCGTTTGAAGAGCAATCAAGAGAGCTCGAGGAATCCAAGGTGGAGATTGCTTCTTTGAAAGAGAGGATCGACGGATCTTTTCACAGCCAAGACTCGAGCGAAGAAGACGAAGACGATAGTTCTGTCCAGGATTTCGATATTGAGTCTATGAAGAACGAGATGGAATCGACGAAGGAGAGTCTCGCGCAGGCTCGTGCGGCTGCAGAAGCTTCTTCTTTAAAGGTATCTGATTTGCTAGAAGAGATGAAATCGGTTAAGAACGAGCTTCAATCAGCGACGGATGCAGAGATGACGAGCAAGAAAGCTATGGACGATTTGGCGTTGGCTTTGAAAGAGGTAGCTACTGATTGTGGCCAAACGAAAGAGAAGCTTGAGATTGCGGAAACAGAGCTCGAGGCTGCGAGATTAGAGTCTAAGGAATGGAAGGAAAAACACGAGGAAGTGAGGAAAGAAGCTGAATTGCTCAAGAACACGAGCGAGAGACTGAGGATCGAAGCAGAGGAGTCTCTTTTGGCTTGGAATGGGAAAGAGTCTGTGTTTGTGAGTTGTATAAAGAGAGGAGAAGATGAGAAGAACTCGCTGCTTGACGAGAACAGCAGATTGCTTGAAGCTCTTGTTGCAGCTGAGAACTTGAGCAAGAAGGCTAAAGACGAGAATCATAAGGTTAGAGATATACTTAAACAAGCTATCAGCGAAGCTAATGTAGCGAAAGAAGCAGCGGTGATCGCGAGAGCTGAGAATTCGAATCTGAAAGATGCCTTGTTGGATAAAGAAGAGGAACTGCAGTTTGCTCAGAGGGAGATCGAAAGAGTCAAGGTTAACGAAGCTATGGCCAATGACAATGTAAAGAAGTTGAAGAGGTTGTTGTCCGAAATTGAGGTAGCTATGGAAGAAGAGAGACACAGAAGCTTGAGCAGGCAGGACTCGATGCAGAAGGACGTAGAAGTTGTTGAGAAGAAGATTGAGGAGAAGGAGAAGGAGAAGGAGAAGAAAGAGGAGAAGAAAGAGAGTAAGAAGGAGAAGAAAGAGAGCAAGAGGGAGAAAAAGGAACATGGGGAGAAGAAGGAAGAGAAGGAGAAGAAAGATCATTCACAACAGAACATCGATAAGAAGATGCTTGGCAAGACTTGTAGTTTCAGTCTGATGAAACTCGCTCATAACCACAATCACAATCACAACCACAACCACAAGCACAAGGAATCAGTAGAGGAAGAGACAAAAGCACAAGAGAGCAACAACAGCAGCAATAACACTGATGATAGTGGTGAAGCAAACTCTCCGAGATCAGATTCTTATCTCTTCAAAGGTTCCATCTTCGATGTCGCTGAGACGCCACACGCAGCAGCGGCGCACAGCCATCACAAGAGGAGATCTTCGTGTACGTTTTTGGAAGAAGTAGCGACGATTAACCCGGAGGACTTGGAGAATTTGGATGGGAATCAGTTAGAAGAAGGAGAGTTAAACGACAAAGGAGCAGTAGCAGCAGCGAGGAAGAAGAAGGCTTTTATTCGTAGGTTTGGGGATCTTCTCGTTAGGAGAAAGAGTTTGAGTTTCTCACACAAGAAAGAGTCTTCGACTGATTCACAAGATAAGCAGCAGCAACCACAGACGCCGACGTCACCGTCTCCACCGCAACTGCCGCTATCTCCGGAGCACTGAAGACATTTGTTTTGAATTTGTTTGTGTATATTGTGTGATACGCCATTTTTCTGTTTTTCTTTTTCTTGTACATAAACAAACCCTCAGGAGTTCGAATTTGTTGTTGTAATAAAGGATTTGATCATTTTAATCTGCGGAGTGTTTTGTCTTTTCCTTTAACATCATCAGTATAATAGCATTAACACTTAATAAACAACATTGTCATCATCTGGAAGAAGGAAGATCTTAAGTTGTCCTCCATAGCTAGCTAGCTTTGAGAGGTTCATAGTCTTTCTCTATCAGAAAGCCTCTGGTGAAGTTGGTGGCAATCCACTGTCGTGACCATAACGGTTAAGCTAGCCTTTCCCTTCCAGCATCCAATAGCTATCGTTGACGAATTCACTTCCACTGCTTCTGACCCGAGCTCCTGAGTACCTGTAGGAAACCAAAAAAAAAAACCGTTTAAAACCATATCCCAATATGATCAAAAGGTAACTTATATATAAACAGAGCTATAGAATACATACCGTCGACGAGAACCACCACGCAATATCCCATGGCTACTTCTGCTGCCTTCTGGCCAAACTCTGCAAGGGCGAAATCTGGGAACTTGATCGATTTGTATAGCAGGAGATTCTTAAAATCCACCATTGTTGCGTAAAGTATTTGTTTTGTCATGTACGGAAGGATCACAGGCAATCCCTCTGAGGTTATCCGGAATGAGCAAGAGTTTGCTTCACATTCTCTTGCCGATTGTTTCTCCTGTGTTTTACAAAAACATATTTTAACAAAACCATGCGATTTAGTAGATTTGATGGTGAGCAATGCAAATATGTGTGGTGCTTACAAACATCTTGAGGCCAACAGATGCGATCTTGATCTTCTTCCCAACCGCAGAATTAAGCTCAAGAACATCCTTAACCGATTTTGAAACATAGTATATCCTCTTCACGTTGCCTTTGCTGCTTGTGTCGCTGTTTCTAGTCACGAGATGACCATGGAGGGGAAAGGATTCATCTTTGATGCCGTAAAATGTCTTGATCCCGTTGATCACTGTTTCGTCTCTCAAGAACACAACAGGGTCCAGGCCTTTCCACTTCCCTTGCAGTGCTGGTACTTTTGTCTTGCCTCCCATACCACCAAGTTCTTGAGCCAATTTTATAATGCCTTCCTTCTCAGGCGGCTTCAAGCCATTATCTGAAGCTGATTCTTCTACAACTATATCCTCTGCACCCTCAGAGACTGCTTCAGAAGAAGACTTCTCATATGAGTTTCTGTTTCTTCTCTGATTTAGTCTCTCCTGTATTTCTGCAAGATAATACTACTGAGTCCAGATACAGAGACAATTAGAGAGTTATATGCACCTCAAAACTCACCTGGTAAAGGTGAAACTTTGTGAAGGACGGCTATGAAAAACCCCCCAGTGTTCTGATCATGAGGCAGTATCCTCAAGCAGCGTTCAAGGGGAAGATCACAGACTTCTTCGGCTGATTCACCAGAAGCCATTTCTTCGTTGCTGTTTTCGCCACATGTTGAGTCTTTATCGCTTTTACCAGAAGGAAACATGGTTTTCAGAATTCCGTCTCTCTGCGATTTCGGAACATCTTTGTAAGATCTATACCAGCCACTACTATCATGCACCTGAATCCACACAAGAGAGAAAATACAAGCAAGAGTGAAATTTCCAACTACTGTTTTTCTTCTGCTTCAAAGTAATAGAAACTTCGTTTACCTTCCATTTCTTAAGACCTGGTCTTCGAATAAGCTCTGGAAACTTATCTGAGACATCTACAAGCTCAACAGAGCATCCACACCTCCTCAGAACCTGAAGAATACTAACAAATATGATCAATTAACATCGAGAAAAACAGGTTCATGGAGAAAGATAGAAAAAACTTATAAAATACTTCAGCAACAACAGCTTCATCTTCAATCGGGTTCATTGAGCAGGTTGAGTATACCATTCTCCCACCAACTTTTAGCAGAGACAAACCTGAAAACCAGACAATGCAGATCAAATTGAAGACATAACATTCTGGTGAGTCGAGTCAGCTGAGGAAAAAAAAGCTCACCTCTCATGGCAAGCACAACCTGTAGACTATGAAGTCCATTTCCCGATCCAGAGTTCCTGTGCAGAAACCAAAGAAGGGGAATAAGAATCTTGAAGCAAAAATGTCAATTTGGAAGCTTAAATATAGAAACCATCTTCGCCATATGTCTGGAGCCTTGCGCAGAGTACCATCACCACTACACGGTACATCGCACAGGACACGATCAAAGAGAAGCTGATCAATGGGATGATGATGAATCTCAGATGCTATGGACAAAGTTCTCTTCGAGTTGCAGTTGGGGAAATGTTGACCTTCATTGTTAGTGACCATCAAGTTGGTCGTACACGTTCTTTTCGTTTGGTGAATAAGAAGGTTTGATCTTTTGTAGTCAACATCATTCGCCACCACCTGATTTCAACCAAAACAATTAGGAAAAAACAATATTTTTTTTACATATCAACCAAAAAATGAGTATTACAAACCATTCCATTAGGTAGAGATCCTGGTTCTGCGGATTCATGTATTAATTCAAGCAGCTGAAATGTCTTGGAACCAGGCGCAGCACACACTGTTGAGACAAAAGAGAAGACAAGTGAATCAGTTTAACCATATTATTCATAACATTTTCAGACAATGTCGAACAAAAATCACTCACTGTCGAGGACAAAATGATCTGGATGTACGTCAAGGAAAAGAGGAGGTACCTACGTGATCATTTAATCATCAACCACAAAAACTATAAAATGTAATGGATTAATACGATTTAAAGAGAGTACACTAGTACCATACCATGCTAACTGCTTCTTGCCTGGTCATGTTCCCAACTTCTGTCTCTAACTTTAGAAACTCATGAAACCTGAAGAGAGAATGAACTAACACGAGTAAACAATGGAACTGAAGATTTGTTTTGAAAAACCATTTTTTTGATCTTTGAACATGTACCTCTCAAGCGTCTGGTTTTTTCTAATCTCCTTTCGCGAAAAATTAGAATGCCAAGCAAGATTGTTAGGGTACCAAGGCAAGGGCTTGATAGCCTCCAATTCACCACTCTCTATAGCCTAAGAGTAAGCAAAATGAAAAAACCAACATTTAAGAAAAAATAGCCTCTTTGTGTAGATTAGTAGCAATGAGACAACTAGAAAATCAAGAGTCGCGATCTTACCTCAGCCTGAAGAGATTTAATGAAATCATTCTCCAATATCGACCGAATCTCATCGCAAAACTGGCCACTAAGAATTAGCAAATCTTTAGTCAAAACATTTGCTTAGAAGGATTATTGTCAACTTGAAAGCAAAGGCTGTAAAAATGATAAACAGAGAGCATACTTGGAATTAACTCTGAAAGCAGCAGGCAATGGCTTACGAAGAACCTCCATGAACGTATCCCACTCTTCTGGTTTCACTATCCTTTGCTCCTATGCACCGAAACGAGACAATACAGTTTTAGAACCACACTTTCGAATCCATTACATTAGTTCTTAATTCTTATACACTAGTACAGTAGTACCTTGTAATACTCCTCGAAATCAGCATTCGACCAGGTGCGATTGTGGATGTTGGAATCAAAGGAAGCTTCTGATTTGAGGGGTTTCCGGACATTTTCATTGCTATCTTCTAATTGATTTCTCTGCGAACGACCTCCTCTGTGTCTTCTTCCTCCTCTTCCCATTCTTGTTGACTCGTCGCCGACTTTCTGTTTTTTTAGCCGGCGGCGTCGCAGCGATGGGTTTTGGGTTCAATAGGTTTTTTTTTTTTTTTGTAAAAACAATTTTAATAGTTAATACTTACGTCTTACGCGCAATGTTTGGCGCGTGTACACTTATCAGTATCCCGAACCGAACCGATTGTTGACGGTTTTGGTTTTCTTCGGTTTGGTCGAATCGCACCTACACATGTAACATAATGGGTCAGGAAATTTTGATTCGAAGGCTATTGTTATTGGGCTTTTGTAGCTTAATTATTCAAGTTCATAAGAAAAGATTTTTTCCACTTTACTGGAATATTGATAGTAAGAATCGTGAATTTGTTTTGTGATATACATTTACATTTTTTTTTTTGTCAATATCACTATCAATCCTCTTGTGCGAATTCTTTTATCTCAACCACTCGAAAGTTAATGTGGTTCTAACTTTATTTTCTTTCTATTTATGCTAACAAATTTGACTTCATTTCACAAGGAACCAAATTATAACGCAACTGTAATGATAATTGTGGGGAAAAGTGTGTAAGATTCCCACAAATGAAGAAAATGGTAATGCATAAAACTTTTTCAAATGGCCATATAGTTGTTATACAAGATTCCCACCAATTTTTTGTTTTGTTTACATAAAAAGTAGTATATCTTTATTGATCTTTGTGAAATCATAATGTTTCAAACTCTTTCGAATAATAGCCTTCTGTAGTTGTAGCAACTAATGTGGGGACCATTCAGTTATCACCCAACCACTCAACGGTGATGGGCTTTACATCACGGCCCAATCCTCACCTTCCACGTAACCTTTTTCATTACGCCAGTGTCCCTGACGCGCAACGACCACTTCCATTTGGCATTGTACTTTTGTCACTTGCTTTCTGCCATGTGTACGGGATGTAGTTTAGCCACGTATACCATTGTTTTCGTTAAGTAATTCTGCTATTCGCTTTCTCAAGGCGTTGACTTCTTGACCATATTATATCTGTCTGTCTGTCTTCCATAAGTTCCTGATATAATTCTTCATTTATTTATGTTTTTGTTGAAATAACCATACAAAATACATCATTATTATACCGTATGGATTATAAAAATATTAGGACATGTATTATTACATATTTATACATGAAATTAGTATCTTCTTAGTCATCATGAATATAGTATTCGGCTTTCTATATACGCATATACATACAAAATCTGTTTAAAAACGAAAAAATAATGGGGGCGGCTATAAACGTATCTCCCTATTTCGATTTATTTTAAAGTTATGCTTGATTTGAAAAATGTTAGACGTTTAAGCAAGAAAAGGATTATACAGCCCTTTTCTTTAAAAAAGGTTTATACCAAGTAAAACTGAAGGATCAGATATTATCAATGCATTAGTATTTTGGGGTCCGACAATGTTTATATTTAGCCGTTGACATGATAAACCGGTCGATATCTAATCCCTTTTTTTAATATATAAGCTCATTTAGTTATTTATAATACATCATTATTTAAGTATTTATTATGAGTTCGTTGTTTTATTGGGTTGCGGAAAAGGATCACGAATCTAAAATGTGGGCCATCTTTTTCGAGCTAATAAGAAAAATTGGTACTCCAGTTTATTTATTTTATTTTATAAAAACAGGCAAGTTTGGCAGAATATTTCTTTTAAAAAGAGAGGATAGATACTAAAAATGGAGAACCGCAATTACTCAGTTAGGTGTTAACTTTTCAAATCAGGATGATTAACGATAGCTTAAAATGTTTTTGATAATATATTTTTTCCTCTTACGAAAACCGTAGATTCTTCATTCTTTTTTTTTTTTTTTTTTTGTCAACAGATTCTTCATTCTTTATTGAAAAAAAAAAAAGGTATATTCTTTCTTCAGAAGAACGTACGAACAATAAACAGCGACGAAAAGACAACGGAACTGAACGGCTCGCGAGTGCACCACCTTGTTCCTGTCCTTGTTGATCATGTTCTTGGAAAGAAGCCACGTGTCAAATGGGCCTATTTTCGATAAATTTTGACGGCCCAATACTCACAGGGACCTATACCGATAAAAGCACGTCTCGTTGGTGCTGACTGTATCTGTTAATGTATCGGTTCTTATACGAGTTAATGTGTGTATATAAATATGATATATGTGACTGAACCAAACAGAAGCCTTATTCTCGAAGGAATAATAAAGAGAGCCAAAACGACAAAGAGACCCCATAGACAAATAGTCTCTTCTTTTCTCTGTTCTTTGATCGGACCGACCATCGATGGAGAGATACGACATCTTAAGAGATCTTGGCTCCGGTAACTTTGGAGTTGCAAAGCTTGTCAGAGAGAAAGCCAACGGAGAGTTTTACGCCGTTAAATACATCGAGAGAGGCCTTAAGGTATTCATTCTTCTTCCTGTCCCTTGGCTTTCTCTGTCTCTTGATCTTGTTTTCAGAAATTCTTAATTCTTTGATCAGTAATTTAGTTGATGGGGTTTATACAGATTGATGAACATGTACAGAGAGAGATTATAAATCATAGAGACTTGAAGCATCCCAATATTATCAGATTCAAAGAGGTATGTGAACATGATCAAAATCATAACCACATATATATAGTCGAGTCTGAAAGTTTGGTTTATAATCATCCAGTTTAGTCGAGAAAATGTTAATTAGTGTTCGAGAATATGGTTATTGACATATTATATTCTTTGAACATAAAGTTAGCGTGCTAGTTGATTTCGGATAATCTGGATTTCAGTCCCCAGAGTTAAAATCAAACGGGATATCTGGTCATGTAAATTATGTGTATCATGTCATAATGGTTAGACTTTGGACCTCTTCTTTGATAATGTATTAAATTACTTTTAATAAATAAAATATATGTCTTATTCCCCAACGGTCCAAAATTTGAGCTTTATATGACAGCTTATATCTATAATTAGTCACGGCGTTGAAAATTCTTCAATTACCAATTCAAGATTATAGGGAAAAAAAAGTTAGAAGCAATCGTTTGGTCGTCTTGATCTTGAGGAAAATCAAAAATAGAAAAAAATGAAAGTGTGCGTGTGTCTGTGTGTCTTGCAGGTTTTTGTAACACCAACACATCTTGCCATAGTAATGGAGTATGCAGCAGGTGGTGAACTTTTTGAAAGAATTTGCAATGCCGGTAGATTCAGCGAAGACGAAGTATAGTATTTAATTTATCATTAATCACGATTCCAAACTAATCTCTTGGTTAATTGTATTGATTTTTTATATTATTATTTAGGCAAGGTATTATTTTAAACAACTTATCTCGGGAGTTAGCTATTGTCACGCCATGGTACGTATTACTGTGTTTATTCTTAATTATTTGAATGTTATAAAATTATAAAATTATGTAATATAAATATAATGGAGATCGACTTTATGTTACTGAATTTCTTTTTGTATTGCAGCAAATATGTCACAGAGACCTTAAGCTCGAGAATACACTCTTAGACGGGAGCCCATCGTCGCAGCTCAAAATATGTGATTTCGGATATTCGAAGGTATTTAGTTAATCTTCATTGATCATAATTCATAACATGCAAAAAGGTATAATTGACAATAATTATTGCTTTTTTGTTTTTTGTTTTTTATAAATGCAGTCATCAGTTTTACACTCTCAGCCAAAATCCACCGTGGGAACTCCAGCCTATGTTGCTCCGGAGGTCCTATCACGAAAAGAATATAACGGGAAGGTACGTATTAAACTATTAACTAATATATTTGATTAATATATATAATAACATCAACTTGTTTGTAAAAAATCATAAAAGTATATAAAAGTATACAACATTATTTTTTAATCTATACAGATTGCAGATGTGTGGTCGTGTGGGGTGACATTATATGTAATGTTAGTTGGTGCTTATCCCTTTGAAGATCCAGAAGATCCAAGAAACATTAGAAAAACCATCCAGGTACTTAAAATTTAAATTATAAATAAACGTTCATTCCACTAATTAAATTTTAATATATTGTCTCGTATACATTATATAATCATTATTAACGTGGAAAAACATTAATTAATATATACTTACAGAGGATATTAAGTGTCCATTATACCATACCAGACTACGTCAGAATTTCCTCCGAATGCAAGCATCTCTTATCTCGTATCTTCGTCGCTGACCCTGACAAGGTAATTAGTTAAAACCTAAACTGGTTATAATTAATTAAAACCTAAACTACTTATGTAAACCAATCCGGTTCACTTTGGTTTGATAACTAATTTATATGAATGACTAATTTGAAACCATGATAGAGAATAACTGTACCGGAAATCGAAAAGCACCCCTGGTTCTTGAAGGATCCTCTGCCGGAGATTTCAGAGGAGCACTGCGACAATGGAGATAAGACAGGAGTGGAAGAAGAAGAAAAGGAAGAGAATTGCCGACAAAGTGTTGAAGAGATAGTGAAGATAATAGAAGAAGCGAGAAAGGGAGTGAATGGCAAGAATAATAATGGTGGATTAGGCTTAATAGATGGGAGCATGGATTTTGACGATATTGATGATGCTGATATTTATGATGAAGTTGATGATGATGATGAGAGAAACGGTGATTTTGTATGTGCTCTATGATTTCATATCCATAAATACATGCATGCTTGTGTGTTGTATGTGCATGCATGTATTTTATATGTATGTATCTTGAGAATATCTGATGATTTCGCGCGTGTTGCATATTTGTATAATTATGTCAAACAATACACCAAAATCAAGTCAAATTAATAAAGTGTACGTTTTGAGGGTCATTTAGTTTACGTATAAGAGTGTATATCATTAAATCAGCTACTTGTTTTTTTGTGGGAAAATGACTACGAAAACTAAGCCACTGTACCAACTACAACAATTTATTTGGATTAATCTAGCTATACATAAGATTATAAAAGAGGTTACTAGGCCACTGATACATTTATTTAAATACATATAATAAAAGTGTGTGAAAAGATCTGCTTTCTCTGGCCAAAGTTTTCGTAAAGTGCACCTATGTGAGACACAAGGCATTCCAACCTACATCCATATGTTTATAGTATTTGGTATTTAAAGATGAACATGGAGCGACTAATTTGATCATTATACATGCAAACTCCTTTTTGTAGAGGAAAAAACTATCATTTAATATGCAAATCCTTAATATTAATATATATAGTGGGTAACAAATCCATTTTTTTTTTTTGTAACAAATCCAATTGATATATGATAGATGAAAATTTTGAGTGGCTGAATAGTCATTACTAATAATTCCATGACACGACCCATACTAACGAGTAACGACCAAAACATTAGGTCCATGACGTTACTTTCTCGTATTTCAAAAACCTCATCATATGATAAAGCAATAATTAGTTATAGTTCTCCTTTAGCAAAAAAATAAAAATAAATAATTAGTTATAGTTCTTCTTTGTGGAATCTTTGTATCTATTTATAATTTTTTTAATAAACTTAGATGCCTTTAGTTACAAAAACATTCTATTAACTATTATTGAAGTTTGATATAAGATGTTCCTTTTGTTTAATACCCTATCGACTAGATTAAGAGGACTTGCGATTAACGACTCTACAATTTAACCTAATCTCCCCAGGTTTCGTAGACCGCAAGTCACCAAGCTTCACCATCCCTTCCGCAAATGCCTTGAAAAACTCTGCTTCGTTCTCACTAAACATATTCACATACCCTCTCGTCTCCCGCGACGTTAACAACGTTTTGATCGGAGTTAAGAAACTCTCTCTTAGAAACCAAGTCTTTGAAATATTGATTATCAAACACTTTAGCAGTTGCGTCCATGCCGCTTGTAACGTTTTCATCTCCTCCATTGGGACACAAAGCTGTCTCTTCTCCATAGCGTTACTTCCCAGTACGGTCCACCTGTCTCGTTACAAAATATACCAATCAAATTAAAAACCCGAATTGATCAGTAAATCAAATTAATTTACACTTACAAGAGAAACTGCGTCACGAGAAGCAATGATGATAATGTCAGCACAAGTTACAGTGGCAGGACAAGCTTTCTGTAACGCTTCTTTAATGTTGTCTATTACGTTAAACGATCTCAGAGAGCCTATGTTAGCGAGTGCGAGTTTTTCTCCCAACAACGTTGGTGTATCATCGAGCAATACAGAACCATCACATCCCTACAAAAACAAAAACAAAACATTAATAGTTTATTTTCTTTTTTAAGAATTTGATCTACCGATGGAAATGTGATTAATGATTTACATTAACAAAGCAATCATGAAATTGTAAACGCATAACGGAGCAACACTTCGAGCTTCTTTCAGCATAGCTTTTCTCATCTCTTCTCTCACAATGGCTTGAGCATTAGGACATGTCTAGCCGTAGAATCCTGGCTGAGAATTTCTCCGGCCACCGTCTTAAAGAGGAACAGGCAGAGGAGAAGATTGGGAATTAGAATCATACTTCTTTTATTCTTGTTCAAACTAAAAAAAATATATATGATTTTGGTATAATCTCTCTATGGTTTATATATACGTATAAACTCTACACTCTTCTAATGATTGAATTCATTGATTCAAAATAGTAGAAAAATGGTATTGTTCATGTATTGCTATTGGCTTTTGTTTTGGTCAAAAAAAAAAAAAAAAAAACATCTTGGCTTTTGTAAAGTAATTAAATTCTTTATTCTGTCAGCTTATAATATTGTCTTACACACACACTGATAAACTTTTTGTTGTATGACAAAATAATAAAAAATCACATGACTAAAATATAAAAGAAACTCTGACTACAAAATCTATTGAACTCAACTTTATAAAAATACTTTTAACTCTCAGTTTCTTGTTTCCTTGCCTCTAAAGCAATGTTTTTCTTCTTCATCTGCTTCCATTTGTCATCCAAAATCTCCTTCCATATGTCATCCCAAAGTTGGTTTTTCAAACGCAAAGCCTGAAACATGACTTGAAACATCAATATATGATGTCTGGAAACACAAACTCTTTTTAGGTTTACCTTTATCTCGGAAGTATGCATTTCACGATCGAATGGGGAGTCACCAACAGCCGTGAGGAAGAAAGCACAAAATTTAATAATGTACTCAACTCTCAGTTCAGTGATATCCTCCGCATACATATAAGCATTTTTTAGAAAAAAAATATTTCAAAAACAAGGTTTTTTTTCATTTTCCAAGGTAACTTTTGTCAAATATTTTATATTTTACCTTTATATTCTTTTAAAAAAAATTAATTGTATTTTTATATCAATAAAAAATAAAGGATAAAAATATCAGTTTATTATTTTTTTTTAAAATGTGAAACTTCTAAAAAATACTTCTTTAAAAAACAGAGGAAATATATATTAACTATATACCTAATGAAGCTATGGCTAATGACAATGTTACAAAATTGAAGAGTTTGTTATCCGAAATCGAGGTAGCTATGGAAGAAGAGAGATACCGAAGCTTGAGAAAGCAATACTCGATAGAACCACAATCACATAATAGACAACCACAACCAACCACAATCACATAATAGACAACTACAACCAACCACAACCACATAATAGACAAGATAGTTTTTAGATAACAATCACAATCAAGACAAGATAGTTTCTAGATAGTTTCATTAGCATATGTAGTCTCAGTCAATCAATAGACAACAGATAGAAAAATATATTAGTGATGTGCAGCTCACATGTCTTTGATCTTTTCCATAAGAGCAAGAACTTCTTTTGCAACAATTTTCTTCAAATGGGGTTAGCAAGGGATAGGAGCCTGGGAGATACTAGCAAATATGACCCAACTGAAGCGACAACTACTTCATCAATATTAAGGATGGTGAACTTTGGTTCTTTCTTCTTTCTCTAGATTGTCTTGAACTCTGGTTTCTTAGGGTTTGCTTGAACCAAGTCTGCGTTCTACTTCTTCTCTCCCCGGATCATCTCCTCCATTTCAGTAAGGGAATGGAGAATTTCGCCGTGATGAACCCTCGCCGTCTTCAACAGACTAAGCAGCCTTAGATCCCGTTTCTTTCTTACATCATCTTCTTTTCTCATATCAACATGGACTATAGCGTTATGAGCCTCTTCATCGCTCAAATGCCGCATTGATTATTGCCTAACAACTCGGATGATTCTTCCTTCTCTTTTCAGCATTGAAAACTGGTGATCTTTAGCTTCATCCTCAGAGCGAATAGTGTTGATAACCACTATTCATTACTTAGATTGTCATTAGCAATAAAGAAAAGAAAATCATCTACCAAACTTTTTTTTTAACAATTAATAAACTTATATGACTCTTTTGATGTAAAAAAATTACAACTTTGAGTTTGATGTTTAATTATAGTTATCACATTCATCATGATCTGAAATATTTGCCCAAATTTTGTTTTTCATTTTGATGCTCTTAAATTTCAGTTCTGTTGTGTTTAGGCATCACCTAAACACAACATCCCGTTCCTTTCTCAAATCAGTATGTGCGATGGCTTTCTGAGCCTCTTCATCGCGAGTGATGATCACACGGGTAGAGAATCGTCGAGCTCAGTTGGAGACTCTCGTCGAGAAGACCAGAAACTTCGACATCACGAAATGAAGAAAGGCGGTTTCTTCGCGTCGAGGGTGGCTACTGGCTAGAGCTTTTTGCATAATTTGTGGGATTGTAAGACTTGGACTGAAAAAGAGTATCTGTCCCTTGCCCGTTACCACATTTATGATCAATCGAAAAAAAAACTAGCAAAACCAGCTTGAAACAACCCTTTTTTATATTTTTTTTTAACGAGGTAGTAAAAACACAATTACCACACATAAAAAAAGAGCACTCAAGACTGAAAAAGAGTTTTTGGATTAAGAAAGTGTACATAAATAACAAAAAAAAAAAGAGCAACACTCAAGACACACGTTGAGTAGCCCTTCTTCTCTTCCTGAGGCGTTCCGCAACAATGAAGGCCAGTTCAAGAGACTGAGAGGCGTTGAGCCTTGGGTCACAGTGTGTGTGGTAGCGAGAGCTCAGGTCATCGTAGGTCACAGTTCGGGATCCTCCGATGCACTCTGTGACGTTCTGTCCTGTCATCTCTAGATGGATACCACCGGCGTGGCTTCCTTCTTGCTCGTGCACATCAAGGAACGCTCTAACTTCAGCCTGTCGAAAAACACCAGCAAAAGCTTTTCAATCTCACTATTTTGCTGCTAAAAGCTAAATAAAAATACATGTTATGCCTGATGCTTATATAAAGTGTGTACCAGGATTGAGTCGAAGGCTCGTGTTTTGAGACCGCATGGCGCCTTGATGGTGTTTCCATGCATCGGATCGCAGACCCACGTCACGATCTGGCCTGACCTGCGCACCGCTCTGATGAGGTGGGGAAGCTTGACCCTCATGTTCTCCGCACCCATTCTCACAATCACAGTGATTCTTCCAGCCTTGTTGTGAGGGTTCAGGATCTCGACAAGCTTCACCAGCTCATTGGGATCCATTTTGTTGCTCACCTGCATCAAGTGTTTGGATACTCCGATTAAATTTCAAGACGAGACGAGACGAGACCAAGCATAAACCCCATAGTCTACTCTGTTTTGATTCCTCAGTAACCAAAGTGAATATCTACATAATCATCTAAGGCAGAGTATTTCATAATTGTTCTATCCATGCGTTGAATGATATATATACCTTGATGCCCAGAGGATTAGCAATCCCCCTGAGAAACTCGACATGAGCACCATCCAACTGTCTTGTACGCTCCCCGCACCACACCATGTGTGCAGAGCAATCATAGTAGAGACCAGAAGTCGAGTCCAGCCTCGTGAGTGACTGTTCATAAGGCAGAAGCAAACACTCATGGGATGTGTAGAAATCAGTAGTAGTCATGAGTGGGTGATCAGTGGTAAGTCCGCATGCAGACATGAACCCCAAGGCCTCATCAACCCTGTTGGCTAGTTCCTGGTACCTGTCCAACATAACAGACAACCTTTAGCGCCTTGCCCAGTTTGAAACAGAGGAACCCGTTCTTGTTTCAACAAAGTTTTCCTTGGTTAGAACAATACTTGCTACAACCAGCTAAATACCATATTCAAAGTAATTGCCATTCTTAAGATTAATACCACAAAGTTAAGACAAAACATAATGTACCTGTCAGCTTGCTCGCTTTCCTCAACAAAATCAAGGTTCCATTGAGTAACTCTTTGAATTGCAGCATAACCTCCTGTGGCAAAGGCTCTGAGAAGGTTCAAAGTCGCTGCGGATTGTGTGTAAGCACGAATCATCCGATTAGGATCAGGAATCCTGGATTTCTCATCAAAAGTGTCGCCATTGATGTTGTCTCCCTTGTAGCTAGGTAGCTTCACTCCATCCTTCTCCTCGAATGGGTCAGATCTAGGCTTCGCAAATTGACCAGCCATTCTCCCAACCTTTAATCCAATACCATCCTTGTCAAAGATTCCACTCGAAAACCACAACAAATATTCAATTGAATCGGAGAAGAAGATCTGACCTTAATCACGGGGACTTGGCCTCCGAATGTGAGGACGATGCTCATCTGAAGCAGAACCCTGAAGGTGTCTCTGATATTGGTGGCATTGAACTCCTTGAAGCTCTCAGCACAATCCCCTCCCTGCAGAAGAAACGCCTTCCCCACGGCGGCATCCGCCAACCGCTCTTCCAGATTCCTCGCTTCTCCGGCGAACACGATCGGAGGAAACGCCTCGATCGTCTTGAGCACAGACTCGAGCTCGTTCGCGTCGGGGTAATCAGGGAGTTGCAGAGCCTTCTTCAGTTTCCAGCTCTCCGGCGTCCATTTCAATGTTGAACCAGACGAAGACGACGGGGAAACGGATTCCTTGACTGAGACAGCGTTTCTAGCCGGCTCCGACGCGTGGACTGCCGTAACGAGGTTAACGGACCTACGCTGCTTGGTGTTGACGGTGAAAGACGATTGACGGTTGCTGTGACGGTGAGAGAGACGCGCGTCGACGCCGCCGTATAGAGATCTGGAGGAGAGAGAGGAGGCGTTGGAAAGAGCCATGGTTTCTTCTGTCTCTCTCTGATTTGGGTTTTTAAGGTGAGAGAGGATGACAATGGAGGCGGTTGATCAGAATCCAGAGGAGAGAGAGAAGGATTCGGGATTTATATAAGCAGAGAGATATTTGGTACGGAAAGGGTTGGTTTAGACTTTTCAGACAAATCTTTGGAAGGGTTGTTGAGGAATTACAGATGTGAAAGCCCTCCAGGACTACTAGTCGTAAGTCGTAACACATCCAATTGAATTAAACGTTTTCCATGTTAAAACAACTGATTGAACCAATCTGAAGTCCTGTATATAACTCGGTTTACTGGATTTGAAACTAAACCATGGGACACAAAATCACTTTATTAGTATTTCCAATCAAATTTACAAATTTTTTTTTTTTTTTTGCCAAGTTAGATTAGTAGTTTCATGATAAGCTTATAAAAAAAAACGAGATGATGACAAAAAAACACAGTCTTTACAAAATTAAGAAGAAAAGACCGGAAATTCGGTTAATGACATAAATATCCCTTTACCAACCAAATCAACCCCCACTTAGCAAGTTGCATATGATGTATAACATGCCACCTAACACGCCGAATCCTTCAGAGATACGGATTCATGGACCACGCCCCTTTAAAATTTGGCACTATCTTGTATTAACATTATAGTTTTTATACGAAATCTTTCTTAATGTTTTTAAATATATATATTTAGTAGAAACCCGAATATGAACCCTACTAAAATCGTTACAAGAAATATACTTTCAGTTTCTTTACTAATATTCCGAGTCTAAGCTACAATATTTTGACTTAACTTATTTCTTTTTCACTTCATTCTCTAATGGACCACAAGATCGATGGAAAACATTTGCTATCTTGAATATGTGAATTGTTCATATACCTATCTCATTTTTTTGATTATATATTGGACTGGAGCATGAAATTCTATTCAAAAAGAATCTATAGAGCCTATAAATCCATTTTCTTTTTTCCTTTGATTCAATATTTAGTATTTTGCTTTGAATATAGTAGAAAAGATATATAACAGACTTCAAAAACACTTTCAATTTTAGTTCAAGTCAAGACATTTTTTTTTAAGTTCAAGTCAAAATTTTGACTTTTACTATCATTCACTCTGCTGACTTTAAGTGTCATGAACAGGCAAATTTTATTTTCCAAAAAAAAAAATTAACCACAAGCCATTGGGTGGGGTATGGTTGAAAAGTTAGTTAATGACCGTTGATTGCAACGAAGATTAGCTTTTACAAATTGTAGCCACAGATTTTTTTTTAGTTTATCTCTTACAAAGTCACAACAGCCAAAATCCTCATACACGAGACGAGGAAGGAAGCTTCATCAATGGCGGTTTCTTGCAACCACTACTCGATTCTCCTCTCTTCATCGACCGCCGGTTCCTCCTCCCGTTGCTCTTCTTCTTCGCTTCTCGGCTTCCCTCGTCTCCAAACGCTGCGTTTCAAATCAAGAAGCGTCTATCCCAAAACAAGAGTTGCCCATGTCTCGGCATCTTCACGGTCTCTCGAAGCTCTGGTTTTCGATTGCGACGGTGTGATACTCGAATCGGAGAATCTGCACCGTCAGGCTTACAACGACGCTTTCTCGCATTTCGATGTTCGATGTCCTCCTTCTTCCTCCGAGTCTCTCAATTGGAGCCTCGAATTCTACGATAAGTTCCAGAATCTAGTCGGAGGCGGGAAACCAAAAATGCGATGGTACTTTAGAGAAAACGGATGGCCAACATCCACCATTTTCGATTCGCCTCCAGAGAATGACGACGATCGAGCCAAGTTAATCGATACTCTCCAGGTCACTCACTCACTCAATTTCTTGCAAAACAAAAAAAAACACTCTAGATTTAATGAAGTTGATGTTTGAAAAGATGTTATTTTGCAGGATTGGAAAACTGAGAGGTACAAGGAAATCATAAAATCAGGAAGTGTAAGTCGAGATTTCGAAACAAAGGAACAAGGTAGTTTTCTACTCTTTTAGAGTGAAGCTTCATCTCTCTGCTCTTTTGGTTTCAGGTAGAAGCAAGACCTGGTGTAGTAAGACTAATGGATGAAGCAAGAGCTGCTGTAATAACTTCTTCTTCAAGCCTTGTTTAAATTTCCTAATTGAAAAGACTTTTATAATTCGGTTCTTGAAAATGCTGCTACAGGGGAAAAAACTAGCTGTTTGTTCTGCAGCTACAAAGAGTTCAGTTATATTATGTCTCGAGAATCTAATCGAAATCGTGAGCTTTTGTTTTCTTTCGTCAATCTCTTATCGAGTATGTTTCTGTCTAAATTTTTCCTTTTTAATCGGTTATATTCATGTCTTTAGGAGCGATTCCAAGGACTCGATTGCTTCCTCGCAGGTACATTCTCTGTTCTGAGTTTAGCGTACTTTGGTTGTAGCCTTTATGTGTCAAACAAGTCTAAAAGTTTTAATTTTGACATTGCAGGGGATGATGTTAAGGAGAAAAAACCAGATCCTTCGATATATATAACAGCTGCCGAGGTATAAACTTAAATCCATGCAAACGAAACCTCATTTAACAAGTTTCACCAAATTTATGTATTATGGTTGATTGCAGAAGCTAGGTGTTTCAGTGAATGACTGTTTGGTCATAGAGGACAGTGTGATTGGCCTGCAGGTTATAATCTAATCTTTGGCTCGTCTTCTCTCTTCTTGCAATCTCACAACATCTTTTGAAACACAGTCTTCAATGGCTCTATTTTACTTTTAATATATATATATAGGCTGCTACAAAAGCAGGCATGTCATGTGTGATCACATACACTTCTTCAACTTCTGATCAGGTCTCTCCCTCTACAACATCTTCTTCTTCTTCTTCCATCTTCATTGCCTTCTCTGTTCTCTAAAACTTTTCTTTTATCAGGATTTCAAAGACGCCATCGCTGTATACCCTGATCTCAGTAATGTGAGGTAAGTAGGATCACTGAACGTTTCTCACAAGAATTTTGCAGCAAGTTTTCTCTTTTCCTCGTACCCATTTGCTAACTTATGATGTCTTGTCAGATTGAAAGACCTGGAAACTCTGCTTCAAACCATTGTCACTGCAGCTTAAGAGACATTTGTCCGTTCTTCTGCAACTGTACATTTGTTTTTGTTTGATAAAATTTTCATTAATAAGAGAAAAAGATTCAAATATAAAAATAGCAGTACCACAATTCAAACAAGACCTACCCTGAATCCTGATAAATCCAGAAAACAAAAGTAAAAACAAAATATAACACCCAAAATTAAGGAGGAAAAACCAAAGAAACAGAGTTTTTCAATTTTCCTCTCACCTAATACGTCTTTCTTCTTCCTCCTCTTGCTTATCTTCTCCATCACTAGAAGAACCATTACAAAGATGATGAATCTATATATAACAACACCACATTTCACAGTGTGTTTGTGTGTTGTTTCTACCTCCTGCTATTAGCTACCTTGTTCTTGCTCATATCAGCAAGTTCCTCCACAAGCTTCTTCTCTTCTTTACTCAGTCTCTTTGGAATCTCAACTTGCACTCTCACTAACTGATCACCTCTCATCTTGCTCTTATTCAAAACCGGAACTCCCTTCTTCGCCATCACCAGCGTCGTGCTCGGCTGTGTCCCCGCCGGTACTTTCAAATCCACCATCCCATCAACCGTTGGAACCTTCAAAGTCGTCCCCAAGATTGCATCCACATACGATATCTTACACGTATACAGTATATTCGTATCGTCACGCTTCAGAATCGGATCCGGAATCACCTCAATAACCGCGAAAAGATCTCCGGAGGATCCGCCTCTCTTCCCTGCATTCCCTTCTCCCCTTACTCTCAACCTGCTACCGGAATCCACACCCGCAGGGACCTTGAGACTAATCCTTTTCGTCCTTCTCACACGCCCGTCTCCAGAGCAGGCGCTGCACGGTTTTGAGATCTCTCCTGTTCCGTTACACGGAGAGCAAGTCATGACCTGTTGGAACACACCGAGCGGTGTCCTCGTCGATGCTACCACCTGTCCTTGCCCGCCGCACGTTTTGCATTTGGTCGGTTTGGTTCCAGCTTTCGCGCCTGAACCATTGCAAGTCCCGCAGCTCTCTAACCGGGATATCTCTATCTCTTTCTCGATACCGAAAACCGCTTCTTTGAAATTCAAGATTAGAGAGTAGTACTCGTCTTCTCCGTCGATAGCTCTGCTCCTTGAGCCTCTACTGCCCATTCCACCGCCCATTCCTCCCATCCCACCCATTCCTTCGAATAATGACTCGAATAGATCAAACGGATTACTGTAATCCTACAAAAATTTCAAAAAGAAGAAGCAATTTTATATCAGATTCTGAACATCAGAATGTTGATTAAAATGTCTTAGAGAAGTATATGTATATATACGTACCCCCATGCCTCCCATTCCAGCGCCTTTGACTCCTGCCTCACCATATCTGTCGTATAGAGATCTTTTCTCATCATCTGATAAGATCTGCAAACCAAAAAAAAAAAAAAAAAGAAGAAACATTTTTTAGGCTCTTGAAGTATCTATACACAATCATTTAAAAATGAGCTAAAAGCGTCCAATGAAGAAGATGGACTTTACCTCATATGCATTACTTATTTCTTTGAATTTATCTTCTGCACCAGAATCCCTGTAATCAAAGTATAAACAGAATGGTGAACACTTTTTCATTTGGAAGCGGTTTCAGGGTTCTTCAGCTTCTTAATCTTTGTTGTCAAATTTTGAAGGTTGGTGGTTATATGTTCATATGGGGAAACTTAACCAAAGAACTGCAACAATTCTCTTCCTTTTGCGTTTTTCAAATATTGAAATTGAGTTCTAACAATAAACACACTAGTGATGCAGGAAGGTAATAACTCACACTCATACATACACTTTATATTGAATTCTGGATTAAGTAAAGTTTTGAACTTACTTGTTTACGTCCGGATGGTAACTCCTAGCGAGCTTCCGATAAGCTGAAAATAGTTGCATAGGAGAAATAAAAAATCTTTGTCAAACTTTCGAAAAGCACAACTCAAAAGCTGAACAAATGAAGGTCGAAATGAATCATTGACGAGAGCTACGCATCAATGTACTTACCGCTTTTAATCTCAGCTTTGGTTGCATTTTTCGAGACTCCAAGAACAGAATAGAAATCCTGGAAATTAAACACACACAGACTCTTTAGCAAAACCATGCAAAAGGCTTCATTCTGCAAAGTACTATATAACAGATGAAGAGAATGATGATTCAATATAAAAAGAAAGAAGAAAGCGAATGTGAACATACAGTATCAGCTCTAACAGTGAAGCGAGCTCCTCTACGAGAGTGACTACTTCGGGACTGTCCCGTCAATGACAAGAAGGGCAAGGAGCCATGTGAGAACATACTCGACCTTGACGCTCCCAAACAATTTATCTGGCTGATGGAACTGCAAAAACAGTTATCAAAAGAACAACAATTCGATTAGCCTCTCAGATACATAAACCTCTATGCAATCACATCAAATCTCTTATGGTAAAGTAAATTCTCACTTGTCTTGGTGGGATTCCAATCTGCTTGGATAATAAGCTTTTACTGCAAACTGAGGACGAAGAATCCCCCATTGAGTAACACATGAGCTTCCAAACTGTATCAGAGCCATTATTACACTCCCTGCAACACGAACAAGTGGCTCTCAGTTTATTCTAATCCAAAATTTCTTCAAACAATTAAACACACAAAAGATTAAAACTTTTCAAAATCTAAGAAGATTATGCAATTTCACGAAATGAAGTTTCGACCCGAGAACAGATTTCCAGAAAAATAGTTTCACTTTCGCCATCAAAATCTAAAAAAGGACTCAGCTTTATGATGAGATTCGAGGAAAATCTTTAAAAGCAGTAGCAGGGTGCCACCTACCGCAAAATTGTTTCTTCTCGGAGGAAAAAATAGCCCAAGTGAAGGAAAAGGTGAAAGTTTTCGAAAAAACGACATTGTTTAGATGATACGAATCGAAGAAGACAGAGAGAGAAAACGGCGAAGAAGACAGAGGAAGGAGAAGGTGAATCTTACCGTAATCGAATGGTGACGACGGGAGCAGGAAGAGCAGAAGCGAGAGTTGTGCGATAGATAAGAAAACGAGTAGACTCTAATGAAATGAAAGACTCACTCACTCCAACCTTTTTAGTTAGACCTTATTATCATTATTTTATTTCAATTAATTTCGTTATTTATTTATTTGTATTACATATTTTTAGTAGTTATTAAAAATCATCCCCACCGGAGAGGTAGGTCACCGGTTTAATTTACCAAAATATCAACTGACTCGGTTTTAGTTAAATAAAATTGAATCTTATGGTTGGTTTATGACTTGTGATAAATTAGACAAGCTTCAAAAGGAAAGGTAGATAGAATTTTTAAGTGTTTTAAGGCTTCAAGCTTTGTAGCACTAGAAAGTAGAAACCCCTCAAGTCACTCAAAAATGTTCATCTCAAAGCTTATCAGATCTCTTCCTTTCTCGAGAGATTAAAAAAGGATTCTTGTTTTCATTCATACCTGAAGCGATGTCTTAATATTGAATATTGAATATAATAATAATCAGTAATCACATTTAGTGACAAGATAAGCTAAACATGATTATGGGAAATGAGTAACATCATCACTTGTTGGTCTGATTTGGGGATATCAAGCTTGCTAACATGAGCCTCTTAGCGTTTGCATTGTCATTTGGAGGAATCATCGCGTCTGTGCAAAGAAAAGACTTCATGTGTCTGTACATCTCCTTTGGTTTCTCTTCATTAATCGCATGTCCTGTCTTCTTTAGTAGCACTAACTGTGCTCTGTTTTCCCCTAAGTGTCTGAAACAAAGACAAATCTATTATTAATCGCGTCACAAGCCGAGTGAGAAAATGATTTGAATTCGGTGGAAGTAACCTTTTCAATCGATGTGCCAATTCCACTGGAAAAACTTGATCTTGCTCTCCCCATATCATCAGTGTAGGCTATACAATTCAAGCAGAGACAAAATTAGACCAAAAGATTCATAATTTGTTTGAAGCTGCATCGATAGATCATAGAGACCTGTGAAATCTTTGGAAGATTGGCGAATCTTCTACCCTTATGCAGAGCTTCCACAAGTTCTTTCCTTTCTTGAAGATAATCTCTACACATTACCTTGCAACAAAACTCTTACACATCAGCTCAAAAATATCATACTCCAAAGGACTAAACTTTCATTTACTATGGTTACTTTTTTAAGTTTCATCCCTGGTCGACAATTAACAAGTGAAAACTTACTAATTGTTACTTTATTTAATTTTCATCCACAAATCATCAAACATAATTGAAAATGGAAAAACTATGGGAACTCACATGAATGTAGTCCATGGCAAAGCAAGAGGGTATCCAAATCGGAGGCTTGTAGAAAGATAACTGGAGAAGTCGCCGGAGCATCGACGGAGACTGAGGAAACAGAATGTTCGCCGCCTCCTCCGCGCTCTTCACTTTAAACATCCCTTCCTCCACGTCTTTCTCCTCCAGAGCTACCCCGGCGCATATTAGCACAACTCGATCTATCCTCTCTTTGAACTGCGCCGCCATGGAATACGCCACAAACCCGCCGTAGCTGAGCCCGGCCACCGTCATGGTCCCAACGCCGTGAGCGTCCATCGCCTTCATGACGCAACTCGCCTGGAACGACTCGGACCGGTCTGACCGAGTCGTGTGCGAGTCGCCGAAGAAGATGAGGTCCGGTACGTAGACGTTGAACCGGGGGATAAACCGGTCGATGAAGCGGTCCCACTGCCACATGGCGTTAGCTCCGATCCCGTGGAGAAGGAGGAGCGTGCGCTTGGCGTTGTTGTGGGTCTGTGGGACCCAGCAATGGACGACTGTGCCGTCGCCGAGATCGGTGGCCGATGATCGGAGACCGGCGCGAGAGAAGCTGTACTGGTAACATTTGTTACGAGAAGAGACGTAGCTGAAGCAACTCGCCATTGATTATTCACTTCTCTCCTGCTTGTGTGAGAGAGAGTTGCTAGCAGAGAGAGAGACAGAATCTAGACAAGGAAAGTACAAAGAGAAATGAAGTAATTAAATAATACGATTAAAGTAATAGAATAATGGCGATAGTGATTACGTGACATGTTTTGATTCGCTACAATTACATTTTTGTGTGTGAACTTCCCATTTCTGCCTTTGAATTTTTATTTCCCGGAGAAAAATATATTAATAAGGTTCTGTGATAGGGAAAGGTTGTTTTTGGTTACTGTGAATGCAAATCTTCGAGACAAATTTAATTTAATCTCTAAACGGCATATAAATTTACCATATCGGAGAAAGAGTAAACGTGTCCGGTCCATTTTTCTTCTTCTTTTTACGTTATTAATTTTTTTCATTCTTAAAGCAATTAGTATCTGAGAGTGTGACTAAATAGAGAAAGTGGTAGTGGTTAATATGTTGACTCGTATTAGTACGAAGGTACATTATAAGAATATGCCGGCAGATATTTTTTAAAATTTAGGTAAGTATTGGTGTTATAAGTCCAGGGTTAGATGTTTGGAAAGCATTAAGCGTGGTTGGTTTGGTTTGGTTTTGTTTGATTTTGTTTGATTTTGAGTGGTCAGGTTTGATATTTTGTAATTTAGTTCATATATATTGGCATACCTTACTTTGCGGCACAAAATGGTTCTTCGAGTCTGCTTACTGGTTTCACATTTGTGTTCTAATTTTGGATAGGCCTTGCAAAAAAAAAAGAAAAATCATAAAAATAAACGAAAAAACTTTACACCACAGAATTTTGGTTTCAAATTGATGCTCGTATAAACTTACTCTGGTAGTAATTAATGTTTGTAAACCGAGAGGAGGAAATGACGAAGTATCTGATGATATCTTTGGTGTTGTTGATAATCACATTACATATTAGGTCGAGTGAAGGTGCTTGCTATAAGAACTGTGTACGAATACAGAACCATCTCGGGGAAGGCCTGTCTCTGAAAGTGAATTGCTGGTCGGCAGATGACAATCTAGGGTTTCATTACGTGGCCTACAAAAAATCTCCCTACGAGATTTACTTTCACGATAGCAGGCTTGCGTGGAAGAAAACAAAGTGGAAATGTAGCTTGTGGCATGGTAAGAACTGGTCTTGGACTGCTATTAACTTCGTGGCATACCAAGCAGGCAATGCTTTTCGATGTCAAGAGGTACGCACCTATAATGCCAAGCTTGATGGCATTTACTTACTCAAAAACAATGGGCCTCCCGTTTACAAGTATTATTGGATTCAAAATGTTACAGCTCAACCTTGATCAACATTCCTTTTCGTTAATGATGATGATCCTCAGTCTTTCTTTGTTTTCTTTATAGATGTATGACACAGATTTAATAAAGTACATTGAAAACATGTTCCAAACATAATTCTAAATGAGTTTTGTCTCCCTTATGAATATGTTTCCTGCATATGCTTTGCTTAGACTGAACTATGTCCTGCTCTCTTCCCAACTCCACTTTCTCTCATCATCTCTCTCGCCTTTTCTGCGTCTTCCCACTTACCGGCGGCGCTATACATGTTCGCAAGCATTATGTAATACCCATCGTTCTCCGGATCACTAGCCACCGCACGTTCTGCCATTCGTATTCCCATCTCAAACTCCTCATGAGTCACGCATGAGCTCAACAGAGTTCCCCATATAGCCCCGTCTGGTGAGAACGGCATTGACATGACTGTGGTTTCAGCTTCCTGCAAGTTACCAGACCGTGAAAGAAGATCCACTAGACAAGAGTAATGCTTCAAGTTTGGTTTCACGCCGTACTGTTGCATCTTCAGGAAAAGCTCTTTGCCTTTCTCAACTAAACCAGCGTGCGTGCAAGCTGATAGAAGGGCGAGAAATGTAGGCCCGGTTGGTTCAACATCAGACTCTTCCTCCATCTGATCGAAAAGTTCCAAGGCCGATTCAACGTTTCCGTGCATTCCATACCCTGAGATCATCACGTTCCAGCAAACCGTATCCTTTTGATCTGCAGCATCAAACAGCTCTCGCGACTTTTCAAGCCGTCCACATTTCGCGTACATGTCGATCAGAGCAGTTGTAAGAGAAAGGTTCATCTCGTGCTCTGTTTCAGTGATGTACCGATGAATCACTTGCCCTCTCTCTAGAGATCCAGTATTGGCACAAGCCATAAGCACAGTGACCAAAGTTATCGAGCTGGGTTTGAAATTCTCAGAAAGCATCCCATCGAACAGCGCAATGGCTTTGTCGGATTGCTCACAGTGAACATAAGACGCCATCATTGCGTTCCATGTGACAATGTTCTTATCCGCTTCACGAAACATCCTCCAAGCAACAGCCAAATCTCCCATCTTTCCATAAAAATCGATGAGGGAATTGACCACTGAAGTGGTAAGATCAAAGCTAGTTTTCACAACATAGCAATGCAACGACTTCCCCAGTAGCACCGCTCTTAAGTGGGAACATGAAGATACGAGAGAGGCTAAGCAAGCAGAGTCAATTTCGATCCCAAGATTCCGAATCTCTCTAAATAACTCGATACACTTTGCATCACACTTCAATTTACCATAGCCTTTAACCATTGTATTCCAAGCTTCTTTGTTTCCTTCTCCACGTATCCTACAGAAAAGCTTCTCAGCCACAGACAGAAGCTCGAACTTGCAGTACATCGACAACAACGAATTGCAAACTGTACCGTCTGAAGAAAAACATCGCCTTATGACGAACCCGTGAAAGGCTTTACCTTCAGCGACAAGCATCATCTTACCTAACTCATTGATCAAACAACTAATGACAACCCCATCTGGCTGTATCCCTTTCTTCTGCATTTCCCAAAACATATCAAAACTTTCCTCCATGTTCTCTGATCTCGCCAGTGAAGCTATAATCGATGTCCATGAGAACACATCTACTTCTTCACCAAGTTCACGGAAAGAAAGATAAGCCTCAGGTGGATTCCCACATTTCGTATACAATGAAAAAATCGAAGACTGAACCATGTTGGAAGAAGCTAAACCATTTTTGACCGCAAATCCATGAAGACACCTTCCTTCCTTCAAAGCACTTAGATTGGCACAAGCTTGAAATCCACATTCTAATGTTCTGGGATTCGGCTTTTCATCATCAGAACAAAGTTTATGCATCTTGCAGAGATACCCCAGGCCTCTCTCACTCTCTCCGTTCTGCACATGCCCAGATATAATCGCAGTCCAAGCAACTACATCTCTCTCAGGCATTTTGTCGAACACAAGACACGCATCCTGTAAACGCCCGCACTTGGCGTAGAAATAAACAAAGGAGGATCCCACTGCTGCACAATTTCGTTCGAAGCCTCCGTGTTTTAGAACCAATCCGTGAACGAAACTCCCAACACCGTACCACGAAAGCTCCGCACAAGCAGAAACAACCATCGGAGCAGTGAAATGATCAGGACGTTGGCCGGACAACAGCATCGAGAAGAAGAAATCCAGCGCTCGAGGATAGTCTCCATTGGAGAAATGCGCTTTGATGATAGAATTCCACAGAAACACGTCTCTCTGACTAACCAAATCGAAGACTCTGGAAGACAGATTGGGTTTTCCGAATGAAGCGTAAGATGAAATCAGCTTCGATGCGACGAAGACATTGTCGGAGTTTCCTCCAGTGATGATAATTGCGTTGTGTTTAAGAAGAGATTCGAAGGTCGAAGACTGATCACTGAGAATCACACGAATATGACGATCGATGCAGCTTGAAGAAGAAGAGATTGTTCCTACAGTAACAAATCTGGGTTTGAAGAGACAGGCTCGTTTCAACATTAGCATTGATCTTAATGGGCCATTTTTTCAAACATATTACCATGTTTATAAAGTTTACGTCTACCCTTCCTTCTTTTAAAATACCCTTTCTGTTAAAGGATCCAATTATTATTTATTTTTATTTTCTTGAAAAGTCTAAACATCCAATTTTGAAATAATGAAAAAAAAAAAAAAAAAAATTCGAATACGAAACACTCCATTTTCTAGTCAGAATGTTTACTAAAAAATTCAAGAACACCGGTGTTTTTCAATAGTAGTATTTAATAGACTTAATAATAATATATGTTATAGTTTTAAAAATATATAAACAATTTAGTGACTGGAAAAAGCATTATATTTTTCACCGGCTTTAGGAAGAACTAAAAACACACACAAATGCTAGTACCAAAGAGATATATTATTTGGATAATCTTCTTATTATAAAAAGAAAAGAACGAATTTTTATTGAAATGAAATAAAAAAAAGGATAAAGGAGACTAGGAGAGACACAACACAAGTGTCCCCAAAAGAACCAAAACAAAACACAAGTTTGTTTCACAAATATTGACCGATTATCTTCTGGTAACCGGAAAATGGCCAAACTTAGTGATTATGTAAGTACATAAAGTTAAATAAAATCCATAATATATACGCCGTCGTCTCACTTCACCGTCGGGTAAAGATGCTCTGGCAGTCTCGGCTCACCGACCATAACCAACGGTTTAGCCAAAAACATATCATGACTAGACTCCATCAACTCGACGCGTGTCCCATTTTCCGGTAACTTCCAAGTGAAACCTTGAAGAAGTCTCGCGAGCATCATCGTGGTCAACGCGGTACCTAACGCCGGAGCAGCACAGCCTCTTTTCCCGGTACTAAACGAGATAAACCGGAGATCGTTCTCCGTCAAAGTAACTTCGGAGCACTCGTTAAGATGTCTCTCCGGTTTAAAGCTAAGTGGGTCGGCCCAAACTTTTGGGTTTCGGCCCAGCCCATATCGGCTAAGAAGGACTTGACTTCCTTTGGGGATGTGGTACCCGGCGACGGTTGTGTCGGAAAGTGCCACGTGTGGCAGGTTAAAGGCGGCGACGGGATGGAGACGGAAAGCTTCACGGAGAATAGCTTTGACGTAGTTTAGTTTTGAAATGTCGGATTCTTGGACAAGTCTTTCTTTTCCGACGACTCTGTCGATTTCTTCCATTGCTTTGCGGAGAATCTCCGGTTTGTTCACCATCTCCGCCATGGCCCATTCAACGGCATTTGATGGATTGTCTGGCGCCGCCATTACAAGCTCCTATTGATCATAAATAAACAAGTTTTTATTAATCACAGATCTTAATTAGTATATTTCTTTTTGTAAATTAAGTAATTCCATCCATTAAAAATATAAGTGGCATGTATCTTTCTTTGACCAACAAAAATAAGGGAGACAGAAATTTTTTTAAAAAAGAGATTTTTAAAACAATCTTTATTTTCAGCCATACTTTTTTTATATGGTAAATTGAATAAATTTCGTAGCGAAATGTAATATTGTAACATGATTAGTACCTTAATGGTGGGTTTGATTTCATCGGCGGTAAGCAACGGGTTGCCTTCCTCGTCCTTGATCGAGATGAAGATATCTAGGAAATCTTCGATTTGAGTTCTCTTTCCTTCTCTCCACATCTTGATCCTCTCGTCGATGATCGGATCATGGTACTTATCCATAATCGCACTTGAATCTCTCATGATCTTCTCGTGACCGTTAAGATCAAGTCCGGTGAGCATCGGCAGATAATCGGAGATACAAAATGCAAACGTAAACCCTAATGCTTCAAACATAGCTTCCATATGCTCTACATCCTCAACGGTCGGTCCACCGTCCGGTGCGGTGTTTTTAGAGAACGTTCTTGTCCCGAACATAAGCTTCTTGATGGCATTTCCACAGTAATGCCTTGTCATGAACCGGAAATCGACCGAGCCCGAGTTCTTAACCATGTTGTATACCCAAGCGGTTAGATGATCGTTTTCCTCTGCTCTCTTCTGATGAAGCCACCTGTGTCTCGCCGGACAAACGAGTTCCGTCATGACGACTTTCCTCATTTTCTTGAACTGTTCACCAAACGGAGTGATCACGCAGGTTTTGTATCCGTTAGAGAGGATCTTCTGTGCGTAAGTCATAGGTCTCGAGGCGAAGAGAGCGTCTTGCTGCTTGAGTATCTCACGTGCTATCTTAGGGCACGTGACGGTGATCACGTGAGTGTTTCCTAGCCTCACGCAAGCTATCTCAGTGTTCAGCTGCTTCATGATGCTATGGAGCCACCGGAAAACGGGACGGTTCTTTAGCATAGCTGGAATCATTCCGATGATAGGCCATCCGCTGGGACCCGGTGGGAGAGACAGTTTCTTTTTATCGGGATTAGTGACCAGTCTCTTGAGTAGCATCACAAAGGTTATAGCCACAAAGGCTTGAAGTGTTGTGAGGAGATACATGTTGGTGAACGATGGCGTTTCCGTTGTAGCGGAAGTGAGATCCGAAGAGTTTGATGTAAAAGTGTTCATGTTTTTGTGTGTGTGTAGAGAGAGAGAGAGAGGGAGAGAAAAGAAGAATGTAGTTTGTTGTGTTCCTTGTTTTCTCTGCATGGATAAGAGCCTCACCTTCCTATTTATATGATTTTACTTGTCGTTGGTTTCTTGAATGACTATAATACCCTTATGTGTTGGAAAGACGAAAGAGTGAGGAAAATGTTGGAGGGATGTGTGGGTCGGGTCCATCTCGAGTACTACCACCATTGTTGAACATTATTATGATTCTAACGTTTTAAAATATCTATATCTTAAAAGATATTGTTTTTTTTAATATTATAAATTTTTGGGATGGGAACATTTAAATATTCTAACTGTTTTTGTTGGTGACCTGCCAAAATTCCTCGTGTTATATATGCACTTAAAAGTTAAAACCAACCGAAACAACAAATAGAGTCGTAAGAGCTAGCTATATTAATTCCTATATTTGTTATATGATAACTATGATTTTATTTGAGGATCAATTTTTGGGATATATATAACCTCTGTTTCTGGTGTAGTTCACAAATAACAAAATTCGATCAATGATTTTCTAAGATGAGACCAAATTTGTTTTTCTTGTCCAATAGAAATGATTTTGTATCGTTCTTTTTCTGTTTATGTGTGCAACTACAAATAAAGATACTTTGTATCGTATATATTTGAAGGATATTTGAGATATATAGTTAAAATTTGATTATTTTTTTAATTCTTCTATACACTGTGGGCGAGTAATTATTCCCAAATATAATAAACCATTATCTAGGAAAAAAAATTGTTTTGGGTAGAGTTCACCTGCCAAAAACCCTCGTGAATCATTGTGGGAATTAGATTCAAAGTTGCTTACTAAATTAGTCAATATGATTTCGTGATTTTTGGTCCCCGCAAGTGGTTTCCATTTGGCTACGCCGTTTAAAGGTTCACTGTTGCCGATGTGACCGGGACGAAAGTGTTCAATCACTTCCTTTTTTCCCTGATTAAGGCAAACAAAACATGTTTCTCCGATATAGTTGATACAAAGGAGAAGTTACAACGTACTTAACGTCATTTATTTTTACACTTGTAATGATCAACAGAATATAGGCTATAGCTAAACGCGCGACTCCTTATGTGGGATCCATCGTAAACTTTAAAAAATGTCCTTAAGATTAAGATTATATCACTAGTTTCTACTAACAAAACTATCAATAGAAAATTGCGAACTGCTTAGTTTGAAAGGCTAGATCGCTTTACTTTGTATTTAAATTACAACAAAAATACAATTATATATTTTCTTGTCTTATGATGATGATGTCAAATCGCACGATCGAACTAGTTCTAAACTAAACCGCCACTCTTTTCGTTTTAAAAATAAAAATAATTTCACTGCCACTTTTTCGTTCTTCCTCTTAGTTTTAATAAAATAAAATCATCTTTTGGCTTATTATATGTTATCCACGCGTATGTTTTTGCGTGAATGAAAGTATGAAACCACGTGTATGTTTGTATAGAGATCGGAATCTCGACGGAAAGTTTTAAATCTCATGGTGGTAATAAGATCAGTTAAAACATAATTAAGAGTCTCGAGAAGAATACTTTTCTACTCGTGATTAGATATTTATACTCAGCGAGTCACTCAAATGAATGATCATAATTTAATCCGTAACCTACTTGCATGACAAGTGACATGCAATAATGCATGTATACATTGATATCCCTAACCAAAAGTTTTGTTAGTAGATCGCTGGATAATACCCAATATAAAACTGTATGTACAAATCACATATGTTCTTTTAACCAAATTTCCACTTCTTACATTGATGCAACATATCGTATCTGAATGATTGGGCGTTAATTACCACGTTATTTTTCCGGAATATCACAAGATATTTCAGAACTGTTCTTAAACTTTTATTATACTAAAGTTTTTTTTAAAAAAAAATAGAAAGATTTCCTAGAGATGATGGTAACTTGGAAGTAAATATATATATTGTATTATGATAACTTATGTCTGTGACTAGTACCACTGCCATTTGGGAAATAGGAATGCGCAAAATAATGAGTGGAGTCCTAATTTTTGTAATGTAAATAACAGACTCCAAGAGCATGAATAAATATCATACAATATTTTTTTAAAACTCTAGTTTTGTACATCACACTTTTAATGTTATTTCCCATTTAACAAATATCAAAGTTATGCAATGATCTTTTCAAGCTTATGAAGATGTAACTAAGTTTATGTAATTAATCGAACCAGTCAATAATATTTTAGCAAGACCAGTTCAATAATGATATAGGTCGGGTTCAATGTATCGAATACATGCTCTATTTTTATATCAGATAACAAAATATTTGAGACCCTAATTTACTCATAATTAACAGGTCTGAGGTGTTGTCAATTTTGGCATTGAAGCTAAATTATTGACTTTTCAGATTATATATATGCATCAAAATGTGGAAAAGATCGTATGTTTAATAGTATTCTCGAGCATAACCACCAGTCGAAATGTTTAATTATTTTCCAGAATTTTGAAGTGTAACTTCAAGACGAATTGGTATAATTGGAAATAATTTGGACCCGAACACGAAATTTCGAGGGGTTGATCGATTTATTTCCATGAATCATTTATACTGGATTATTGTATTCTAAATTTTAGTCAAATACTTTATCGGTTTCTCCTGATAATTTTTGTTAGGAAGAGCACCACTATACCCACTTGAATGAATAGAGTTAACAATTTTTTTTTTTGAACCAATGAATAGAGTAGTCAACTTGATTTATCAGTTTGTATGACTAATATGTATGTATGCATGCATGTATGTATGTATGTATATATATGTATGGGCAATCTCAAAAGTTAATCAACCTAATTCACGTGGATTATTTTCGCCATGTCCTTGCCATTGCCAACAACCAAGGTAGTTATTTCGTACGTGTGTAAATGCATGCAGGAAATTCTATTAAAAAAAAACGTGCGCCATCCGTTAAAGCTCACCTGTCAAATTTCCCGAACCGCACCATAACTTAGATTTATTCACAAATAAACAAAATAAATATATCTGGTCACTTCGATACATGATTCTGTCAAATCTCCAAAAAAGATTTACATGATTCGAATCCAATAACGCTAAAACGGCATCATTCACATCTGTACTGAACCCAAACTTATGGACCTAATATAATATGCTAGTTCCAAGAATATATATATATATATATATAGCTGTAATGTAAAATATTATATGAGTTTAATGGAAAAAAAAAACTATTTGATATGATATCACTAAAATAAACCTTAATGTAACACACACGAAAACGTCAATTACGTACAGGTCATGCTATTATATGCATATATCTTCTTTTTGAAAACATATACCATTTTATCTTACATATGATTAATATTTAATTTGGGAACCATCAAACTTCGACTAACTAAAGCTTTAAGCTTGTCGTGTGTGAACCAACGGCGTGTTCAAATCACAGAATTTAATTATAAGACAAATTAAATACAACGAAGTCCATTATATTATACATTATACAACACATACGACATTAATTATAAGCAAAAAGCAACTCTTTAACTAACTAAATATAATGCTAATTAGAAACAAAAATTATAAATATCTTCCATCCCTCTTGATTCTGATTTTAACACCATTCAAGAACAATTGATAGTATATATGACGAAGCGAGACGACGTCATATCAGTGTCTCAAGCTTCTGATGTTGGTTTTTTTGTTTGTCTTTGATTCTCCAAACTTGACTTAGCCTTCAAGGTAACCTTTGCTTTGCAGGTACGAGATGATGCTCTCAGCCATCTGATGTGGCGAACCAGAAACGTCGTCTCCACTGTGTTTCAACACGACCTGTACGTAATTAAATATACATATGAAATACATCATTACTTATTATATATGTTAGAATTTTACGTATCGAATTCTTTTATTACACTATATATTGAATAAACATAACGAACCTCGCAATTCGATGGTGGCTCGTAAGGGTCGTCGATTCCAGTGAAGCCTGAATAAATAAAAATCGATGATAAGATATCTTTTAATACCGCTAGAAAATACTCGATAAGAAAGAGACTACTAAAATATTATTTGATAGCTATTTAATGTAATCTTTTGTAATGATGTATTTATATATGTATATTTAACGAGGCAATTATAATTACAAAAGAATATATATTTATAATCATAATAAGTCTATATCTAACATAGCTTATACAAGACACATATCTTTAACCAATAAAGTAAATTATGTTGTAAATTTGAAAGATAAATGAAGTCACTATCCAGGCGTAGTTCTAAGTTACAAGCATGTGTTTAGGGATATACTCACATATATTTAGGGTTTATTTGTGTGTCTATACCTGATTTATACAGTATTTACAACTGAAACATATAAAATTTTAGCCCAAAATAGTATCAAATTTACTATAGTGACAACACAAATTCAAGTGGAAGTTTCAGACTTTCAGTACGATTTCGTATTATAGGTGTTTTCTGACTTCAAGTTCAAAGGTCAACAAGTCAAGGTCAACGTTTTTGAAAAGTAGTAACTACAGTATATTACCTTTGATTTTGCCGGCACGTGCGAGCTTGTACAACCCCTTTGGATCTCTTGACTCACACACAGAGAGAGGAACGTCCATGAAAACCTAGACAGTTTGAACATTCGTAATAATCAATGTCACTATCATTTTTTTAATACGAACTCAAATGAATAAACAATAAAATCGGATGGACTACAAGAATAACGTTAACGTACCTCCACGAAATCGCCTTCCGGTAACAGCGACCGGCACGCGTCTCTGTCTCTCCGGTACGGAGAAATCAAACTTGCTATACAAATGACTCCCACGTCAGCAAACAGCTTAGCCACCTCACCTGAAATTCAACATCATTGATCACTCATCATTACTTAACCAACTAAAAGTACTAAACTAAACATATGATTAGTTATTTGTAATTTCTTAAAATGTACCGATCCTGCGTATGTTTTCGGTACGGTCCTCTGCTTTGAAAGTGAGGTCCCGGTTAAGGCCGTGGCGTACATTGTCGCCGTCGAGTGCGTAAGTAAGTTTGCCTCTTTCAAACAATGCTTTGCTTAGCGCACAAGCAACCGTGCTTTTTCCTAAATCAGAAGAACCATGAGTTACCGCCAACGCTAACGCAAACGCAAACGCAACTGCTGCGTTTTTGTAAACAGAGGAAGCATGTTTAATTTTAGAAACCTGAACCGCTGAGACCAGTGATCCAAATGACACAACCCTTTTGTTGAAGAAGTTGTTGTCGATCGCATCTGCAAATGGAACTCTCGTGCCACACGATGTTCTCTGGCTTCTCTTCTCCGTTGATTCTTTTCTCTTTTAGATTCATCTCTGCACAAAACGTAAGAATTTTCAATTTTTTTTTCTCACAAAAGACTGCAATAGGTTTGAGAAAATTTGAGGAAAATCATAGGTGACGATCTCGTTTTACATTTCGTGATAATTTTATTGAGATTACCAAAGTAAACGATTAATGCTTTCGTTTGATTTCGCAAAAGATTGTTGAAATTTTGAAGGATACGTTATATGACGAAACAGAGAGAGAAAGATGGAGAACCTGAAAGGGCGGGAAAATCGGCGGTGAGGGAAGCTTGAGCAGAGACATTGACGGCGGAGATTGGATGAAAAGAAGCAGAATTCGCGACTAATTTTGGGTTATCCGCCGCATTCGATGACTTCGGCAGCCTAAGGAAACCGTCGGTTATATGTCGTCGCTGAGAATCGCCGCCGAGACCTGGAAGGGAGCAGAAGATCGACGGTCGCGATGCTCTGATAGCTAATCCTTCCATTGAATTTGGATGACTGTTAAAGAAAAATCACAGAGCCCAGACGGCGTTGGGATTGACAGTTCTCTGTAATTTGAAAAAAAATCAATCGTACAAATAAATGTGTTATACACAACAGGAAAGGATTATTTGAAATTATATATATAGAGAAAGAGAGTTAGGAGGAAGGGACAGAGGAAGAAAACTGGTGAGAAGGAGATTAATGGCACCAACAATATATTCCTCCACAAAAAACACATGACCATATTCCTTCATCAAGACCCTCTTTACAAAAATCAAAATATAAAACACTTAATTTTTACTAGTGACGGAACTAATTACTATAACTTGGTACAATAGTTCCTAAAAGGTTGTTATATTAGATATGATTTTAATTAAAAAAAAATATAGTGGTTTTGGTGTGTGTGCATGGGTCACTGTTAGAGACCAAATCTTTTGGGAAATGATTATGCCTTTTTTCCCATCTACCAACCTACCAATACTCATTCAGAAACCATGTGATTTATGTTAGCAACTATCTATATATTTATCATTTTACTGTTATTATTATATTCCTCCAACTATGCTATTTTATTATTGGAATTTGTTTGTTGTTCAAATAAATTTGTTTGACTGTGTATATATGAAGAGAATCTGGTGTTAAGATAATATATTGGAAAATCATATTCAACACTTTTCAACTGCAGTACTTGTTTGATTGCTTGTTTGCATCAATTCTCCTAATATTTGTTTTTATTAGGGAAGAAAAATGCAAAAAAAAAAAAAAAATAAGAAGTCAAAGCAGACGGTTCCATTTGCTATGAGCTTTCCACATTTGGGCTTTATATTTATATTGGGTCTCGTTATCCATAAATTACTTTTAGCCCAATGGTACGCAGGTTCATCTATTGCTGTAACATATTCGAGATATTTCTGCGATAAACAACAAGAGTGTGACTGTAATTCAACTCCACAACTTATTTTAAAATTTAGGTTAAATTTGCCTTTCTACACGTTGGTGGTATTTGTTTTTCTCTGGATGCAAAATCGACGTGCCCACCATTTGTATATAAAACTAGTTTTTATGCCAAACCACTTGTTTTGATTAAATCTACTTGTTTCATGGAAAGAAATCTACGAAGAGGTAAAGAAAAAAATTAATACTAAAAATCTAATTATTTCTGAAGAAACTTTTCTTTCATTTTTTTACCAAAAAAAAATTTTCTTTCATTTTTTTGAAAAAAAAAATCTCTTCTTATTGAATCTAGCATTTATTTATTTTTATTTAAAATTTAAAGTTATTAAATAAATCATTTATACAAATTCATTAAAATCTTGCTTTATTAAAAAATTGGGATTTTATTCATAATTTAAGAGGTACTTTAAAGTTAAAAACCACTTCATATTATGGTATTTGAGAGAATTTAGAAGGAAAATTTTGTTTAAATCATTTTAAAACTTTAAGTCCATTAAAATCTTGATAGATTTGGATTTATCCAAATTACTAATTCAATATGCCATTTTATTTTTAAAGAAAAAATATATTAATATGGATTTTTTTAATCATATTTTAGGATCTTGAAGATTTCCTACTGGTTTATTAGGGACAAATTTCTGTATTAGAATTTTCAAGAAATCTTTTATTTTACTTAGGGATTTATATCACCAACTAACTATATAAAGACCTATTAGATCTCAACAAAATTCATCAACATCATAAAGAAAATATTCACAACAAGTTACACACAGTCCAAAAAAAAAAAAATGAATAGGATCAGATTTCTAGATGTTGCTAGTGCCATCACAATAATTTTGTTGTTAGTCATTGCAGGTTAATCAACCATTTTCATTACTAGTATTTTAACCCTTTTAATCAATTTTTGAACTAGGTTGAAGGCTTTGCACATTACAGTGTTTTTTCACTAACTTTAATAATTTCACAGACCAAGCGAACGCCATTGACGTTACTGGCGAGTGTTTTGGACCGTGCAATGACAATTGCGAGTCGACTTGCAAGAAGAATGGTTATACAAATTGGTTTTGTGGAGCTTTTAGAGCCAAGTCGGGTTGTTGCTGCAAAAACCACCAAAGAAGCAATTCTTTGAACAATCTGCTCAATTGAACGACTAATCATTTTGTGACATATAGTCATTAATTAATGTGTATGATCACTAATAAGAACTCCCAATCTAAAAAATTGTGCTGAGAAATAATAAAATACCCCTTTTCTTCTTTTTACGTCTCATGAATGAAACAAGCAAGTTAAACGTGTATGGGTGAATAAATGTTTGAGGCAATGCTTAAACAAGGTAATAACAGGTGAAGAGAACGGAGTTCGTGAATCGTGACAGTGTACTGATTCTGAGCTTACTATTCTCCAATGATTCAAGCCATGACGACGTCAAACACAATCAAAAATCTAATCTCACTTTAATACATAAGACACAAACTGCTTCTTTGGAGATGTCTCTCAGAAATGACTCAAAGCTTGAAGTAACTGATGATTTGATCAAGAATCACCGGAAAGGGAAACCGGAGAAAGCCTTTCTTCTTCCGGCAAAACGGACCAGTTCGGCGACTGTACGGCTCTCAGCCACAAGAAGTCATCCACATTGGCCCAGCTCTTCGTCTCCTCCTCCAAACCCGCCGTCTTCAAGTCTTGCTCGATCCCTTCGTAATCCAAACAGTAAGGCGCGAACCTGACTCCATTGCTGTCTTCGATTATGGGACGGCTCCTCACTCTCAAGTAGAAATCACTCTTCCTGGCGCAATGGATTCTGATCTGATGGGAAGCCAGCACAAGAACACAGTCCTCCACGTCGTCGATCAGAACTGAGCCAATCACTGGACCTGTGTAGACTTTGCAGTTCTTCAGTCGGTGAAGGAAGAGAGCGTTGACAGTTCCGGTCAATTTTACTTCACAGGAATCAAGATCGGACAATGTGAACTCTCCGATCGAGGAGCCTCTGAAGCTTTTCACCAGAGTCTCACCGTGCTTGTTCCTGAATCCCGGAGAATCGCGAACAGGGACTTTTAGAGGTGAAACGAAATCGGGTTTATGGATCTCGGGGAGTTTGGATTCCGGCTTTGTGGAAGACGATTTGCTCTTGAACGAGAATTTCTTCTTCGGGACTAACTCGCCGGAGAGGATATCGAGGCTCTGTTTGAGATCTGATACAGCTTTGAGAGAGGATCGAACCTCGTAGGAAGGAAGGAAATAGGAGTTCGCAGCGACAAGCTTCTCGAGATTTTCAATCGCAGATGAGATCTCGGCGAGACCTGATTTTATATTGGAAGGATCCTCGGAGGAGGAGCCGAGTCGTAACTCGCCGATTCGAGACTCGATGAATCGCTTGGAATCGGCGAAACGGGCGAGGAACGAGGAGGTCGATTCGAAGGAGGAAGACGAAGAAGAAGAGTCAGGTGAATCGGATTTTCTAGTTTGGTGGCGAGCAGATAAGCGTTCGAGCATGTCATGGTGCTTCTTCTGCAATGCCTGGTCTATGGCGGACCCTCCGTGGATCGGATCGTCGTCTTCCATTCGTTTACACTATTGTGTCTTGTGACGGCGTTTACAAATCACGAACATCGGAGCAAGAACAACGTAAACGCCTAAACGGTGTCGTTCTTATTAATCAAATGAACATGACAGTGTTGGGTCAATATGGCCGTATATACAGCCCAGCAAAGGATACAAACACATACTATACGGCCGTGTATAAATACATAATCTTCTTGGGCCGATACAGTCAGCCCAGCAAAGGATACAAACATATACTATACGGCCGTGTATAAATACATAAGTTTCTTGGGCCGATACAGTCAGCCCAGCAAATGATACAAACATATACTATACGACCCTGTATAAATACATAAGTTTCTTGGGCCGATACATTCAGCCCAGCAAAGGATACAAACATATACTATACGGCCGTGTATAAATACATAAGCTTCTTGGGCTGATACATTCATCCCCGCAAATTATACAAACATATACTATACGGCCGTGTATAAATACATAAGCTTCTTGGGCCGATGCATTCAGCCCAGCAAAGGACACAAATATATTCTTACAATATTTTATAAATCAACAAGGTTCATTTCATAATATACTAACCATTGTGAGCTAAATGCTAAATACGTGAAGGCGATATGATGTAATAAAGTGTCACTAATAACATTCTTCTCACCCGTTATTACCTCAAAAGTATAATCACCTATAACGTATCATGGTGATACGTTAAAAGAAAAGAAAAGCAAAATCTTATAAGTTCTGAAAAATATTATTTTATTTTATTTGAATATCTTGTTTAGTGATCATACAAATTAAAGACGATGTCAAAAAAAAAAAAACATTTAGTTGTTCAATTGAGATTCAAAGATTTGCTTCTTTGATGGTGTGCAACAACAATCCTTCTTGCCTCTAAAATCTTCACATAACCCATCACTATAACCTTGCGATATGCAAAATTGTTTGCAATCGTCAGGACACGGTCCAAAACAGAAGAGATCAGCATCGGCCGCGTTTGCTTGTTCTGCTAAATATAAAGATAGTTAGAAAACAAATTAATCTGTAAACAGATAAACAAAGGACAAACAATATGTATACTTCTAGTTAACGTCGAAGGTAAGAAAAAAAAAGCTTTGATGTAGCTAAAGAGTATTTAGAAAAACTGAGAATAAATTATATAAAAAAATTAAAATAATATAATGTGAATTCTTGACTAACCTGCAATGACCAAAAACAAAATTATTGCGATTGTGCTAACAACAACTAAAGATCTAATCTTGTCCATTTTTTTTTCCCCGACGTATTTGTTTATATGTGTAACGTGTTGTAAATATATTCTTATGTTTTGGCGCTGTTGGATTTTGTTGACATTATATAGAGAGTTAGTTGGTGATGTAAATTCATAAACCAAATTAAATGGATACGTTATTAAAACAACTTATTTAAAATGTTGACCAAATATTTATCGCCAAGTATAAATCGGTAGGAAGCTGAATTTAGAATAAGAACAACTGACAATATATGTAAACTTTCATTTTGTATCTTGTAAATTTGGTATAATTTATTTTAATGATATGATTTGGATTAGTTTGTAAGGAATATATAACAAATTTTCAAAACACTAAACGATCTTATATAGTAGTAAATCCATTGGTAACGGACACAAAGTTTCGCTATATGTGGACCATCGTGATTAAAAATCAATTAGTCGCCATGTATAGCAAATCGGTAACTTCGACGATTGTGCTTGACTAAATATTAGAGATTTGGTTTAATATATAGCGTCACTTAGGAACGATGATTGATTAGCCACACACACACAAAAAAGCGACGGATCCGACAACCAACGGTTAAGACCAACTTTGTGTCTATTTCCATTTACAAAATAGCAATTCTGTATATTGATTGATATACATGTACTGTACTTTACGATATGTATGGGCCTAATCGTATACATTAAAAATCAACGTTCATTTCGTAACGTTTAAACACTTGGGGGTGTAATTTGCAATTTTGACTCGATGTTTTTGATCGTCAAACTCACTTTCTCTCCTTCCTTTGATTGGCTTTAAACAGAGATTAAATTGGAAAAAAGAAAAAGAAAATAAAAAAACTTTTATATCGATCCTCTTTCGCACTGAGAGGCTCCTTCGAAATCTGAAGAATTATCCGATCGAATCGAACAATAAGCAGACGCGCAAGCGGATACTCTCCCTTTGAGAATCTCCCGAGTCAAATCGGACGAGTCAGGATCATAAACAACGGTGATACGGAGGCTAGTTCTAGGGCTGATGGGCGCCGCGGGCTCCAAACTCGAGAAAGCTCTCGGCGACCAGTTCCCCGAAGGAGAACGCTACTTCGGATTCGAGAATTTCGGCAACACTTGCTACTGCAACAGCGTTTTGCAGGTCCACTTCCTCTCTCTCTTATCTAGAATTGTTCTCGATGTGTGCGACTCGCTTGGTATGTTGAATTAGTATGTTTTGATATCCAAACTATTTGACGAATTTTCCAATTCGAATCGTATCGCGGATTGACCTTACTTGGTCAAATTCGTTTCAAGAGATTAAATTTGATTTGGTTGCATTGCGATTTCTCGAATTATTAGCTCTTTTGAATCAGACACTCAAATAGATAACGCTTTTGTCAATCCCGTGAATCTGTTGTTAAGAAGGCGTTAGGGTAATAGTTTAGTGAATGAGCATTTAAAACTTGTCCCTTCAACCTACCAAAGTTTAAGTTTTTAATCACTCGTGTTGATTGCAATTGTGTATCTATTGATTTCTCCATCTCCCCGTGTGGTGTGCTATGGATATGATGAATATATGTTCTCTGGACTGGAGAAAGGCAAAGGCTTTGGTTGCAATTGTGTATCAATTGATTTCCCCATATCAATGCGTTCTATGGATATGATGATTGTATTCTCTGGACTGGAGAAAGGCAAAGGCTTTTTGTTGATTAACATGATGGACAAGTGATCTCAGCTAAATAGAACCTCTTTTCCTTGTGCAGGCCCTTTATTTTTGTGTTCCCTTTCGTGAACAATTGCTTGAGTACTATACCAGTAATAAAAGCGTCGCCGATGCTGAAGAGAATCTTATGACCTGCCTGGCTGACTTATTTTCCCAGGTATTTATTAATATCTTGGCTTGCTTTCTTCTTTTTGTTCGCTATGATAGTTTTTTTTTTTTTTTTAATTTCTCTCTTACTACTTCGTGGTAGTTGTTATGTTTCAACACTGTCCTAACTCAAGTGAGCGATCTTTCATTTGTTGAAAGTATTTCTCTTTGGTTTACGTGATTTCTCACTTGACATCATTATTTGATGAAGTCACTTATGTAAAGGCTCAGGTCATTGTTTTTAGCATAACATGAACTTGATACTATTGTGTGTCTTTTATTAGGTATATTGGATCATCTAAATGTGCTTGATTTAGCGATTAGGATGTCATCATCTAATTGATTATCGTGGGCTAGTCATTTCTGCGGAATAAAAAAGTGTTATCTTTGCTCATTGTAAAACACTCTGTAGATAAGTTCCCAGAAGAAGAAGACAGGTGTTATTGCTCCTAAGCGATTTGTACAGAGGTTGAAGAAACAGAATGAGCTGTTCCGGAGTTATATGCACCAGGTAAAACTTTTGCAAATTTCCTCATTTTTTCGAGCGTTATATTACAGAAAATGTGAGAAAAGCAATAGTTGATTTGAATTGGCGTTACTATTCTCATGTAGGATGCACATGAGTTCCTGAATTACTTGCTGAATGAAGTTGTTGACATACTGGAGAAAGAGGCGAAATCTACAAAAACTGAAGTTGAAACCTCATCATCATCATCTCCCGAGAAGATTGCAAATGGACCGAAAGTTCCTCAGGCAAATGGTGTCCACAAAGAGCCTATTGTTACTTGGGTGCACAATATTTTTCAGGTCAGTTCTTTTCAATGAAACGATTCAGATTCACTTCTTCTGAGGTGATTCGTACAATTTTTGGCTAAATAAAATTCGGATATGTGTACACAGGGCATACTCACCAACGAGACCAGGTGTCTGCGGTGTGAGACAGTGACAGCAAGAGATGAAACGTTCCTAGACCTAAGTCTTGATATCGAACAGAACAGTTCGATAACTAGCTGTTTGAAAAACTTCAGCTCGACAGAGACACTTCATGCTGAGGACAAATTTTTCTGTGACAAATGCTGCAGGTAAAATGTTGGTCTTTAGAATAGTCTCACGCCATTGTTTTTCAAAATTTAATTCCTCAAAAGTCCTTTAATAGCTGCAATGGGTTTTTGTTAGTGATGATGACCCAAGTCCGATTCTTTAATGTTCATATTTGCAGCTTACAAGAAGCACAGAAGAGGATGAAGATCAAGAAGCCACCAAACATCTTAGTCATACATCTAAAGCGATTCAAGTACATCGAACAGCTAGGCCGTTACAAGAAGCTCTCTTATCGAGTTGTGTTCCCTTTGGAGCTAAAACTGAGCAACACGGTGGAACCATACGCAGACGTTGAGTACTCTCTCTTTGCAGTGGTGGTTCATGTCGGAAGTGGACCCAACCATGGTCACTACGTTAGCCTTGTGAAAAGCCACAACCATTGGCTCTTCTTTGATGATGAGAATGTTGAGATGATTGAAGAATCAGCTGTGCAAACATTCTTTGGATCGTCCCAGGAGTATTCGAGCAATACTGATCATGGTTACATCTTGTTCTATGAGAGCCTTGGACCAACAAAGTAAAAAGCCGAGAAAGATAAAATCAGAAAAAAGGACTTTCTTCGTTTTTTTTTTTCTTAACAACTTAGTAATGGTATATGTTTGTGACTTAAAAGTCAATGGAATTGACAGTTACTTTTTTTTTGGTTGGTTGACTTTCTCTGTCTCTCTCTCTCTCCCAAAAGATATTTGGTGAGTTTAAATTGCAAAAGTTTTTTAACTGAAGAAATCTGTAAACTTTGAATGCCATGTACAGTTACTTGCAAGGAATAAGATTACAATACATGATTTCTAAGAGTAATTTCAATTTCAGAGAGAAGAAAAAAAACCGGACATTAAAAATTTAAAATGTTATTGATATGATTGGATCGTCTGTTCCAGCCCATTATGATTAAATGGGCTTTGATAACGAAATTAGGCCCCGCGATAAGCAGTTTTGCCGTGAGAATAAAGTTATAAGCAAAAGTACAAAATTACAAACAAATAAATAATCCATAGATAGAGAGACAAAACTCAAAAGAGAGAAGTTCACGGGAGAAGCTGACGAAGAAGATACAGCCAGAAAATTGCTGCACCCGTGAGCCATGTCCTTTTTGTTATGTTGCTCTACAAACATTAATACTTTCACATTGCAATTTTTACAAACTTTTCAACGAAAAAAAAGAAGAAGAAGAATAAAACCTAATACTATATGCTTATTTACTTAACAAGAAATGCTGGCGATGGGTATGGAAATTAAATGCATATGATATAATTTACATTTCAGCAAAAAAATAAAAAAGAAAAAGAAAAGAGATGCATTATGCATATAGAGATGGGTGGGTTTGATATGGTTGATTCATGTCTCTCAATTCTTGTATACCATTTATCATATTGTTTCCCGAAACATATACTATGATTGCTTTGTGCATCACATAAAGTTAAATGTTATGGACAGCTCATAAATAGTAAATTACAATTATGACTTATATAACTAGTAGTATTTTTATCACACAGTGCACAAAGATGAATATATGCAGACGGAAATTTAAAGCACAGACATGCATTTATTGTCAGAGTAATTAACTGTCATCATGTTTTAAAAAATATAACGAGGCTAGCTAATCTCTCTAATCAAGTTTAATATTTCATAATCCAGAGTTAAAAGGTGAGAGATCATGAAAAGAAAACAAAGAGAAGAAAGTAAAAGGGTATTTTGGGTATTACAAAAAGTGGAGGCGAAGAATTAGGATTTGTCGTTATCCTTGTTGATGTCGCAATCAGATGAAGGCATTCACAGGCGAATCGCGCCGGGCCCGGAGAAGAGCGTTGTGAACTTCTTCTCTCTCTCTTTCTACTTCTTCTTCTTCTCCTTCCTTCTCTCTCTGAATCTGCCGTTACTCTGAAGCTTCGTATAAACTCCACATGCATTGTACACAGCACAATTCTTCAAGCTTCATCTTCCCCTCTTGAAAACCGCTTCTAATTTCTCAGTTCGGTTCACGATTCACTCTCCAATGGCCGCTTCTGGTGATTTTTTCGACGGGGTTAGTTAGATTACTCCTTCTTAGTGTCGCTTTCTGTTTGTTGTTCAAATTGTTCCAATCGATTTGGGGTTTTTCATTTTGGAATCTAATCTGAGAAGAAGATGAGACTTGAGAGATTCGATTCGATTCTGGAACTGTTCTTCCCTTTGATTATATCTTCCTGCATTTGGCTATTTTCTTTCTTTTAGAGGGATCAAGAGAAAGACTGTTTTAGAAAGTACTAATCTAGGAACTGTTTAGTGTACTGTAGTCTCACTTACTTACCAGAAGAGAAATAACAATGATCAAATTAAAGAACTCTTATGTTGTCCAATAAGTTTTGAATCTTAGAGGTTTCTCAGCTTGTATAGTGTTACTGTTTGCATCTTTTGATGGGTTTTTTTTTTGGGTCAACATTGTTAAGTCTTTTGTTTTGATCTTCCATGGAGTGATTTTGATTTCATGTCTTTGACTCAAGATTCTGATATATTCAACAGGGGAAGCAGCAGTTCCTAAGTGTTGCAGATGGTAATGGTAACGGGAACGCACCAGTCAAGTATCCAAGCTTCAAGGCGCCTAAGCCTAGCTTCAATGATGGTGGCAAACATGGCGCCATAGGTAAATCTATGGATTACGCAGTTTAGATTCAGTATCACGATATATTGCTAAAGCATACTAATGAGAAATGTTGAACCTTTGTGTTTCTTTTGCGATGCAGATGTTTTTCCTCTTCTTGTCAAGGAGGCTGCATTTCCTTCGAAAGAAGACCGTGGCATCGATACTTCTTCATTGGTGAGTTCTTTTTTTTTGTTTACAAGTCCTTAATGGAGTGAAACTAGGATAGAGCATGACAAGATGGTGTATCTGGTTGCATTTGATCTTTAGTCACTTTTGAAAGAAGACTGATTTGTTATAGTTAGCAAGATCATTGTTGAATTTGGTACATCTGAGAACTAAATAGATTTTCAGATGCATTGTGGGTTAAGTCCTCCAAACTCTGCGGGTTTGTGTAGGTCCAAGACGTGTGTACTATCTCAGTCCTACCTGATGAAGGAAATACAATTCCGCAATGTACCTCGCAGTTTACTCTCTTGAGCTTCGTCAAGGCTCTGCTTCCATCTAAAAACCAGATGTTGATCGATGCACAGCTGAATTGTCAGAAAACGCAGAACCGCATCAATGTGCTACTAGGAGGCACAGATTCCTACCAATCATGCCTTGTGGACATAAATGTCGAGAAAGGGAATGGTGGTGAGACGGTGACATCCCATGACGAAGTTGTGGGAAGTGTGAAATCTGAGAGTGTAGTAAGTTCTATACACTATCTATTGGTGGTCAACAACAACAGATATGCTAGTTTGCTTGGTCCATGTCGAAAGATGATATACAAATGTCTAACTCTTATATGGTTACTATGTCTTTTACAGCATATGCAGAAGGTATTGCAAAGACAAGCAAGCTTGAGCACTGGTAAGATTAAAATACTTCGGTAAAGTTGCATAATCTAAGCTTTGTCTAATGTGTTTATGAACTGAACCTTGAGAAAGTTTTGTTGTTGCAGATAAAGGGATATCCGAGAGATGCCACGATGCACCAACGAACAGGTGGAGAAGATACAAGCGTGCTGCTTCATTCGATTCAAGAAAAATCGTCATCCTATTCTCGATCTTGTAAGTGTATATATTACCTCTTTACGTCATTTCTTGGATAGATGCGTGTATATGCTTACGATTCAGTCACTATGAACTATATAAAATTGCAGATCAAGTGTGGGAACATTGATATTGATCTACTTGACACTGAGAGTGAGGCAAAACGGAGACAACAGCTTCAATCATATGTAGTAAAAAACCTGTAATCTCTCTTTTGGCTTCTTTTCTCCTCCGTTGTCTCTGTTCTGAATCTCTTTACCAAAACTCGTCTTTTGTTCCGAGTTTCATAATGTTGATAAGTGAACACTTTCTCTGTGAATAACACTTGCGAATGCTTATTGCTTAATTCCTCCTAATTAACGTGTAACAAGACAAGAGTTTCCAAAGAACCAAGTGATCATTAATAACTAACTGTAACACACTGATTATTTGTTTTCACATTTTTTGAATAATTCTTGTAGAAAAACAAAAAACCATTTTTGAAATAAAAATCGACACAATAAAAAGAATTACGGTTTACTTTCTCCCAAAAACCGAATTCAGAAGAAACAAACGTAGAGAGAGCATTGTGAACATCAATTCCTTTCTCTGGCTGCATCATATTTCTAATGGTTGTATATTTGATTAAGATGTTTTCATCTTCTCTTCCTGTCAATGTCTAATAAGATGAAACATCACAACAACAAAAAACACACTTTCTTGATCCTTTTTTTTCTCTTTACTTTGGTTCCACAACAAGGAGTTGTTAAACAGAATATGTTTTTGACTTTTAAATCAACACGAACAGCCTCCTCCACCACCTCCTACTTGTTGCTCACCTTGTGATGTATTTGAAGTGGTCTTTAGGTTCACATCAACCATGTCCTCTGATTTTGTCGCCGATGAATATGAATCCATCCCGGGTAATGCTGCAGCGATCTTCCGGAACAGTGCCTGCAAATATTACTCATGTTTGTGAGACAAATCAGAGACAGTCACTAAAGTCCTTCAATTCTACTTGTTTTCTTTGTTGTTGTTTACCTTAATGTTGAAATTTTCTTTCGCGCTGGTCTCTATGAACAGCACTCCATACTCTTTACCCTTATCTTCCCCTTCACTGATCGATACTTGCCTGTTTTTGTTACAAAAAAGCCTGTTATGATTGACAAATAAGGCATAGCATTACATAACAAATCAAAGCTGGTTTTGGTTCTTCTCTTATTACCTATTATCAACAAGATCAGTTTTGTTTCCAACAAGAACAATAATAACGTCGCCTGAACCTCTCTCTCTGTGTACATCATCGATCCATTTCGACGTATTCAGAAACGATTGCCTCTCTGCAAAGCGTGTGACGAAACGCACAAGTAGTGAGCACATAACACACAAAATGGTGAACTAAAGAAGGGGTCAAGACAGTAACCAAAAAGGTCACTCACTGGCTACATCATATACAACTATGGCAACAGAAGAATCTCTGATGTAACTTGGGATTAAACTCCTGAATCTTTCTTGTCCAGCCGTATCCCTTTAATCACAAAAAAAACAATTTTGTTAATCTTTTGGTATCATTGAAACTAGCACATAACACACATGTGATTCTTTGCTTAGGAAGCTACGTTGCTCTGCAAAATCAAGATTTCTTGTTCTCACCATAGCTGCAAACGAACTGTTCTGTCTTCGAGGTACATTGTTTTCGACAGAAAATCAATCCCAATGGTAGGCTGCAGAGAGAAGACAATTAAGGCTTAATATGACTAATTAAAGCGTAATTAACAAAAAGTTACAACCAAAACAAAGAGACAACTTAGACCATAACAGGAACATATTGATCATAGGGGGAAGAAAATTCCATTGGAAAAGCTCAGTGATCAACGACGGAGAATCAACCAATTCGAGATGTAATAATTTCCAACAATCGGTCTTCGAATCAGATCAAATACAATAAACGAGAACCAAACAAATTCGACGCAAAGAACAAGGAAGGAATCAATGAATGATCGAAGGAGTTATGATTTGAACCTGGTAAGTGGTGTCGAATTTATCATACATGAAGCGGGTGATGATGCTGGTTTTTCCGACAGATTGATCTCCTAAGAACACCAACTTAAACTTCGCCAAAGGAGATACAGCCGCCATTTTTAAGAAGAAGACTAAGAAGAAGGAAAGGTGATTGAGATCCGAAATTGGAGCAGATTCAAAGTTTTCTTCTAAGCTGTGGGAGAAAAGAGAAGGCGAGCCGAGCACGACGACGAAGACGAAGACGCGGTCGCACACGAAGCTGAAAATCCTTTAGCCACGCGCCAAGATTTCGTAACACCGGAAAATTCAACGATTTCCGCGGACTATTTATAAACTGGCGCGTGTATGTAACTCTCCTACCACGCGGCTGGGTATCTCTAAAACGTTTCTCTGTATTATTTTAATGAGAATATGACGAGATTTGTATACTATAATCTCTACTTTATGTATACATACTAATCTAACAATTAGGCTACGGTAAAATCATAGATTTGGACAAATTTTATGATTAAAATCTTTTATGATCTGTTGCATCATATATATCCCATAAGTGATAAATCTAATAAAAATTACATATATATTAACAAATCGTTTACAGTAATTTATTTGATTATTACTAAGCCTATAAAATACATAAATATTTAGCAAGACTTTCATTTGCTAGCATACATTTTCTCTGTTTTTTTTGGGCATCAATTGCATATATTTCCCACCCATTTCTTTCTGTTTTCCATTGATTTTTGGATGTTGTAGACTCTTTTAGTACAATCTGAAAACTTTCACTCTTGCTTAAAGTCTTAAACTAATATCCCACAAAATGGCGAGGATTCTCGGGATGATAAGAGATGGCAACAATGGATAACGTAGTGAATTGCTATAATTTACAAAACATTTTTCTCATATCTGCGTTTACATTCTTATGTGACTGAAGATTAGGCATTCTTTCAGATTGTAAATCAAGGAAAAAGCTTTAAACCTTGCGAACTGCAAATATCATAGCTAATGTGTTCCATAATCATAAGTAGAGAAAGATGATGAGAAACATTAAGATTTATTTGCCAAAGTCACAGAAACTCTGAGAGCTTATACGATTCAGATTCACGATCAAGCTCGTCTCTTTTTTAACAGAAACAAAATCCATAATCCGATAGCTTAAAGAAACACAAACCCCAGGTAATCATTCGCTCATAAACCCTAATTAGGATCAGAAAGACCCTTACTTGCCACCAAATCTCATGTTGCTCCATGGAAACTTCGCCCCCGAAGCAGCAGCAGCAGCTCTCGCCGGCGAATTCGACCATTCACCGCCGCGGCGAACTTTACCTTTACCATAACCGCCGATTTCCCTCTTCTCCTTCTGATCAAGCCAGTGACTCTTCTTATCATCTTCCTCCTCCACGAAGCTAGATCCCTTCACTTTGCTCTTCCTATCCTCCTCGATAAACTTCACCGGGAACAAATCCCTCGAAATCGACAAAGGGTTTTTGAGCGTGACGTAAGCCTTCTTGTAGTCCGCCTTCGCAATCAACAACCCTCCACGCTTCTTCTTCTTCCCATCCATGTTTAGTGTGTTCACCTTTTCGACCTCGAATCCGTAGAGAGACTCGAGGACTCGCTTGATCTCGATCTTGGTCGCAGAAGGGATCGTTTTCAGCGCGAACTCGTGGATGTTCGTGAGCTTCGTGGGCATCAGAAGCTTTATCGGAAGATTCGCGAAATGAACCACTCGTCCTCCCAATCTACTCCCCATTTCTCCACAAATCCAGATTTGAATCGGAGTTTTCTTCTCAGATAGGTTAAAATGAAGGAAAGGGTTTTTCCTTCTCCCCTTAAAGTCCTCGTTGCAGATACCTTAACGGGCCATTAAAGATTAATAGGCTCTATGAGATTAGTTGGCCGAATTAAAGCAAAGCGGATCAAACTTCATTCAGCCTAAAAACTTTGCATATACCTTAATAGGCCATTTACGATTAATGGGCTCTATGAGTTTACTGGGCCGATTTAAAGCAGAGCGGATCAAACTTCATTCAGCCTAAAAACTTTGCATATACCTTAATGGGCTATTTAAGATTAATGGGATGTATGAGCTTAGTGGGCCGATTTAAAGCAGAGCGGATCAAACTTCATTCAGCCCAAAATATTCATTCCCATTAGTAAGGAGACTTTTGAAGTTTTAATACAAGCTTTCATGATGATTTCCCAAAAAAACCAGCATAGTAGATATATAAGATTTCATGAAAATTGTGTGAAACCGTTTGATATAAATCCGGGAAAATGTACTTTTATATTGATATTTCAGTCCAAAATCATTACAACAACAAACAAAAAAGATTTATGAGTTACAAGTGAGTGTAATTGAGATGTGTCATGTGTGTGAAGCCACTTATAAGATAAGAAAACAACAGTATATTACTACTACACATTTACAAAAGAGAACCTCGCTTTTTTAATCCATATCACAAACTTCATCCTGATCATCACCACCTGCAAATACCAGGCTCCACTGATTTGCTGAGAGCTAGAATCTCATCATACTTTGAGCCATACACAAATCCCCATAGCTGCAAACAATCCATGGTGTTTTTTGTTTGTTTTCAGTAAAAGGTTGAAACAAAAATTGAAACTTAGAAAGGACTTTTTCCCTTTCATTTCTATAAGAGAGAGTAGAAGTTAGCCTTTGTACCTCCACTTCCTTCACATCAAAGTCCTGAGTGTTTGCAAGACAAGAGTTCCCGTATGTCTCCGAGTAAGCACTTGATCCACTTAGCCTATAAGAACACGATGGATGAATCAAACGAATTGACGGAACAATGGTTTGTTGTTTGTCTTGTAGATAGGATTTTCAGAGTTTTGGTAAGAAATCTTACAGCTCACTGTCTAGATAGAGAGCAAACCGTCCACCACCGCCGAGAGCTAGAAAGTCTTTGGAGCATAAAGTGTAGAACCGATTTGCGCCTGCTCAAGTGCAAACCATAATTACAAATGAATAAGAGAAAAAGACTCCAAGAAGCTCAATGTTGCTGAGCAATGCATAATAATAGTAATACCTGTGGGACGGTATATTGTGGGTTGTCCAGACTTATCACTGAAAACAAATGTACTGTTGGTTCCCTGACACAAAATAAAGTCATTAAGAGTCAGTGAAAGGAAAGAAAATTTCATAAATGGGATTTAATAAAGATTGGATATTTAGATCTTTGGAACCGAACCTGATACTTCTTATCAGTTGGTATCAAAGGTGCCTCGACAAGACCACCAAAAACCGAACCTTTTCTGTCTCCAACGACCTGAAACAGTGGCGGTTTTCTTTAGAGGTCTGTAAAAAGGTCCATACTTTACCAAATGAAATCAGAAACTGAGTTTTATCTTACCAGTAAACTGAGACCAGGCCAGAGGAGGCTTTTCCTGTAGAGCGTTGATAGTGATATACCGTGCCTCCATGTACTAAAATAACCGCAGCAGATCAAAACCAAATGATCACACACAACACATAGAAATCAAACTCTAAAATGCTTTGAATGTGTTGTCTCACCTATAAAGCAATATCCATTTCCTCCCTTGAACAAGCGCAGGAAGTGAGGTATAAAGGGACCGTCTTGACTGGTCCGATAAAAGTAAAGAGGGCTCTGAAATCTCAGGTATAATTGCTTTTACTGTTGATGTTGCTTCCTCTTTAACAGTATTATTCTGAATCGGCTTCAACTCCAAGCCATCATATTCAGTCTCTTCATCATCTGGCTTCACATCAGAAGTTCCCTTTCGCTCCTTGGCCCCAGGAAACTTGACCGCCTGGTAAAAATTCCTCAAATGCTGTTTATACTTAGACAACAAGCTCTTCTTTGCGCCACCAACAGTAGTAGTAGTTTCCTTCATTGTTCTAGCATTCACTGACGATGATGATGTATCACTTGTTCCTGCCTCTGAATCTTCTTCTTCTTCTTCTTCTTCTTCTTCTTCTTCTTCTTCTTCTTCTTCTTCTTCTTCTTCTTCTTCTTCTTCGTCGTCGTCGTCCTGGTCCTGATCAGTTTTTTTGTCTTTGGGATCTGAGGAGGATAACAGAGAACCAAGGAATGCAGAGAAAGAAGAAGTGTCTGGTTCGTCTACCAAACCCTTAGGCTGCTCTTCAGTACCAGACTCTAGTTGATTTCTCTTTGACTCGTCTTCCTCATCCTAATTAAGCAAAATATGAAAAGTGATGAGCGTTATCAAAAGAAAATAGAGAGGAATAGCTCATTGAATGATCACACAAATTGAAGTTCCCAATTATAAAGACTCAATTCTCAAGCAAGTAAGCATTAAGTCATTTCTCGATTTCACAACCCAGAAAAATCCCAGAGGATACCAAGCAATAGTCAAGAACAAAGATAGAATCTAAATGTCAAACCCCAAGAACCCATATTTAGAAGAAAAAAAAGAAAGTCTGGGTACCGGAAGAGGACGAGCGGAAGAGGGTTTATCAGAGATGGGATTAAGAAGACCGGCGGTGAGATCGGTGACGAAGTGAACTGCTTTGCTTCTGAAGGATTTGTGTTTCCCCATGATCAGCCTCCTCCTCCTTTAAAAACAATCCTATTTTTAGTGAAAAATTAAAACTTTCAGATTCCACACGATCCTTTTGACAAACCTACACCACAGACTGAGTCAGCTCTCTCTCCCCTTTTGGTCTTTCTGGATTTGCTGTTGATCATTTACCTAATAAGCCATACTTAGAAAAGCTCTAAAGAAGAAAACCATCTCTCTCTCTTTGCTTTTTCTGTCTATCTTATCCAATTTAACCTTTTTTCTCTCTGAAAACTTTTCTTGATAGACTATATTTTTTTTTTCTTCTCCGAGGGTTTTCGATATCAACGTTTTTGAGACACCTTAACTAAAAAAGAAGAAGATTTGGTAGACTGCGGGTGGAAGAAGGTGACGAAGGAAAAGGAAAAAATGTAGACTTCACGCCATTTCAGTTAAGCTTAGTCAATGATATTGAAATTTAATCACAGCCTATAACAACAAGACTCCATGGCCCAATGGATAAGGCGCTGGTCTACGAAACCAGAGATTCTGGGTTCGATCCCCAGTGGAGTCGTTTCTCTCTCGATTGTTTTTTAGTTTTTGCCTAATCTCAATCTGAGACTAACCAATCCAAAATGTCGAATCAATAAACCATATTCCTAGTTTTCAATCAGAACAGCAAATAAGCAGAAACAGTGCCTCACAAAGATGAAATATGGAAATTCAAATAGAGACAGCACCAGAAGGTTAAAGACGATCAGCACAAAGAGCCTTCTTCAGAGTTTCCTATAAAAAAAACCCAAAGAATAGCTCAAACGTTTTCGAGACATTCGCGAAACGAAACATCTAAGCAACTAAGAATCTGACAAGTGAGAGCTTTAGCTGCGCGCGGTTAATACCAAATAGCCTCCCCGAGTCTTTTTTATTAGACCAATGAAATGCTGCTCTCACCTCCCGGAGGCTTCCTCACGCCGCCGAAATAGTCTCGTGACTCCGACTTGCCGTCTGCGAATATATTGTTTCCGCTCATTTCCCGGAGTTTAGCGGAGCTTAGCTGCTTATCAGCAGTTCCAGGAGATTGATCGCCTTTGAAAATACCATTTCCTGTGAGTTCCTGAAACTTCTGGTCATGTATCTTCTTTGATGTCTTCACGACAGGTTCCTCACTGAACAGTATGTTGCTTTGTCCTCCTGCAGGCTGTTGAAGTTACGAAAGAAAACATTTTTAGTTGAGGAAATCTCATTGGATTCAACATTTTTGATTTTTCAGTTTCCGTTTATAGCAATACCAAAGATGACTTTACTTACATTGGAAACTTTTACAGAAGTGCGCAAGTTCCTCGGTGCAGGCTCTCCCATGTCTCTGTTTCCTCTGGCTTCTTGCTGAGCAGCGGCCAAGGATCGAGGCTGAATCTCAGGCGGAGGTCCGAAGATGTTGTGACCGCTGATCTCTTCGATCTTGGCACTTGAAATCTGCTTGTTGCTCTTTAGCTCCGCCTCGGTTAGCAAGTTCCCACTAAGCTCTCTCTGCTTTGCAACCTCCGTTAGAGTGGTTGGTTTCTTCGGGGAGACTTTCCCGTCAGCGCTGAATGATATCTGACTCACTCCGTTCAGAGTTTGCTGCAAAGTTTCAGAGACATTACATTAAACAAAATCGTTTCCGAAAATGGACTTTTTCTAACTAAACCTGTTTGGAACATAAGACAAGTGAGTTTACCTGATAGTAACGAAGACCTGTTTTTGGATCAGTAGAATCGGATTCAGATCCGTTCTTTGCCTCATTAGTAAATATGCCACTACCAGTCATCTCTTTTAACTTGTAACCTGAACAGTTCTTCCTGACAAAAGTGACCAAATTAAGTAAGAAAACAAGTAACAAGCTTTGTTGTAAGTTTACAAAAAAATCAAAGAAGGGACAAAGATTAGAAATTGGAATAAACAATATCACTGTACAGAACAGTAGTAGTTTGACATGTAATGGTGGGGCTTGATGAACACAGAATGTTATAAAATATAAGTAAAGATTATCAGAAAAGCCAAAAGCTTTGACCAATCCCTTTCATTATTAGTTAATCAATCAGATGATCATTGCAAAGAACACAAATTTGACTTTCATACAAAGAAACCAATTTTGTGAAAGAAAAAATAGGCAATCACTTTCAGAAGCATGATGAAGCTTTTAAATCTTTTTGTTTTCATTTCTAAATACAAAAATCAAAATCCAGATTCTAGAGATCTGCTAATGCAACGAAGTTGAATTAAAGATGTGCATGAGAGATGAGATTAACGGATCTTTACAGCTTATTGAGCGACTGAGCTTCCTCATCCGTGATCTGAGCGCCGCCGAGAACCTTGCTGATTCCATCGGACGGCTGAAAAAAAGAAGAAAGAAAGAAAGAACAAAAGCTCAGCTTCTAATTGGGGAAAGATAAGGCGACATTTTTGGAAACAAAACGCACCTGGTGAGAACGAGCGGCGGAAGCGGTTGAGCGCTCAGGCGGAGGAGTTTCCGACCAGGAAAGCAGATCGGCGGTGGAAGTGTGAGGGTTTCTCACTGGCGTGTTTCTCTCCATTTTTCTCTTTTTTTTTTTATCTCTTTCTTCCGATTGGAGCTTTTGAGCTATTGAGGTTTGCGAGTGAAAGGTTTTTACTTCAATGGAAGATATTTTGTTTTTCACCTTTTTACTTAAATCCGAATAAAGGAGAAGACTCTTTTTCTATATAAAAAAAGTAGGTTAGATTGTTAAAGAATGAAGATTAGATTAGCGTAAAAGTTTTGCAAGGTACAGTATTTTTTATCAACAAGATTTACAGCAAAAATAGGATTTGTTGTAATTTTTGTCATACCAGAAATAGAACCTTCTTTTAGTCTTGTTAAGCTGAACAATCTAATCTACATCGAGTAAAGAATTTCATTTCTATTAAATAGATCAAATTCAGTTTTTTACAAAAATCAAATAAAATGGATACACAACAGATATCTAAAACTCCATATATGTCATTCTCAGTATCACACTTAGTTAGGCAATTCTACTAAAAAAAATGTATATCTTGAAGAATATCATTTCAAAAATTCAGCCAAATTATATCCTATTATGAATCAAAATTCAGAACCATTACTAAATAGACATAATTTAATACTTAGAAAACAAATTCCGAACCATTTCCAAATCTAGTCTGAAATTCGAACACATCTTATTACTTCAAATTTTCGTTTTATTAAAAGATATATAACTAATAAAGTAATTCCAACAAAGACAATGGAAATGGAAGCAAACTGTACATTATTTATGCCTAATGATGAATAATCACTACGATCTTTGTTTCTTCAAGCTAAAAAAAACACCATACTCCATGGGAGAACTCAAAATAGCTCCACAAATTCAATTATACCTACACTTGTTATGTATATAAAAGCTAGAATCAATTTCTCCAAATCTAACGAAAGCAGTAACATCGACGCATTCTCTTCCGCTCCTTGGATCGAGGAGGAAGAATCGAGAAACTACATACCATATAGCTTTGCTTGTTCGTAAAGATGGTCTAATGGCTTTAGCTTTTATTATTGTTTTAAAACGTATAATAGACCTTCTCAAGTGTTTTGCTGAGTTTACTCTGTTGTCTGCTCGATCGAACGGAGCTCCCAGTTTCCTTCTCCATCAATCAGCCTTAGCTCCAAGGAGTGGAATGGGATCAGAGCCGGTCGCTGAGGATTTGCCAGAAGAGTAATGAGTCTTTTGGGTAAAGAGTTTTGATGTGGTTTCATGTGAAAGAGTGAAGGAAAAAAAAACTTACTTGTGATGAGGTTACGAAAGTGACTCCCATGTCTTTTGCAACCCGATAGAGCTGTTCCTCAACATCAACACTCGTCGCGCTGCAAACCAAAGAGCGGATGGATTTACAAACAAATGGGAAAGATGATTGCGAAATGTAGGCGAAGACTTGATCACTTACTTGGTGCATTCATCAAGGATTCCGAACTTCGGTCTGTGAAAGAATAAACGTGCCTACAATACAGGAAAATTAATAAAGAACGAAACAACTCAGATTATTCACGTGAATCATAAAACTAAAATGTCTCCAAGAGACTCTTACCATGCCTAGTCTCTGTTGCTCTCCAAGAGATAATATGTCTTCCCAGTTGGTAGTAGCATCCCAACCACTTTCATCTCTTTCCAAAAGATAAACTAACCGTACATTCTCCAAAATGGTTTTCAGATGAACGTCTAGAATGCTTCCAGCTTCAGTTGAGCTTTCTCCTGTTACTTACAACAATTAAGTATGAGAGAGATTGGAAGATTATCAAATTATTTCTACTTCAGTTCTTGTATAAGAGATATGTTTCTTCACAGATCAGTTATATTTGGACTTACCATTGGTGTACAACTTTGCTGCCCTTTTCTCTGCTTCTTCTTTAGACAGAGGGTATATAATTTGATCTCTCAGCGTCCCTAGACATGTATAAGGTCGCTGCGGGACAAAAAAGATGCCATTCCCTGACCCAAGTTCTTTGATATCCAATGATGGTTTGGCAAGTCTTCCACATACAGTGGGCCAGATATCTCTAAGGACTCTGAACACCGAAGTCTTTCCACTACCATTTGGACCTGAATTTTTTTGCTACTGTTAGCTCTGGGCTCATGCAATAAGTTCAATGTCGAAGATTATTAATTCACCAACCTGTGACGAGCAGGCTTTTCCCTGCAACTATTTCGCATGACAACTTGCTAGCCATCAATTTCTGAGCAGGGGTAATGATATCCACCTCCGAAAAAGAAATTCGATCTTGAGAATCCAAACGACTTGTGTGGTTTTCTGAGGTGACACCTGAAAACAGTTGGTCAAAACGAATCTGATCAACCGAAGAGCAAGAGCATATGTCTACGCCTAATAATTTCTCAGCATATAAGAAAAATTTAGCGGAAATAGTGCATGAAGAATCATGGTCAACATTATGAGTACATATCTGCAAATGATTTTTTCATAGCGCGTTGCCAAAGTGTGAAAAGTGAACGTATATGTGCTGTAGTACCTGACTGAGAAGCATCCAAAAACTCATCAAGCTCAAAAATTCTATTAATCCCGCCAGAGAGCTCAAGGAACTTCTTGTGTAGTTCAAGAATATCACCAAACGCCATAAAGCTTTGAGAGACAACAGAAGCTAGATACCGCAATGCATGTGCCAACTCACCTGGTATCAAAGACACCATTGCAAGAAAGAGTTATATAGAGACAATTCACATACTTAATTAGCTCACGTCGAAAAGTGTGACAGATCTTCACCTTGAGTGGAGACAAGTGCTCTGTCTCCCTTGTGTTCTAGGGCATACAACAAACTCAATCCCCATGTCACATTATTGGGAAGTTGCTTTGTCACAAAATCATCAAGTATGCCATACAACCATTTCTTCCTCAAGAGCATGAGAGAGTGGTCCAGTAGCGCCCTGAATTTTGTGTCAACCATCTGCTCCATGGAAAAAGAAAACATAAGGGCAGATTCAACTATAAGACGTGTCAAAGCTCCACGCGCGCAAGCGAAGCCGCATTTGGCATGAAAATGCCATCGTCATATAGATTAGTATAACACATCGAAGAATCCTTGTTAGCTTTCACTTCTTGTAGCTCTGTTCCAAAATAGCTAGCCCAAAATCCAACAGTTATAGCTAGGGAAGTTAAGACACTTACAGCTTTTTCTCGAGCTCCACCTCCAAAGAACGCAATGGATTCAGCATGAGTGTTCAGCCTCTCGTGCATAAACCTATGTAAGCAGGAGGAAGTTACTCCAGATAGTCGCTATAACGCAATCATCTGCAAAACGGAAAAAACGTAAGAAAAACTTACCTAAACTTCCCCTCAAGCTGCTGTTCTTCACCAGCTAGATCACCAAAATCGGGAGCAACACGTCTTAGAAAACCCAGACCAAGTAACATATATGTGTAAAGTATGGCAACTCCCCTCTGACCAGTCAATAGCTTCATCCTCCAGGTGAACCTTCAAATATTTGTTTTGCGTAATTATAAATTAAAACAAGAAGCACGAAACAAATATCAGGAAAACAATCCAACAAAATGTACTTACCAGAGAATGTCAACCGATGGCTTTACCATTCCAGTAAGAAGTCCAGACAAGTCAGTGGTTAACTTTTCCAGGTCACGGGTGAGTCTCTGGTCCGCATCAATACTATTTCCTGACATGTGGAAAACCTGAATAGATATGAACCAATGAGATCTTTAGTGTCTCTAAAATTTGCGACATCAACTTACAAGAAAAGAACAAACAAACAGCCTCTATGAAGCATAGACCAGCCAGAAATCGATATCTACTTCAGATTGGTATGGATATTTCAAAATCTCAGCATACTTCTTACATAAGTGCAAATAACACATCATGCCTTCTTTTAGCCTTTAGGTCAAGTTGCACTGAATAACTCATGTTTATAGTAATAATTAACAATGCATGAATAGGGCATATCAGCATAGTAGATTTGAATTGACCTTGTAAAACGCATTATTTCTCAAGTAATTCCGTAGCAGATGTTGTGTCAAACGAATCCTCCACCCTAAAGCTAGCCTTTGCGTTAAATGCCTGAAAAAGATGTAACAGAAAAAGGTTAAGTGAAACCACATCAGCAAGGGGTTTCTTATATGAAACCAATAATCTAACAAAAACTTATTCCGTAAGACAAGAAAAGGAAAAACAATACAATGAGGTTTTTCATCTAGCAATTTAATACGTTGTGATAGGATACAGTAGTGGGTGGGACTTCGAGACTTTCAAACATGCATGAAAAGGAAAGATCACCTTAATGAAGGAGCAATTACAGAAGATGCACCACTTTGGATAACACTCATACCAATCAAACGAACAAAGGCTGCCTTATCTTGCTCCAAGACATACTTCACAGTGGTCCCTGCAAAAATTATATGTGGTTGTTAGAGAAGGAGCCCTATCAATAAAACTGATCAGGTAACAGACCGGAGTATCTTTACCATTCAAAGAGGCTATTCGGTCAGAGATCAATGTTCTTGAGACGACAAGACAAGCAACCAAAAGCAGTTGTCCTCCTTGTTTGTCAAATAGAGTGGGTATCTAAAACGTAACAATGAAGCGGTCAGCTAGTTCGAGAACTAAAATATCAACTACCATAGCATTCTTGCACGACGAATAAGTTAGCCAAGTGGAACAAATACCGTTGCTAAAGAAATGCACTGAAATGCAATGCTGGAGGGAATGGAAGCAGAATGTGTATATATATGTATTCAGCTGAGGAATGCATATGTATTGTTTCTGGCCTAACAAAAACTGGCACAAGTGTTTTCAATAAAATTTACACTAAAAACTCAAGCTTACCAATGTGTTTAACATTGCAGCTACTCTTGATGGCAACGCCCTTGGGGATGTTTGAGGTTGAGGAAAACGAGGCAACACAACACTTTTATCAACAACAGGTGATTTTGCTATTAACTGTGTCAAGTACGACTGAGCCTTCGAATTACTAGTGGCAGATTCCTACATGGCACCAGCAACAAGGTTATAACTACACACAAAAAAACACTCAACGAAGATTAAAAGAAAAAACATAAAATGGTTTCATAAGCTTCTAAGACCTTTCTAGCTG